ATTTAATAAAGATATAATATCCTTTATATTATAGGTATTTTTAATAAGCTTTATCTTTATATATAATTATTTTATTTTTAAGATCCTTTAAAATATAAAAGTATAAGTAATTAACTTAAAAGTATTAATATAAATAAAAGGTTATAATTATTTATTATATTTATAAATAAAATATAGAAATTATTAAATAAAGAATTATCTATTATAACTATATAAATAATAATAATAAAGAAATTAAATTATAAATTTATTTATTATTTATTATTATTAAAACTTAAAATATTAAAAGATTTATTATTTATTTCTTCTTTATTATTAATAAAATAATTCTTTATAAATAATTAAATATTATTTAACCTTTTTAATTAAAAGGAATTATTATTAAATAAATTTCTATCTTTATCTTTAAATTAAAAATAAATATTATTATTATTAATTACTATTTTATTTATAATTAAAAAAGAATCTAATTTAAAGTTAATATTATTATTTTTAATTAATATAAAATTCTATTATTATTTATACTTTATTCTTTAAATAAAAGTTTTACTCTTATATAAATTATCTTTTTATAACTTTATTATATTTTAACCTTATTAATATAAAAACTTAATATTTTTTTATTTTAAATTTAATAAATAACTTTATTATTTAAACTAATAAACTATTTTAATTATATTTTAAGTTTATAAAGTTTATTAATATTATAAATCTTTAATAAAATTACTACTTATACTTTAATCCTTTAAATTTATTTATAATTAAATTTAAATTTAATATTATAAATAATTTATTAAAATATAATATTTTTATAAATCTTAATTTATTATTTAAATATAATAAAAATAAAATTTCTATTATTAATAAGTAACTACTATTAAGGAAATTTAAAATAAATAATAGAAAAATATAAAAATACTATATATTTAAAAGATTTTAAATTAAATTAATACTTTATTATAAAATATCTTTACTAATAATTAGTTTTAATTTATATATTATAATAAATTACCTTTAATTATAAATTCTTAAAAACTTAAAATTTTAAATTATATTTAAAGTTAATTTTATAATTAACTTTATAAGTTAATTAATAATAATATACTTTTAAATTATAAGTATAACTTTATTTTATAATATTTAATTTACCTATTTATATATTTTATTTATATAATAATTATAAGCTATAATTATTTTAAAGTAAATATAATATTATTTTAAATACTTATTAATTATACTTTAATAGAATTTATTATTAAATTAATATACTTAAATAATAATATTAAAGTAACTTTATATATTATTATATAATAAATAGAAAACTATAAAAATTTAGTTTTTATATAAAAACCCTTCTTTAAAATAAATTAAGAAATATTATTTATAAAGAATATAAAGTAATATAATTTATTATATAACTTAATAGAGTAAGGTCCCTATATATTTATATAGATTAAAGTACTAATATTAGTTTTATATTATTAGGTAGGCTCTTTAAGAACTTTATTAAGCACCTTAGCAATTATATAAATAAGGTAGATCTCCTTAAAAGTAATAACCTTCTAAATTTAAACCTTAATAATAAAAAGTTCCTTATTAATATTAAAAAGAATAATTATATTTAGAAAAAAAAATACCTTATAGCTTTATGATACTATTAAATAAAACTATTATATTTAATTAAGTTAATAAAGTAATTTAAGGAAGATATATTAGTAGTAAGTTTTTAAAGTTTTAATTAAAAAAACTATTAATTTATTTAGTAAGTTTAATTTATTAATTATTATAATTAATAAAAATTTTATTTTTATTTTATTATTTAAAGAGTCCTCCTTTTATACCTAATTAAAAGAGGAAATAATATTAAACTTAACTTATAAAGTAAGTATAATATTAGTAATTATAAGTAATTTTTAATTACTAAATTTATTTATAAGTTTAAATAATATATTATTACTATTAGTAAGTAATAAATATATATTTTATTTAATTAACCTAATAAAAATATTAAGTAATATTACATTTTTAAACTATTTTTATTATTAAAGATATAAATATCTACTTTTAAATTAAGTAAAATTAAATTTCTACTTTATATTAATACCTTTTTTCTAATAACTACTATTAGTTTTAAGATTTTATTCTATTCTTTTAATTTAATAGTAACTCTAATAGTAAAGCTACTTTATTAGGAGAGGTTAGTAAGGTTAACTAAGGATAAGAGAATAAGAGGAGGTATACCTTAAAATTAAACGGTTTTATTATTATTAAAAGAAGAAGGTTAAATATTTAATATATTGCTACTAAAATAAATTAAAGCTTAAAAAAAGGTATTATAAATATTTAAGTTAAAAATATTAATATAAAAAGGAAAAATCATTTAATTTAATTTAATTTATAGCTATTTAGTTATATAATTAATAATATTAAACTAATTATTAAAATAACCACTATTACTATTAATAAAGGAATTAATATTATTACTTTTATTAGTAAAAGGGTTTATTTAAGTATAAATTAAAGTAGAATATTATTAAGTCTACTAACCTCCTTAATAACCTATTAAAAAAGGTAAGAAAAAGATTATAATAGTAATATACACTTTATAAACCGTTAATCTATTTAAATAATAAATAAAATAATAAATAAGGCTAAGCTTATTACTATAAAAATAATTAGTTTTATAATATTAAAGGATAAAATAAGGTTAATTATAAATAAAAATCTTAATTACCTTAATTATATTATAATTAATATTAAATTAGTTATATTTATTACTTATAGTAATAAAAATAATAATATTAAAGTTATTATAAATATTTAATTTAACTATAAAGAGCTTTTAAATTTTAATAACCTTATAAACTTTATTAAAAACTCTAATAAACTTTAGTTTAATAGATATATTATTAATATTAAGAAATAGTTTAGTTAAATTATTTTAAATAGAAAGATTAATATATAATTATTCTTATATAAGCTAATAATAAATATTAATATGAGATTATTAATAATACTTCCTTAAATATTAATAGATATTATTTAAAAATAATTAAATTTAGATTATAAATTTAAATAATAATATTAATAATAAAAACTATTATTAATAAATTAAAGAAAATAACTCCTTATTAATAAAAGTATAAATATATTAAGTTATAAAATAAATAATTAAATTATAAGTTATAGTTTAGTTATTAATATTATAATTATTAGTTAAGATAATAATTAGTTATTTAATACCTTTAATTTAGAAATTAAGAATATAATAGAAAATCTTTATAATTTTTATATATTAAAATTTATATTATTAAAATAAAACTTAAGGAGACTTTTTAATAAAAGAATAATTTAAAGTATATTAAAAATATTAATTAAAGCTATTATAGAGTCTTAATAAATTTAAAAGATAAAATATATAGAGTAATAAAACTATTTAACTTAACTTTTAAATAAAAAAGAAGAAGATAAAACTACTCTTTTATATAATTATTATAATAATAAAGTCCTTTTTTCTTTTAAAAGGAGGAATCTAAATTCTATAAAATTTTTTAAAAATCTAATTAGGATAGTTTACTTAATATATATATTTATTATAACTATTTTATCTATAAGTTAAATATTATAATTAAAATTAATTAGTTTTATTAAGTTTATTTAATTTATTTTTATTATTATTAATATTAAAGTTTTTAATTTTATTAATATTTAGTTATAATAACTTTTACTTACTTTTATTATACTTTTCCTTATTAACTAAAATTTCTTTAATAAAAAATAATTAAATAGAAAACTTAAATTATATTTATTACTACTATCTTTAATATAAATTAAATTATATTATTTCTTAAAGTTTTAATAGATTATAAATAAATTAAATAAAATATTTATTACTATTTATTTAATTAAATATATTATATAACTAATTAATATTAGTTTAATCTTTAAAATATAATATTTATTAAAATACTTAATTATAAAAGAGAATTTACCTAAATATATTTATTAAATATTATATAAAATTTATTTTAAGTATACTTATTTATTATATTATATATATTAATAATATAAGTATATACCTTTTAGTGTTTCCTTATTTTTAATTTCTAATAAAATAATAGGTAAGACTTACTTTTCTAAAAGCTACCTTATTTAATATACTCTACTTAAAATTTTCTTATTATTTATATATAATCTATTACTTTAATAAACTCTTTATAAGATTAATCTCCTTAAAATAAGTAATTATAAAGTTAATATTATTAGTTTTATTTATAAAAATAATATAATTATTTTTAATTAGTTTATTAATAATAACCTTCTTTTAATAAAGATATTTATAATATTTATATTTTAAGCTTTTATTTAAACTTAAAATATTAAACTATATAATTACTTTTCCTTAAAATTATTAATTAAAAAGAGATATAATATTACTATTATTTAAAGTATTACTTACTATAATAAATTTTAAAGTCTACCTACTAATAAAGGATATTTAATATAGTAGAGAAGTTTCTTATAAATTAGAGATTAATTTAATTAAAAAATTTAGTTATTTAATAAAAAATAAATAAAAAAGGAGCTTATAATTAGTTAAGTAATATCCTTTATTAACTTACTTACTTAGCTAAACTTTTAATTCCTCTCTTTAAAAGAGAATACTTTAATTATAGAGTTATATATAGTATTATCTAATAGGTAATTATACTTCCTTATATAAAGAGTGATTATCCTAGAGTGTATCTTTAACTTACGTCGTAGGATCGTCCGGTGTGCCAGACAAAAATGTGCTTCGCAAAATACAGATTGTATTCTCACCTGTACGCTTCTGGGCAGAGCCCATTTTCGCAATCTCATGCCGACTTCTCATGGTGACTTCGCTCGGCTCCATCAAGAGAGTCGCCGGTGAAGCTTTGCTTCGTAGGAGAGAGTTTGGGGGCAAGGCTGTACCTGTGGATACATCATCTTTTGATTACATCTATCTCAATATACCGCTGCTTGACAAGACGTGGGAGCAAGCACAAATATACACGGTGCTCAGCCTGCGCAAATGATCTCTTCGTCCCTGGCAAAGGACACCAGTTCCAGCACATGATACACCAAGTCCATTCCATACCCTTCACACTTTGCGATGCCAAAATTCGGGGCATACAAAGCTATGATCTCCGGCGCCTCGCTCCCATGCAAGTAAAGCTCAAGCAGTCAAGGTCTTTGCCTCGCCTCGCGTCCGTTGACAGTAAATGCCATATGCCAGCCAGACTGGCCGCCCAAGCGACCGCAGCAGTCTCCACTCAGTAGCCCATGCCGTCGTCGTCTTCCTTACTCCGATCGACGACACCCTTCTTGAGGTTCTCCTCAACCTCGTCGACATAGTCGAGCCCGCAGTAGTCCACACCATCGCGGAGCTCTTGCAGTGGGACGCGGTCTCTTTCCAGTGCCTCTCGGGTCTCGAGGCTCAAGCCCTCAAGGTCCAGGTCGAGCCTGCAGTTGTCTTCATGTCGTCTCGTCATGTCAGCCGCCCCGGACTCTTCCCCATCGATGGCCATATTGTCCGCATCTCTGCCAGATGAGCTGATTCTCCCCACGCGTTTAGTCCGGATGGGAGCCTTGGCAAACATCTTCAGGTTGGCCTGCTGCTGGCTCTCGACCCACGCCACGAGATCCTTGGCCGGGTCGTGGTCGGCGTGTGCCTCGGGCCTAAACAGCCCCGTCTCGGCGTAATTGACGTCCTGGACCATTCCCACCGTGATATCTCCGCTGAACTTGAGCTGCCTCTCGGCGACATAGGCGCGTCCCAGGTCGGCATTCGTCTCGCGTGCCTGGAGGAGCTCTGGCGGAGGCGGAGGCTCGCCATGTGGCGTGATTGCCGTTGGTCTGCGCCGTATCATCGAACCCAACCCCGGAGGGCCGGACAGGTTGATAAAGGATGGTGGTTTCTCCTCATCTTCGCCGACGGATAGGATGAAGACACGCCCGCTTGCGTCGCCGATCACGAGCTTGGAGTAGTCAGGCGAGAAGGCCCCGTGCGAGATCTGGGCTGGCGCCTCGAGGATAACTCTGCCTTTGGCTTTTCGTCCTCGGATATTCCAAACCTTGACTACTCCGTCCGAAGATCCCGTGTAAAACCGATCCAGCGACGCCGCCCACGCTGTAAACTTGACGCCGGTGTCGTCTTCGTTGTCGCCCACAGCGATGCCCGCCAGAGGGGGCCCGTGAGCGAGCACATGAATAGGTCTCCTCCTAAAGCTCTCCGGTTGAGCCGAGTCCCACACGTACGTCTTGCCATCCGTACACCCGGCTGTGATGTAGAAGAACGCAGGACTGTTCGGCATGATGGTGAGCTCATTGATGTCAACAGCTGTGCAGTCGAAAGACTTCACGAATCTAAACTGAACATCCTGATCAGGGGTCTTGTCTCTAGCAAAGATCCTGATTTGCGTTCGAATATCAGCATCAAAGTCGCCTGCTGGTGAAGATGCCGCGATGAACTCGGGCCGATATGGGTGCCATAGCACCTCGAAGACGTTTTGGGTCTTTGCGCCCGGGATCCGAATCGCCTGTCCCGTGATGCCATCCCATAGGCACAGCTCGCCGGTGTTCAGGCGATCCTCAGGAATGTCATTGTCATCATCGGTGAGAGTGCGCGGGGAGAAGCCAACCAGCAAAAGATGGCGAACGCTTTCCTCTACGCCCCATTTCATTGTCGACGGAAAATAGGTCCATTTGTTCGAGAAGGTTCCGTCAGCGTCCGGTACCCTGGTAGCCGAAAATGAACTATATGGGCTTCCTGAGATATCCTCGGGGTTGACGGTGTAGATTCTGACAGCCTCGGTGGGCACGTCGGCGGCAGTGGCAACCAGGCCTGTTGGGTGGCCCAGCTGCGAAGCCTGCACAAAGTTGACGAAGCCTTTGTGCATCCATGTTCCGATACATTGCATCGAGGGCCCCGACTTGTCCACCCGCCAGACCTTGGCGCTTCGGTCAAAACCAGATGTATAGGTCCGGTCGTGTATTGGGTCGTAATCGGACGAGACAACTGACGTGTACAGCCATGGGTCCTGAGATTCGCGCATATCGTTTGTAGAATTCTCACCCTTCTCAACAATCGGACGAGGAATGCGGTGGTCGGGATAAGACTTCAAAGTGATGCGTGACGGCGCGACTGAGCCCAGCAGAAGGTTCCCGGGCTTGTTGTATTGCTGGTTGTGGGTATCCATATGCACGGTCGTACCGGCTATGTACGCAGAGTTCGATACCCAGCTGACTGCGGAGACATCGCCAGCGCAGTTGGTGAACTCTGTCCGGAGCTCAAGACCGTCTTCAAGGCTCTTGTGGAACTCATTGGTAAGATGTCTCATGTGGGTCGTTCTGAAGCAATTGCCGGTGACCTCTCGCGCCATCAGAAGCGATGAAAGACGGCTCTCTCGCAGAGCTTCACCGCGCCTGTCAAAGACATCTTTGTCTATTGAAAGCAGTCGTGGATCGTCAACCCTAGCTTTCTTTTGATACACATCGTGGAGGAAGCCAGCGATGGCGGCTGTATCTCTGCGATCGGTTTGGAGTTGATTGACGAGGCGATCGATATCACTTCCGCTCTTGAAACGCTTGAGAAGTTTGGCCAGGCCCTTAACCGGATCGTTATGCATCGTCTCGGACCCCATAACTTGCCGAGCCGCCAGTTGGAGCTCACGAGCTTCCTCTAGAGTGAAGTCCACGTGGAAGATATGGGGCTTGTTCAGGAGGTCCGGTCCTATTCTACTCAGACGGCCGCTTCGGTTCAAGATCTCTTGCCTGTCCTTCGCCTTAAGATATGGACGGAGCTCGAGAGAGAAGAATGCTGAAGTGGGTCGCTGCTGCACCTCATGGCCATCCTTCCTGGACTTCCAAGCCGCGACCTTAGCACGAGACCGGTAGTTTGTCGGGGAAGTCGGAGCTGTTTTTGCAGCAGATCTCGTTTTTCTGGAGGCAAGAGGTGTGTTCGGCCGCGGAGGGCGAGGTGCGTTTGAGGGGTGAGACGTCATCGGCACCACAGTATCTTGGGATCGTGTGGCTCGAGCTGGGCCATGCTGCGCGATGGGCTGCCTGGCCTGGTGCTGCTGCGGTGTCTCAACGGTGTCTGGGAAGCGATAGAGGCTCTGGACTGGACTCGGAGTCGGTTCTGTAATAGACGGTGGTCCAATGGGAAGCGCCTGCGCTGCGAAGGCGGCAGGAGCGAGCGGTCGATTCACAGGAGGCAGGCGGTTTGCAAGGCGGTTTGCAAGGCCGGGAGGTCGAGAGATAGGGATCGCGTTCTTTTGGGCTGCTGGGGCACCGTTTTGTGTCGAGTGAACAAACTGCATTCGTCGAAAGCCCTGACAACTCCTGTTAGTCGCCGAAACTTGCCCTCGCCAGCCACACATCATCTTACCGGCAGAGAAGCGTAGCTCTTAGCTAAGTTTCTGGCACGCTGAGTGACAGCGCCGACCAGGTCGTCGGGTAGCCTTCCATTCTGCCGAACCGTATCTTCGTATTCTCTTGCAAGGGCCGATTGGATCTGTTTGCGACGGAGGTTGTCAGAGCCATAATCTAGTGGGGTAGACCTGTAGCAAGTGTCCCGTGTGTGCTGAAATACCTCTGCCTTGAGCTTATCCTCGTCGACATCCTTGTTCCTGAAGGGTACCACGGCGGCCTTCGCATACTCGGACAGGTGTAGGCCGATAGATTTGGTCATGAGCTGCTCATGGCTCAAGACGTCACTCGGAGTCCCGGAGAGCTTTTGTCGTTTCGCGACTGGCTGAAGCGGTGGGGAGGGAGGACTGGGGACGATAGGAATGTAGTCCCTCCGATTCTGAGCAGATCGGGGCGGCACAGCTCGGGGCGGCACGTAGGGGTGGCCATGGGGGATGGGAACGCCCTGCGCGATGAGGTTCTCGTAGCTCGCGATGTCGTCCCGAAGCCTGTCGCGGAGGGCTCGCAGTCGCTCAGCCTTGGTAGGTGACAAGGGATATGCCCGTTTCTGGGGCGGCCGTCCGTCGTCATCGTCATCGACGGTGAGGTCGATGACCTCTCTAGACGGCGGCGCCATCGTAGCCCATTCGGTTCAAGCGACGCGAGATTATTTAAGTAGGCGTAGCCATTGCGCGTGGCGCGTCACAAGTGCTTCTGCAGTTTTCGTTTAACTGAATATTCCCCACAAGCATTCAAGTTTAACTTAAATTAAAAACCAGCTTAGAGGTATTAAAAGTATTAATAAATAAATAAAGAAAACTATTAATTTATACTAGTTTAATCTTATAATTAATTAAATAAAAAGTATTTAAAATTTAAAATTATTTTATTTTACTTTATAACTTAACTTATAGATATAATTATTATATTAGAACTTATTTATTTATTAGAAAATATAAAGGTAAGGCCTAGTTTTATTATAAACACTATGAAATGAACATGTTCATGATTCTTTCAAAGGTCATATTATCATCAATCATCATTAGTAGGTCACAATTGACAGCTGGATCATTCCGTGGGTGGAAGTTGCCCAGCAGAGTTGCCTAGCAGACACAGTTGTTGTTAGGGGCAGATGGTAACTACTGTAACGCCCCTTCCAACGTTTATCAAAACCATCAAACTTCATTCCCCATATCACAAGCAACCTAAAAGGATCTCCTCATAGACATAACACCCATTAAATAATACCACTTAATTACCATATGTCACATGTGGAACCTATAAGTTCTGGATGAAAGGTGTGCACCAAGTGGCCAATCATGGTCATTGCCCGCTTTGGTGCATTGCTGCATTGCAACAATCGGGACGACACATCAACCCCACAGGAGCTGCGACTAGCGCGACACGATGCATGTGCCTCCACGGCAACTCCCAACAGGCATGTGCAAGGCTTTACAATCCAAACTCCCTTGCTCTTATCACAAGCAAATCATGATACAATTATTACAAGTTAACAATGGGCTTCCTGTATAGTTTAGGTGCTCAGGATACAAAGAGAAGCCTAGAGAAGTGAGGATAGGATAGACAGCAAATGTTAGCAAGGATTTGTACAAGTACTATAATCTTTCTTCACATGCCAATTCTCCCTTCATCTATACACGCATGTCTTGATCCACCAGTCTAAGGAGCCTAATACACCAAAGAAAGGATGTACAATGAACCGTTTCAGCGAGAATCTACAGCTTGGCCTTCGCAAGCTCGCCCTGCCGCGCGAGCTCAGCGTACATATCATCAATTTGTTGCCTAAAGGCCCTCGCCGTCTGCACACGCTTGATTTTGAGTCTAATCACCAGTTAGTAGTGGCCTGTAGAGCTAGCAACCGTGCAAGGCGCCCGGCGGGGGGGGGCAAAGAAGTCAAATCGTAAGATCTTCAGCCCGATTACTTACGTTGGTGTCAGGAGCTCGTTGTCGATCGTGAAGGGCTCGATGTCCATGTAGATGTTCCGCACCCTCTCGTAGCTGTTGAACTTGTGCCTCTTCCCATACTCATCCAGCTGCTTCACAAACGCCTTTCGCACCTTGGGGTCGTTGGCCGCGGCCTTGAGCTCCGCGCGGTCGGTGGCCGAGACCGTCCTCTTGAGGATCTTGCTGGCGTAGGGAGCGAACTGTTCCGGGTCGATACCGAAGATGGCGACCAGCGTGCTCTCCTTGGGGTCGCCGTGCACGTAGGCCGTCTGGATGATGGGCGTGCTGCCCAGGTAGACGTTCTCGATGCGCTCGGGTGAGATGTACTCGCCCTGCGCCAGCTTGAGCACGTTCTTCTTGCGGTCGATGATCTTCAACCGGCCCATATTGTCGAGCTCGCAGATGTCTCCGGTGTGGAACCACCCATCTGGGTCAATGGACTTCTTCGTCTCGGCCTCGTTCTTGTAGTAGCCCTGGAAGACGATGGGCCCACGCAGCAGCAACTCACCGCGTGGGTTGGGCTTGTCTTCGACGGTATATTCCAAGTCGGGCGCCGATTCAAGGCAGACCTCCACAAAGGCCATCGGGGCGCCGATGACGCCAGTTGTGTAATCATCCTGGTACTGCAGTACTCCGCAGGCGTATGTCTCTGTCATGCCGAAGCCCTGGCGGAAATCGTTGGCAAAAGCAGCTCGTAGGAACTGGTGTACATCGGGATCCAACTGGGCACTGCCGCTGACCATCCAGTGCACACGGTCCAGACCAACAGCCGCCCGCACCTTGGGTGTCCATATCCTGTCGTAGAGGAGATGCTTGTTCGTTGCCTTGCCCGGCGGAAGCTTCATGGAGGCCTTCTTTGAGTTGATGACGTGCCTGGAGAGAGCCCCCTTCACCCCGTCCGCTTGAACCGTTGCCGTGGTCAGAGCAGCCTGGAAACGGTTGAACAGCCTGGGCACCGACATGAAACCAGTTGGCTTCAAGATCTTCATATCCTCGACCAGGGCGGTGACATCACCGTGGAAATATCCAACAGGAGCGCCAGCGATGAATGCGGCCTGGTCAGCCATGCGCCCGTATATGTGGGCCAGCGGGAGGTACGAAATGTGGACGTCGCGATCTGAAAGGGTGCCAGAGGATCGCGCACAAGAGACTCCAGCAACAGCGTTTGCGTGAGTGAGCACGACACCCTTTGGGTCGCCGGTCGTCCCGGAGGTGTAGTTGATGGTGAATATGTCTTCCTTGCGGGGAGGCCGCATTTGACGTCCAGAATTTTGACCAATCGCCTCAACCTCGGCGATCGAGAAGATCTGTATCCCACTGTCGGCGGCCATCTTGCTCAGGAGCTCTTGCTTGGAGTGCCCGCTCATCTCCCCGTCGTTCAATGAATCGAGCGAGATAATCAGCTTCAGCGAAGGAATCTTGGGGGCTATCTGCAGGAGGGTCGGGATATGCGGCAGTGAGCAAACCACGCATGCCAATTCGCCGTGGTTGATGATGAACTCGGTGGTTTGAGGTCCCAGTGTCTCATATAGCGTCACGGGATACAGGGACTGCGACACCAGGGCAAGCTCTGTATGAAGCCATGATTAGCCTCGTAGTATCGTAGAAGAGGCTGTGATGGGACGTACCTGTGATCTGCCATTCCGGCCTGTTCTGGGACCAGATGCCTACACCGTAGCTCTGGGCATTGATGCCGACGCGATGATGCAACTCGGCGATGCCAGCGCCAAGGTTCTTCCTCCTCTCAGCAATCTCAGCATATGTCTGCCACACGTATTTGGGCTCCCAGGTCTTGGTGGTTGGGTTCCAGGGCCGGTGGCCCAGCATGCGCTTGTTGGGGCGAGCCTGCCATGCCTCCTCGAAGAGATCATGGAAGGTCAGGCAGTGGGCCTCGAGCCTCTCGAGCAAGGGGCCGTCGCGGAATGCCCAGTTGCGGTAGACGGCAGTACGGTTCTCGCGCTCGGATCCGGGGATGGGCAGGCCGTAAGGGGTGCCCGGAGGAGGAGCAGTGGAGCACTTGGCAATGAGTGCCTTGCTGTCAGGTTCGTAACGCATATTGGGCGGTTTGCTGGGGGGTTCTGTAGATACGATGTGGTCAACGGGTCTGGTCTCTCGCATCTGTAGCTGGGGATGTACATGGGCATGGGCGGGAGTCACGGACAGGAGTGTGCGGGCTGTCTTTGTCACTTGCAGACGTCGCGTCGAGGAGACTCGAGATGGGCCGCGCCGAGTGGACCTACAATGACTGGAGAAAGGACGGGGGGCGGCACAGGAAGCCTGGAGCTGGTATTCAAGAGAGGATGGATATTATTCAAGAGGAGTGTACTCCATCGTGGTCTGTCTACTCTTCTGCGCCGTCAAGGCGCCGGTTGGCTTGGGTGGTAGGCCAAGGGTGGCAGTGGCAGGTGACCAGACTTAGTTTAGTGGGCTCCCGAGAACCTCGGCAACGATACCATCGTATCGCTCGGCAAGCCCAGCATCGGCGTCCCTATCCCAGTGCATTCGTACCTGATGCTAATTTTCGTGGACAGCGATCGGCCTCTGCCGGGAATGCGTTATCCATTGATTGGCCTCTGGACGGCCCAGATGAGCATCACAAGCGAGCTACCAGAGGACATCGTCCATCACACAAGCTGTAACGTCATTCCTCTCGGGCCGGCAGTCGGCCCACGTTGCACTCCGAGCCCCCGACACGGAGGACTAGCGCAGCAAAAGCAAAAGCAAACCTTCCTTGCTGTACTAACATGGGGTCACCAAAACTGTATTGTGTCCATGATAGTGTCTCCATCACATGCTATTCTTACCTGCGAGCCCGGAATCCCTTCGTCCCTGCTTAATAAGTGTCTACATGAGTCTCCCAATTGCTGCCTCTTCCACATCAGTTTATACGGGTATACCGTAGACACCGGCCACGCTGGACGGGCTGTTCTCATTGAGCTACCGGACATCTGCCAAATGTGCCATCATCTGGCGGCTGGAGCTCGACCGCTCAAGTTTGAACCGTTGTACACCTCCCCCAGGGTAATAAACATTAAATTTTTATATACCATTACATTAACCCACATACACTAACCTTATTACTTTTTTAATAAATTCCACCTAAAAGTACCTTAAATATATATTTAAGTAAAAAGTAGTTAATTAAAGGGTATTTAGACTTTAAATTCAACCTTAAATTTAATTTTATTATTACTATTATTACCCCTAGGGGTTACTAACTAAATATAAACCTCTTTTACTTACTCTATATATTATATATACTATACTTTCACCTATTTAAATACTCCCCTTTAGCTAGCCTAACTACCCTTTAATTACTTTACTAAACTACCTAAATACACCTAATAAAGCTCTATTTAAAAAAACTTATTAAGGATAAATATTTAAAGGTTTAAACTCTAATTAAAAATATTAAATAGCTAATTAAAGCTATTATTATACTACTTAAGGTTATACCCTATTAAATTAATTAAATATTTAAAAATTAACTTATATTATAAAAAAATAAGATTAATAAAAAACCTTTATTTAATATACTTAAAAGAATTAAAATATAATAATAGTTCTATTTAAACCCTATTTATTATTATATAATTTAAAAGGACCTTAAATTTTACCTACTATTTAAGTTATATATTAATAAAGTTATACTTATTAATACTTTTATACCCTAAATTATACTTACTACCTTTACTACTATTAAATCTACTATATAGTTATAAATAAATATACTTATATATAATAATACTAAAAATAAAATAAAGGTTTCTTATCTTAAAAATTAAAAATAAATAATTTTCTTTAATAAAATATAAGTAGTTAACAACTTAATATAAAAATAAATAATTATTTATAATATAAAAATTTTAATAATTTTATACTTTTTATTATAAACTATAAAACTAAATATTTTAAAGCTACTTTATAAATAATAAATAAAATTTTAAATACTTTTAAGAAAAGGGTTTTAAAATATTAATATAATAAAATACTACTTTTAAATACTTTTCATTATATATTATTTTTATATTTATAAACTTAGAAACTAAAGGGTCTTCTAGTAAAATAATACTCCTTTTTATTATATTAAAAAAATAAAAGAGATACTTTAAATAATAAATATTCTAGTCCTTTAATAGCTAATAAATTTACCAAACTTTAACTTTATAAAAAACATTTAGTTTATTATAAAAAATTAAATTAAATATTATTATAATATTTAATCCCTCTTCTTATAAGAGTTATAAAAGGCTATTAAGGTTATATAAAAGGTAATTAATAGTACATTCCTACTATATTTAGCTTATAGGATATTAAACTAACTTTAAAAGTATATTAATATAAGTGGCGAAAATATTAACTTTTAGTAGGCCTAATGAGGAGATCCCCTACTATTAAAAATATCTATAGATACCTTAAATTAGGTAGTAAATACTAATAAAATAAAGTCTTTCAAGTTGTGCAGGTTAAAAAAGGGGTAATGTAACGATATACGAAAATTTAACGTTTATTACCCCGGGGGAGGTGTACCATACCCACGGGATCCGGATCACGAGCGGGACCCCTATGCGCGTGGCCGACCTGCCGACCTGCATACATACCACTCCCATCCCGCTCCGACGCAGGCAGGCAGGCCGCTTACCGGCTCGACGGGCGCACATGAAGTCTTGGTCTGGCCAGCTCGCCGTGCATGGCGCCGAGATGCACGGCGTGGGCGTGCCTGCGCGCTCGACACCCGAAAGCTGGGTGCGACAATCCTTAAACCGCGTCTCACCATTCTTTCTGATGTCTACGGAGTATCAATGAGAGAGGCCGTTCTGGAGCGTGGTTGCGTGGTAGGCTAAAGCACCGGCTGGTTCAAGCACCATCCTCAGCCTTGAATTTAGAGTCCAGAACACAAGCATTCTACAGTCCCAACCATGACTCGACCCAAGCTTCTGGGGGATCATTTGGACCAGACGACAGCTCCTTGGCCATGCCGGCTGGAATGCGATCGCCCGAGTCTCTCGCGAAATCCGCTCCCTAGCTTGCCCAACCTTCGACCTCCAACACACAGACACACATAGCTACCCCAGCGTGCAGGCAGACAAGTCATACACCCCCGGGGCCGACCCCAGAACGAGTTGAACGAGGTCTGGACGTTGCCCATGCACCGGCCGCTCTCGAGCACTTGGCCTCGAAGCGAACCGATTCAGTCGCCTTGGTCCACTTGGCGCTCGAGATCTCTCAGACGTGCGACGACCCCGTCTTGACGGGCAAGACGGGCCAGCACGTCGTTAACGCCTTGGCACGGGTGGCCTCGAGCACACCCGAAATATCTGGAAACAGAGGTCAGCGCCTTCGCAGCGCCCTTCCTTGAGAGCCAAGCCCGCTGTAGCTGGACTCTGACCCTCCGGAGACTGCCAAGGCGTCGAAGAGCCTTGTCTTCAGAAACAGGAAGCCCCAGCAAAACATGTTTCCTTGCCACTTGCCCTGCGCTTCTGCTTCCGATTCCATCTTTCCCTGTTTCAATCCCATGGTGCTGATCTCCCTTGCCGGCTGGGGGTCTATTCCTGTGCAGCTTGTGTAGGAGCTTGTCCGTACTACCGCACAATTAAGCTCGTGAGGCCAGGCGGTCCCCGACCACCATGGCAGGCCAATATCACAGGCAACCGAGCTCACAATACTGCTCCTGTGTTCATGAGAATACATCAGGGACCGTTACACCACCCAGTGCGCGCCTGCGACTACGACTGCAGCGAGGCTCAGCCGTATCCGGTGTCAGGAATTACTTTAAGCTTAGTATATTGCACATGATTCCGGTCGAATTCAATCAAACGCGAGGAGATGAGTCGAGTCACTAGGTCGCTCGTCCCATTCGCGCGATCCCATCCCGCTGGCTCCGTCTTAACCGCCGTCACGCCCTGCCGGCGGTTACAGGTGTACCTCTGTCGCGAGCACGAACCCACCACCCGTGCAGGTGCAGATTTATCACTGCCGGGGGGCATTGATGCCAATCTAAAAGTATAGCCTGAAGGGCCCAATGTGCGCCCCAAACCGAGCATGACATTGGACGGCTTCGTCGCACCCTCCTGCACCAGGTCGTGGGTATGCCCCTGTCGTGCCGTGTTTCACATAGGCTTCAGGTTGGTACATCGAAGCGCACTTGTCTCCCGTGCTGGCGAGGTTGACCCCGGACACCTGCGCGTCCATGCCAAAGTTGTGTGGCTTCGCTCTGCTATATACCTGCCCGATGCTTTTAATGCTCTGCACGCGCGCAGTCAGTTCCCCCTTCATTAAGCTCTTTCCGGGTTACTTTCTTCGATTGCCGGGCCTCCTCCCTCATTTTCCTTCTTTAAACCAGTGCACAGGCTGCCCATTGATACCATACATTCTCTTTAGTTGCTCGACCCGCAAGACCGGAACTCCACCAACAACACCGATATCTACCTAATTCTCAACAACACCGACGACTTCACGACTTTCAAAATGGGTTTCCCTCTGATCCTCGCTCTCCGCGCCGTCCAGGGTGTCTTCGCAGTGATCATCCTCGGCCTGTCAGCATATGGTAAGGCCCCACGAACTGGGAGGACCTGGGAAATGGGCGGCCGAATATGATCATCTTGCTAACCAGAGGCAACAGTTGCCAACTGGTACAATGTCGACACCCTGACCTCGTCGCCTTCTCAGGTCAACTTCTTGGTCTTTGTGCCTCTCTTCTCCCTGCTCTCCATCGCGTACCTGGAGGGAGTGACCAAGTTCAAGCCCCAATGTCAGTACCGTCGGTCCACAGATGATCTCTTTTTAAAAATACTGACATCCTCCCCAAGTCTCCCACCCATGGGCCGTCCTCGCTCTTGAGGTCACCAACGTGCTCTTCTACTTTGCCGGCTTCGTCGCCTTGGCTGTCTTCCTGACGCACCTGCTCTTCTGCCGTGGCGCCGTCTGCGGCTCCGCCCGCGCGGCCACCGTCTTCTCGTCGTTCAACTTCCTGCTCTGGACCGCCACCGCCGCGCTCACCATCAAGGACGCGCTGAAGGGGGGGTTCGCGGGCCTCCGCATGGGCCGTGGCGCGGGGCAGGGAATGCCGATGCAGCAAAACGCCCAGATGAAGGAGGCCGCTATGGCCGCATAAAGGCCTACTACGGCTCCGATGGCCGCGGGTCGTTGTTCGGATACGTCCCGGCTACTCCGCCGCCTCACGCCATGCACAAGACTGCGTCCCTCGAGGTGACAGTCAAGAAGCTGTCCAACTCGTGGGACCACAGGCGGAGCACCCTCTCCGGCAGCGAGGACTGGGAGATCGCCACCTTTGTCGGGAGCGAGGAGGAGGTGATCGCGGGGAATGGATATGGGCGTCGTGATACCTGGTAGAGGGGGGGGGGTTCGCTAGATGGGTTGCGCCAGCTGTGCTGTGTTGGACCATTGACTTTGGAGAGGTATAGAAGCGATTTAATGACTTGAGAATCATGGTTGGATCAGGCTACGGGCTTGGATTAGCATCTTTTACGTATTGCAATGACAGGCCTATGAATATTTCTACATATTTACATAAACTTGTACATGAGACTCTCAACATTACATCCCTCAGCTTTGATTTCGTGCACAGTGAGAGGGTGTCATTGGGTCTGAACCAACCAACTTATCAGCAACTTACACATGCGGTCGCAGCGGGTCACACGATGGCACCCCAGACTTGGCCCGCAAAATCAGGCCCGCACCGTCCGCATGCCGGGCCTTTTTATCCTGGGTCACGGTCTTCACCGACCTGGCCAGCGGCCTCTGTATAAGTCAGCCCACAGTAGAGGACATACCACAATCTCGCGTGACCGGCCGCCCATGCGGCTCCTTCTACCGTTGATGATACCGCCGACCCACAATTCCACCGCAGATCAAAGGTCCAAAGGTCAACTAACCATCACAACGCCATCACCAGGATGTATGGCAACTCGAGTGCTCGTACAGAAGCACATATTTAAATAAAACACGAGGTATTCTGAGACACATAGGTGTGCAGATGCACTCAGCACGGGCGGCCGCCAGTGTAAGCTTCCAAGTTGCGGCACGCACCCTCGGGAACTAGCAACGTCCATCTCCAACAGCCCTGGAGGGGACACAACCCCGATCCCATGCTATAATACTCAGACACCACAGCGTTATACAACACATCCGAGGAGAAGAGACAAGCACAGCGGCCATCGGCCGTCGGGCCGGCTCGAGAAGCCATTAGCACGCGGCCTGGGCAAGGCAATCGGCAATGAGGAATGGTTCTGCTGCGGCGCCAACCCTTTTGGCAGCACACTCGACGTTGCTGGTCGAAATGACGTGCTCGGCTCCCCCACTTCCAAAGCGCGCCATTGGTTGCCCGAAAGGGAAGTGAGGGTGCAAGTTCACGCCCTCGAGGCAGTTAGAAATGGGCTTGAACGGGCGATCAGTCTAGGGACAAGGAGCCCGGGGCTGAAAAGGTTATATAGATACTTAAGTAGTCTGGTTGCCGCGCTGGTGGTGATCACTTGGAGTTCCCATTGACTTCTTGTTAAACAAACCTGTGATCTGTGCTGCTGTTGAACCATCCACCAAGTCGGGACTTCTGCCCTCAACTTTGTTTTTTGTTGAATGCTGTGACGCTTATACCCAGGCACTTACCCCCTCGGGTTACATCCACGCTCACGATGTCGGAGCTCATCAAGCACTTCGAGACCCTGCAGCTGCACGGCGGGTGAGTGCGATTCATGCGTATGAGAGATATTCTCATCAACTGACTGACCCTCATGAAGACAAGAACCAGACTCTGCTACAAATTCAAGGGCTGTACCAATCTACGCAACAACTGTATGAGTTCACAGAATTATCATGTGTCCGTGTGCGTGGGCGGGACAACGTGCTAAGTAGACCTCATAGAGCTATATCTTCAACGACTCAGCCCACGGCGCGAGGCTGTTCGGCCTCAAGGAGTTCGGCAACATATACAGCCGTATCATGAACGTAAGTCGCACCGAGGCCATTACGCGGCCCACATCTTTAATCAGGGCCCCTGGCTGAGCAATCCCACACCCAGCCGACGGTGGACGTGTTTGAGAAGCGTATCGCAGCACTCGAGGGAGGCGTGGCCGCAGTTGCCGCCTCGTCAGGTCAAGCGGCGCAGTTCATGACCATCGCCGCCCTGGCCCACGCGGGGGACAACATCGTATCTACCTCGAACCTGTACGGCGGTACCTACAACCAGTTCAAGGTTGCCTTCCCGCGCCTGGGAATCTCCACCAAGTTCGTCGACGGCGACAAGCCGGAGGAGCTGGCCGCTGCCATCGATGACAAGACGAAGGCCGTGTACGTCGAGAGCATCGGCAACCCGCGGTACAACATCCCGGACCTGGAGAAGATCGCGGAGCTGGCCCATGAGAAGGGGGTTCCGGTTATAGTTGATAACACCTTCGGCGCGGGCGGCTACTTCATCCGGCCCATCGAGCACGGAGCCGACAGTACGTTGCTTGATCCCTACGAAATTCTGCAGGTGTCGTATCCGAGATGCGTTGCTAACAGCCGAATCTGCAGTCGTCGTCCACTCAGCAACCAAGTGGATCGGAGGCCACGGCACAACCATCGGGGGCGTGATCGTCGACTCGGGCAAGTTCGACTGGGGCAAGCACGGGAAGCGGTTCCCACAGATGGTCGAGCCCTCGGACGGGTACCACGGGCTCAAGTTCTGGGAGACATTCGGGGCCATCACATTCATCATCCGCGTGCGGGTCGAGGTGCTGCGCGACCTGGGCGCCTGCCTGAACCCCTTCGCCGCGCAGCAGCTGCTGCTGGGCCTCGAGACGCTGTCGCTGCGCGCGGAGCGGCACGCGCAGAACGCGCTGGCGCTGGCGCGGTACCTCGAGAAGAGCCCGTACGTCAGCTGGGTGTCGTACCCGGGGCTGGAGAGCCACCCGAGCCACGAGCTGGCCAAGAGGTACCTCAAGAGGGGCTCGGGCGGCGTGCTCAGCTTCGGCGTCAAGGGCGGCGGCAAGGCGGGCAGCCAGATCGTGGACGGCTTCAAGCTCATCTCGAACCTGGCCAACGTGGGCGACTCCAAGACGCTGGCGATCCACCCCTGGACCACGACGCACGAGCAGCTGTCGGACGAGGAGAAGACGAGCTCGGGGACGACCGAGGTATGTCACATGCATGCGGCCAGAGGGCGTGTGAGCGTGTGGGCGTGCGAGCGTGCTGACATTGACGTCTTTAGGACCTCATCCGGATCTCGGTGGGTACGGAGCATATCGACGACATTATTGCCGATTTCGAGCAGTCCTTCAAGGCCGCATCTGCCGCCACGACTGAGGGCAAGGAAGGCAAGCCCGAGGATAAGGAGCACGAGGCCGCGCCGACCGTCGTCTGATGTCGTGGAAAGGTCCGCCCTAAGTACTTAGTGACCTATGTTCAATTGATACCAGATCAAATCAATGCACATTCTCAATCTGATCTTGTAGACTGGGGACTCCAGTATTATGCAGACTCCCGCAAGACCGTGCTCGACGACTCACCGAAGCATCAGAACGCGACCGGTTTAATCCCATGTTTTAACCGCACCAGCCCATTTAAAACGATGCATGGCATCTCACCCATGTTTACATGGCTGCAGGTGCCATACGTATGCCAGTGCAATGTCTTGGTAGCATTAGGTTGTAGGGTATTCTGCAGCTCAGAACCAGCCCCTGTTGAGACTCGGGCTGTATAGAGGCCATGCCGTGCTTTTTATACCTTGGCAAGCACCGCAGCGGATCTCCACTCTCCACCGCAGCCCGCCCGGGCGGACCACCGATTTGGCCTACCCAGTACCTACCTGCCCAGTACCTCTTTCTAAGCAACTCCCTTGTGTATTATTTGCTCCAAATTAAGCTTTGTCTGACTAGGCTTTTTCTTCCAAAAATAGGAATCTGAAGGCCCTTCTGGCCTACCTCTTGGCCCTCTGGCATACTACAAGGCCAGAGGGCCAGAGGGCTAGCAGGTAGGCCGGGGGGTAGGCCAGAAGACCAGACCTGAAACTGAACCACAATCCCTGGCCTGCAGTTCATGGCCCGCCAGCCCTGGAGCCCGGCCGCGTCGCTCCTTTAGGAAAAAGGTATATCTTATTACTCGCTACGGCCATGATCGACTCAACCTATGATCGGGGCTAGCTTTCAGCCCATGGAGCGGCCGTGACAGTCCTGGACGGTTCAAATGTTGGTTCCCAGGATGATACCAAGGCCGCCACCGCTGTCCAGACCACGTGCCCCCAATCCTACCTGCCTACATACTTAGTATAGAACCAAATGGGCGGGTGTGAGATATTGCACTCGACGCAAAAGATCGGCATTCCGGCCAGGTTGTCAGGCGGCCTGGGTCTGCTGAGGCTCGGCCGCGACATGGACTCTAGACATTCTTCACTCTGATACAGTCGAGTATTTCACGATGCAAAGACTTAAAGGCTCATGCGTCCTGCTTTAGAAATGTTTTGCTCGACCTCGATTTCCGTATACAAGTAACTGGTTTATTTCATTGCACCTCCTCTCACCGACATCGATACAATTCCCGTAAAGTTTTACAAAAGAAATCCTTGTCCACGTCCTCGGAATCATCAACAGGCCTAAACATGCCGAACCAAAACATGCCGAACCGAAACATGCCGAACCAAAACATGCCGAAGCAGAACATGACGAACCAAAAGCAGAGACTCGATCAACTGGAGGCGACTCTTGCAAAAAAGATCAAGCGGTGGAAGGAAGACGACAAGGAGAAGTATGCTGATAGAAAGAAGGCATATGGCGGCAGATTCCTAGAAAACAGAGACGTGAGCACTTTCACTGGGATGCATAAGAGCCAGACGAGGGCACCCTGGCTAACAGAATGGGTTGTAGATCATCCACTCGACCAGGCTGTACGAGCTTGCTAAGAAAGCTCCAAAGGGAGGACATCTGCATATCCACTTCAACTCTTGCTTAGGACCCGATGTCCTCCTCAATATAGCCACAGATCCGGAGGTGAACAAAAGGATGTACATCTCGACTGACCTCCAAGGACCCCTGACAGCGGACAAACTCGACCATGTCAAGATCAAGTTCCACTTTATGGCCTCTTGCAATTCCAAAAGCGTCTTTGAGACTGGCTACATCGGCCGGAAAAGGGAAAATGAGGATCCAAAACCAAACGGCACATTCGACAAGATGTTGTTTAGCAAGTTCCGCACAGACTTTGAATCGAAATTTAAGCCGCGCAACTTGAAAGTAATGGACTGGCTCAAGAAAAAGCTGATCTTCTCCTCCTCTGACGTTCAGTATGAGAAGGGGGACCGGAACAGTTGCAAGAAGTAAGTCTGGTGTTTTGAAAGAGTGTACCGCCTTTTCCAGCTAATGTATTATTACAGGCAATGGGATATGTTTGACGCCCGAACACAAATGATGGCCGGGTTGTTCAATTACGAACACGCTTATCGCAAATACACACGGCTGCTTCTCGATTCGTTCCACGACCAGAACATCCAGTATGCTGAGATTCGACCGAATTTTATGCCAAAGAACCAGGTACTTAATCACTGTGAAGCCCGTTAAGTCTTTTTCAGTCACACCAAGGTTTGCTAACTAGTCTGTCGTAGGTCTACACGGATGCGGATCCAAATGAGACATTGGACAACTATGGAGTCATGGATTTAATCATTGAAGAGTACGAAAAGTGGAAGGATAACAACCCCAAATCCAGTTTCAGGGGGTTGAAGGTGATCTACTGCACGCCTCGTTCCTTCCCCAAGGACCTTATGCAGCGCGGACTGGACCAATGTTTCGATATGAAGACCAACCCTAACTACAGCAGGTACATCGCTGGTATGTACATAAATAGGGGTCCAGAATTGATTGCACTGGCGCTGACCAAGGAAATGTGTCAGGCTTCGACATTATCGGCCGTGAGGACGCACCTGACGACCCCAACTCACACCCTTTGTCGTTCTTTAAGCCACAGCTCCTGAAATTCCAGGAAAAATGTAAGGCCGCGGAACCTGAGATCTATTGCCCCTTCCTCTTCCATGCAGGAGAAAGCCACGAAGACCCCTTGAAGAACCTTGACACGGCTCTGGATCTAGGGTCAAAACGTATTGCCCACGGCTACTCTATAACACAGAAGGGAAAAGAATCCGTGTTGCTAAGGTGTGAGGATCGTGTCAAGGCTGCAAATGCCGCCGAATTGGCACTGAAAGCCGCAAAGAATGCCACAGACGGAGAAAGTGCCAGGAAGGAGAAGAAAACCCAAGAGCTGTGCATTGAGTGTTGCCCAATCTCGAATGAGATCCTCGGCCTTCACCCTGACGCCAAAGGCGCGGTGGTGTACGATCTCATGAACAACAAAATCCCAATCCCTTGTGCTCTTGCCAGCGACAATCCCACGCTTTTCCAGTACGTTTAGAACTCCCTTACTCTACTTCTACTGTTGGACAGTTGCTCACATCAATCGCAGATCCACGCTAGCCGACGACCATTACCAGGCCCTGATCGGCAGAGACGACTTCGGACTGCCACAGTGGAAGCAGCTAATTAAGAATTCCATCAATCATGGCTCCTGGAATAATCCTGCGGAGCACAATTCAGTTATGGACGCCTGGGAAAGGGCGTGGTTCGAGTTTGTCAAAAGTGAAGCAGGGGATGGACCCTTCTTCGATGAGCCCAAGCCAAAGCCCAAGCCAAACCCACCGACGAGCGGCACTGCTGTACCTGACAGGCCAGCGGGAGGCCCAGGCCCCACGAGCACTACCACATTGCAAAAGCCCACCCATGGAGCTATACAGCCGCCGGCAAGAAGGTCTACACAAGATACCTCTAGGACAGCATCAGACGGGCCACGAGCCGCAGCTCCGAAAGAGGTCAACAGTACTGCTAGACCTCACGGGTCAGCGGGAGGCCCAGCCCCCACGAGCACTACTACATTACAAAGGCCTACCAATAGAGCTACCCTAATACAGCCACCAACAAGGAGGTCTACCCAAGATACCTCTAGGACAGTGTCAGACAGTTCACGAACCACAGCTCTAAAAAAGGATAACGATACTGCTGGACCTCACGGGTTAGCGGGAGGTCTAACCCCCACGAGCACTACCACATCAAAAAAGCCTACCAATGGAGCTATACAGCCGCCGACAAGGAGGTCTACCCAAGATACCTCTAGGGCAGTATCAGACAGTTCACAAACCACAGCTCTGAAAAAGGATAACGATACTCTAGCTGCTGCCCCCTCCGCGACGGGCAACGGGGCCGCCGCACGTACGGCGAGGCCCACTGGTAGCGCTCCCTCTACCAAGAGGACGGCGAGAGTTGCCGCAAGTAGCACCCACCCCTCTGCCGGCACGTCAACTCCACAGGCGAGTAAGGCTCCCGCATCGCAGACTCGGAGGGCGCAAGGGCCATGAGTGCATACTTGATGTATTGAAACCGAGCATGGGGCTGATACAGATATTTCTTGAGTGTGTGTGGCGGTACTTAGTAGCCAGCCATAGGACCAGATTCTCAGGTTGCAAGAGTGTTTGGTAAAGAAATCGGGACTTGATGTGTTGGCAATCCTCGAACTGAAGCTGGACAGGCGTTAAAGAGAGTGTCTTTTGGACATTGTATTGTATTCTTTGTCTTGAGTGCTTACCACCGTATGAATAGCTGGCAAATACCAAGAGCGCAGCAAAGAGGGGCCCACTGGGCAACACCACAAGGGCAACGCGGCGTCCTTCGAGATCAGAACTGATCACGGGTAGATCAGATACTACAGCGTCAATGCCATCGACCAAGAGCTTGTACCGATGACCATAAACCAGATCATTTACCTTTTCACGCACCTGCTCCAAGGGTACGCAATCTTCCGGGGTCACATAGGCAAAAATTTTCAGGACAGTCCTGTCCGGGTCACCAAACGCGAAACCGTCTTCAGAGCAGGCTATAAGACGTCGCATGTTTGATGTTGCTGAAGCGACTAACAGAACTGTGTTGAAGGTAATTACTTAAGTATGTAGTCTCACAATGCCTCCTCGGAAGTCAGCACGGAATAATAGACCACAGAGTTTCCACTGTGTCACCGGTGTGATTCTGGCTATCCTGGGTGCGTTGGTCACTGTTGGTTGTTGTGAACTGTTGGTTGCTTTGGTTGCATCACTTACCAAAAGCATAGCACTTGGGGACCGAGGTGCCTATCTCGACTGGGCCAAAGTGGATAGGTTCTTAGTGGGCAGTGATCAATTGATTATGGCATAATCATGATATCAATAGTCCGCTTGAATAAATAATTCAGTTTAATATTATACCGAGTTTAACAACCCTTCAAATCTAGTATAATATATTTATGTAGTCCTTTTGCAGTACCCAGGTAGTGTGTCACTTGCAGTATCTTGGTAAGCTTAAATGCGGTGGCCAACCAGAGTACTCCGTAACCGCTAGTAGTTGACGGCCCACCCCTGTAGCATCCAAGCTCGGCGACGTACTCTCAACGGCTCAAGGAAGAAGGAAGCTGGCCAACGAACCTGCATTACCAGAGATCTCCCTCTCGACGACTTTCCTGAACAAGACGCCCAACGGAGGCGCCCCCAAAACAGCCCAAGATGCGCAACGACCTATTCTCCCCTCTGGCCGTCTCCTTCCTGTCCGCCGTGGCAGCGGCCACGACGACAACCGTCAATCTCGTCATCCCCGCGACGCACACCCTCCCGAACCCGCGCTCCCTCCCGCCCCAGACCCACGCAACGCTCTCGTCCTTCCATTTCGACGCCTCGGCCTACCTGTCCCCGGCCAACACCTTCGCTTTCCACAACGTCTCCGAGGGCAGCTACCTGCTCGATGTGCACAGCCCCAGCCACGCCTTCGCCCCGCTGAGGGTCGACGTCCTCCCGGTGGTGTCGGGCGCCGGGCAGACTGAGAAGGACGAGAAGACGGCCAGGCTCAAGGTCGCCGCCTGGGAGACATACAGGGGTAATGACTGGAACAACAAGGGCGAGGCCGCCGTCGTCACCAACAGCGGCGCCCTCGAGGTCAAGGTGCTGGGGCCCAAGAACTTCTACATGGAGAGGAGCTCATGTGAGTTGTCCGAGGTTCCGGGGCTCACGGGCGCAGCTGCTAACGCTAAGTTCTACCAGTCAATGTCCTGAGCATCCTCAAGAACCCCATGATCCTACTGGGTCTCGTCAGCATGGGCATATTCTTCGGCATGCCATATCTGGTTGACAACAGTAAGTCTCCTTACCGGATCTTCTTGTCTGCAGCACTAACACAATAACCATCAGTGGACCCAGAGATGAAGAAGGAATGGGAGGAGAGTCAAAAGAGCAACCCAATGAACAGCCTCATGGGCGGCCAACAGGGGGCACAGAACCCCATGGGCAACTTTGACATGGCCGCCTTCCTTGCTGGCTCCTCGAAGAACGACAACGGCAACGGTGGTTCGAAGAACCAGAAGGGAGCCAAGAAGTGATGCTGTTCTTACACACAGGGCCGTCCATGTCGAGTGACGCGTGCTCGCGTGAATTATTAGCGAGATGGATATTGTGCTTAGACTGGGTTTTCTAGAATTGGGAGCACTGCGCATTGAGGGCCGGAGCCCGACGGAGCAAACCGTGTTGTGTATTTTTACGCAGGCCAGTGAAGTCAATGTGAAGCTATGAAAACTGCGTCGTTGCATGCTATAATTTCTCACTGGATTTCTGTCCGACTGTGTAAAGTCATGCTTGAAGCGTATGTCATGGACTCAGAGACGGTGCAAAGCTTGCAGCCCGTCCGCAACTCGGTCATTATCATGAAAAATGTGAGAAGCGGAAGTCGCAAATGTCCGTGAATTGAGCAATATCCCAAGTCTTGGTCATGAGGAAGCTCAAATGCCGGGGCTCGTCATTGCCACAATCCTATCTCTCGTCCCAGTCCCAGTTGCAGGTGCATATCCAGCCCAACTTGGCCAGTCACTCGTGCTGTCTTTTCCAACCACTAAGCATATGTAGCCAGTGGGACGAAGTGTGCTAGCCAAAAGAATCCCCCCTGGCCCCACGTTGAGCAAGCCTCCTGTTGCATCCTCGTGCCCGAGGGCAAGCGAGACCAACCTCATGGCAGTAAGCCGGCAACTGAAGGCTCACGGCTGCCAAGAGCCGTGATGTAGATTCAAATAGGTACGGATCACTTATCCCATGAGTGATACTTTTCGCCTCTCGAGAACCTCCTCCTCCTCCCTCTGCGGCCGATGCAGCAGTCGACCGACCACCAGACCACGCAAACCAGCATGGCGGCCGTGGCACCCCACGTCAGGCCCAGGAACCTCCTCCCCGGGTCCGCCGTAACGCCGACCTGCTCGGCATACTGGTCAACGGCGCGGGCGCCGATCACCGCGATCGCAGTCGCGAGAGCACTGGCGACGGCGACGACCAGGAATGCTAATAGCGCGAGGAAGATATTTGCGCAGGCGGACATTCGGCCCGAGAAGGCAAAGGAGATGATGGACCCAAGCGTCGCGAGGCCGATTACCCCGATCGAGACACAGTCTGCGGTGCGTTGTCAGTCAAAGAATGAGGCGGGACATGTCAAGACACGAGAGTGGTGTTGTTAAAGACGTACAGATGATGAAGGCCACGCGCTGCACGATGTGAATAGCGTCGATGCCACGGTCGATCTCATCCGGCCAGCTCAGGTCCGAGACGTTCAGCCAGCTATTGCCCGAGGCGTTCAGGTCGCGCTGCAGGGCGTCTCGGGGGTCGAATTGGAAGTTGGCGCTGCGGGGGCTGCAATATGTGAAGTTGCGCGAGATATCGCTGCGGGAGACGGTCTCGTTGGGGACCGCCTTTGGCTCGTAGTAGCCCTCACAATACTGTGACGGCTTAGTTTACTTGTCCGTACCTGAGGTGAAAGCCTTGTTGCTCTCAACTGGTAAATCTCGGGAATTCACTTACGGTCATGAGGTTGGCCGTATAGAAGTCATGGATGCCCAGCCGCTGGAGGGCCGCATTCAGTAAGTCCTCGGCATCATCTTGCAGGAATGGTGGGATTGAATCCAGAATTCCGGCCAGCTCGGGATGACTGTCGACATAGCTGCTGTTGAGGATGCCTTGGCCGATTTGCGAGGTGTTGACCTGGGAGTCTTGGTCAGATCACCGGAATAGTTATTTCAGGGGATAATGACATGATGCATCTTTCTTACTGTGATGAGTGAAAACTCGGGCAGGAACGACGTTGTGGAGCCAGCAAAAAGACACAGCAGTGTCAGTGCAAGGGCCCCAAGGCCGAGAAGAACAGGTCCGATGGCAGAGAACCTCATCGTGTCGTGGGCGCTGGTGGGATCAGGTGCTGGAAGCGATTCTCTCGGTACCTAGGTACCTAGGTACTTAATTCAAGCACCTTTGATAGATGGCTTTCTCGTCGGTCCGTAGAGCGTTTTCAGTCGGCAACACTGGACTGTGGTCCCATGGCGAGGTCATCAACCATTGGAAATCGTGCTGGTGGGCTTGTCATCCTTTTAGGAATGAACATTTGTTTATTGCCCAGTCTCAGGAGACAAAGCCCACATGGTACGACCAGAGTTTGGAGCACTGGGCATGTCGTCACAGCTGTGCCTGGCCGCCTTGGGCCACCGACTCAGCGTCACCCTGCAGCTCCAAATCCCTCCCAGGGCACACGTCATATTCTGGTCTACAGAGTTCCTAGAGCCCAGCACGAACATAGCCTTGTGGCTTTTGGTGCGTCAAAGCGGCAACCTAGCGGAGCTTATTAGCACTGTCCAACGCCAGATCCCAGGTCGTGCCCGGGAATCGTCAACACCAGTTAACATTTTTCTCTTGCGAGTACCAGGCTCAAGGACAGCAGCATACGCTGACTTGAACAAGACTTGCATGCTTCCTTTCGGAAGTCCATTCACTCATGGCAAATTTCCACCATCTGATTTCATACTTTTCAGTGGCTGTTTGCACATTCTCCGTTGATTTCAGTACCAAGGTACACAAACACTCCAGTACCTGGGAAGTAGTCTCTTGTTCCCGCCCGTTCGAGCTATTAATGCCGGCATCAAAGTGTTTAGACTATTGCAAGGTATTCTCATAACCACTTGCTATGCTCTAGAGCGGACGGACGCTCGTCCTTAGCCGCCGTCGACTTGGCATACTGATCGTACGAGACTGGACAACGTCAGAAGCTCGGGGTATGCCATACCAGTGATAGTTTCGGACGTATAATTACCAGTTAACGAAGTAAGAACGAACCCAGGTATACCTTGCTGATTCTAGTCCTGCATTTGCTTAAATGTGTCACAGCTATCAATGGCAGTTCTTGAGATTCACAGTGCATAGCACCTTCTTTCATCTTATTGAAGTCATAAGTATCTAGGTGGGCAACATTGTCCCAGGTTGAGCCCGGCCGTTAAGCAGCATTTTCTTGATTGACAGTTTGCCCGGGAACAAGTAAGGGCAGAGTTGAGGTGTAGTTTATCTAGATTCTCATGATAATCTGACTTCTACAATACACGGTTTCATGTGAAGAGACTGCTGGACAGTAGTATGCTGGCTGGCAGATTTCAGACCTCAGCATCCACGTAGAACCCGAAAACTTGACAAACTCACAGGTTGGCCTCCAGGGCTCTAGCTCACAGACGGGACTATCTTGTGTGAATAAATCCAAAGTACTTACAATTCGAAGCCAGCGTCACGTCCATGTTTGGTATAATTCGTGTTGCGGTTATTCACCTCATCAGCTTCAACTCATATTCTGTGTGCTTGCTGGCAACAGTAGAAATCGGCCTCATGTCCCAGTGAAATCCTAACTAGTTACCTACCTAGGTAGGTAGTTATCAGTGTTATGTGAAGACCTGTTCAGGACAGCTGGGGTCTGAACCTGGCTGCAACTCCGAGATCAGCTTCTCTAGTCTGGTGAGCCTCGGAAGGATAATCTACCTAGGTATGGATGATAAACATGATTTGGAACACGAGTTGCTCTTCAGAGCTGAGGAGGGCGAACCAAATCGTCTGAGCAGACGTGTGGGGGATGATGGGTAGCACCTTGGAAGCTAAAGTGCAACCACGATAACTGACCAGACCACAAATAGCGCCTTAAATGATCAACCAACAAATAAAATACATTATATAGAGATAGGTGCATACTGGCGCTAAATAGGTGAGCATAGTGATAGGTTGGCTCGACACCTGTGGCTTCTGTAGCAGTTTCTGTAACACGAAGCACGCCCGGTCTTCTTAATCTCGGGCGAGAACAAGATCGCAACGGATGTGCTATGTGAGAAATCTTCTTCAGCATGTAGCGAAAGTTCCAAAATTCTGAGGCTGTCGAATCAGGAGAATAACAAGAACTAAAAACTATAAGAAGGGCCATCTCCTCCCACTTGAGCTAGCTACCTAGGTATCTACACCTCTCAACTAAGCCTTTTGCCTCTTACCTTCATCCCACCACTTTATACTCACATTCGTACCAAGTATCAGTAAGAACTTTGGGATCTTCAATATGCACTTCTCCGCACTCGCCGTCGTTTTCGCCTCCCTAACCGCCGTCCAGGCCACCGCATTGATCCGCGCGTGCCTGCCCGATTGATGATGTGCTCAACTGCGCAGGCATTGGCGAGACGACGAACGACATAGGTGAGGATAAATATTGTATCACAATTTAATACAAAAAAAAGTCTCTAGGCCAATAGTTTGCTGATCGCGTCATCTTTCATTACAGTGGACATAATTATAAACCTATCCACCCTCGACATCTGCTCATTTGCCACTCCCATTTCCGCCCTAATCAGTGATATTGTGTCTCTTGGTAGTCAGTGACGGCAGCTGCGGTGAGGATTAACGGAGACGAGTGGAATTATTGGACCGTTCCTTCCAAGTCTCCGACAAACTCGGCTGCGTGAGGCGACTGCGTGAAGAGGCTTTTCGGTGGCATGATACTCCAGTACCGGTGCGAAGGCAGATTTGTGACATTCTTTGAAATCTACCCTAGGGTAAGTTCAGGGAATGGAGGAATTCTTTTCGTCTGCCTTCTTCCGTAGCTACTCAGCTAAAGCTTTACAAACCTTGGAACATATAAGATTCACCGCCAGGCCTTCGATGGCTCAACTAGCTCAATCCATTCTTTGAAACTATCGTCTTACCAATGGAATTATCCGCAACCATCTTTTTTGCGCCTTTATAAGACGTTTGTCTATATTGGATGGATGAGAGCCCTTGAGTCAATCATGAGCACGGAGTGTAGTTATTCTGCGCAGTTGGCACGGGCTTCTCAATGTCAACATCGTCTGTACATGTATTCAGTGCATTACTGAGTACATAATTCAGAGAACAAGCAACACTGTGCTACAATATATCATGCCTAACCACACTGGTAGACAGGCGTTTCAGTGTGCCAATATGCGTACAAGTTCTTGTTCCCCTTCCGATCGACATTGCCCTGCCTCCGCCTTTCCTCCTTCTGCACTTTCACCGTGTGCCTGAACTGTGCCGCCATGATCGCGCGCTGTTGGGACGGTGGCAGGTGCACAAGGCTGGCCCGGTCGTTGGCGCTCATGCTTGCCATCTGGTACGTGATTGTCCCCTTCTCGCGCCTCTCCCTCTTGGACAGCAACCGCGTATCGGACGCCCCCGGCTCGGGTTCCTCTTGGCCAGACGCCCCCTTCCTCTTGTCTTTCTCGTCCTCCGCCTCTTCGATCATGGTTCGCTCTAGTCGTGAGGCATGTTTTCGAGCTCGTCGGTGCAGCTGGGTAGTTTTCGGCCCCGCCGGTGTTGATGACTGTTTCGATATTATCTTGCCTGATGGCAGTCGAACTGAGTCCTGCCCGATTGGTTGTGGTGTTCGACTCGAACTTGTTGCTGTCTCCTCCTGATTTATCTCTTCCTCATCCTCCTCTGTGTCGCTCTTCACATCGTCTTCTGGTTCAGAGAAGTCGTAGAACTCGGCAAATTCTGAGTTTTCTTGCGATGTGTCAAAACTGCAGTGGCCTTTGCCAGTCATGTGTTGCTGTACACCTTGTACCGTGGCCCTCTCTGTTCCGCATCTAATACATTCTCGGTAGCCAAAAATTATTAGATGCAGATATCTGAAGAGGGATTCGAGGTCGACTGCTAAATGTTCTTGGTGAGGGATGAAGAGGCCGTGTGATTTTCGCATGTGTACCATGCTCTCGGTGAAGTTTTGTGAGAGTTTTGGACAGAAGAGGCATTGCTCAGGGAGATATTGTGCCATAGTGGAGCCAGGAGGGTCGGTTGACTCCTGTGGTGATGTGGTCTTAGAGTGGTTCTGCGGACTCTGTGAGTCTTGCATTGGTAGGAGCGGTAGTTGTGCAGTTGTGGTAGTGGTAGTGGCTGTAGTTGTCTCTAGCATTCCAATGAGGTTGTAATGGAAGTGGTTGTAACTTTGGAAACTTGGATACAATCAAGTCTGTAAAGTGTTTGGTGTTGAATAGTGTATATAGATGATTGCTGATAAGCTTGAACTGAACTGACAAGTCGCAACCCATATTATATACAGAGGTAGGTCCTATTTCTACCATCTTGGAGATTGTAAGTGAAATCGTTCGTGGGCCTGCGACTGGGGTCTGTAAGTTGAGTCAAGTCCACTGAAAGGGGCGGGACACCAGGCGCTACTACACCGGAGCCCCACTATAATGCGCAACCTGACGAATCAGACGCTCGGTGGCTTACTGACAGGATATGATTCATAGTGAACAATGAAACTATCGCAACCCAGCCATCTTCAGTAATATCGAATGGGCTGTCTAGATCGTGCAGCCCGGATCGACAGGCACGCTTACCCAACGGGTGATGCTGGCTTTCTACATGTCAGGCCAGCCCGCTGTGGACTTACAATTACGTGCCTTCCGGAATGCCTTATTAGGAAGCTTCCTCTATGCTGTAAGGTCCCTCGGTTTCCAGATTGGGTTACATTGTCACAGATCAGGGCAGGTCCCTCATAGTCTAAGTAATTTCCGCACAAAAATCATGGAAGCTCGAATTGTAGGACAAGAAAAGTGGTATTTGTGATTTAGCTGTCTGCTTAAAAAAATATGGTTACTGCCGTTGTCTTCTTACTACCACACATCCCTGTCTTCTCATATTCTCGACAAGTTCAACAGGGGAGATTGGACACAGACGAGGAAAGTAGGGGACATACACAACGAGAGGCTGGCCAACCGCGCAGCATGGCTTCATATTCCTAGGATGCCTACCCTACTCAGCATAATACAGAAGGCAAGACAAAACAGACCCGATCCGAAACGCCGACATCCAGACCTCATGAGCTCGTGACCAGGCAGAGCGATCAGAAGTCGCCGCCTCCATCGTCACCGCCGAAATCATTTCCGTCTTGGAAGCCCTCCTGGTATGCCTCTTGTTCCTGATGGTCGTCGAATGCCTCATTGATCAAGGCACCGCCGACCAAGCCGGCTCCTAGACCCAGTGCCGCTCCACCGGCCATGCCCATTCCTCCGCCGCCGCTCTTCTGGGGCCTTCCTCCATAGCCTCCGTAGCCGCCCCCATAGCCGCCGCCGTAGCCTCCCTGCGGAGGATAACCACCATACCCGCCCTGTTGGGGGTAGCCACCATAGCCCTGCTGGGGGTACCCGTACTGCTGCTGCTGCGGTGGGTAGTAACCGCCCTGCTGGGGATAGTGGCCGCCGCCGCCACCACCAAAGCCGCCGAAGCCCCCGTGGCTACCGCCGCCGCCGCTCATCTTGCTCTTGCCGGCGCCAAAGATCTTACCCAGAAGGCCCTTGCTCTTGGTCTCGTCGCGAGGCGGCAGCTGGCTCGGGTACGGACTTGAGCTCTGGCCGGGCCCAGGGCTGGAGTTCATGTAGCTCGCGGCGGACCCGCCGCCGCCGCCGCCGCCGAAGTTGCCGCGGGCGCGGGCGTCCTCCTCCTCCTGCAGCTTGCGCGCAAACTCGGCATCGGAGTCGACGGAGCCGGAGGGGCCGCCGGGGCCACCGGTGGACTGCGGGGTGAAGGGGTTCGTCTTGGAGTCGGTCGGGGCAGGCCCGCTGCCGCCGGTGTAGGCGGGCGGGGGCGGAGGACCCGGAGGGGCTTCATCCATGGGAGGCCTGGCTGGCTCGGTGGGTTTCTCCCATTGGGATTTCTTAGTGTAGGTGTTTACGTAGAACCTTGGGAAGGATCAGTATTCTGTTTGGGGATGCGCGCGAGGACGATGTTGGGACAATGCTCACCATTCTGAATACTGCGCATTCCACCGGGCGACCCACCCCTCGGGAACCTTGGGAGGTGGGGGCCCTGAAGGAGCCTCGAAGTCTGCCATAGTCGTTGGACCAGCTGTGTTGAGGTTCAGGAAACCTGTGTGTAAAGTCTTTTAGAATCGAGGATCCAGGAGATAGATCAAGTCGAGGTGATGATGCTGTTTTCGCTAGGAAATTGTCGATGGTGCTAGTGTAAAAGGTGGTGGCGTTGATGATGATGTGGGTGACGACGATCAATTGGTGAGATGGTGTGGTGTACTGTGTGTAAGTACTAGACTGTGGTGGGGCACAGGTCTGGGATGCGACAGCAGGTGTTCGAGAAGTCGATGCAGCTCGACGATGGCAAAACTACCAGCTGACTGACGTTGGATGCGGCGTGCGTGTGAGGACAGACTTACTTGGGCTTTATACCTCTCCTCAAGACGGCGTGACTGGGTCGATGATCTAGTGGGACCTAGAAGCAAACAGTCGCCTCCAGACAAGCCGGGTGGGCAGGTGGGCAGGCATACGACGATGGTGGCAGTCCCGGCTGTAGAGTCTGGGTGCTGGGTGATGCGAAACAGTCCCCAGCACAGCCCCAAGCTTACTGCTGCAAACCGCAGTGGCACGGGACGGGGCCTTCTGGTCCCTCAGACCGAGATCCCGGTAGGCCTCCCTCCCGAGGGCGAGCTCCTTGTCTGGCTTGTTCAGTCGGGGCCCGACTAGTCGCCCGCCCGCTTGCCACCTTCTGTTTCCCAATCAAGCCAATCTAGTCGTTTCTCCTCTTACGAAGCCACCCTCAGCACGTGGCCCGTATGCAGCACTTGCACAGTGTTCTTTTGGCATTGGTAATGACGTTCCCCGAGGGCTTCGCGGCCCTCCTCAGCTTGGCGTTGGACCTTGGCAGCCTTCTTGCGTCTGCCAAATTGCTACGAATCCGGAGACTGATTGATCCTTGGACGAAGCGACACGAGGAAGTGAGCGCAATCAAATACCAAAGACCTGCTGCAGCTCTATACAGCTGGGAATACTGCAAGTTCTGAGCAGTTCAGATGCCTCCCAGATGCCCCCAGATTTGGATGTTTCAGTGATGTGATGCAAATGTCATATGGCAGACCTTCGTTTCTCATTGTTCTCAACAATGCACCCTCAAGGCAGCCAACAGCTTGTCATCCACCAGGCTGCAGCCTAGGGGTTGCCATTGAGTAGGAAGGGCTCACCCAATACTCTCAACCAGTGTGCACGAGCTGGCTTTCGATGAAGAGTAACCATCTGCCAGTGGCATTTTGGAAATGGAGTCGATTCTCACACGACCACGGCCCAGCGCCTGGGAGTCCTTCCGCCACTCTCCGCTGCTGTACCTCGCCCGAAAGCTCTATGACACTCGTGAAATAGCGCCCCGTCGCCCCATATCGGACCCAGTCACCGTCATCTGCATCTCGGACACCCATAACACCCAGCCCGCTCTTCCCGACGGCGACGTCCTCATCCACGCCGGCGACCTGACGCAGAGCGGGACCTTGTCCGAGCTCCAGGACGCGCTGGACTGGCTCAAGGCGCAGCCACATGCGCACAAGATCGTCATCGCCGGCAACCACGACATTATCCTCGACCCGTCCCGGGACCCGGCGCACGAGAGGGCTCGGCTCGACTGGGGGGACATCACCTACTTGTGCCACCAGTCCGTGACGGTCTGCTGCTCAAACGGGCGCAGGCTGCACGTATATGGCAGCCCATTCTCGCCGCGTCACGGAAACTGGGCGTTCCAGTACCCCAGGTCGGAGGATGTGTGGGCGGGTAAGGTGCCGGACCGCGTGGACATTCTCATCACCCACGGCCCACCGTTCGGGCACCTTGACCTCATGAGACTGGGGTGTCGGCACCTGCTCCGGGAGCTTTGGCGGGCGCGGCCGCTGTTGCATGTCTTCGGACATGTGCACGAGGGCCATGGGCAGGAGTGGCTTGGGTTTGACAGTTTGCAGGAAGCCTTTGAGCAAGTGGTCGTGAGCACGGGTTTGAGGAGGATCCTGAGTCTAGGAAGGCTGGTTTTTGACGTCCTCTGGACCAGTTTCCGTCAGGTAAAGGAGGCACCATGCCTGCTGGTCAACGCTGCCATGGTAGGTGGGCTTTGGGATAAGGAAAGGAGGGAGCCAGTCATGGTTGTGATATGATGGGATAGCCGCACTGAGTGGTACTCCGGACAAGATGTTACCTTGACTGTGGGTGGATATCCAGCGGAGTCTGGTGGGACAAAAGTCCAGAATTGGACTGTTTACTTGAGACTGAGCTCCATGTGTGATGAGATAATGAGCCTCTGCAATACATTTGCCTCTTTCCAAGCTTGGTCTGAGCTGGAGGAGTCACATCCTTTGATAGCAGTAAAATCAGAGCATCAAGTAAGACTTCTTTCTGTACTGGGAGATATCCATTTGCAATAATGTTTTTAATTATTTATGTTTCGCTGTGATGTGTTACTGGGACATCGGACTCCTCTGACCGAGGCTTGAGAATAGCAGATGGCAGGGGATGATGAAACGGTAGCCGGCTGTGACGTAGTGATATGCAAGATGTTGTGTGAGCCACATTAATCTGTCCCTTGTCCATTGAATAACCGACATGGCTTGCTGAGCATATGTCTGTCTGTGTGTATTCCAGCCACTTCAAATTGGCGAGTTATGTCCGGAAGCTGGCCAAGGCCAACACTACACGTGTCCCGGGAAGTCCTACTGTCCGGGTGACAACATGTGCCTGTGTAGGACTTAGTGGCAGAGTGGTTGCCAGAAGCAACAAAGGGAAACCAGACCCTTGCAAACCACCCAATTCACTTTCTTAGCTGGAGCAGTGAGGCTCGGCAGCGGGCCAACACAAAACCATCCCCGGGGTGAAGACCCACTGTTCTAAGCAGCAGCGGCAGAGAACGGGTTCATGTGTATTGCCTGTTCCCAAGGCTCGCCACTGGACACCACACACATACACATCTACCCAAGACGCATGTGAAGGTGCAGCAGACCTGTATGCAGCCCGTGCTTATTACCATCTTCAACGTTGCGCTGGGCAATACCCATTCGGACACTAGGGAACCAAGGGGGCCCATAGTTGGATGTGAGATTAACAGGGCAGACCTTGGAGGTCAAGAGTGTCAGTAGGACAGGCGGGCTGTTATCTCCTATCAGCACTGGACCCCATTGCTGATTATACGACTTTGATACGATTTTCCGGACCCCCCTCACAACAACACCGAATCCGGCATTAGACTTGAATTACTGCAGGACACTCGTGGCCAGCATCTATAGGGGGGACCGCTGTTAGACCATCACCAGTACTATTGAGCAACTAGCCAAAAGACCAGACTAATCTCATTCAACTTATGTACAGGTCATGAATTAGATGCCAATCCAGGAGGCTAGGTAGGGCTGACATGATTTTGGGTACAGGGTATGAGCCACGGGACATTGCCTGTAAACCTTCTAGCACAACTTGTACACCGTGGTAGACTACCACCGTTTCATTTGTGCTCTGTTGTCTGGCGGCCTCCCCATATAGCCTACCAACCTTACTTTCAAGTACCTAACCTACCTTACCTACCAGCCCTCAACCCAGCTTACCTAGGTACCTAGGTATCCTGCACATACTCTACTGCATGCACCACAAGGATCAGCAAGCATGTGCCTGTTGGCTGTGACGAGGGTATTGATGAAAGAAGCAAGATAATGAGGGAGATTGGGGGGTTATGTGTGGTGCTTGGTACTCTCTGGGGGTGGGGGGTGTGGGAAAGAAGAGCCTGGAAGACCCGGGAATGGATCGTGCAAATGTGAGTCTGCGTGTTGTGAATCAGGGTCAGATTGAGAGCGTGTCGATACCAGCTGAAACCAAGTCAGCCCAGAGCTTAAGTTGATTGTGTCTTGTGTGATTGCCCAGGCTTTGTCGTTTGGGTCATTTGGGTCATTTGGGGCCAGTAACCGGGCTGCCTCGAGCAATAAACTCAAGGCATGGCACAACCTGCCCAGGTGGTGTCCAGATAGCACGACAGACCAAGGCAGAAGGCAGAGGCGGCACACACCAGGGGCGTAGGTAGGGGTGGGAGGAGCGGACCAGGCAGAGAGAGGCGGGTTGGGTAGGGCAGGCCAGGCCAGGCAAAGCAGAGGCCAAATGGGCAAACAGGCAATGGGCAGGCATGGGGTAGGGCAGTGCAGGCGGCGCAGGCGGTGCAGGCAGTGCAGGCCCTAGGTAGGCGTCTATCCCCTCGCCTCGCCTCGCCTCCCCAGGCGGCTGGCGGGCTGGCCAGTCCAGTCCAGGCCCAGTCAGGTCAGGTCAGGTCAGGTTAGAAGGTAGGCAATGTACGGAGGTAATCTCTTACTGCCAAAACCCCTTTATTCACAGCCTGTGAGAGCCCCACTCCGTCGCTGTCGCTTGGCCCCTGCCACCCCAACCCAAACCTTGGAACCTCCGACCTCTACTTCCACTGCCTCTTTCCTCCATCCATTGGGAAACAACCGTCACGCCCGTTCTTCCTCCTCCCGTCCATCCTTGACTTCACATCATCGCCTTTCTCGCCTGCTTCTCACCAGCCTGCACTCCTCCACCACAACTGCCAGCCCTCCATCTCACAACCCACATCCTCCAAAATGGCAGAACTCCGCCGAAAGCTCGTCATTGTCGGCGATGGTGCTTGTGGAAAAACGTGTCTGTTGATGTGAGTAGCCTAGCCACTCCTCCTCCAGCTGCCTCTGCTGCCTTCTCTCCTCTGCCGCCGCCGCGCACCTCCTGCTGCTATCTGCCTATCTGTCGCCTGCTTCATCGGCCACCGCCCATCCACCCATCTGCCCATCTGCCCATCAACAGCCTTCAATACCCTCGCCTTCTGTATTGTCCTCGCCGTGCTGACCTCAATCCCAGTGTTTTCTCCAAGGGTACCTTCCCAGAGGTAAGAGAGACACCACCCGTTTTGCCGCGTCGATCCCGAATTCGTCATCTCCCCATTTGATCATGCCCCCTGTCACGAGGCCGCCCACCTGGCAAAAGTCAACAACAACAACAACAACAACACCAACACCACCACCAGCCCAGTCCTACTGCTTCCCACGGCTGCTTGCCCAAAACAACCACCGCCCTACAGCCCACTGTCCACAATACGGTACACCACCTCGTATCCAGAGCCCATGTCTAATTTTAAATAGGTCTACGTCCCCACCGTTTTCGAGAACTACGTTGCCGATGTCGAGGTTGATGGCAAGCACGTCGAGTTGGCACTATGGGATACTGCTGGCCAGGAAGATTACGACCGTCTCCGACCGCTGTCATACCCCGACTCTCATGTTATCCTGATCTGCTTTGCTGTCGACTCGCCCGACTCCTTGGACAACGTTCAGGAGAAGGTAAGAACTATCCGCCCCCCCTGCCCCAACCAAATGCATCTCGCGCCCGACCGACGGCGGCCTGTGACTCACCCACTGACGCCGATACCTTGTGTAGTGGATTTCTGAGGTCCTCCATTTCTGTCAAGGACTCCCCATCATCCTGGTCGGCTGCAAGAAGGATCTGCGTTACGACAACAAGACCATTGAGGAGCTCCGCAAGACAAGCCAGAAGCCCGTCAGCCCCGAGGAGGTAAGTCTGCTGCCACCTTGCCTACCCTACCTAACACAGCGCTCCCGAGGCGGCACATCAGGCCCGGGATCCCGCAGATGGGTTTTATGATGAAATCAGCACGGATCGCTGACTGGTGTACGTTACGCAGGGTGAGGAGGTCCGCAAGAAGATTGGTGCCTACAAGTACCTCGAGTGCTCAGCCAAGACCAACGAGGGCGTCAGAGAGGTTTTCGAGCATGCCACACGTGCTGCTCTTCTGCAGCGGAAAGGCGGCAGCAAGAAGCACAAGTGTCTCGTCCTGTAAGGGGCCGAACACTCATGTGCCTTCCAAGGCTCCCTTTCGACCAGGCTACTCCGGTGATGTAATCCATCATTGGCATTCTCACGACTAGCCTACAGTCCCTCAAATCTTGTCGTTGACTTGATTCGTGAGCCACCAAGGCATGATCTAGAGACGGTGATCAGGAACATGTCAAGACGGCAGAAGAGTCTCTGGAGGTGACGTCTCTCTTTTATTTTTCGGCGGGCGTTAATACCAATCGGCCGTGGTCGTCGTGCACGCCGCATATCACCGCATACCTATCTTCATCGGACCGGCGTGTCCTCTCTGGTCGGGGCAAATACACACGGCGGGGGTTTAATCGCTCGTATACTTCGGAACAGGAAACAGCGGTGTCTTTTTGGCCCGCATCTGACAACGGCGTGGTCTGGAAGGGGCAACGGGGATTTGCGAGTGGTGTCTTGCGCGTGCGAATGGATCACAGAAATCAGAGACAAGGACAACTGCGTGTTGTGTGTAAGGTGGGCACGAACTGACGTACCGGGGGATCCGCCACGGCCGAGTTTCTCGTAAATATCTCTCCATCCGCTATTTCACTCTCTTTTTTCTCCCCAACCAAACACTTCGCCGTCTCTTCGGACTGGGAGTTATGCGTGGGCCGGAAGGGCAGGGAAGGGATGGGATGGGGGAAGACGAGCCTGCTTGCGTACAGTCTTCTCGGGTCACCGCAACCCCCCGGGATGTGCGGTCGTTTCCTTATATCTCTTTTCGACTCTTTTTTTCCTTTTTGATAATTTAACGGGCTGCCTGCGTTGTCGTGTCGCCTCATTATTTCCGATTTCTGGGGAGACGGTTGCCCCGGGGGTCTTTTAGGTAGCCTGCTTTTCGCGATACAGATCCTCATTGCGATTAGTGGATCCATCTTGTGTACAATACAAGTTAACTTGTCTCCAACCGCCCGCGAGCATACTCGAGTTGTATCGTGGGCATACATTGGGCCCACACGGCTTGGCTTGGCCTGTGTTGATCTTTGACGGCGAACTAACCCCCAGGTTCCCGGCTCGATGCTGATGGCTACGTATCTGCGAACATCATGGACGTATCGGCGTTCGATAAGATGCTACGAGATTGGCCTTCGCCAACGCGTTGTTGACCTCAGAGCAGTTGATATGCCTCGACACGGGAGTACCTGGCACACATCAAGGGAGACTCGCCCCCAAGTCCGGAACGTGATTATGTCACGAGTACAGGACCCTGAAACTATTTGAGACATGGCGCAGACGTTGGTCAGGGTAGCTGAATTGTCTTGAGAGCTCCGTAGTTACGTAGGTACTCAAAATCTGCCGACAACTCAGCTGCTACTCCCCTCCTATTCCTCATGACAATGGACAACATGCTAGCAGCAAGGACTCTCAAGTGTAACATTACACTACACCACTGGGGCCCGTTCACTAGAGACAATCTCGGCCGGCCTAGACACCATTGTTACCCCATAACACACGCGGAGGTCTATTTACTGAGGGCAGGTCTGTGAGGTGGGGGCTCGCCCGGTCAGCACGTCACGAACCAATCTGGGCCGGAGAGAGGACGGGGGGGGGGGGGGCAGAGGGAGGTGGGGAGAGAGCGTAGCAAAAGCGTTTTGAAGGGGAGGGGGGAGAGGGGGTAACAGACAGCGCCACAGCTACCGCAGGTCTTGGAAGAACCGTCGGACGACGCTCCGCACTTGGGACAGGCAGTTCCGTGCATGTTGGGCAGGTTTGCTGTTTCCAGGCTGGTGGTATCAGGACGGGCGTGGTTGGGAAATCTTGGATATTATAATATGAATGGTGCTAACGATAACGAGGTGAGAGGTGCTAACAAGCTGACAAGTTAAAAGCCCCCGAACCCAGATGTTGCAAACAGGGCGGCGGCAAAAGGCGGGGTTTATATATAAAGACCTGGCAACTAAGAGAATGGGGCCAGCAGGTGCACTCACTGTACGGAGTAGTAATAAGGCGAGAGAGGTTGGATGGACTGATCTGATCTGATCTGGTCTTGGGATCCGCTATCTCTGATTCAAGGCGAGAACCCGTGATCCCCTGACAGCCAACCTGCCCACCCTCCCCCCCCCCCCGCCCCGTCACCCTAGAGGGCTCATGCAGGCTTGGTTAGGTGGGTGCGTAGGGTGGGAAATGGCAACGCCCGGCCTGCCTCACGAGATGGGGGGGTTGCGTACATGGTCTAACATACCCGCCGCACCCGTGGAGGAGTTCGAGGATCCCCCATCTTCGCTAGTGGTGACACTTTTCATGCATGCTTCGGGGTTCACTTTCCAATGGGCCATCCTTGCTTACTAGACTAGACTGCACATGTGTTATTACCCAGTAAGCACCTTGCGCGCGTTCGGTCTCGCGCCGAGGGTGCAGGGTACACATGCCTTTTCGCGGGAGGAGATAGACAGACTACAACGTTATCTGTCAAGGCAACGAGAGTGGTGTAAGGCGGACGAGGTCACACCCGTGAGCACAGAGGCCACACTTCGTGCCCAGCTGACCCGTCAGGCGGGCGGGCAGGCAGGCAGGCAGGCAGGCAGGCTCTCCGAACGGGTGTGTGAGAGCGGCATGCGATAAGCCCACACACTCTTTACGTTGTTGTATCCCGCGCCTCGCGGTCACTCTCGGGTAGCCTATCCATCCCCATGGGAACTCGTCGACCGCTCGGTCCAGACCACCCCACGGCACGCAACCCCCACCGTGTAACCTGTTGGTATGTCGTCAGGTGCCAGGCTGCAGCGGTTGTTTGTCACGGCTCGGCACTCATAAGGCTGAGAACATAGTCACGCGGCCCTCCTGGGAGGCTGGCGTCGTACCGGTGCAAATTCCACGTTTTATTGGGAAGCAACGTGTTTCCGCTGCCTGGCCCGGCCTGGATCCTGTGGCCTGTTGTGACCTGCCTGTAGTTACCCAGCCTCGTCTATATTTCTATATGTCCAGTTCCGCGGCGAGCGGTCTTGTGAGTTTTCTCTGGCCCCCTCCCCGGGCATCACTTTCATCTACATACATTGGGCCACGCCTCCTTCGCCTAGTAGTTTTGAGAGCAATGTTAGTTCATTGAGACGGTAGCGATGCATAAATGAGTGGTGGACGAACCTCTGATTATTTTGCTCACGGCTTGGAGGGTACTTATGACCATCACACAGCAACCGAACACGACAACAGCACCGGCGACGTATGTCTTCCATGACCTCGAGGACAATTTTATATAACACAGTGGGGGGAGTATGTACGCCATGGCGGATGCGCTCGTAGCGCCGACGAGCTCGAAAACGGAGCCCAGGTCGCAGGTCAGGACGCTCAGCACGGTTGCGCTGATGACGAGACTCGTGCTGAAAATGAGGTGGAGGTGCATGTTGAAGGGCTCGCCCGGGAAGTAGTAGTTGAGCATGACCTCGCGGCACACAAAGGCCTCGAGGGGCAGCGTGGTTAGCATGTTGAGGCCGAGGCACAGACGTGCGACGTTGACCATGGTGTTGTCGGCGGGGAAGTTGTTGAGGATGTTGCCCTCTGTCTTGTCGCCAAAGGTGACGAACCCGGCGAGCGCCATCAGCAGGCACGCCAGCATTGACACGCCCGTGGAGAAGTGCGTGACGCGGCTGAAGCGGTCGATGGTCGGCGTTTTGAGGGAGCCGTAGATGAGTAGCGAGTTATGATGGCAGACAAAGGCTTATTAGTGGCAAGTCAGTATCATGAGCAACCTCAGGCGAATCATTCGACAGAGAGGCCATTTACTTACCAAACGAGATGACCCCTATTGCTTGGAGTATGCCTGAGTTTACCGTGAGAAGCGGCGTGCTAAAGGATCCCCGATCTTCTGCGGGCGCCAGGACGCCCTGAATTACTACAGTAACTAGAATGACCATCATGCTAATCAATGCAAGGGTGCTAGCTTTGGCAAGCTTCTCACAGTTAGCATGTCTCTGACAAACGGAGCCATAACAACCACGGCGGCTCGCTCACCTTCGCGATGTCTCTATATAATGTTAATGGATAGCTGACCCCAAGGATGAATATCACAATCACAGCCCTCCGATCCGCCAGCATCCCAAGCACGGGCGTGTCCCTGAGGCCGGGCCAGACGGCCTGCAGAACGTGCGGTATGGTGTCCCCGACAATGACACCGAAGGCGACCATGCCGCCGAAGGCAAACAGCCACTGGGCGAGGCTGATGGCGATCAGGCCGCTCCTCCCGAAGCAGTGCTCGACGGTGCCCTGGAAGCTGTTGGCGCCGCTGAGCTTGCTGTTGACGACGATGAGGCAGATGGTCCAGTCGACGACAAAGGTGAGCCCGACCAGCAGGATGATGCCCGACAGCAGGCCGGCCTGCTTGAAGGCGTAGGGCTGGCCGATGATGCCGGCGCCGATGATGCTGTTGGCCATGTTCATAAAGGCGGAGCGGAGGCCCGACTTTGGGCGCTGGCGCTCGCTCTCGGCCCAGCCCTCGGCGTCGTCGTGCTCGCCGCCCCAGGGCCCGTTGGCCAGGGCGACGCTGGGGGCCTCGATGCCGGTCAGCAGGGGCCGGCGGTGCTCCCCGTCCGCGCCGGCGCCGCCCCTGCCCCTGCCGCCGGCCCCGGCGCTTATGTCGAAGTCGAGGTCGTCGAAGCTGTCGCGCTGGGAGGAGGAGGACGAGAAGGACCCGCGGCGCTGGCTGTCGAAGCTGTCGGCGGTGCCATTGGGGGTGCGGCCGTGCAGGATGGTGGGGTTGGGGTCGAAGCGGACGCGCTGGGGCGTGCGTGGTGTTCTCTGGCCGGACGGGGGCGTCGGCGTCGGCGTCGACGTGCCTGGGGACTGGGGCGGCGGCCTCATGGCGCCGCTCAGGGCCAGGGCGCCGGGCGGCCGGGCTGCCCCAGTGGGGACCTGCCGGAGTGGTTCTTGCTTGGCGATGTCATCATCGCCGTCTGAGGACCCTGGGTCGTCGTCGAACAGCAGGGCCTCGGCCTCGGGGTCGCGTGTGCTTGCTGGTTCGGCGCTGCCGGTGTGGTGTTGCGATCTGGCCTCGGCCATCGTTTGTTGGAAACTTATCGCGAGCTCATTGTTGTGCAGCCGACGTCGGTTTTCTGGGCTCCTTCCAGCCTGCTGACTGCGTCGGCGGGGGTGCAGCTAGGTGGGATGTCTTGCCAGCTCGGACGGGCCTTGTTGCGCTGCTGGGACGGGTGGTTTGTTTGTTGTCTTCCTTTCGAGTCGTGTCAGATGCCGCCGGACTGGGGTGTGTCTAGGTTGGACATGTATGCTGTAATCTGTACGGAGTACAATGCTGTACGGTATGCGTTCGGGGGTTCAGGGGTCGTCATTCAGCTACCGATCCGGCCTGTCGGCCTGTGGGCCTGTGGGCCTGGGCAGCTGGGGTCCGTGGCCCGCCCACATACTTGGCTCACATAGCAGCAAGCATCTCCCACAGCAAAGAGCCACGCATTGTCAAAATGCTGTGAATTGAATTATTAACCTGCGTATATTGCTGATATACACATTACAATGTGCCATATATGCGCGCATGTGTAAAAACTGCCCGGCCCATCTCATCTCGGGCCGTTTTCTGGGCTGGCCATCAAAACCTTCCGGTCGAGGTTCCAGGGGTATCTTGCTGTGGAATGAATATATATATCTCATAATGCCTCCTTTTGTTGTGAAGCTCTCTGCTTCTCGCTTGCATTCGCCCACTACTTCACCATTGTGCTAGTATGCCCATGATGCCAACGGTGAACAGCACCGACGTGTAAGCCCCCACCATCAACTGTCTTCCAAGCGACGAGGCTCCAGACGTTGTGACTCCGTTTGTCTCCGCCGCAGCACTTGCCGCTCCCGGCGAAGTCTCCGACGTGCCTGTAGTGCTGTTGTTGGTTGTGTTTGGCGGTCTCGCGGCCTTGGTTGCAAAGCCTGGTGATGATTAGTATTGGATACTATGCCTTCGTTCACGACGAATGGCTTGAAGAAGTGGAACTCAACTCACCAATCCGGGTCTGGTCGATGTCGAAGACGGTGTACACATTCTTCAGGTAGACGGCCCCGAGGAACCATGCGCCAGCCACAACTTCGCGGCCGAAAATGTTGCTTGTGCAGATACCCTTGTCGGACGGTTCTGACAGCCAGTCCTTGGCCGAGATGTTGCGCTCAACGCCCGAGAACGTAACAGTGATGGGCTTGTCACTATTGCATGGGGCAGTGTAAGTCACATTATCAGTGCTGCTGGCACCGGGGATGATCTTGTGCAGATCCGCAACATCATCGGGCGGTCCAAAAGCATAGGTTGTCCCGGTATCGATGTAGGCGAACCTCCCGGTGACATTGACCTTGTTGCTGTCGTAGCCCATCCCGTCCATGGCAATTGCCCAGTCCCCGTTGGCCTCAGGGTTGACGGCCGTATAGGTGATGTCTCCCGTGAACTTGGCCGGGTCGGTGCCACCCAGGGTGAGTTGTCCCGTGTTGGGGCCGTCCTCAGCCCTGTCGAGAGCCACACTGAACACGTTGGATTTGAGAAGCTTGTCCTCCTTGACACTGCCCATGAAGTTGTCAGACGAGCCGTTGTTCATGGACAAGCCCAGGATCCCATCAAACGCAAAACTTGCAAAGTCATCAGAGGTCGTGTTAGCCACTCCAAAGGCCATGGTGACCTTTACAGAGGCTATAGACATCGTATCCTCCGTCAGTGTGCCGTTGACAGCCCCCGTGCCGTAGTTGAGTGTGAACTCGGTGCCAACGGGCTTTGACGTGGTCGATTCAGAAGGACTCCACGTTGTGTGCATCCCACAGGCCTTTGAGTTGCAGTTCGTTCCCATCACCCAGGTTGTACCAGCTCCGGTATCACAGAGCATGTATAGGGTCTTGCCGGTGGATCCCAGACTTGCTTCGATAAAGTAGGAAAAGTCTGTCCCGTCTTGGTCGATTCCAGCGCTGTTCGGGTCGGAAGGGGTTGCTGCTGTGTCGATCGGGTATTTGTTTTCTCTGGCGACCAAGGTCTCGGAGCCGCGCACGTTGTGGGATGGCTTTGAGCTGAACTTGCGGACCAGGCGTCGGGCTTCGCGGTCTGCGTTGTCCGCCGGCGGCGCGCCATTCTGAGCAGAGCTCTTCTGCGAAAGCTTGTACGTCGTTGGCGAGTCACCCTCTCTGTATGACGGGATGAAGGGGTAGAAGGCCAGAGCAGTGGTGGCCCAGGTTGCCAAGACCACAGCACAACGCATGGTGCCTGTTCAACTCGAGCTGCTGAGTTGTTGGTGATGGAGTGGCAGACCTCGCAACCCCAAAAGCAGATTCGAGTGCTATGAGCCAATTTGATGACCTGCCGTTTGACCACTCATCTCAGGTCAAGATCTAAGCTCAGATGAATGTGAGTCTGAAGGTGGAGCTGACGAGATCCGCGAATTGGTCGCAATTGACGCGACTGAACGATCGATTTCTTGGCCGGGTCACCGAGAACAGCGAAGCTCTCAGCAAGTCCTTGATCGAGAGTACCAGACTCTGGCTCTTCTATTTTTTTTCTTCTTCGTTTTGTCGACCGGATTAGATATTAGATATTACGTAGTAGATGTCGTTTGTGAGAGCAGCTCCAGCATCCCCAAGAGTCCTGGGCCGGATGCAAGGCAGGAGTGACGTGTAGGGAAAACAAGCTGGACTGTCGCAAACGCTGAGATGGATATAGCTATCGTGACTGGAACGCAGTGGCTGATCTCTATGAAGTAGCGAAGCTCCGAGACAAAGGGCGCTACCGGAACAATGCGAAGGAGATGCAAACCACGGAAAATTGCAAGCAGAATCAGTGAAGATGCCGCGCCAGATGAGATGAACAAATACGACGTGCTGGGAGATGAAAATGGACGGTGGGCTCGGGAATAAGTCGAGCTCGAGGGGCGAGCGAGTGAGGAGAGGGAAAATGGACAAGTCGAGAAAAGATAGACAAGACACAAGAGAGGAGGGGAGTCCCGGGGGAGGGCGAAGGCGCCTCAGGACAGAAAAGGAAAGTGATCTGGCAGGGAGCACCGTAGACTACTGAGTTGGATGCAACACAAGCAGACTGGCTGTATTACAGCTCGATATGCCGGGTGGAGCGGACTGGCGGACTCGGGGCAAGCAAGGTTACTTCAATACTATCAGCGATTGACTTCAACCCCAGATCCACCCATCCACACCCACCCACCACCGTCCATTTCCAGCCTGCCAGTCCAAGGGCGGCTTAGTACCGAGTCCAAGCAGGCGGCCCAAAAGGATCGACCACGCAGCTAGCCAGGGGCACAGCTCTGGCTTGTCTGGTCTGTCTGGCTGAGGCCGGAGCCATGGAAGTCAGATGGCTCAAAACTTCCCCTGGCAATCAGCGCCGACCTGTCTGCTTGCCCTCTTCGGTCCTGGCGCTTTGCCCAGGTCTTGATAGTGCCTGTGGTGGTCCTTGGTCCCGGCTGCAGATCGAAACGTTCGGCTCTTGTTGGGCGCTCGCCCACGCTGTCACGTATGGCTGCACGGCCTCGCGGACTGGCGGCATACGTGTGCCTGAGTGCAACTTCGACACTGCATGTTTAATTGGACCTTGGCACTGACCCTGAACTTGAGGTGCACCGTGTGGGCATTGCAGATCCTCGACATCCGGGGAATTCCATCTCTAGTTTCCTTTCTTGTCGGGACCCCAGCAGAGAGCACGGCACACTTCCAGATTTTTTTTCTTTGAGCACGACAGGGAAACAAGAAGAAAAAAAAACAGTCAACACGAGAACTCTAATTCGGGCCTTCGCGACTTGTCATATTCCCTGCACAACCGCCGTTCGGTGAATCATGCAGCAGCTTGCCTGCAAGGACAACAGGTGGGCTGCTTCCGGGCGCGGCTCGGAGGGGACACCCCAATTTCGATAATGCTTTATTAGACTAGAGCCGATCATGGCTGCATGGATGGGCCAAGCTCATCCATCCATGGGCCAGAACTCGCCAGCGCCAAGCGTGCGGCCCAAAAGGGCACAGATGGGGTCAGGGGTCGTCCATGTCATGTCAGACGTCAAGACACATCCGGGAGCTCCACAGCAATAGCACAGCTTCGCATCACGAGACTGCCTTTTCTTGACGGATCCAATGTTGTAAGCTGACTGACCTTCCTTGCAAACACCACATGGTCGTCAGACTCGCACGTTTTTGCCTTCCTCCAGGCATATTATAACCGCACTTGATTGCCATGCCCTTGGGACTCGATGAGAGACAAGCCTACCTACCTACTAACCAGGCCCATGCATTGCCACTGTTACACGAGATGAGCACATCACACCCCATCTACCCTAGCAACCAACCGAGATGTGAGCCCATGAACCAACGAGCTCTCAATTCTGGCCGCGCGGGAACCAGAACAAAGTGCGTCTTGCTATATTCAGGGGTAAACTCAGCCGCATCTGGACCTCCTGCTCCCTTGTCCTCTGTGTTGTGATATTTGACTGTTCGCAACCGAAATGTCTCATCATTTTGTAATACGGTGGCACATGAGAGCGTCACCGTAAAGCTGGGCGCCAGAGTCGTATTAAACCCGGTGTTGGTTCGCCTCAAACCAGGTCTGGGCCATCACGAGAGCACGTGATGTCTCTTCACGGTCACCAGTCTTGCTCAGCAAAGCCGCCCTGGTTTCCTGGAACAGTACGGCCTCTTTCTCCCCCGTGGTATCTGACGCTGCCAGCGTCCTCAGAAAGACCCAAGTCGACTCATTGGTCCACCGGAACGAGACTGCGAGCTTGGCGGTCTCCTCAAAGACCGCCGAGGCCGCGGCGCCGTCGAGCTTCGTGAGCAGGAAGTACAGGTACGACCAGCCGGATATGTCGGTATGGTTTTGGAAGCACCAACGTTTTGTTGGTTCCAACAGCTTCGCAAGGACGGGTCCTTCTTGGCCATTCTCACCCTTGGGCACATTGTTGGTGAGCCAGCGGGCATGGCACCACGCATAGTAATTCCTGGGATGTCTCTGGCCTGCCACCATGACCACCTTCTCCAGACTTTCAGCAACATTGTGCTGGACGCCATGCCGCGCTGCCGTCTCCACGAGCCAGCGGCGATGGCTCCACAGAGTCGGAGATTTGGTGTGTCTGTGAAGGCGGCTGGTAAGGAGACTGTCGATGAAGAACCTGTCTCTCTCCATGGCCTGCAGCATTTCTTCTTCAGAGGCGGCCCTCGCCGAGACTGCGAGCTTCTTGCGTGAGTTCGCGGCCGTCAGGTGCTCGGGATCCATCAGAAGCACAACACTCGTGACGGCGAGGAGCTCGTCCGCCGACAGGGTGCTTTCGGCGCTGACATGGCGTTGAAGGACCTTTCTTGCCACAAAAAAAGATTGGACGAGTCCGTACTTGGAAACGGCTATAGCATTGCCATCCTGCAGGACAAATGTCCCTGGTTCGAGCGGATGGCTCTTTCCCAGGATCTCGACTTCCAATAGTTCGCCGTGTTGACTCCCATATTCGGTCAAGGCCTTGGAGATTGCCTCGTAAGCTGCTGTTGGATCGCTTTCGCTTACAGCTTCAGCGACTGACCTGTTGACAGCCCTAGACATGTTCTTCCCCGGGCTTAGTACTTGAATACCAAAAGTGCAATGGCCTCAGAATAGTCAGCAGCGTGACAGGATGCTCATGGTTTATTTTCTCACATCTTAGAGCCCCTCGCAGAAAGGGAATGATTTCCCCAGAAGATTAGTCTCTGACAACACGCTTTGCTGTCATTATCGATTGCCAATCAAGCGAATACCTTGATCGGTTCTGGTCTGATTTTTCGCACAAATACTGGCCTTGTCAGGGTCAGTGTAGTTGGGTTGGAGCTCTCAGTTGGCGTCAAGCTCGAGTCCCCTGGGCCTGGGTTGGGCCTAGCCAGATGACCGGAAGGCCCTTACGTAAGACAGGCGGTCCAGGCTGCAGAGAAGCTCAGCGAGTGCTTGGACGTTGGGTTGTGAGAACCAGCGACGGATGCACAGAATTTGGGAATGCGCACACCGGACTGGACCACACGTGTCTCGAGGCTGAGCCGTAACTGTCACAAGCAGGATAGACGAGGCTCCAGTTGGTGGGACATGAGATAAATCGATTACTTGTTATGCTGCCCTCTTGCACAACAGTTGTGATATGGTATATGAAGTATCCTTTGCCAGGTTGCCGCCGTCAGTTTACGCCCACTGTTATCTGCCAGTGTCGCGTAGTGATGCCTGTTATTTCTCATTGAATTCGCAGCTATGAGACTGCTGAATCGTTCCTTCCTCGGCATGCATGCATCTTGTCCATCGCTCCTAGTAGCCCCGACCCGAAGTCGTTATCTATGCGCCGCCGACGAGGATGTTGCTAGAGAATATCTTGTTAGTGATTTTGTCCATGATGGTCATGCGCAAGATAGGTCGTTTGAGCAAGCCCGTCTCTCTCAGGACACCTGGAGCTCCTGGGAGTCGGAGTCGCGTGACACGATTCCTACGAGCGCCCGGATCTCCCTGCTCCAAGCAGTCCCGGGAGGAGTTCAAGAAATCGCTTACTTGAGGGGAATGTGTATCAGCTTCACAATGTACCCGACGAAGCCCATAATCAAGACTGCGAGAGAAGGAGTCAGTACACGGGTTCCAACTCGCGCGATGGGGTTTTGGTGCGTGCGAGGCTTCGAAGCGGTGGCTTTCGTGTAGCTGCAAGGCTTATGCGACGCAGGGGAGTTGGCAAAGGGGCGACATGGAGCGGTTCTTGGGATTACTGACAGCCGACGCCAACTGCTTGCGAGATCTGCACAATTGTGTGTTAGCCGGAGGTCGCACATTTGGTCTGCCGAGGGCAGCATACCTTGAGGAACTCCTTCTGGTCAGGCTTCTGGCACCTTGTCACTAAAAGGCATGCAATGTTAGCCTCGACCACCTTGACAATGTGGGACCATCTGGGGCGCGACAGGAGGTTGCGTACTGAACTGGACTCCATCCTTGACGAACTCCCGGGGCACCTCCAGAGCTTCAGAGACTTGGTCGGCCATTGTAGATGATTGTGGGGAAGAGAAATCCGAAAGAGAGACTGGGCAGCTGCGGACGGGCGGGCGGGTCGATTTGGTGATCAAGGAGACGTTGAGCGAAGAAGGGTGGTGAGAGAGCGAGTTGGTCGAGGTAACTAACTGATTCCCTGCTAAACACGTCGCCTCATCTGGGTTGAATTGAAATCGCATTGCTGGCCTTCCGGCCAGCGCAAATCAATCGACAGGGTACCGGCTGCTCCAGCCGCCGCCAAGGGTCTGCCGCTAGTCCCCTGGAGGATGGGGGGAGCTCCCCACCGCCCGATTCTGCCAGAAAAAGTTACCTGGACTGAGTTCAAGAGGAAAAAAAGACGGACAGCAGCTTTTGGTTTTGTCAATTACACCACTATCCAAAGAAAACACGGCATTGATAGTCGATTATTGCTCAGCATGGTAGAACTGCGACCTAGAAGGTCGAAGGGTATGTCAATGATTAAATTGAACACACGTCGTAAAACTTGCTAACAAGAGAGAAGCCACCACGGCTGCAGAGTCGGCCGCGGTGGAGGAGACGCCCAAGCCCAAGGTCGCAAAGACACCAAGGTCCACGAAGCGCAAGGGTAAGAGCCACGCCTGTCTTTCAGAACTGAGGGAACCGTGCTTACAGATTCTTAGCAACCGAGGATGACTCTCCCGCCGCCACAAAGAAGCAAAAGTCTGTAAAGACCCCAGCCAAGACCAAGGACGTCACGGACACCCCAACCGAAGCCCCCGAGACCTCGACTCCGGCGCCCAAGTCGGCCAGGAAGCCGAAGACTCCGGCGAAGACTCCGGCTAAGAAGAACGACGCCGAGGACAGTGTCCCGGAGGCCCCAGCGGCCGCCGAGAAGGCAACCCCAAAGCCCAAGAAGGAGAAGACGCCCGCGAAGGCCCAGGAAACTCCCAAGCCTGCCGTAGCGGAGACCCCGAAGCCCGCCAGCAAGGCCACTCCCAAGTCCGCGCCCAAGGAAACCCCGAAGGCTGCCAGCAAGGAGACGCCCAAGCCCGCCCCAAAGTCTGCCGCGAAGTCCGCCGCCAAGGAGACCCCAAAGTCTGCGTCAAAGGAAGCCGACGAGACTCCTGCCCCCAAGCCCAAGGCCAAGCAGGAGAAGACCCCGAAGAAGACCCCGGCCAAGGCAGCCCCAGCAAAGGCAACTCCGGCCAAGGCAACCCCAGCAGCAAAGGCAACCCCAGCAAAGGCAACGCCGGCCAAATCTGCAAAGAAGGCGGCCAAGAAGGCTGAGCCTGAGCAAATTGTCGAGGAAAAGAAGAATGTGGCCCAAGAGGTCGAGGATAAGGCCCAAAACGACGCCGCCGATGAGGATCAGGCCTCATCTGACGAGGAGGTTGACGAGCAGACCAAGGCCCTCGTCCAGGCTGTCGACAGCGGAGACGAGGACGAGCAAGCTTCTGGTGTGATCACCTTCGAGGAAGGGCAGGATGTGGGCCTCATCCCCGACGTCTCCAAGGCGCTTACCAAGAAGGAGAAGAAGGAGAAGAAGGCACTCAAGGCTGCTGCTTCCAAGGAAAAGGAGGAGACTGGAGTCATCTACATTGGTCGTCTGCCCCACGGTTTCTACGAGCACGAGATGAAGAACTACTTCTCCCAGTTCGGCCCTATCCGCAACTTGAGGGTGTCTAGGAACAAGAAGACTGGCAGGGCGAAGCACTTTGCATTCGTGGAATTCGAGGAGGCCAGCACTGCTGAGATTGTGGCCAAGACCATGGACGTAAGTCAAGCGCCGTGCTTTTTGATATTGTTCTTTGGCTGCGAGTGACTACTTACATCTGCGCAGAACTATCTACTTTTTGGACACATTCTCAAGTGCAGTGTCATTCCGAAAGACCAGGTCCACAAGGACCTGTTCAAGGGATCCAACAAGAGGTTCAAGGTGCGTTCCCCATCTCCTAGTTCGCCATGGCCGGCTCAACTGACCTTCATCTCTAGTCGATACCATGGAACAAGATGCAGGGCAAGGAGATGGAGCGGCCGAAGCTTGAGAAGCAGTGGGAGAGGAGCATCAAGCGCGAGAACAAGAAGCGCGCCGCCAGAGCGAAGAAGCTCGAGGCCTTGGGTTATGAGTTCAACGCACCAGAACTCAAATCTGTCACTGAGGCAAAGGCCATCGCAGGACAGGAGCAGCCAAAGGCGATTGAGGCACCACCTGCGGCCGAGCCCGAGCCCGAGGCTGCCCCTGCTAAGGACGCTGCTGAGGAGAACACTGTCGAGAAGGCAGAGGCGGAGGCAGAGGCCACGCCAGCCAAGAAGCCCGCCAGAGGGAGGGGCCGGCCTGCAAAGACGCCTCAGAAGGCTGCCGCTACAACAGAGACACCCAGGAAGACGAGAAGGACCAAGGCGTAATTTTTCGACGTCGAGTCGGCCGGCTATAGTATTATCACTTCATGTCTAAGGATTGCAGTAGCCTCGTAGATATTCAAATTGTCATATCTCGCACAAGCGAACCTAAGGAGTCCACTGGAGACACAAAGTCTCGGACAGTCATCAGGATTATAAGTGCGAATATCGATCTGCTTCGCAACATTCAGTGAATGCAACAGAGCTCATGTGTGTAGACTACAGCGAGCTCTGGGTTGGCGAAGGTGGAAATATGTGAGGAAGGAAGAGAAGAAAATCAGCAAAAATTCCTGCACCGACACGAAAGGGCTATGTACGCCGAGCCGGCGGGCCACCCACGCGCCAGGCCCGCTACGGTCCCCTGGCCAATGAGCTGACGCCCCCAGAGAGAAGCCACTAACAAGCAGGCTCCCGGGTTCCGGTGCGTGCACCCTGGGCCCAGGCCCGAAAGGTGGCACTGGTGTGGATATGGAACCTGGCAACAAGCACCCGCAACTCGACCGACGCTCTGAAGCAATCGACCCAATGCCCTCCGTTTTGAGACGCATGCGTCCCAATTGATATCATGTCTTCGGCGGCCCCACACGATGCGATTACAGCAGCTCAGGGCCAAGCCGCCAGCTCCAAAAAGAAGAAGAACAAGAAGAACAAGCCCAAGAAGGCGCTCGACACCAGCAGCGCCAACGATGGCACAGGCACGGCCGAGCCCAGTCCTCGAGACAGCAACAGAGAATTGTCGGGCGACGAGGAGCCTGACACCCCGGTGGTGAGTCTGAGAAGCACGACCCGACCCAGAGAGGACCAGACCCACTCCCACCTCGCGGACCCGAGCTCCTGGACACATAGCACAGTGGCTCATGGGCCTGGACCGCGGGTACCTCCAGCAAGGGTCGCCCTCCCACAAGGCTGCAGTGGCTCGTTCGCACCATTAGTGCCTGCTTCTGACATGTATACATGACAGACAGAGAGTAGTGATACCAGAAAGGAAAACCAGAAGTTACCTTCAGCCTCGGCGACAGCCCCCGAAGCGCAAGGGAACGGACATGTACGAGCGCCGTCTGGGAACGGTCATCCTGTCTCATCCACCCCCCATCTGAGCCAAGCGACAACCACGAGCGACACGAGCGCAAAGCTAGAGGCCATGTCGGAAGAGCGAGAAGCCCTCCGCAAGGAGGTGGAGCAACTGCGGAAGCAGCTCGAGACGATACAAGAATCCCACACCTCCGAAGTAGGCAAGCTGAAGGCGGACCTCGAGGAAACCGAGTCTGCGAAGGAGCAAGCCGAGGAGCAGTACCAGACGCTGCTGGGGAGGGTCGAGAAGATCAAGCAGACGCTCGGCGACCGCCTGAAGAGAGACAGGGCGGAGCTGGAAGAGGCCAACCAGCGCATCGAAGAGCTCGAGGCGCAAAATGAGGAGCTACAGAAGGGCGACTCCTCCCACGAGGAGGAGATAGCCAGGCTGACGGACGAGCTGCAAGAATCAAATCGCGAGCTGGCGACCCTGAGGAGCCGGAACAACCTGTCGCAGCAGAACTGGCTCAAAGAGAAGGACGACATGGCGAGGCAGGTGCAGCACTTCAGGAGCGAGCTGGAGTCTACAAGCAGCGCCATGGGCGAGTGGGAAGTCATCGCCATGGAGGAGCGACAGGTCCGGGAGAGCCTCACGGAGAAGGTGACAGATCTCGAGGAGCAGCTGTCATCAATCAGAGAGGCCTACGAGACAGCCGCCGAGGAGAGGGACAGCTCCCTCCAGACCATCGACGGTTTACAAAGGGCTCTGCAAGAAATCCAAGATGCAAGGAGGAAAGAGCTGAGAGACCTCGTCGAGTCTTCGGAAGAGCAAATCCAAGAGATGAAGAAGCGGGTGGAGGAGGCCGACAGCAAGGTGGCGGAAGCCGAAGAGGCCAAGGAGAGACTGACGAAAGAGCTGGAAAGAACAGCCCCCTTCGAGAAGGAGGTCAGGGAGAAGAACCTGCTCATTGGCAAGCTGAGGCACGAGGGCATCATACTCAACGATCACCTCACAAAGGCTCTACGGTATCTGAAGAAAACGAAGCCAGACGAGCAGGTGGACAGGTAAGCCCACATATCACATTGCCATCACCCCGAGGACCTCATGCTGACACCACGCGCCAAGGCAAATCATCACAAATTACTTTCTGCAATTCCTCTCGCTAGACCGGTCAGACCCCAAGAGGTTCCAGATCCTGCAAGTCATCGCCGGCTACCTCGCCTGGACAGACGAGCAGAAGGAACAAGCAGGCCTCGCCCGCCCCGGCGCCTCAAACAGCACCCTCCGGCTCCCAGTCTCGCCGTTCCACCGGACGCCTAGCACCCCATCACTCAGCACCGAGTTCTTCTCCGAAAATGCGCCCTCCTCCGGCAAGGAATCTCTGGCAGACCTCTGGGCGGGCTTCCTCGAGCGCAGCGTGGAGGAGGGGAGGCCGATCGACACCCTAGGCAGCGACTCGAGGAAAGGGAGCGTGTCGAGTAGCACAGGGCCGGCGATAAACGTACCAAAGCCAGATGGCGGCAAGGGTTAGACGGTGTGCATCGCAGTTCCTTAGAGGCTTCTTGAAGAATACCAACATATTTTAATGGCATACTGTTGGCGTTGGGGCACAACAGAGAGCGAAAGAGCAGCATGTACGGGACGGACTTAGACCAGCGCCCTGGGCTCGGGGCAAAAATATCATCGCGGCCGCGATATGGAGTCCAATGTATTGGTCACGTTGAAAGAAGATTGTCTGAAAACTGCTGTTACGCAGCGACGATTGTGGTGTTTTCCGTCTGTCTGTCTGTCTGTCTAAACTCTATATAGACCCATCACGTCATGGCCTGCTGCAACACATCGCGAGCATACGTCTCGGCAACATGCCCGATGTTGTCGAGGTCGACACGCTTGTTCTCCACGGCGTCCCGCATGCTCCCCACGACCTCCTCGCTCTCCATGGCCTCGGACATGATGATGGCCTCGTGCGCCCAGTACCTCGCCTCGGCGGCCCGCAGCTCCCCGTCGCGGGCGGTGGTGTTCTTGATGACCCCCGCGGCGTGCAGCTGGTTCCTCGTCTTGGCCAGCCCCGTGACGACGGCGTCGATGCGCTCCGAGACCGTCGGCGGCACGGGGAACATGCGCCGCGTGCCGCTCAGCCACAGCGCGCCCGCGACGAGCACGTCCAGCGCCGCGAGCCCCAGGTGCCGCAGCGCGCGCGCCCGCCAGAAGTAGAAGGTCACCTCCCCCAGCACGCGGGCCTTCTCGTTGCCCGCCTGGTGGTCCCACGTCGACAGGAGGTACAGGTCCAGCGCGGCGGCGCCAGCCGCCGCATAAGAGGCCAGCGCGCGCCACTGGGCGCCGGCCTTGCCCGTCAGCGCCGCCGAGGTGGCCGCGCCGAGGAGGAGGGCGTTGGACAGGTGGACGGCCGCGACGGCGGGGGCGGCGTACAGGAGGTAGGTGGTGGGGTCGTTGGAGTTGCAGAAGGGGCAGTCGATGAGGGCGTCCGGGCCGTACTTGTAGTAGAGCAGCTTGGAGGCGCGCGACTCGAACTTGGCGTGTAGGACGTTGTCCCGGGGCGTCAGGGCGCGCAGCGACGAGAGCCGCGACAGGATCAGGTTGTTGGACGAGGTTGGGTTCGAGCGCGTGACGGCGAAGACGTTCTCGGGGGCTAGGATGGGGAGGGTGCTCGCGGCGAGGAGCAGGGCGGCCGTGGCGAGGAGGAGGATGGCGGCGAGGGTGCGGGTGGGGAGGGGCCGGGTGGGCTGCTTTGGGTTGCGCTGTGCTGCGCGCGCGGCGTTGAACCAGGTTATGGCCTTGGGGAGCAGCATTGGCCCGAAGAAGATGACCAGGGACTTGATACTGCAGCGTGGGTGGGTTTGTTAGTCTGCGTATTTGCGGGTGTGCGAATGGCACCGTCTGGAGGGTGGCTACTCACGTCCCCCATGATATTGTGGCCATGGCTGCTGCTGCTGAACGGAAGTTGTGGTGTTGTGACGCAAGGAAATAGCAAAGGTGTTCATGACAGCGAAACCGTGGTCGTATTTCATAGCACAAGCACAGGGACGTTTGCCAGCCAGCCGGGGTATGAGTGCCGATCTTGACAGGTATGGGAATGTTCAGGTGGCGCTAAGCCAGGTAGCTCCGATAGTGGGGCTTCCCGAGAGGTTACAAAATTCGAGAAGCGCAAAAATTCATCAGGCATTTGTCCTTCAGTCCTTCACATACCAACTGCATATTCTGCTTGCCAGAACCAGCCTTTCACGGCCTCTGTCCTGTGAACACTGGTCATTTCGCTTTCGAACCCTTCTGAGTCTTTAGACTTTGACTTGAAGGTGGACGAGCACCACGGTAGGTCGGTTGAGAATTCAGCCTGCGGCTCTCAGCAGGCCAGCACGGCCCGCCGAGAACCAGACAGGACCAAACATCCCCAGGATGGATGTGGGCACTTTCGAAGCTTTAGCAATCTTTTTCCTCAGTGGTTGTTAGAGTCAAAGTGTTGCCCAGAACGAGCCCAAGCACTCTGCCAAGAGTCATCTCACTTCGTGTTGCTGAGTTTCAGCTCCGGCTATGAAGAACTCTGCGTCAAAATTGCTGAGAGACAGACATTCGTCGTGTGTCCACGTCTAGAACAACTACCCCAGTTTACAGAATAGCCATGCAGATTACTATAACTCCTTTTTGCTGCCGTCCTTCTCCCCCTGTGAACTCGTAGAGTCGGCTGTAGCCTTGACGGGTTTCTCGGCCTGCTTGCCCTTGCTCTGCATTGCCGCCGCTGCCAGGCTGACGATGGCCGTGATTGTATCTGCCACCAGCGTGATCACCCCCGTGCACGCAAGCTGCCACGACGCGACGCTGACGCTGCCCATCGGTGCCCGCGGGAACGAGATGATCCACTCGGCGTAGTATGGGAACCAGCCGTGAGGCAGCCAGAACATGGGCGTCTTGGAGTACCAGAACGGGAGGAAGTAGCGCAGTCCAGACGTGCCGAGCCACCGCGCCGAACTGACGGTCTTGTCGAAGGCCGCCTTGGAGCCGTCAATGCCGGTCTCTATGGATTTGGATGTCCCGTCAGCATCTCTCGTCACTGGAACATGCTACCATGCGCCGCACTGCCCGGGCCCCCGGTGAACATGTGGGTGTTCTCGTCGGGGACGGCGGGGACGGCGGGAGGTCGGTGAACCGGGAAGGGGGAAACGCACTCATCTTCTCCAGCTCCTCCAGCATCTTGTCATGCTGCCTCCGAAGCTTTGCCCACTTGGCAAACTCATCCTGGCTGCTCGTAGCGTTGAGGTCCTTCCGCACCGCGAGGTATCGTGCTTGTAGCTCGCGCTGGTCGCGGATCTGCTTCGAGGTGCCCAGCGGGGTCGCGATGTAGAGCTTCCATAGCTAGGTGGGAGGAGCAACACGTCAGTCAGGCCACACACGCCACCGAGTCTGGGACCACCATATCATCACGGGTAACAACGAGGATTGTGGGTGGTGAGCATGTCCAATACTCACCAGGTCGTTGATGGTTGCTGCGCCGATGCTGTTCACAACAGCGATGGCCAGCTCGACAACGAAGATGACGATGAGTAGGGACGCCATCGTCGAGTGTATGACTGAGTGTTGAGGAGGAGAGTTATGGGAGGGCGGCCGATGTCTCCAGGACCATGCTGCCAAAGCTGCGAGCGTGGCCTTGAGGTTGTGGAGAGCTGGTCTGACTGCTGGATGCTGCAGGTACGGAGGAGCGTGCTTTACTTTTCAACATGTTGCATCATACCCGAATTTCGGTCTCGGGTTTTTGGTGCAGCCCCCCAAGGGTCCTCTATCTGTCCAAGCAGACCACTGGAGAGAACTACATAGAACCAACACATTCTGCCTCCTTCAAAGGATGTCGCTTAATTTTGCGCTTCTTGTTTTTTTGCATATCATATACTCATCCGATCAGAAAATAGTGACTGCTCTGCAGTACTACAAGTTTTTCTCGAGTTTCTGCTTCATGGCCACAGCTTCTACGTACCGTACGCATGTAGTGAACCACCTTCATATAGAAAGTGCACAATACCCAACTTCCGAAGACAACACTCGTAAACCCATGTGTAGGACAACAACCGCTTGAGTAATTTGTAGGGAGTAGTGTGAGATAGGTAAGCTACAAGTGCTCAGCAGTGATGTTAGCAAATATTTTGAGCATCTGTCTTGAATAACTGTATCCATAAATATAATGTCTGAGGAGAAGTTTGGGGCAGGCGGACCCTGGGAGGTATACTCCTTTGTGGAGAGGACAGACATTTCCTGTTGCCTTCTATATGCTACTGGGCACGTTACAAGTACACTCTTAGTCTTGTGCCTGCATACAGATGAGAGTCGTGGCATTGCCTCTCGCCATATCCTTCTCTCAAATCCCTCCCGCACAACACGGAATACAGTCAATGACCACGCGGTCAAGCAATTTAAGCAGCCCAATTAACTCCGCCCCCGACCATTCCTTTCCATACAGAGGGTATTGGGCAGCGCCGTCTAGATCCAATACAATACCCGATTTTCCAACCCTTCCTGAATGCATGAGACCATGCATAAATAGAGAAAATCACAGGGCCAAGTTTACAGTGACCTCTTCCTGGGAGCCTTTTTTCACTCGGTCGCCCCGTCAGATGCGTCATTAATTCGTTCAGCTGGTTCGGGACGTCATTTTCGTGAGATCGTCCGCTCAGAACATCACACACACACACACACACACACACACACAATGCTCTGGTTTGTCGGCCGTCAGTCGTCATACTCAGCGCTCTGGTCGTCCACGAGGATGACCACTGTCAACGCTGCTGCGTAGGCCTCCCGGATGGCACATGCCATGCTACACCGTGGCTGTTAGCGGTCTGTCCTGTTTCTTGGGCCATTTCTGTTCTGGTGATCTTACCAAGTCTTTCCGATCACCGCTACGATGGCGCTCATTCCCCAATGAGCACACCATGCACGCGCGAGAACCTCATTGTCGGGCACGCCAAACGCCTCAATTACCAAGACCTTTTCGTCGTCATCTTCCCTGTCATATCCATTTCCGTTGGCGTGCCCATTCGCCAGGGGCACGCCCTTCGACGACCCCTCTCCCGCAGGCGACTCCGACTCGCTGCGCGACCCAGGCTCGACACCGTTGCCGTCCAGCCGCGCCCTGCTCTTCGGCCCATAGAGCCCGGCCCAGTCGCGGATCTCGATGATCTCGTCCACCTTGACGGTTTGGTGCGCGTAGTCGAAGAACAGCGGGTGGGGCCCGTCCGTGCACGGCCAGGCGTGGATGAAGCTCACGTCGTATGTCAGCCTCAGCGGCCACGAGACGCCATCGATGGCGAACTGGATCGCAGCGTCGAACCACTTCGGCCCGGGCTCCCCTGCCCTGTCCGCGCACGGTTTCAGGGTGAACATCTCGATGCGCACGGTGTCGACGATGTCGTCGACCTCGGGATGCACTAGCTCGTACTCCTTGACGGGGAAGACCTCGGTGGGCGGGCCTAGTGGGTCGGATCGTTCGGACATCGAGGTCACATCGTTGACCCTGAGGCGTTGCCGGGGCCGCCGGGACCGGATTCGTGCAATCTGCGAGCGCTTGAGGTGTGGGGTTGGCCTCGCGGGACCGACCCAGCCGGCGACTTCGAGGCAGGTCGGGCCCAGTACCTTGCCGACTATCGAAGATGAGGTCCAGTAAGTGTAGCTGTTGCGGTACTGGAAACCGCAGTTGGGGTTGAGGTGGATGAGTAGCGCTAGGTCGTCGGTGGCCTCGTCGGGATCGATGTCAATCAGGGCGTTCATCATGATGAAGGGAAAGGTAGGCTATTCAGTGTCAGCAATGCGTTGTGTACGTGGGAGCTTGTGAATGGGCCTCGATCCCTTACTCCTGGTAGGACAAGGCCGCTGAAGAAGGCCATGGCGTGGGAGCTGACAGCATCGAGGCCCGAGGCCTGATCTCCCTGTCTCAACGATGCGAGGGTCTCGGCTAGGTTGGGCCATTTCATCATCTGCGCGAATCGCTTGATCATTTTCACCTGGCGTCGCTTGAGTTTGAAGCGCAGCTTGACTAGAGGCGAGTTAGTGATATTCATCCGAAACCCACCCCTTCCCCGGGTGTAAAGAGACCCTCGCGTACCTTGATCTGGCGTGTTGCCGTACGCCTCTATCCTCACGTTATCCCGCCATCGCCTTGAAAGGGCCAGATTCCACCGTATAGGAGGAGGGAGCTGCTCCAATAGCTTCTCCTTGGCCCAATCCGAGTGCTGCCTGGAGTGTATCCTCAGATCCAGCTCCATGCTCAGAAGGAGCTGGTGAAAGAATTTGACGTATTGGTCGTGGTTCGCGTGTCCTGTGTCGAAAATAAATCTGGTAATGATGTGATTTTTTGGGTTCGAGAAGTCGATCCAATGGTCAGGCCGGGAAAGAACGAGGATGAGATCGGTGATTTGCTTGTCGAGTGTTTTGTGAGGGCTGAGCATGCGGTCCGGATCTTTGAGAAGCCTCCTGTACAGATTCTTGTACATGTACTCTAGGTCGTCGTCCTCGAGGCCACCCTCCAGATCCCTTAGCCTGCCAAATATGCGGACTAGGTCCACGTCCCGAGGCTGCACGCCAGAATCGCGTATGTTGAGCGCGGGAGGGTAGGCGCTCGCAGTGGACGCCCAGTGATTCAAGGTTACGGTACCAGGGCGCTGGCCAAAATGAAAAGAGAAGCTGGGTTGCTCTATGGTCTCCCAGGGGTAAGTGGCTGGCCCGGGCCCTTGCAGCCTCATGGTCATGAGTTGGGTCATGGAATCGTGCTGGTTGACGCCATCGGTGCCGTCGCCTCGGTTGCCGGCTGTTGTGGCATAGGTTGAGTAGAAGTGGTCGGCAAGGTGTGGTATGGGCCTCTTGTAGCCCTTGTGCGCAGGAACACCTCGACATATGAGCTCCATTGCATGGCCGAGGTTGAGCTCCTCGTCGCTGGCGCACCCGGACGGTGGCCATTCTGTCAGAGTGTGGGGCGGGCTGTAAGGTCCATTCCCATTGGGCATCTGTCGTCCTTTTCCCTTTGGCGGAGGAGGGTCAGAGATGGGGCGCTTGAGCCGATTACGTGACTGAGCGTGAGGCTGAGAGCTGTGGGCGGGCTCGAAGTGCCTTGAAGGGTCGCGCAGGTTGTCACCCTCACTTGCCCTGCGCGGGCGCAGCTTCAGCCTCTCACCTTCGACCACGCCATTATCTTCGGTGTCCTTTTCGCAAGCTGGGTCAGCATCCAAGTCGCACGGCGCAGGGGCATAGGGTATAGGGCATGGGATGAGCGCTGTCGCATTATGCGACAGGCGAGGTGGGGATGGAGTGAGGTTGGTTGCAGGTATCCTTACCGAGAAGGCACCGCCGCCGCCGCCGCCGTGGCGGGCTGCTGTTGACTTTGTACGGAAAAGGGACCTCCAGAAGCCTTTCCTCCTGTCCTTATCTCGACTCATGTCGACAGCTTGGATGTCGAGCCCCCGTATTCATGCGGCCGTTGAATTCATGAAGGTGCCTTGGTGTGAGAGTGATGTCTGGCAGCGACTAAATTTGGCTACTGAGCCGGGGTAGTTTCAATCCAACACATGCCACCACCACCAAAAAAAAAAAAGGAACAAGCAGCAGGCAGGCAGGCACAAGCAACAAAGTACAGGCACAGGCACAAGAGTAACGGCGGGACCCCGTCAACGCCTGCTGCAGCGGTAGCAGTTAGATAGTGTGAGGTGTCACTCAACGAGGGCGCTCGGAGTGCCGGGTGCACGTCATAAAGCTCGAACGTTCAGATGAGCAGATGAGCTGGCGGCCGCAAAGAGAGAGGCCGGCAGCCGGGAGGACAGGGCAGGACGGGGCAGGACGGGCGAACCCTGGGGCGCCTGTCTCAAGTGTGATAGGGCAATTTTTGACAGTCATGCGTTTGGAGTCTTGGACCGGGAGGTTGGGACGAAGGGTAGGGGTTGTGAACGAGGAAGATCGATGCTGGGAGCGAGGGCGTTGCGAGGGTCGAATTGCCTTTCGGATCGCAGATCAGATTACTCTGCGCGAGTACGCAACGCTGTCCCCAGCTACTATGTATTAGTGCGATGCAGTCATCGGTGGGATCGGCCAGTCGCGACGGAATGGAATGGAATGGAGACACCACCACCAAATCAGTGCCGAGAGAGGTGATTGCCCCGGATGAGAGGACTGGCTGACAGGCAGACAGGCCGGCATGACTCTGCCTTTCCTGAAACCAGCGACTGCTCTTGCGAGCCATTCGCTACTGCAGTGGGGGGACAGGTTCTGTCAAGCTGTGGTGCACGACGAACTCGAGCTGCATGCAGGGCAGTAATAAGTCCCTTATTAGGTAGACTAGGTAATATGAACAAATGGCCTGCCCATCCTTACAAGCCTCAAACCGTGACAACATCTGGGCTCCAGAGATGGTCATCGATGCCCCAGATTTCCTTGCGTGGTACATCTGCTTGACGGCCAGGAAAGTACCTGCACTAGCAGCAGCAAGCGTGCAAGATGGACACTGCTGCTGCTGCTACTGCTGCTACTGCTGCCGTGTGCCTGACAATCATCTCTCGTTTGCCAGCGCAGTCAATGCTCTAGTCTGGTCGACTAACAAGTTCACGCGTGGCCAGCCCGTTCGTGGCCAGTTGCCAGCCTGTTGGCCTACCGTCGAAATGGCCAACCAAGCCCACCTTTTCCATGTGTCCCTGCCACAACTGCCACAACTGCCACACCAGTCGAACCCCCACGCAGGCCTTGGTGCGCGAATCCGACCATCGCAGTTGACGTTTGGATTGCCTGGACGTGGCTGCGGATTGGCCTCCCCAAAACCAGTAAGGTTCTGTAGCGCTGATCCTAGCCCTGCCAACGCAGACCCCGATTTCAGCCCCGGATGTGCTCTGGGCCCGTGGGCCTCGTGGTGCCGTCCTTGACAGCGGGAAGGGCACGGTCATGGATGGCTTCGGGAGCACCGTCTAGATCTACACAGTCTGAAGTCTGAAGTCTGCACAGCAAGCAGCTGTTGGGTCGGTCCATGCGCGACAGGGTCGAGTCCAATTACGGAGTGCTGTGTACTATGGTACTCCGTAGGGCGGTATGGATCGATCGAGCTTGACTCCAGCCACCCCGCCGTCGCCGTGGTCCAACCTCTGAGTTTTCCCTCTTTCGCAAGCATCTCCTGGCAAGCAACCTCGAGACCGTGCAAGAAGCCGGTTTCACACATCCGACTCAACACCACCGCCCACTGCCCACTGCCATGCTGGGCTGGCCTGCTGGCCCGCTGTGAGGGAGGAACTGCGGCTGCGGCGGGACAACGTCGGATGGGGGCGAGTCGTTCACCGGCAGCAAGGGGACCACAGATACCGATTCTTTGCCCAGGTCCCGCTGCAATATATGTATTGCGGCCTGACGGACATCATGTGTTCCTGCCTTTCGATGAGGAAGGTTCATACTGGGCAGGCAACGGTGGGACGTCGTCTCGGTCCCCAGGGCAGTGCGGTATTCACAGAGTAGAGACGACACTGCGAAGAGTACAACTCGAGACACCCTCACAAGCTTGAGGGAGGCTTCCACATGCTCCTTCGGATCTAGCATAGGCCGGGCAGGTTCTGTTCAGCTGACCTCTTCGCACGAACACCACGAGGCAACACCAATCTGGCTAGGCCAACGCTTGAGCAGCATAGACGGCCGCCATCGAGGCCATGGGCAGTCGAAACGGCACATGAATGGCCGCTTTGTCAATGAGAACTGCTGTGCGTGCCTCCGTGAGCTGTCGATATAGCTCAACCCTATAATATCCCCAAGACTCGCTTGTCGCAACCTGTGCTCTCATGGAATTACCGCTTAGGGAGTCTAGTGGGATATTTCTTTCAAACCCCGAATGCATTCTCTTTCCCATGCCGTCGAAGGTTGCCCACAACCAGGAGGGGCCATGCGATCCATCCATCCCAGGCGGCTTTCATGCCGCTGTTTCATAGCATTGCCGAGGACAGCCTTGATATGAAGACATGTAGTTGAAATATGCTAGATGGTCTAGATTCTATGTAGCGTGCTGTGTGGGCTTTACCAGCAATTGGAAGGTTGCATCGGGCCCGCGGGTACCAAGTTGCCTTGGTTGCCAACCAGCCAGAGGCTGCACTGATCAACGGCCTTCCCAATCCGAGCTGCCTGCCGCCAAATGGCCCGAGCTCAAAAATTCCCCTGCCTCCAAGCCGACCTACATCGCAGATTGGACCGCGTCGACAGCCAGCCAATTCGACGGCTGCCAGATTTCTTGGGCTCGACAACACCTGGCCCTCTTGCACGGAGCTCTCTGAGCAGGTTTCAATTGTTCTGGTCGGGCCACCTCGGTGGAGCAGCGGCGAAAAAAAGACTCCCTACCTTGCTTCGGCTGCATGTGGCATTGCGGCCTCAGACCAACCCCACGATGCAGAAGCTCATGCGGCGGACGGCCCAGGCCGAGCGACAGGCCATACGGCGAGCAAAGAAGGGGAGCAAGATGTTGAAGATGGCGCGCCAGCGGGAGGATTTCAAGCAGCGCATGGGCGGCACACAGGAGACACACGCCTCGCTGAGGGACGCCGTGCGCAGGCGGCGAGAGGACTGGGAGATGGGCCCCCTGGCCCCCCAGCGCGACACCCCCCTGAGGGACGAGACCGGCGCCTACTGGGGCTCCATCAGCCTCCGCCGCAACCTGGCGGACACCCTACCAGAGAAGCAGAGGGACCTGGCCTGCCGGTGGGCGGGCGGTCGCAAGACCCTGTGCATCAAGGCAGGTGATCGGGTGGCCGTCATGGAAGGCCCAGACGCTGGCAAGATCAGCACTATCCAATACGTCCAGGAGGAAGGCGGGTTCGTCGCGCTGGAAGGGGATAATCTGAAGGTGAGCTTGTCCATTGGCGTGACATGCGGGCCACATTCGGCGTGGCCCAGGACGCACCGGCGAGCTAACCGCCTTGGCCCATACAGCAAAACTTCACTGTCCCGGAGTACATGTCAAATCTGCAGAAGGGCCAGAAGCCGATCCATGTCCAAGCCACCGAGTACCGTGCCCCCATCAACGCCGTCCGCCTCGTCCATCCCCTCAAGGACCCCATATCAGGCGTGACCCGTGATGTGATCATCAACGAGCTCGTGGTCCGCAACTACTACAAGGACAAGGTCACGGGGCGCGAGAGCTGGTCGCGCGTGGTGCCAGGCCTGAACGTCGAGATCCCGTGGCCCAAGGCCTTCGAGGACGCCGAGAGGCAGGAGCTGGAGGGCACGTTTGATGACAACGCGTGCGACACGCTGCGCATCGACGTCGAGGAGAAGACGTTCGTGCCCACGCTGCTGCGGCCGCCCATGCCGGCCGAGGTCATAGACGAGCTGCGCAACCGCTACTCCAAGTTCCGCACGCGCCACGAGGAGTCGTACATTGCCAAGAAGGAGGCCGAGGAGGCCGAGAAGGCCGCGCGCAAGAGGTCCATCAAGACCATGAGCACGCCGGTCCAGGAGCTCAACGCCAAGATCAAGGCGGAGAGGAAGGCGCGCGGCCAGCCGGAGCTGTCGGAGGATATGCTGGCCAAGATCGGCGAGGTCATGGCGAGGAACAGGAATCGCACGCTGGCTGGGGCTGGCATTGCCGGGATCGAGACCCCGGCAAGTCCAGCACCGGCACCGGCACCATGATTATGTATGAGAAAAACAGATACAAACTGTATAACAATGCCATACCATATAATATAGCATGGGCGGCGCTTAAGGTCGAGGAAAGGCCCCCGGGGGCATTCACCCCTGATGTTCCGAGCAGAAATGTGCTTGTTCTACCCAGCTATGCGTGCAATGAAATGCTATGATGCGCCCCTACCCCTTGATATTGCACATGGTTCGATCATGAAAAATCCACCCGCAATCATTGTCCCAAAAGCGTCAGTTTCGAAAACGCCGTGATAACAGGAGCAATCTGCCGGCCATTGACGGCGTCCAACGACGCATAGAGCACCGCATCCGCCCCGGAAGGCCTGTACTCCTCCGCGCCCATCGCCCCATCCTCCAACTCCTGTTGCTGCGCCTGCTGCTGTTGGTCTTCAGGCTCCCCGAAGACCTCTACCACCGCAGCCCTGCAGGCGCCGACGACCTCATCCATGAGCGCCTCGACGGCCCTGGCGCGCTCCGCCATGCCCCGCCTCATGAGCCCAAACACAAGCCTCTCCGCCTCCCCCTTGCTCCCCTCGACGCGCTCCACCAGCCTCCGCACGCTGTTGACGAGGTACTCGGCCTCGTACACGGTGCCCTTGCGGCCGCGGGCGCGCTTCTTCTCCTCGCGCCGGCGGTTCTTGCTGGTCGCGCGGGAGACGTTGGACCCCACGGTGCCGACGCTGCCCTGCTTCCCGGTGTACCGCGTGAACAGCGACGCGCTGGTGCTGACGCGGCTCGAGGCCGCGATCGACACGTCGTCCGGCAGGTCCGCAAAGGCCCCCGGGCGCTCGCCCTCGTAGAAGGCCAGCGGGTCCTCGATCGCCTTGCGCCGGAGCTCCGCCAGCCGGGGCACCTGCGCCTTGAGCTGCGCCTTGCAGTCCGCGAGGAACTCGGTCGTTCCCGACAGCGCTTCCGCGAGCCCGCCGTCCACGGCGCCCTGGAGGAGCTCGTCCGCCCGGCCGTGCCGCGCCGCCAGCCGCATCGCGTCCGCGAAGTGGTACCCCTTGCACAGGCACTTGATCGCCTGGTCCAGGGAGTCGAGGTAGTCGAGGTGGATCGTCGCCGCGGACGAGTAGTCCTTGGCCTCCCAGAGCGCCTCCGCCAGGGTCGTGGCGAGCTCCGAGAAGGCGTCGCCTGACATGGGCGGGTCCTGCTGCTGCGCGGTGAAGAGGCACTCGCGCCAGCAGGTCGCGCCGGCGGCACGGTAGCAGGCTGTGGCGCGGGTGAAGTTGTTGAGGGATTCGAAGGCGAGACCCGCCTCGCGGTTCTTGGACTGTGATTCGAGGTAGTTGGCGTACAGGTCTGTGAGGATGCTGTGCCGCTCGGCGTCGTAGCGGTAGAGTCTGAGCGCGGTCTGGTATAGCTTGTATTTCGTCGTGTAGCTCTGGACCTCTTCGAAGACGTCGAGGGCGTGCAGGTGCTGCAATGCTTTCTCCCGGCGGTTCAGGTGGTCGTCGATGGTGAACTTGCGTCTGAGCTCAGGGAGTTGGTGTAGACTTTGAATGAATGGGAGATACTCCCTTGGATCTCGTTGTGACTGTTGGGCAACCAGTAGAGCAAGGTCGAGATTGTAAAGTCCCAGCGCGTGGTCGTAAAGCCTGTTGACGTCTTGCAAGAAGCATATGTGTTCGACCGCCTTCTCCGCCATTGCTTCATCTTCCTGCATCAACTTGGCCACTTCAATCAGACCATCTTCGAGAGCTGGTGGGTTTTTGCAGACGTTGGCCGTGATGATGTTTTGTAAGTTTGTGTCTTTCCGACTCTTTAGTGTTTCCAAGACGGAGTCGCATATTCTGTTCACCTTCGAGCCCCCTTTGCTTGGAACGGCTGGTTTCTCTTGACTTGACGAGTTCAAGTCTGCCGTTGCCGTCTCCTTGGATGTTTTCGTGTTTTTGTACATTGTCTCGGTGACATCGTCCTCGCCGAGAGAGGCTAGGAACAAATCGATATGTGCCACATCGCCAAGCTGGTCCAAGAAAAGGTCGACGTTCGATAGGAATTGGTCCGGCTTGTGATCATAGAGTATGTTCATGTCCACTCGCTGCGTTCTGCAGTGAGCAAAGGCCTTTCCATATTCTTTGGCGTCAACCAAAGACCGAATACCAGCTAGGACCATGGCTCGAGGATAGATAGTTTCCAGGTTTCCACGAGGCATTTGAAGCACAACACTCATGGTCGTTGGCGTAGCTGTGACAAGTCTGGCACCTCTCTCGAGACTTCGGCATCTCTCATCATGCTCCGGGTCATCAGCAGGCACGTTGAGATCTGGTCCAAGTCAGCACAGAACCTATCGAAAATAAGAGACATCTGATACGAACCTTCTGGCTTGCCCAGGTGCACAAATTTCAAGAAGTGGTTGCTTGTTGTGAACACCAGGTGGTCGCAAGTAACTAGGAATGATGTACAGTTCTTGACGAGCAGGTGAGAATTCGCGTAAAGGTGACCACTTCTTGACAAGCCGAAAGCGATGAACTCGCCGTTGATCTCGAAGGTCTCAACCCATGGGAGCTGAAGCGGGAAGCGGACAACCATAGGCCCTAACGCATCGTCCTTCTCCGACAAGCGGAACAGCTTCCCCGATCTAGTCTGGACACAAGCCTCGGCGAGGGACCCATTGTCTGATGCCTTGGTGAACGAGGCTGTCTGCGTGAAGAGAACCTCCTCCTCAAGCGGCGTCAGGTCATCTATTATGAGATCGCCTGCATCAGACTTGAAGCCCAGCCGGCAGATGTTAAGCCCATCATTGAAGTAGAGCACACGAGGTTGATAGCTTGACGCAAAGCAGACCTGGAGGGCTGTTCTCATCAATCCGTCCATCTCGGCATCAAGTTTAGAGAGAAGTCTTGGAACCAGCGATCGACCGTTCTTCGTCTGCCACTCGTACAGGTCCACACCATTGTGGTGCAATACAGCCATCGTGTCGTTGTTTGGGGCAAAGGCAACGTCAATCACGGTGTGGCTGGCCGATATTTCGAACATGGACATGGGTGGAGGCACATTCGCAGTTCTGAAAGGTGTTATCTTCACCGTCTTGCCATCGATGACCGCAACTGCTCCGAAGTCGTCGGGTGGCATCAGCGAGCCTCGCGTCACAGCCAGTGTGAACTCGGTGTGAAGTATGTTGTCTTTATCTCTGTCAGCAGTGTCTTCTGAAGGAGTACTTGATGGGGATAGCAACCTGTGTCGGCAACTGCAAGGCGCAACGCCTTTTCCGGGTGCCACGAAGCAAGCGAAAAGGGCGATTTCAGCAAGATTTCCTGCTTCAAGTACCAGTGGTAGTTGCCCGTGGTCCAAAGCTGAACGGTACTGCCGAACGAGACTGCGAGCACCGTCGAGTCCGCGTTCCATTCCAACTTGATACTCAGAGAGGGGTTATCAAGAGGTTCACTTGAGCGTATTGTGAACTGACCATGCCTCAGTCCGTTCCTCTCAAAGAAGACGACATCAACATGATCAGAAAAGCGTTGAATGCCTGCCAGGAGGTTGCCGGAGGGTCTCCAACTCAAAGCGCCTTCCAGTCCGTCCACCGGCTCGCTCACGCTGTCGAGAGCACCCTCTCGACTGTAGACGCGGATGATCCTTCGTGACCCGGCCTCGACAGAATTGATAGCCACATAGGCGCCATCTCCTCTCCAGCTGACCACCGTGCACCCGTCGTCGGCGGGGCTGAGAGTTCCCTGGTCTACCTTCTCGGGTATCGTGGGATCACGAAGAGCCTTTGCCTTGGCGCCCCTGCCCTGGAACTGGGTCTCCTTCTTGCCCCAGCCAACGCTGACATGCTTAGACGCCTCCAGGTCGGCGGGGGTCATGGCAGCCTCGGCGATGCCATCGAAGGCACGGCTCATGAAGACCACATTCCCTTCCTTGGTGGCGATGAGCAGCAACTCCTCGTCCGGAGACCACCGCGCAGCTGTGATACCGGCGTCTATGGAGCCCATGATCTCGATGTGAACATCTCCAGGGTTCAAGCCCTCCTGCACAATGATGAGGTCGCCACCCTCGAGGACGAGACTTGCCGTCGTGGTGTCACTGAAGTAGTGCAGGCTCACGACACGGTCGACCGGCAAGTCTGGATTTGGGCTTGGGGCGTCCCACGAGGCTATCTGTTCGCAAAGCCTGTACTGGTGTTAGTATATGGCTGTTCTAAGCGGCCGTGGCCGTGATAAGAAACTGGGGGCAGGCTCACAGTGGGAATGCCGGGTCCTGACGGCTGACATCGTCAACCACCCTCAGGAGCTCGATCTTGTGGTCTGGAGCAGTTGGGCCGCAGGTGACTAGCACCTCATCCTTGCTGGGGTCCCAGCATGTTGCCGTGATATCTGACGGGGCCTTGCCGACTTTGTGGCAGATGTTGCGAAGATTTCTCATCGTACTGGAGTTCAACGAGCGATGAGACCCTGGCCAGCACCAACTGCCTTTCCGCAAAGGACCTTTACAACGGCTTGATGACTTTGACAGCGGCTCTTTTGCTGGTGAAGACCAGAAAGGTCAAAAGAAGAGTCGTTGCCAGGCCTGTTTGCGAGGGTGAGATGAGTCTGGATGTGGTGGTACCGTGTTGGCTACACGCACTGTGTGTGCTGCAAGGAAATGGTCACCTTCAGTCAATTTTTTTTAGGCCATACATGCACGCATGCGTGCACATGCATTTCACAGTGCATCTCACAGTCTGCCTACCCACAAGCTTCTACGAAGTCCTTGCTCTCTGCCCCCCAGAGTCGTACTGTGGTCTACTTCTGTCAGTTCTGGGCCAGGGTGCGGTGGCGTACGGAGTATGAATCCCAGGCTCAGAACAATGGGAAACAAATTTTGTACTGATATCGATTTATTTCCCTTGATAACAGACGTCAGGGATTGTCAAACCACGGGCATTTGTCCCTCGGCCCACGGGCCACGGCTGATGAGCTGAGGAGGAAAGAGCTCTCTTGGGCCTGGCCGGTCCCGTTCGGTTACTCGTTAGCTTTTTCTTCGGCCCAAGGACCCCACCCCACCTCTGCCCACCTTCTGGCCCTCCTGGCCCTCGCGTTGCCCCAAGCGGAAACAAGAACATCTCATAATCCGGGGAGATGCGACACGCTGCTGCTGCTGCCCCCAACCGCTGACCACGACAGGCACATCACAAGAGTCAATCCACAGGGCCCCATCAGACCACACATCAGCCGTTTCCTACTCAGACACCCGCACGCACACGACCCCCTGTGCCACTGTCACAAGCAAGTAGCCGCGTCAATTGCCCGTTGCAACGGCCTGCCCGGTCATTGCTTTGCTGTGCACACCCGCCACAACAACCCCCGGAAATAGCACTTGGTCGCTGGCCTGATCTGCCCCAAAGTGGCATCAATCACGTCAATATGGACGCAGCATCTGCTTATAACCAGCATTCGAGCCAGGGCCGCCGCAAGAACCGCTCCTCGACGAACCTCAACCACCTATCCCTTGCCCCGTTGACCACAAAGCTTCCAATCAACGACACTGAGATCATGTTTACCGAACTGAACATTCAAACCTATTCCACTTCGTATATCCAGGGCAAGTCTGCCCCCACCACGCCCTCGCTGCTGAGCCGCTCTCCGCGGCGGGCGAGCTCCAGGACTCGACACCACTCCCGCCAGGGCTCCGCGACCCCATTGCCAAAGAGCAAGTCCGCCATTCATATAGGCCCACAGGGCAGGCCTCCCAGGTCCGGCACCACATCACCTGGCGGGCAGAGGCGCGGGTCGAGAAGGGAAGAGCCCGCATCTGCCCGTGGCAGGACCGACAGCGATTGGCTCCTCCGCGCCGGTGTTCTGATCAGCAGCGAGACCAGAGAGTCCAAAGGCCAGTCATGGCTGGTCTCCCGCGCGAGCTCGACCAGCCTGACAGGTATGCAGGCCGATCGTGAGGACGAGGACGACGACCATGACCCGGACATGTTCGAGAGGGAGAGGATAGCCCGCGAGAACGCGATCGCGAGCAAGCACGCCAGCCGGAGGGGTAGCATGGGCGTATTTGAGGGCGACGACTCGCCACTGGTCAGCCGCACCGGGAGCTTCCACGCCAGCCGGACGGGTAGCCGTACCCAGCTGATCACGCCTGGCGAGAGGGCCAGCATCGAGGGCTACTTTGCTTCGCATGGCCCGCCTGGGGACTTCACCCCCGGCCCGGATTTCGTCAACCTCGACGAGAAGCTGGAGGCCATTGGCCTCGACGGCGAGGCGGATCAGGATGACGAGGCCGACGTGAGGAGGCTGGTCAAAAATGGGCAGTCCCGGCCGGGCACTTGGTTTGGGAACATTTTTGGGTGGACTCTGGCCTCCGTAGAAGAGAATGACGAGGACGATGACCCCGATGGGGAGGGTTCCGAAGGCGAGGCAGAGATATCTACACCCGAGACGCCTTACGAGAGGCAATTCGAGGGGGCTAGCATTTTGTCCGAGCAAAGGATGCCCGCCCCTAAGGCTGAACAAGGCGGCTGGCAAGATGCTGCCTGGCTTCTGAGCGTTGCGTCCAAAGTGGCATGGTCCTAAGAGGAGCAAGTACAACGATCACCCACTTGTTGCTTTCCGAGACCGATGGCAGATGACAGGCAGCGATGGTCGATGCAATCGATCACTTTCGTGGTGCGGAACGGGGCGTGGCTTACCCACACAGCCGTGGGGCCAGCCCCGCCGTGACGGTGCCTGGGGACCTCCTCAAGCACTCGTCGTGACCACGTCCTGCCGGCTGCCATCCGAGACAACGGTTCCAGAGGAAGCACAGCGACTCCGAGTCCGACGCCTAGACTTCGCGCCACGACGAGGTGCCAATTTCCGCCTTGGGTAATCACCCTTTATGTTGACGTGCGGAGTCGGCCGACTGCACCCTAGAAGAGGCATCAGGGCACTATGTCCTGTTGGCGTCGATAATGGTCACTCTTTCGGCAGGCAGGCGGGCCGGTCTCACGGCGGACTTGCATCTATGGACTCGGCCAGAACGTGGGTCGAGGGAAGGCTACTGGCCGGGGAAACTGTCAAAAAACCTGTTTTTTTTTTCTTCTGAAGAGGCGTAACTCTAGCACCTTCGTGTGCATGACTTTTTTCCTGGGCGAGTTTGTTCTACTCCGTACTGTTGGACTGCTCTCCTCCCCTCTCGACACAACTTTCAGTCAAATTATGGGGATCTTTCGACGGCTAGTTGCGCGCCAAGTAGTTGCTTTGAGGCGGACAAATACTCCCGCGCGAACGATTTGTCATGGCTTACTTTGCGGCGAATAAATGCTAATCATTCTCCTTTATCCGATCTCTGTGCTTGAACTGTCGGGTTTCTCCATACCACAGGAAACTGGAGCGGTGGTGGGATAGCTCGCCCACATTTTGTGGATCAGCCAACCCCGCAAGACAAATCCTTGGATGCGAGCATGAAAAGGGCACTATTAGCCGCGCGGAGAGCGACCTCGTGACCCACAATGATTATAAGCATCCGATTCGTGCTGCCTCGCTGAGTTGACAGTATGAGAAGCTCATCAAGGAAAAATGTCATATCACGATTGGATATGTTTGTAAGCCACAAGGCATGCCGCCGAAGCGGAAGCCGTGATACGGGCAGGTTGTGAAGGGCCGCTTGTTCCGGAAGTTGCCGCATGGCCGCCGGTCCCCAACAGCCTCATCCAACATCTTGGGGCTAGCGACGGGAGTTGGAAGCCCGGAGGATACATCCGTTCACGTACCGGATGGCCTGAACTGGCCCAGTCATTGGAAGGAATAGTGCGCCCTGGCGGTCCATGTGCGACGGCCTCAACCAGGCCCGCGGATTTGTCGGGGCCATTGCGGGCAGGAAAAACAACATTTTCCTACTCGAGTAGGGGTCTCGCCGGCAGGTAACTCCTATGACAATCCCTGCAAATTGCCGGAAAGAAGTGCAGGATCCCGAATCCAGGGATACCCAAGCCAGTCTAGTGCATCTGCATGCAGCCTTGGAACCGTAAAGGTATGACGCGTGAGCCATATGACGTCTGAGCAGTGGAATGCCTCGGGCGATGCTTTAAAGAAGCTCGAGGCGCCGTCCAAGCTAGAGTCGCTACCAAGAACTCTGTAACGGATGGATGTGATGGGTAACATGCGAAGCGAAAGACTGGAAATGTGTGGCGCATCCTGAGAATCAGTCAACTACGCGTGGTCGTCAATTGCAGACAGCCATGTGTTGTCCGATCGCAACGGGTTGGGTCAGGTGGATAAAGCTCGGCAGCTGCGCTAGGACAAGGCCTGTGGCTGGACAGTGATCTTGTCTCGATACAGCGTCCGCACGGGAGCCCGTTGCCCAGAGGTGTGGCTGGAGCACAATGGAGTCTACCGTCTGAAAACTCAGAGTCTAATTGAGCACATCCAACGTGCAGATTTGGCCGGTATGGCCGGCGGGCAAGACACAGCTCACCGCACTCAAAGACCAAGAATGATCCGACCGTCGTCGACACGCCTGTTCTGGTCCTCACCGACTGGATCCGTTGTCGTTCCGCAGTGCGGCCCAATGTACCAGTACGAGGTGCGCTGGGGTAACCAGGCCTTCTCGGTCGATTGCCGTGTGCCAGGGACGTTGTAATACCAGGGCCCATTAAGCAAGAAACAGTGGAGTCATCGGCTGTCCGATTAGGAAAGTGTGCCCCAGGCCAGCCAAGCCAATGTGCAATGCCTGTAGGGCCCTGGGTGCCGCGGGCGGGCTTGTCCTGCCTGGGCTGCCTGGGCTGCCTGGCTGCCTGGGGGTTGGATCGGGGGCGCTTCGGATGGTTGAACAAGAGTGAGGTCGGGCGGGTGAAGTCCAGATGGTCAGGGCGCAGATCATGGCCACATCGGTAGAAGCCACTGGCCATCGATGCGCCCTGGGTCTGGCATGGCGGTTGTCGGGGCCGGGCAGGTCTTGTAGGCGTGGAGCCGCACACACCACACGGAGGGCCGGGGGATCATGTTGCAGGCTGGCAGGCTGGCAAGCAGTTGCAGTCTGTCAGGCTGGCAGGATTGGTCGTGCCGTCACCAGTCTGCCCGTCTGCCCGCGTCACCAAGGCCCCATTCGCACGTGCCTCGATGATCTACTGACAGATCACACCATCTCGCTGGGAGGAGGGCAGGAGCTGTGCAGGATATCAACGAGGGCCGGCTCGCCGTAAGGGAGGTGACGAACGGTGAGTGGGATCCTCGAGGTTGGGGGCTGTACTCCGTACCGATACCTGGGTTGAGGCCGAGTGTCTCGCTGTCTTTGTCTCTCCCTGGCTCGACTCCAGTGGACTCGACACCGCCTCGGCTCGTGGTGGCTCGGACGACCCAGGGCAGCAGCCGCACCCGGCGTGGGCGGCAGGAAGGGAGAAGCAGTGTTGCCAGATGCCGTGCGAGATGCGATGTCGAGTTTATTTATACCACGACAGCTGGCCCTGCCGTTGATGTGCGAGCGAGACCATGGCGCTGGAAACAGGAGGGAAACTGCCGGCTACTTAACAGGAAGGGCTGACCTCAGGGTTTGGGTGTGGATGCGACCGATACTTTTTGATGCCCCTGCCTAGACCAGACGGGAAGGTGGGTCCAAGCAATGACGTCGTGGCTTACCTTGACCCCGATACCCTGTGCCACGCTCTGTGGGGCAGCGTCGCATCATCTCGGGCTCTGCTGCGGTACGCGGGACCTCCCAACACTGGCACCTGGCAGGCGAGCAAGGCGCCTGGGCAGCACAAGTACCCCGTACGTACACACACACACACACACACAGACGATTGATGGCGCCTGCTTGCCTGCTATTATTATTACCTTTAGATAGCTGAATTACCAAACTCCGTGCTCCCGCCCACGCCCACCCTCACACTAGCCGCTGCGCCGGACGGAGCAAGCACAGGAAAATTTGCGTACATAGCACAGTACAAACTGGCCCCCCTGGTGCGCTTCAGCCTGTCCAACGGCCGTGTCGACTGGATGATTATTAGTAGTAGTCTGGGCGATTAGTCTGGACGGAGATTCCCAATCTGGTGGCCCTGCCCTGCAACCCTTTTTCCCCCCTTCCCAGACAGACCTCAGACGCTCACCACAGCGACAACCCCTCCGCCCCTCCGCCAGAGAAACCTGCCCACCACCAGCCAGGCACGGCGACCTGCACGGTACTCCGTACCTACATTGACCAGGTCGGTTCGACAAAGTCACAACCGGGTGGGACATCTGGGCTGCCAGGGTACCCACATCTTATTTCCCTTCCGTTTCTCGGTTGATGCTAACCTTATGACCGAGGGAAAGGCACCCCCGATCCCTCGACCAGTTGGCAGACAGACGTCCGTCTGTCTGGACTCCATCTATACACAGTACACAGTACTCCGTAGCTACACCAGCACCCAGTGTCTGGCATATTTCGACTACTGACTGGTCCTACTGGGTCAAGGTAGGCCGCCCGGACTCGAGACCCTGGCCAGCCACGCCTCGACGGCCTCGTCAATCTCGTCACACAGCCGCCCACAGCGCTAACCCCCACCAGGCCTTACACTCAGAGTCCTCAGTCGCCTACTTACTTACTCTCCTGCTGCCCACCCCCCGCCGGCACGGTCCTGAATATCCTCATTTCGCCGGCTCTGGGTGAGACCGTGAGACTTGTCAGAGCCCCGCGTCAACTCGACTCATATTTCCCACCCGTGTCAGGTGAGTATTCTACTACGTCACGCACCTCTTCGTCCGGCATCAGCGCCTCACCACGCACTCCCTCGTTGCAAAGCTTGCTGTAGATGCTACTACAATGTAACCGCCTCGTCGCCCGGCCTGCCACGCCTGTTGCTCCTACGAGGGCAAGCAATGTGACTAGATATGGCCCATCCTAGCCACTCTGCTGAGCGCTTGGGTCAAGGACACGGCTCGCCGGGCGTGGGATCGCCTCGCTATCCTGCCTGGATTTTGGGCTCTGGATGCCCGCCCCATGCCACCTCCATGCCATCCCCTCTTGCATCACACCGGCCCGCTTCTGCTCATGGCCCGCAACGTCGGACCCACATGTTCTTTTTCTGTGCGCTGCGGCTGACCACGTATATTTTGGTAGCAACCGACCAGGTTTCGCCCTCCCACGCTGCCACCTGCTGCTCCTCCCTACCAGCTAGGGAACCCCTCCCTTCATAGAGAGTAGCCCAGGTAACAGGTACACTGCGCGTTGGTGAATCTGCCAGAATGCCCGAGGTATGTGCTTCAGATCCTGCTTTTCCCACCCGTGCCGAGTCATCCACAGGCCCGCCGGCGCATCTCACCTTGCTGTTGATCGATATGACCGCTGACAACAACTGGCAAATTGCGCAGAACGAGGAGGCCCTGCCAGACTTTGGCGACCATGTCGACATGGGCACCTTCTCTCAGATCTTGGAGATGGATGAGGACGAGAGCGAGCGCGAATTCTCCAAGCCTCTGGTCCTCAACTTCTTCGAGCAGGTTGAGGAGACGTTCGAGAAGATGGACACTGCCCTGTGAGTGGTTTGATCCCGCCCGCCTCGTATTTACGACTCTCGATTGTCACCAAGGCCAGTCGACCAAGGCTGCGCGCGTGGGAAATTCTCCTCGACAATCATGAACTGACCACCGTCCTCTACCAGTGCCGAGAAGGACCTGAACGAACTGTCCAGCCTCGGCCACTTTTTGAAGGGGTCTTCGGCCACACTTGGCTTCAACAAGGTGCGAGACAGTTGCCAGGTCATCCAACAGTACGGCCACAAGCAGACTCTCGACGGTACCGACGAGCCCGATGAGGAAGTCTGCCTCAAAAAGATCACCGATGCCCTCAAGACGGTAAAGGTCGATTTCGCCGAGCTCGAGAAAGAGCTTAAGATTTTCTTCAAGAGTGGCGAAGATGAGGAGGCCAGTGAAGATTGAAGCCTTGACCTAGTCGAAACTCCACCGAATTCCCATTTGGCACGTTCGCCCCCAATAGGCGCGTGACAGCCTCCTGCTTCGCTACAGCATACCCTCAGGATGCGTGCTCGTTGGATTAGCCCCGAGGCCGGAGGCTGACCTCTTTGGCTTGAGTCGACTCAATGGCCGAGCCCATTCCCTCTGGACAGCATCTCTCAGGATACCATGGTTTTGTTTCAGAGTCCACTTTCAGCAGAAGTCCCGGTGGGTCCCGCATCATGAGACCGCTTGCATTGAACATGGCTCAAGTCTTTTACAAACATTAATAAGGTGGTGAGGTGTCGGTGGTGTAGTATCTACCCTGCTTTGAAGGGGTTGTTCTGGGCCAGCCACCATGCATGTCTTGTCCTGCGGCCCCCAATAAGACCATTAGAAGCACCAAATATACCCGACCGGACTGGGGACATCACAATTGCGCCGTTCTATGTGTACCCGTTCTTGCCTTGTTTATTACTACTCCAGCGCATGCGACCTGTAGTACCATTCACATCACTGGTTTCACAGGTTGAGCATAAAGTACTGCAAACCCCAAAAGTTAGATCTGGTGTCTAGAGTAGATATCTGGAGGCCGGGAAGGCAGGCAAGAACAGTTTCAAGCAACGGCCTCGGATTCCACAACTTGCACATGAGAGGATGCCATCAACACGAGGATGCCATATGGTGAGGAATGCCGAGTCTGGCAGTCAGAGGAATGAGTGAAACTGCCCCAACCGGATATGCTGCCGCCTCACTGGTACCCCGTGCTGAGGCTGCCTTTGCCAAATGAAACCTAGCCAAAGGCTTTTGTCCCCCGCAAATTACTTTTGTTTGGGGGAGGAGGCTTCGCATCCAAGGGCATAAGAATTTGCTGTGTGCGCTCACCATGACGTGTATACGTCAAGAGTTGTCTCTCGCGATGCAATCCTGAAGCCGAGCGGCAGACCTATAAGATTCTCCCAGCCACCCGAGGAATCTTCTTACAAGGGCAGCTATTCCTAAGTTCACAGCCAGTGGAGTGAGAAGCATCAGAGTGCCATCGGATCGCTTCTTCAAAATTCAACCTCAGCTTCAACTTCGTATGCAGCATCTACTACCGTGCCGTTCTCCTCTACAGGTTTGGCGCTCATCCTGCAGATGGCAATCTTTTCCAGGGGGAAGCCCTCCAGCCAGACCTGGTCTTCGTAGCGATCCATGATGGCCTGACCATCGCTGACAAAGGTCCGGTCACCCCTCTTTTTCCGGTTCCCCTTGACATAGATCGTGTTGACGATGGTTGCATGCAGTAATAATGGCCGGTCATCAGGTGCCAGGAGATTTGCTTCTTTGAACAAGGCTTTGACCTTCTCGGAGAACCCATGGAGGAGGCCGGTCTGGTCGGCCGGGGGCGCAAAGAGCACGGTAGCCTTGTCGGCCTTCTGGAAGGTATGCAGGCCCTTGAGCGTGATCAGCGGCTGTGGCTGTTCACTTGATACTTCTCCGCCCGAGGACCCGGGCATCACCGGCGGTTTGACGGTAGAGATGATATCCCGCAGCTTAAGCGACTTCAGCAACTCGACAGCCTTGTCCAGACCCTCGTCCTTTGGGAAGGACATCATGCCCAGTGTAAGATGCAATGTCCCCACGGGTCGGACCGCGTCAAAGGGCAGTTCAAACCCCCCTAGGGCTTTTGGCCGAGTGACATCATCCCGGAAGGATGCGATGCTCTGAGACAGCTGCGGTCGAGATGCTGTCGACACCAGGGGGATGCACAAGAAGTGAGTCAAGGGAGGTGCTTTTGACGTGTGGGAGGAGGCCATATTGATGCTGCCTTTGAGGAATCGGCTCATTGGCCTTGTGGTGATGTGTTGGAGAGAGCCCGGCTGTGCTAATGGTTACTGGAGAAAACAAGCAAGAGGAGCTGGTGCGCATGGCGCTCGCTTCGGCTGCGGCGAGGGTTGTCAGTGACCTCGCCATGGTAGATATAGATAGACGTTGAGCTGGGGTTGGATCGGGGGCTACTAATCCCTGGACCCTGGACTAAAATGGCTGACAGGGAGATGGATGGGCTCCCTATTAGCGGACAACTACGCTTACCTAAGAGGCAAGGAACGTACGGTGCGCTGGTACTGCATCGAGCATCTGACGTTAATAAACGCCGGCAGGAGCTTGGGAGGCACAGGAGGCTATGCCACCTCCAGCGTTCCCGAAAGGGCGATTACTGTGAGGCGACTCTAGGCACCAACTTAACAAGACTCACTCACTCTTGCACTCCAACAACCCCATGAGCTCCCGCCCTCGCCCGGAGTCTCCTACATGATGCAGCTGTCTCGTCAATCCAGCAGCATCCGCTACGCCTCCTCGAAATCCTTCCTGCCCTGAGCCAGGGTTGAGACGACTCGAGACACTGCGGCTCCGATGAGCCCTCCAGACAAACGCGGAGGCTCCGCCGCCTCCAAGGGCCCGACTCATGTCTTCCGCGGCGGCAGCCCCCGAAAAGAGCTGCCCGCATCCGCCTCCTCCCCCTCCTCGTCGTCTGCAGTGCGCACCAGCAGCGTCATTGCAGCTCCGCCCCGAGCCCAACTCAGCTCCTCGCCGAGTCCCGAAGGCCAGTCTCGCACGCCAAGCGGCAGTGGCCCTCCGCTCAAGAGCACCGGCAATGGCACCTCAACGCCCTTGTCCCGGCGTAGCAGCAATGCGCAGAGCACACGATCTCTCGCGGTCTCGGCAGTCTCCTCCGCAGAGGCTGGGTTGAAGGAGAAGGACACGCGGATATCCATGCTGGAACGCGAGATGGAGCTCATGGAAGCCGAGTTCCAGCGGGAGCTTGATAAGCTCTCCCGCAACGAGAGCGAGACTGCCTCGTTCTGGCAGGCCAAGCACAGCGCGCTGAATCAGCAGTTCCTGAGGACCGACACCGAGCTGCGGCTGCTCCGGGACGAGATGCGTGCGCGTGAGGCAGAGACCGAAGACCTTACCAGGGGCTGGAGAGACGCGCTGAGGGCAGAGCTGAACGGTCGCGAGGACGAGATAAGAGGTCTGCAGGCGCAGATCAGGGGCCTGAAGGAGTGGGTCAGTACCAGCACGAGGGCTGATGGCACCACAAGCGACGAGGTCTTTGGGTCTGGCATGGCAAATCTGGGCAATGGCCTCCAGAACTGGGTCATCACATACTTTCGGAAGGTCAGGGTTGACCTGTCCAAGGCAGGCGAGACGGCACTACAGGAGCTCGCCGAACTTGTGCCCATGTACGAGGAGCTGGCCCAGACTGCCAAGATCCATCTCCTGCAGTCAGTCGTGTCCAGGATCCTGGTGCACAGGATATTCAGAGCTTACTTTGTGGGCTTGTCACCTGACCAAGAGCAGCAGCTCAAGGAGACGGAGCGCACGATGGCGTCTTTCGGTAAGTGAGCCGCTCCCGGAGTATAATCTGAGACATTCCGGGCTTACACGCGCACAGGATCTGTCGAGTCTGTCAACCAATGGCGCTCTGTGACCCTGGCGATCCTGAAAAAGGAGGCGGCACAGAAGATGCAGGTACAGACAAGGGAAACCGCTGACGAGGTGGTTGCCCACGTCAACAGGGTTGTGGACTCGGTCACTTCGGACAGCGCTGCCTATACGGACGGCAGCACTGCGCCAGCAAGTTTATCTACAGAGGCGAGAGACCTGGCATTACGGCACATCGTAAGCAGTGCCATCGAACTGTCGCGCCTTCTCGTCGTGCAGAAGGCCGTCTTCGACGTATGGATGCCCGAGATTGTGCCACATCAGCAGGTCATGTTTGATCATGCGACGATGGACGATATCGGAGGTGAGGATGAAGACTCCCTCGTCCAAAGAGAAATATCCTGTGTCACCTTTCCCGGACTCGTCAAACAAGGCGACGAGAATGGCGGGCATCTACAGTTTAGAAACATTATATCGAAAGCCAGGGTACTCTGTAGCCCGCAATAGACGAACCTCCTCACCATGATCTCCAAGATCAGCCTTGTGATCAGACTCGACCGGCGGGCTAGCAGGTGCCGGAACTCCTCCCCGGTACTACTCGCTGTGTCCACTGCATCAGGGGCCGGCCAGATACCGCCTCGGTCGCTCAGTACTGGGGTGCACGGGCAGGCTTGGTAGCGAGCACAAGAGCTCTGGCCCACAGCATTGAGAGTGCCACATAGCGCAGACAGGGCGTCCATGGTGTTTTTCCGGGTCCTTTGTGCGCAGGTGCTCCGGGGAATCGGGATCCGGCACCAAGACCTTGGTCATTGACGGCGACCGCGCCAATAATTACCCAAGTCTCTCACCGAGGGCCCCCTCTTTGCATCCAGTGCTCACATTCAGTCAACTGGTGCTCTCGGTCCGTCTGGAGACTGCTGCGAGGACCCGTCCGGGTAGTCGGGATAGCTTCCCAGCCGACACAGGGCCTGACGTGTAATGGGATCGCCAAATCGGCGAAAGAAATTCAATCATGTGGCTCAAGTTAGTCGCCACCGGTGTGACTACTTTGAGTCACTTTCGAGAGAGGTCAACCAAAGCATATCTGTTGTTGTCAACGTGGGACTCGTTCGAGCCCTCCATGCAACACTCGAATGATTGGGCGGCGTGGAGATGCATCATGCAGCAAGCAACTTGAAGCAGCATGGTGGTGTGGGTGGGGGCAAGAGACACCCATCTGCTTGCTTACTCACGCAGAGCCTCAAAATTTCGGGGTTCTCGGACGAGCCCACCTGCAAATCGAGTCTGGTCCTCCATCTCCGTCCCATTGTGCGGCGCTCTTGCGGAGGAAGGCTGGAATGCCTGCTGCACCTCATGCATGCACCTCCTGCACCCAAACTGGCAGCCCATCTCCAGAAGGGCAGCACAACCTGATCGTGTGCTCCCATCTCACATTGAGCGAAGGAAGTTGCGACTTGATTCTGGATCCCCTTCCATGGCCTCGACGTGTTGAGGTCTATTGCAGTTCAAATAGCTGCTCGCCACTCCCATTGGAACCACTCGGGATACCGGACAACGGATGTCTCCGGAATTGTTTTCCCAAGCCGGAGCCGGCACGACGATGCAACCTGCGAGATGGGTGTCTGCATGATAGGCAGACCGCCAAAGCTCGACAAAACAATGGAATGTCTCCCTGTGCGATTGGTGAATTGTGGGAGCGAACGGGACGACAACCATACAGATGATGGGCAGTCTTGCGGTGAGCTAACAAAAGCCACGTCGGCGCGTATCGACCTGGATCGTATGCGACCATGACGATTCACAGCCCGAGGTCACTCCCACCTGAGGAGGTGGCTTCTGCCGACCTCGTACGGAGGCGGTTCTTGGCTTGATGCACCATGTCCAGCATGATCGAGGGGAACACGGCAATTGTGGCTAGACTCCTCGGGCATTTGGCCATTCTCCCGACTCTGCTGTCCCGGTATCAACAATATTACGAAAGCATATTAACATGGACAAAGGTTACTCACAAGAGAGAACAGACGCTTGTAGACGAAGCCCGCCGGCCAATCGCCAGAGAAATGGGCCGCGAATGTGGTAGTGAGCAGCAGGAAGCGCCAAGGCTTCCAAGGTTTCCACACTGGTGGAGCTTCGAATGCATATGCAGCACTACACCATTGATTGATGGTGTGCATATCCCTTCCACAGGGCTGGTCGGTCCAGTTGGCTGAAAGCGGAGGTGCCGCTCACCATGGGACCCAAAACGCTTGAACAGCTTCGAAATAGTCGTCAGCAAGTAGCGGGCCGTTAATCGTCCTCCATCACCGTGGACCGGGGCAGACGATCAAATGCGCAAATGTCAAGCTGCAACGTCCACGTCGCAAGACATGGCACGACCTGAAGCGAGAAAAATCGCGAGACCGTACCGCGACCAGGAATTATTCGTCATTATCCGCCGTACTGTCCAACAGCACTCGAGCGAACGAGTTGCTCGCATTTCTGTTGCACAGTGCTCGGTGGTGCGGATGTTGGTAGCTCGTCCGGCAAGCCAGGCAGGGGTGGCACGCCGCGGGCATGTGTCGCAGCAAGAGAGGGCTGCAGCATCATCGCTTGACCCTCTTCATGTACCGCATCGGAACCTGGGAGACGTACCCTTTATGGGAGATACCTATATGCAGACTGTCAGTCTCCTTCCCCGCGAACTTGATGGTGTATATATGTGATCTTACCCCCGTTGAGGTCCTGGGCTGGGTTGCCACTCTACCCCATCGCCAGCAACTTCTCCCCCGGCTATCCCCTGCAACCCATGCACAATCACCACTGTCTATCTCAAGCCCTGCCATCACCACCAATAGTACAAATCTACCATGTCGGGTAGTCATAGGTCGTCCAAGGGTAAGGCCAGGGCCAGGGATGCAGACTTGGAGCAATCTTTCTCGTCTCTCAGCATGAGCGATTATGGCCACCACCACGCACCACGGGCCGACTGCTACGACCAGTCGTACACAAGTCCATACGACTCATCTTATGACCCAACGTACACTGGCCACAACCAGAACTATGTCTGGGCAGCGCAGGGTTCGTATGCTCCCACACCGTCGCCGCCGGCGACATATGGGAGTACTGGGGCCTATAGCCACTATCCGGCCACCTCTGCCACCAGTTCGACAGGAGGTTATGAGTATCAGAGCGAACTCTCTGGCGCCCCAGCCTATAGCAGCTATTCGGCATATGACGCCGCATCCGTAGCAAGCAGCTCCGCGCCCTCATATGGTGGTGGGGGCACGGGAAGCGTCTGGAGTGAGACGGAATCTCAGGCGACTGGGGCATCCTCTGCCCCGTCAAGAACGAGCCACCACACCGACGTGAACAGCACCATCAATCGCCAAGCTGCGCCCAACCAGGTTTACGAGCTACCCTGCGAGCTCAGAGATTTGACAGGGTGTAACGTGGTGTTCCCTGGCGACGACGAGCATGGCTGGATGGACCACGTTGAGAGCCACCTCGGGAGCACGTTCCCTTCGAAGCTGAGATGCTGTAAGCACCACTGTCCTGTGGATGGATAAGGTCGGACCACAAGCGGTAGCTGATACCATAAGCTTGCAGGGTTCTGCAACGACCATTACTTCGACGCAAAGCAGACGTCTAATGGCGATCTTCGTTACAACTTCACATCGCGGATGCAGCACATCCGCTACCATATCGTGCACGAGGGCTTCCGGCCTGAACAAATGCTGAGGGACGGGCATGTCGTTAAACACCTCTTCGACCATAACCTCATCGACAGCCGCACGTACAACAGCATCCTGACCCCCTCGACAGTGCCACCCATACCAGGCGACCAAGGCAACCAAGGCAACCAGAGCCGGCAAGGCCACCAGAGCCACCACAGGAGCCAGAGGAGCTACCTGCCGCCGGTTGTTGAAGAGAACGTCGCCGGCGAGGGTAGTAGTAGGAGCCACCGTAGTTCAAATCACCGGTCCGACCGCCGGTCCGACCACAAGAAGAAAGGGCATGAGCGCAGCCATGGACCCTCATACAGGAGAGATCATTGAGATTGATGTGTCGAGGTGAAGGCGCGGCGTCTCCGTGGGGGCTCACGCGCCTGTATCCGCCGTCCTCGGTTGATGCGGCCAGCCGTCTTGTGTCCGGGACACAAGCACGCCGGTCGCGGGTCGCGGACCGGTTCGTTTCCTGGATCGAATCCGGTGGAGGGAGAATTGCCTGTGATACCACCCGTTCCTGTTGGGCCCTTGCTATGCAACGAAAATTGCCGTGCCTTTGACCCTGTGGAATCCTGATTTTCTTCCACATTTTTCCCCCTGGCCGTAGTGCCGGGTACTCGGCTGTTTTTGGCGACGGCGGGTGAGACGTTGGGACCTGTGGTCTGGCGCCTCTGACGAACACATTTTCCATTCTTCCGTGTTGTCTTTTTAACAAATTTTCCATCGGTCGGCGGACGTGGCAGGCTGGAATTTCTTGTTTCTTGTATCAGGTGGCACTGCTTCCGTTCCTGTCCGACTTCTCCAAAGGGCTTATTTGCCCCCGGTGTCGGCTAATCCACCCGATGGGGCTAAGAATGAGTGGACGATGAGATGAAGTGATGAGTGACATGATTTCGATTCTCGGAGAGGAAGCGTGGTTTGACAACGAGTGAGGAAATTCTTTGCTTTCTGAGCATCAATAGCGAGAGATACACAAGCAAGGCGCTCAGAGGGTCTTCCTCGTGGACGGGGCTTTTCTCTCTTCTTCTCGACTTTTTGGAAATTGATTTGACGGGTACCTTTCTCTCTAGCCAATCAAATGAACCGAAATTGTAACCTCTCCAGAGTACGTGAGACGACCCCATGGGTCCGATGAGTGTCCTCAGCGGGGTGAGGGAGGGCCAACACGGGGGATCTTATATTCTGAGTTCTGAGCACTCGATGCCCGCTGGTGGCGGAGCTCCAGACCGCCTCGCCAACCAAGAAATAGGAAAGGAAAAACGATACCAAGCTTCCTTCCTCCTGCGCAATTACGTGCATATTTCGACTCGTATCGGAACAGCAGGAAGAGGCGGGAAGGGGAAAGGACAGAGAGGGAGAGAGAGGGAGAAAACCGAACTGCGTGGTGGCTGTGTCGTTGCACTTGCTCGTGCAGCTGCTCGCCCGACTAGTATGAGGGAAAGGCAGTCAGTCAGTCAGTCGTGCATGCAACTTACCTGCATGGGGGCCTGTCAGGCCCAGGTCCGCCTTTTCAAGACCTCTTTCTCTCACACACCCACCCTCTCTCTCCCTCTCTCTCCTTTTTGCGAACCATCCTGGATGCCTTACGCGCTTCTGCGCGTGCAGGCGAGAGGCACGGAGGCTAGGGTAGCAGGCTGCTCTCTGTCAATCGGATTGCCCGGCTGGTGAATACACACCCCTGTCTGGTGTACTGTGCCAGCTCGCTTCTTGCCTTGGGACGGAACGGGCGTAGCATTTCTCTCGTTTGACCACCGCGAGGTTTTTTCTGGCATGGCCAATCACCTTGGCCTCTCGGGACACGACGGCCTCACCCGTGCAAACCTTCATCGATTTTTGGTTCTCCTGTGCTACGTTGAACTTTTGGAATGTGCTGTTTATTAGTACAAGCTCTACTCCGGTGCCTGCAAGCCAACCACGGCATCTGCCACCCCCCTCCCTCCAAAAAAAAAAAGACTTTCTATGGCACCACCCTCATTAAGACAGCTTCCCAACCTTTGAGAGATAATCTCGTACAGGAGAACCTCCTTATCAATAGCCTGCTGAGGTGGTCCATAGGAGAGACGGTCTCCAGCACAAGATCCAATTAAACAGCGACGTAGGAAAGCCGGAGGAGCTCCTATGCATCGTGTAAGTTCTTGCGGGTGCAATGATAAGGCACGTGAAGACTTTTGAGGATCCTTCAACAAGGCCAGACAGGGGCTTTCTCCCCGTATACTTTACTATGTCGCTATGTCTAATTTGAGCATCACGCAGATCATCGTTGTCTTGTGAGTTATGTCCATCACTGGAAATCTGCGTCCACACGACCGTACCTGACCCCGTCAACCTTGAGCTCAAAGCCCAAGCCTGCACTGTCAACAATCATCTCGAGTGTGAAGTCTAGGTTGTCAAACTCGACCCCCCTCGTCGTGGTCAAGCGGGTGAACAGGCTCCGGGGCACGGCGTTCAGGTCCGTGGTGAGCTTGCACACATGGACCAGGTCCCGCGTGTATGCTGCTGGAGGCTCGTCGGCCTCGCACGCAATCAGATCATCCGTAACCACCAGGGACTGCCCTGGCCTGAAGTTCCTCGTGTAGTGGAAAGCAATTGGCGTGAGCGGCGATATCGCATCCCCCTGTTCTGCTGTCAGCTTTCGTAGATCGAGCCGAGATAGCCCGTTCCCGCAGGTGGGGGGGGGAGGGAGCTTACCTTTGCAATGTGCCACTGCATGCGATCGCTCACCATCCACCTCTCCCACAGTGGGCTCCAATACCTCTCACTGACTGAATGTTTGTCCTCGTCAAAGACTGTCGCATAACTTGTGCCATAGTGCATCCTCGCCTTTCTCGAGATGACCATGTTCCCCTCAAGACCTCTGAGCACCGCGCCACGGACAACCGCCGTCCATGCATACACGGGCTGCATAACCTCGATGGAGGTGTTGTCACCGGCGTTGCTCAGAGCATTCGCGTGGGTCGGCCTCTCGCTGTACGGTGGGGGCGCCGCACTGGTGAAGTGCGATTTGACCCGTCGATACAGGTAGTCGCTCTGGCCGAAGCCACCGACTAGTATGATTCCAGACACGATGCCGCCTTTGGCCCGGAGGCCGTCGACCTGCCCCTGTACAAGGTCGCACACCTCCTTTACAACGGGCTCGAAGATTTCCTTGGCTTGAGCCGCGGTCATTACCAAGAATCCCGAGTCGAGGCCGACTTCCTCGTCGTCCGCAAGACCCGGAAATGGGATGTTGATCTCCTGGTGCTCGTCCTCGTTGAAGTTGCGCTTCACAAATTCCTCAAAATACCGAAGGCCCATCTGCCAGGTCTTGCCCTTCTTGGCCTTCATCTCGTCGAACCGGGTCTTGCCAAGCCTTGTCTTGACATGTTCCTCGAATCGGTAGTTCAGGAACGCGCTACCGCAGAGCCCGCCTGTCCCCACGGCCGACTCCTCTACTTTGAGTGGCTTCAGAGATATTATTTTATAGGCAATCAAGCTAAGAGCAAGTCAGCAGTTGCCGCCAAGCGCCCAGGGATTGAATGGGTGGGGAACACATACTCAACCGTGCCTCCTCCACCATCGCATACTATGAAGTTGTCCCCGACATTCAGGTGATTGGGTTGTATAGCCTTTAGGGTGTAGACCGCAGCTGCCTCGGGCTCGCTGATCATCTGGATAGACGATTTCGCGCCCATGCCTGCTCTCTCGGCTGCCTGGAGGGTTGTGTTCTTGGCGTAGTCAGACCAAACCGCCGGGCATGTGAGCACGAAGTCGACCTTTGTAGATGCCATAAACGACTCGCCATACCGTCGCGTGAGCGTGTCCATGGTGTGGTCGTAGATCTGGGTCAGGTAGTCGCTAACGGCGTCGACGACTGTCTTGTTATACTTCTTAAGCTGGCCTGCCGTCTCAAGCGGGCTCACGTAGAATGGCAGCTTCTGTGACCGGTCCAAGAACAGTTTGATGCACCGCAGACGCGACTCCTCGGGCCTGAATTGGAAGCCCCATTTTACAGTTGGCTTGGTGCCGGACGGCGCGTCTTTGGGGATCTCATAAGATATCTCGGTGGGTACCTTGTCAGAGGTTATACCGTTGCCCCCCGGCCATGTCTTGATGATCTCGACATCGTCAGGGTTGGAGGTATAGACGGCAGCGACACTGAGATTAGATATTAGCCCCGGCGCCCTCCTTCTCCCCATGCCAGCATGCCAGCATGCCCGCGGCCGACCGGCCTGACTGCAGCGCAACTACAGACGTCGACGAGGAAAAGGAAATAGAAATACTGCCAAGCAGGCATGAGGGGGCAACTCACCCCGAGAAGGTAGTCCCAAAGTCGACGCCGACAATTAACCTGTCGGCTATTGGCGCAAAGTCCCTGATTGGCTCTCTGACAGGCCCGTTGATGGCCTCAGTGGACGAGGGCAGGGCATAACTGGTAAAATAATTCCTGCTCTGTTGGTTGCGCTCACTTGTGGGCGAGCCTCGGATGGGCAGGTTGAGGTTATTCATGGTGGCTGATGGCGCAGGGAGAGGGGGCCGGTGCTGCGGCCCGAGGCGAGCGACAACTCAGTTCTGTCTCACGAGCAGTGCCGTCATGCTCAAGCCAGGGTAAGAGTCGAAACAAACGAGCGGCGGGCGGCGAGCGGCGAGCAGCGAGTGAGGGCGTGTCCGCAGGGCCTGAGAGACGATTCCTATGGCGACGGAGATTGGGAATAGATGTGAGTCCTCAGCTCAACTCGGCCCGGTTGGTGGAAAGCGGGCCAACAGGTTCGCTCCCGGGTCGCTTGTTGCGATACCAGCAATGCGTGTCTGCCACGGCGACGCGTTTCGAGTTGCCTGTACTGTTTGTTGGATGTCTCTGCACTCGTCGGTTCTGTGCCCTGTACTGGAGCTTTGCTGAGGAACCGAGGTGCTGACTGTCTGTTGGTGGTGCTGAGACCCGGCTCCCAATTGATGGATGGGCGCAAGAGTGGGGCGCAGTATGGACGGTTCCTCCCGAGTACCTCGCCTATCTGGCAAGCAGGCAGACTACTTGGTCAACCAGTCGCACGATGCTCTCTGTCAAGACCGTCCGTTCCTGCCTAGGTAGGTATGTTGCACGGCGCACCTGGGCAGCCTGTGGGGAAGGAGACGAGACTGGCAGTTTGAAACGAAAAAGAAGAGCAAGAAAAGAGGCAGCCGAGTCAATGCGAATTGACACCACCTGCTACCGTTAGAAAGGAAGGTCCACGAGGTGCGTGCTTACGCCAACACGTACACATCTCAGATCCTTCCAAGAATCTATTCTGCTGCCTGGTGTCGGCCGCGTTCCAAGGTTCCTTACTCCTGCTGCCGCTACCGCAGCGAGTACCACTCGAAACACCATCCCTCCTTGCTCCCTAAACTCAATTCGACCAGTGCACTTGCTTACCTAGGTACCTACTTATAACAAATGCGCCTATTACCGCTGTTGCTCTCTCAACAGCCACACACACACAGGCACAGGCACAGGCACATATGTCCAAACATCTGGCAGGACGGACTCTGGTATAGCAAAGATAGTTGGTTTGCATTACGATGTCCAGTGCCTGTACGCAGGCTGACCTGAACTCAGATATGTAAAGTAGACCTGGACCTAAGCGCCAGCCTCCCCGCCTCGTCCCCTTCTCGAAAGTGGCCGAGTCGAGGGGCTTTCAAACGGTCGCAGACCCCGTCCTGACTCCAACTCCCTTGTATACAAACAAAAAGTGTCCCTTTTTTGTTCTTTTCCACTCCCAAGGATAGCCGTTTCCAAAACCACCGCCCTCCAAAGTATCCCGCCCCAAGCAATCCCCTGAGATGATCCCAATCCAGTGGCACCAATGTAAATTGTGACTGGTTATCCCAACCTCGGGACAAAATATCTCTGGCGGATGCCACCCTAAGTCTCTAACAAAATAAAGAAGAATCTCCGGTCGTCTGGTCGAACCGTCCAATCTATAAAGGGGTATTCTGTACGGCAACTTCAACTCGCGAAAAAGACGCAGCCCGCCCTGCCGCCGGCAGGGTGCTCCAAGTCAACGAATCCAAATGCAAACTGATGCCAATGACTGCCGCCCAGCATATGCCGCAGCTGTAAAACCGGACCAAGAGAGTGACGCGATAGTGCTCCTCAACACCAAAGAAAAAGTAGAAAAAATAACTCCGTGTGAAAATGATCGGATCAGAAATCGAAGCGCTCTGAGTGTTCAATCTTGAAGGGAAGCGTTTGCCGGCGCAACTCGGTCGCCTAGAATCGATGGCTGGCCGCCCAGATGCTTGCCGAGGCCGACGCCGCCCAGTCACTCTCCTCGTACGGGGGCGTCGGCCATTTGTACTCCGAAACCTTCCTGTTCAGGTCCAGTGGCTTGGGAGCAACCACCTCCTGGCCGTCTCCGAAGAGGCAAGCATTCCCATTGGCCGAGGGAGAGGGGGTCGGATATGGGTTGGCAAATCCGGCGTTGGTCGGTGCCTGCCGGTGGTTGTCAACCCGGCCGTCTCGCTCGATCCGCTTCATGGCCTTGTGCGTCGACGAGAGGACCTCATCGAGAAGCTCATCCGCCTCGTCGGGGGCATCGTAGTGGTTCACTCCGTGGGTCGCTTGTGCCCTTCGGGTTCGGCTGGAAATCGGGCCTCCGTTTCGAGCAGCGCCAGCGAGGTTGTCCACGGACCGGGGCTTGTGCTGCGGCAGCGAGTGGTGACGCTTCAGGTTGCTCTGGGAGTTGGCCTGGTGTGCGGGAGGGGCCGGGGCATGCACGTTATCGGCATTTTGTTGGACGTCTCTCAAGGCTCTGTCGAGGGGTTCGTAAGTGTCCTTTGGCACAGGTGCCGGTGGTTGATCGATTACCATGGATGATCTCTGGCTTCCCCATGGACCGCATCCAGCTTGGGCCTCCATGTCCGATTCAATGGGCGAGACCGGGGTTTGGTGCCGTCCGGAAAACCTCCGTGCCCTCTTCCTTAGGTGGGAAAAGAAACTCTCCTTGTGGGCACTCGGTGGTGACGCCAGTCCGCTGCCGCCGTTCAAAGCTCGCTCGGCCTGTTGTCGATGAAGCTCGGAGTAGTGGTTAGAGTTCGACTGAACGGAAAGCTGTCTCCCGATCTTCTTGGATGACTTGTCCTCTTGTGGTCCATGCCTTTGAGCACCGTTTGCGTAGGCGTCGTTGTACGATGGCGTTCGGCTGCTGGCTTGAGCCGTCACGGCATCTGAGAGAGGTGAGATGGGGCGGATAGTGGGAAGAATTGGCATGGGTGCCACGTTGGAAATACCATTGCTCCATGTTGTCCTCTTGGGCGCGGCCGGCCGGGTCTTCGCGGGTACCACAGGTGCGACATCAACAATCATACCGTGGGCTGGGGGAGGCCGAGACGCAGTCGGCTCCTTCACAGTCTGTTGGGGGACTGCCTCGTTGGAGTCAGTGCGGCCAATGAGCGACTTCCTGAACCATGATGGTTTCGACGACATTGGCGGTGTCGCGGCATCCTTGGACCGTCCAATCTCGGAGGGCTTCCGGCCCAGCATTCTTGATGCTGACGACTTGGGTCGCAAAGGATCAACCGCATCGGCGAAGTACTCGTGCTGCAGCGTTTGTGTGGATGTCGGTCTGTTCTTGGGGTCCCACATCAGGCACCACGTCACGAAGTGGCTCAGCGACGCGGGCCACTGTGGTGTTTGTAGGATCGTGTCCATCGAGTGGGGGGCCATCTTAGGGAAGGAGAACCCCAACTTTCCGGCCAGTCTGGTGCCCTCGCGCCAGTCACCACCACCTACCCGCTGACCGGCCTTGTTGTACCAGTTCCCTGGGCTTCCCATTATCTCACAGACCCTCCAGACCTGGTCTACCTCGTTTCCACCAGGGAAGAGGGGCTTCAGCGTCGCTATCTCCACCGCCATTGCACCAATGGCCCAGATGTCCACGGGGGCAGAGTATTCGCCGGCCCTTAATAGCACCTCGGGAGCTCGGTACCACCGCGTCGATACATACGTCGTGTATGGCAGCTTGGAGTGTGTCTCCCTTGCCAGTCCAAAATCGGCGATCTTGACAGTGTACGTGGGAGGAGTGGAGGGTGGCGTGACCAAAGCTGAGTAGCGCCTGAAAGAGTTAGAAGTATCTTGATGGGAAGAAGTCGACACCAGGATGTTCTCTGGCTTGATATCTCTGTGGAAGAAGTTGTGTGCGTGTATGTGCTCAAGTCCTTGCATGATCTGGAACAAGATGCTCTTCACGCTCGCGTTGTCGAGGCACTTGTGATCTCTGGCCTTCATGAGTTGGTACAGGTTTCCCTCCATGTACTCCATGCAAATGTGGAGCTTCTTGCTGAAGGGATCCAAGAAGATGTCCAGGGCCGGAACCAGATGTTGGTGGTGTGGCAGTGTCCTCAGGAACACGACCTCTCTGAGCTCTAGGCATGGTGTGAAGGACTCGAAGGACTTCTTCATGGTCTTGATTGCCACCTGATCCAAGTGTCAGCTCCCTGCGCTGCGACGCAGTCTGTCCTATCCGCCACTTACTACTGTGCCTCTCCTGGCGACGTTGGCACCAGCGGTCCGAACCCTTGCCAAGACGACGCTGCCGAAACTTCCATCGCCGATCTCCTTGAGGACTTCGAACCTGTCCTCCAAGGCGTAGCCGTTAGAGCCGTTCAAGCCTGAACCCCGGTGGGTCAGGTCGTGTGCGACAGTCATGGCTGTGTGTGGTGGTGAAAACCAGTTTCAAGGTGAGTAAATGCTGTCTCCAGCCCCTGCAGTCGGGTGGAGGGCTGTGGGATGAGTCTTCGGGGAAGCTCTTTTTGCAAGAGCTTAATGCTGTAATTGGAGCATTCAGTTTCAACAATAGCGAGCGTCGAGGATTGAATCGATGGCGTTCGGTGGTGTCTGCGGGCGTCGAAGGTGATGTACGTGGTGGTTGAGGTGGTTGTAACCGGTTATCGATACTTGGGATGGATAGCTGGGATGTATACCTGAGGGAGGGTAGGGCGGAAACCAGGTTGACTTGAGTTGGGATTGGATATAGGAAAGATCAAAAAAGAGTGGACGGGCCTCTTGCAGAATTGGGCCTGGAATTATTAAAAGGAAAAGTGAAGAGATTGATGGGCGTGCAGGGAGGGACCAGAAAGATTGGGATGCGGGTCCTTTCCCTTAGGCGGCTCCGGGAGTTCTGACGCAGGTACCTCGACTTTCGCGTGAGGGTTCCGGGATTAGCGTGAAGATGCAATTATTAGAATAAACGTGGATCCAACGGTAATCTAATGAGCCTGGCTGCCCACTCGGAGTCGGTGCCCTGAAGGGCGTTGAACCGCTTGAAACTAGGTTGAAGGGATGATTTAAAAGGAAAAGAAGGACCGGCTGCAGCGTTGCCAAAGATTCAGAGCCGTCCCTGGGGTCTGGGCCCGGTGGGCGTTGCTCTTGGTCCTTTGCGTTTGAGAGGCGTCCCGCAGCGGGATTGGAATGACGGCTTGAGGGAGGCCAAGAAACACTACCAGCCAGGGCGAACAACCGTGACAGCTGGACGAGAGACGGCGTGTGAATGCGAATGTGAATGTGAATGTTGTGGGCCGCCAGAACGCAGCTCGTTCTGAGATGACGACGGGTTGACCTGATTTCAATGGCCGGTCTGCTGGTGTCGCTATTGGAACTGGCGTGAACTGCTGGCTGCACGAAGACGGGGCCCGTGAGTCCTGGCTGGGGGGAGGGGGGAGCCCTGGTGGATGAGAGGGCAGATCGGCCCAATAGCGGGTGGATTGGACAATTCCAGAACACCACGAGGAGGGCAGGAGGGCAGGAGGGCAGGACTGGGGACTCGTGGGCGGACTGGGGCGTGGGTCTCGAGAAGCTGGCGAGCAGAGTGGCTTGGTGCGAGTGGCAGACCCGGTCCTTAGCATGAACGAGAGAAGCTGGGGGTGGTCGAGGAGGATCGATAGGGGCAGACAATCTCGCTAACGATTCGGGTCTCAGCGTTTCTTTGAAGGGCCCAATTTGCGCCCACGACCAGGGTTTCCTCGAGTAGCCCCCGTCCGTATTTCTTCCGTCGTGTTGTTGTGGCCCGTCCCACGCACGGCACACGGTGAGGAAGCGCACGAAATGATGGGCAGAAAGGAGACGACTGAGCCTGACAAGGTTGCTCCACCTGGTTGAGCGCGACCCCAGCGAGATTAGCGGACGGGTGCTCTCAGGTGAGGCGGCAGGCGGCTATGGCATTTCGAATGGCAATGCGAAAGTGGGCTGTGGTTTTGGCGGTGGGGTTATTGGGAAGGAAGGCGAGATTGATGAGGGCAGGACAGGGAAGGAAGGACGAGGACAAAAGTGCTGGCGAAGGGAACGATCAGGCCCGGTCACCCAAATCACGGACAGGGTCAAATCAAGACAAGTCGAGGTGCGGTGCAATCAAGAGGTTGCATGCTGTCCTGTGGTAAAACGAACGAGCAGTCGAGATGAGTCGCCTGGCTCGCACGCGGCATTCGAGGAGGGAAGGAACAAGGGCCGGGCGGGAGGGCGAGGTACGGTACTGAGTACCTCCTGAGCACTGTAGCGTGGTGTGTGTCCCCTGCCCTGACTTTGGCCCTGACCAGCGCTGCAGACGCGTTACAACTGGTTGCCTGAGCCGAAGCAACCTTGGAACATTGGGAACCTTGGAATGCCCTGTTAGGTAAGGTACGGCAACTTGTCAGATGCTGATGTGCCAGTGCTGCAACTGGCGCCAATGGGTGGTCTGGTGGTGTGGTGGTGTCCGGGGGGGGGACTCCAAGGGCCCTTGGGCCCAGGTCCCAGGTGAGTTCATGCATTGCAAACGAGGAAGGGCCCGCCGCCAGTCACTGCACCGCGGGACTGGATGCGCAGGTACAAGCACCCGAGGTACACGGGGCGCCGAAAACGAGCGCGAGGGTACCACCCGTGCTGGTTTTGACGAGGTGCCTCGGTAGCGCTGGCACACCCGCCAGCATGCCTGGGTAGTGGCGCATAGCATGAAATGAAATGAAGGGCAGCGTGCTACTGTTAGTCCGGCCGCCCGGCCACCCGGCCAGAGGCCAGGAGCGTCCCAAAGGCTTGCTTTGCCTGTCTTGTTGACACGTCGTTGTCGAAGCGATGCAGAGCTTTTCGCATAACAAACAAGCGACTGCTTGACAGACCCCGCCCCCAGAACCAGCGAGTGGCAATGCTCTCTTGCATTCTGGCTATTCTTGTCGCAGCAGCAACCTTGCCTGGGCAACCGAATGCTGAACTGCCGATGCTGCTTGGATGGGTGGATGGCCTGCTGCAATCACCAAGAGCAGTGCAGGACCAGTGCAGGACCAGCGCAGGACCAGTGCATAGCGCATACTTTCGCACGTCTACGCAACAGTCTGCGCAACGGGCACCCAGGGCACTCTATGCTCCAATGCGGAGCCCAGACGGAGTGCTGTGACTGACTTCGTCTTGTCGGAAAGCCGGGAGGCAGGGAGGGAGGGTCCCTGCTTCAGCTTGCGCTCTCACAGATGCAGCTGAGCCCCTGCCACGGCTGCCGGGCTGGCTGCTGTTCCCTCACGAACTGCTGGCTGCTAGGCGTCTACCAGGCAGGAGGTCAATGCCCCCGCACAAATGAAGGGGCCCACGTCACTTGGGGCCTGTGCAAGACTAACACCTGCGACGCTCACGACCACGCACGTCAGGGATGGCAAGAACACGATCCGTTCCGGGCAGAATTTACCATCCTAGCGGTTACGCGACGACGTTTTGGCGTCTGATCCCTCGACTGCGCGGCACGAGCGCCAGGGGGTGACAGGGGCCGGAACAAGAGCTACCACAGCGCGGCATGCAGCACATGGACAGGAACAGGAACTGGCGCAGGTGATCTCTCGTGCTGGGCATATCGGGCGTGGGAGGGGGGGCATCTGGGGACCGGCTTGACATCGGGGCCACTGCTGCTGAAGGCTGGGCAGGCAGGCAGGCTGGCAGGCTGGTCGACGCCATTTTGTTGCAGCTCGTCAGTGCGCACTCGTGAAAGGCAACGGTGACGGACGTGCACGCACACGCCCGAACACTGCACACTGCACGCTGCAAGCTGCACGCTGCACAAGAGATCGCCATTGATCTGAGGCCCGCTCTTGCCCTTCTCGGTCGACCGTTGCAAGGTGGAGTCAAAAGCAAGCTCCTCACCAACACCCAAAACTGCGCATGTGCGGTAACGAGGGAGGCAGGGAGGCTGGCATCGCTGGCATCGCTCGTGATCGCTCGTGGCGGCCCTTCTGCCTTCTGCACTGACCAGTCGTGACAGTCCGCCAGCCTGCCAATATAATTACAAGAAGGGCCCAACCGTCCCATTACCACTTTTGAGTTTACCTCTGCTTGATTTGATGAGCACTGTCCACCAGGGCACCGCATGAGCAAGAAGCGTCATCGTGTGCGCGTCGAGCGGGTCAAGCCCAAAAAGAAAATCGAGCAAATAGAAAAAAACATACGGCATCGTCTGTTGTCCAGTCATACAATGGTCCCGTCGACGATAGCCTCTTCGCTAGAGGCAGCATCGCGTTGCTGGTTTCCGCTGCCAGCTCACCGTGCCTTGCAGGCTACTGCAACTCTTAGCCCTGTTGGGTCATTGGAAAAACGTATCTGGACGATCTAGTCCCGTTATGGGAGTGCAAAGATGGACCCGCCGGCAGAAAAGGGGGGATCGCCACTCGGCTTGCTCTTCCAAAGCTGCCACACGAGAGCCAGCCGTGGACATCACACCAGAGTTCCGATCTCCCCCCACGGTGTCTCTCTGTGCATACTTCTTGGGATCGATCGACTGCTCCCAAGGCGGTGGTCCCACGAGACCGTGTCAAGCAGTCACGATCGAGCTGCGTCTCCAGCAACAAGCTTGTCTAGCTTTGTCACCACGGATACCGCCGCGCAGTCGCCATGTCGGCATGTTCACCGGTCAATTAAATTCACGAATAGGATTTTCTCACCCGCCAGCAGGCAGGCCGTGCACGGGAAGGTATCGATACTTTTGTGCCCAGGGTCTGCGGGGTTTAAGATTCGGCCACTTCAAGTTGAGACGAAGCTCCCCGGTTGAAACGAGGCACGGGGAGCGGCAGGCTGCCAAAGAAGTAGAGAATAACGGAAGGAAGATTTATTCCGGAATGAATTAGTGGATCGGTGTCGTACTGGGGTGACGGACATAGGATCCCGGAAAACTGCCGCCGAATGTTTAGACGAAACGAGGCGCTGAAGAAAACACGTACATTGAAGGCACCGACAACCGTGGTTCTACGTCATCAGTTGGGGGTGGGTTCTGTGTTGTCGAGCTTCATATACACGAGGCTCGAACACTTGCCTCTCGGGCACTGATCTCATCAAACTTGCCACGCCCGATGCAGTGCCTCGAGGAGTCGCGTGTTGGCTGGCAGGGCGAGGTTTGTGGCAGCAAGAGCACGCGCCACTGGCCGGCGAGCTCTCGGGATCAAGGTTTCTGGGGAAGCCACTGCCTTAATCGAGCCCTTGAGCTGCTAGTCATTGTTATGGTGCTATAGCTGGACCTGACTGGCCGGGGCAGATGAGGTCGTCGAGCCGTCTGTGTCTACTTTTATGCGACGTTTTGGTCGGGTGAACGTGGGGCGACTTGTTCATGCACTCATCTTAAAGGGACACCGTGAGCAGTCACGCAGTCCAGCAGCAAGCAGACCCTTCGATGAACATGCCTGGCCGGAGATTCGATCCTCATCTCACGGGAGCTTGGGCCTCTGGTTTGCCCCAGGAAGCGTGCCGTCCTGCGCCCATGTAACCCCTACATCTCTGGCTAATAAGGTAGCCTGACCGAATGAGTGGTAGGGGTCTAGCTGTTGGCAATCACCAGGAGATTTGTCCCGAGGTTATTTCGAGGTTGGATCTGCCTGAGAGGCATGCCGCTGCCGGCAACAAGTGGCAGCGCTGAGCTTCGAAAAGTGAGGTGAAATTTGTCTCGTCTCAGCGCCCGCTCAATGCCGCCCCCAACCAGGTCGTGATGAATGGTGTCTGCGGGCGGAATCTCAAGAAGTCTTGCTTTCACTGCGGAGTATTGTCACGGAAACAGCACTGACTCGCCCGGCTATGCAGACCCAGCCCAAGGCCGAGCCGGGAGGGCTCATCCTCTCCAGGAACCCGTGACTGCCAGCTGCTGCCCGTAATCACAAAAGAGCTGGTGGCCGCATGCACCTCGACCACAGTGTACGCTACAATAAGTGGTGAACTTCGGGAACTTGGGACCTAAAACACCCAGTGTCCCCGGCCGCGAAAGGGGGTTCGCGGGCCCTTGTGGCGCCAACGATCCGGGGCGGCTTCCGAGTCCAGGGTGCTCAATGCGCTTGTTCGTTTCTGGCCATATCCACTCTCCTGGGAATCTCGGTCGCACCGCTCGTCAGTTTCGCTTCGGATGCTGTGGGCTCGTGTCAACAACCAAGATTCCCAACACGGAAAGCTCGGTTCTCGCCTGTCTTCGTCAATCGGAGATCCACTCCTTCTGATAGCTTCCATCGCCTAAATCAGAGCCCGGTCGACGGGAACACCCCACTGCCGCTACGTCCTCACCGGGCTGCCAGGGTGCCCGCGATATGCGCTGTATTTTTTTCCCACCCAGCCCGCAACTGACGACCACCGCGCTGGCGACATGGGGATGGCGTCCTGCCTCCGCCTGCATGCGAAATGGTGGTGGCTGGTCTGTGGATGAAGGATGAACATATGGCCCCCCCTCACTCTCCCCCGGATTTTGGAACCGCGAACCACAGTTGACGCGGCGACGTGGGCCGGGGCTCTGCTCTGACCGCTATGTCCTGCTGTCGGCGGTCAACGAGAAAGTCGTGAACGATGGGTCCTAGAGTCACCCAGCCCCCCGGGTCGAGGGGTCGTCTCTCTCACCGACTTGGACTCCCACGTGGTTTGAGAACTGTTCTCCGCTTTTCCTCTCAGAGCTGTCGTATTACCGACACTCTTTCCTGGACTATTCTCGCATTGGTGAATGTGTTTTGTGTCTATGGGGGCAGGGCAGCGGGCCAGTGCCCGGCTAATTGGATAACGCATGTACCTTGACATGCAAGAGTTTTACGCTGTCTCGACTCGGACGACCGTCATGCCGACTCGATGTGTTGTGCTCGGCACTCGGAACTAGACCAATATCCCAGCAGGCCGTGAGATAATTGCAGGTCGAGATGCCACCCTGCCAGGTGACTGCTCATTGATACTGTCCTGATGTCTGGGACCAGCTGCCAGAAGTACTCAGTCTGGCAGACCGCAGGGCAGTCGCATCATGAGACCTCTGCAGAGTCCGCAGCCTGCCCAGGTGACCCATCGATGGTGTGTAGGCTTTGGCTTGCGAGGTTCCTTTTTACATGACAAAGTCCAGCAAGTCTTTACAGTGCTTTGGGGTATGTCCCTGAATTGCTGCGGGTAAAGCATCCAGTCCGTTGTGGTCTTCAAAAACTGTGCTCGGGTGTCCGTTGCTCGCCCAGCGTGTCCCCAGCCTCATCAGGGACAAGCTCCCATAGGCCAACCACATACAACGGAACATTCTGTAGGATAGCCTCTTATGAGAGATCATACTATGGGTTGACTCTCTGTGGGATGGATGATTTCCTATGGGGTGCTATCCTAAGGATAACATCCTTTAGAAGAGGGAAATAACCCATCAAGGCTCTTCTATGATGTGTTATGGCAGAGGTGTATGTGATAGAGAAGTAATATTTGCTAACTCTGCCAGGCTACGCCATGTAGGTGCGCCCTTCTGCGATGGACTGAAGGCAGGCAATTGACCCAAAACCACTGATTGGTAAGTCAAAAACCCAGTGGTTTCTTACGAGTAAAGTGATGGTTTTGAAAGAGTTTCCAAATATGGCCGTCCGTCTCCCTTTTTTTCGCCAGCTGTGGTGAGTGGTGCGTTCAGGGTCTTCAATATGACCAACATTACACAATATGAGAGTGTCCATTCTCATGGAAGTCGTTCCAAAAACCATTGAATCATTGCAGTTCCAGCAGTCATGTACTTATTGATGGGGAAGGCCAATCTTTCTTGTACTTAAGCAAGCGATTGTGTTGGTCATCGCGTTTCCGTCTGAAGCAGACACGGCGAAGGGTTGTTTGAGATAAACTGAGGAAATGCCCAAGGCTATCTTTGACACTTCTGTTGACCGTGTCTCTCAACTCATGGGCTGTTTGCAAGCCGACTTCTTCAACCACCACCCGTCCCCCCCCCCCAAGCTTCAGCCTCCTTGGTCCCCAGATCCAGAACCCTCAGGAAACGCTGAAGACTGTCCGTGAAACAAGTAGGCAGCACTGAGCAGTTGCTGTTTTCAGAAACCGCAGACCACGCCTGGTTTTACTGAACGGCTTTGTTGCCTCCTCTGGTGTGGTCTTCCTCCAAAGACTCCCCAGACAGGCTTGGAAACTTGCCTCCCAATACAAGGCAGCAAGGACAGCAGCCCCGGGTGCCTACAGGTCTTTGGCACAAGCAAACTGCTTCTTCTCTGAGGCAATACATGACACATCCTCTCCCAAACGGCAAGTCTCCTGGAGGTAAGTTGCTCAAGCCTGGAATACCAACCACTCACTGTCTGTGGGTTGGTTCCTGCCTCTTCTGTCTAGGCATACACCAGCATCGCTTTGCACTTTCCACCTTTCACCTTCCACTTTCAATATTTCACAGTCTGTATTCTACCCCCAAATCTTCAACCTTTACGTTTTCCCACCCTCCCCACCCTCGATTGTTCCAAACCGAGCTACCCTACACTCAACTTTTCCTCATACGTGGACCATCTGGGAAACAAACTTGGAAGTCAAACACCCTTTGGGTCAGTGGTGACCAACTTTCTGTAGGTACTGCGCTGACCCCGAAATCCGCCTTCTACTAAAAGCTGAAGGTCCCAAAGCAGACATTCTAGCACTTGCCGCAATTTCCACCGGCCACTTCCCCTTTTCAAGCCATTCAGCAGACACGCAACGCGACCTTCTCCCCTGCCTGCCCAGGACTTCAGAGTAAGTATTCACTTTCCATCCATTTCTGCGTATGGTTCCCCCAAAGATCTCTGCTTACATCTAAAAAGCCATCAAGTTCTTCGTTGGCCCGCAGACAACCAGACATCCCCACGACTCGCCCGATCTAGTCTGCAAGATGGCTTACAACCACGGAGGCAAGGACAACAAGAGCCTCCCAGCGATGTGAGAAACCAAGCCCTCGTCCCCCGTCAGGATATGATGAAACTGATGCTAAGTTCCACCAGGCTCAAGTGTGCGGCTGATGGCAAGTTGGAGAAGAGCGACATGTTCTCGAACAACATGCTCAAGAAGCGACAATTCAATCCCAGCGCCCGAATTACTTGTCGAAAGCACACCGCAGGCCCTACGACCGAGTTGCTTTGTAGCAACTGCCGCAAGCACAAACCAGTCATCTTCTTCAGCAACGCCGAGCGCAAGTCCAGCGGTAGTCAGCGCTGCCGCGCCTGCATTGAGTGGATGGAGAACGACGCGCCTGGCCATGTGCCTCTACCGGCCCCAAATAGCGTTCGCGAGGAGGACGAATTGAAGCCGTTCGCAGACCAGAACACCCTGAACCTGGCCTTCGTGGACAGTGACGACGACGATGACTTTGTCACTGAGGCGCATGACGATGGGGTTTCCGGCACTTGGATGGGACGGTCCAAGGAGAGCAGCACCGCGGCCAAGTCCGGCGCTGGCCTTACAGCCAGCAACCTTCAATCCCTCGATGATTTTGGAAACTCGCGCTCTGCCTCCAGCCGCGGTGTCGGAAGCTACCATGCGTCCTCTGCCCCGACCGACACGGCGTCGACCGCCGGCACCGACGTTACTACCCGCCCCAGTGGAGGGCCCCAGTTCAATGCATACGGTCCTGAAGGCCAGTTCCAGAAGCGCCAAGCCGGCACTGCTGCTTCTGTGGTCTCGGGCACCTCCCGCACCTCCCGCAGCAGCTCTGGCCGCAATGCTTGGATCAAGGTGCCCGGCCGCAAGACAGGTCCTTCCTTGCCGCGCCACTTGGAGTATGAGAACCCCGAGTTTGTTGGACAGGAGGACTACGATGACGACGACAGCTCGGATGGCTGCTAGGCGAAAGATTCTCTAGGACGCGCTACAGCCTCGCACGACAGTGTAAGTGCGGCCAATAGAAACCAGACTGATTCCGAATCGGGGTTGGTCGTCGAGACCTGGCATGTCCAGCAATTTTTGGAGCTCGGTCGAGTATTTAGGACTTTGTTGGGCATTTTTGAACCTTTGATGGGCGGGGAACAGCTTCGTGGATAACTACACAGCTTAGATTGGAGCCCGGCAGATTGCTGCTATACGCAGAGCAGAGCATGAATACGACAATTTGATATTCTCACGCCTGTGGGCGCGGATGGCCGTTTGATGGGCTGTAAGTGCGATTTCTTAGTGATGAACGCCGTTCCAGCCACTCGGGTGAAAGCAGGGCGGAACACGCGGGACCCTTCTTTTTAGTGCATTGTTTCTCGAGCCCGGCTTAGATGATCAGCAGTTCGGGCGAGCGCCAGCACATCGCGACCGCACTGCCGACGCCATTGTGGCGGTCGATCGCGGCCAGCCTTGCCTGTGCAAGCAGTCGGGTGAGGATGCGATTGGAGTGAGACGGGCTTTAATGTGGGAGATAAACAGAGTGAGGCAAACCCGACGGCTTTGTTTTGCCACAAGCAAACCTAAGTATGTTAATTGCTGCAGTAGAGCCGCAGATATTCTCGAGCACTTTTCGGAGATCGACAGAACTGAGCACACCCCTAAAGTTACCGCTACAAGTGCAGTGCAACGCAGCGGACTCTTGACGGGCAGAGGTTGAGAGGCCATGTTGACCTGGTTGACTCGTTTCCAGGTCGTCTACCCTCCCCTTATTGACGCCTGATCAGCAGGGATGGCCCCTCTTGGTGAGGGTTCGCTGGCAGGGCCGCCCGACTACGAGGCGGGCGGCAGAAGCAGAGAGAGCGCGAGTGAGGGTACGCCGGGGGGTCGGCCGTAGAGTTGTGTTTTCGTGCCCTTTCATTCCACTTTCTGTTTCATCGCGCGAATCAAATGTCTGCCCAGCGCCATCGTGGGGTTGGCGCATCGGGTTCTCGTGACGTCTCGCCCAACGTCGAACATCTATGTACAAGCCCTACTTCAACATATTTTTTTGGGCTCCAGCTCTGTCCCCTTCAAGTATCTCAACACTTTCGTGACGGCTGGTTTTGTGTCGCTTTGACCTCTACGGTTCTGTGTTTGCATTGTCTATTTTTGACTAGCTTTCTAACGTGCTATATTCGGTTCAACATGCATCGATAAACTTTTCCCCACCATTCTATCGCCAGAGTAGCTAATACAAGACCATGTCGAAATACGACGACGACAGAGGTCAACCCAGGGAGAAGGAGAGGGTGCCTGCTCTCAAGGCGACCGATTGGAAGACGCCACATGGCCAGGTCAAGGCACAACATAGCGACGTCGAAGATGTATCACCGCGGTCCAGAGGCGAGATCCCTCTAACAGAGAGGCACACGGAAGAAATCCGAAGACGAATCGAGGAAGCCAAAGAAAAAGCAGCAAGGACGAGTCCTGTCCATGATGCTCCAACACCGCCTCGGACTTCAACTCAACCAGCTGTTCCGCCTCCGATAAATCCCAACCTGCCTACGTCTAGTCTGAGCTCAGTATCCCCGGAGCTTCTGACGGAGCTGCGCAAGATCATCAGGGAGGAGGTCGAACAGTTGAACAAAGGGGAGGTTCAAGCCGGGCAGGGCGATAGAACAGCAAGACCCCCGAGGCCAACATCGCCTATTCGTTCGTGGACGGACACCGAGGACCATGTCATGCCTGCTGCCGCCACTGCCGCCGCAGCCGCCACTGCTGCAAGCTTGTCGAAGGATGGTGGTGAGAAGAGATCAAGTCCAAATACAGGAGGACCATCACCGACGACGACGCAGCACAAGGAACCGCCACGGCAGTCAACTGTGCGCTTCAGCAACGAGACCAAAGCGGCCATGCCTGTACCACCTCGAAGTGGCGAGGACGACAACCGCAAGGCCTCTTCAGCTAAGGACGCCAGGCAGATGACGGCCATCGACCAGAAGTGGGGGGTCCTGTTCGATAAGGAGGGCGAGTCGACCAAGCGGATGGAGCACGTTGTCAAGGGTCTGGCGAACTACATCATTGAAGAATTCATGCCACAGCACTCCATCGTGATCACACCCGAGAAGATGTCAGCGTTCTACTCGCACCACCGCCTGGACAAGGAGGTATTCCCCTTTGCCGTCCTGTTCAAGTCCAAGTCGAAGCACCTCAACGAAGCCTTGGAAAGCCTCTACGAGGACCTGGGGTGTCAATACTTCCTTACCCCGGCCGACAGCAGGTCACGACCCAGTGTGCCTGCCTTGACGCCTGCGGGTTTCAAGCACTGGCTAGTCTCGTTTGTCCAAGCATATCCAGACGAGGAGGCCAAGCGCTTGGACAAGGTTGTGTCGGCTCTACCGATTGAAGCGGACAGCCTTCTGGACGGCAAGCGGGAGAGGCTGCCGAAACAAATATCACGATACCTTCTCCCAGAGAAGCCCGTACGGAAGGTGCAGAAGATGGTTGATGAGGCGATGAGAGACTTCACGCACGAAATCAATAATTCATCGACATCGCAGTCAAACATAGACAGCAACAGCAGCAGTGGGAGTAGGCCAACGCCGATTGTCGTAACTCAGGAAAAACGGCCATCGATGACTACGAGCGGCGCACAGAGCTCAAGCTCACGGTACATACCAGACGGCGCTTTTAAAGAGAGCAGGGCGGATGACGGAGGGGCGGGTCAAGAGAGGGACAGACGAACGATCTCAACTGCAGCGAGTAACAGCCGAGACCACGACGATAGCCGCCGAAAATCAATGCCCCCACCACCCGGGCCTGGCCACCTCGGGAGGACGAACTCGCTCGACACGGGCGGCCGGACTTCACAGAGCAGCAGGACGGGCCACGCCTCATCGTCTGGTGGCGGGCTGGGCAGGTCAGCGACCGGGTCGTCATCCTCTTCCTCGAGGAAGAACCGCAGCCCCACGAGAAACCTGCACAGCCAGTCGGTGCCGTCGGGTCTCGACCGCAACGATGTGGGGGCCGACCGGCGGTCGTCTATGATATCGGCGGCGGCAGCCAACGTTGCGGCGGCAGTTCTGAGGCCCTCTTCGCGTGCTGCGATGTCAGCGGCCCATCTCGCCTCGCAGGGCATGTCATCGTCGACGCCAGCCCTGGACACCAACGCACGAGAAACACGCAGTGGCGGCGAAGCCCGCGACAAACGGCCCAGTCTGGACGAGTCGATGCCGCGGTCGGCGTTCAACCTGAGAGACAGGACAGGCCTCGATAGCAGCAGCTCCAGCAAGCAGTCCAAGAGGCGAAGCATGGTGCTCCCTGACCTCAAGGGGCCGACGTGGGACGACTACCTCAAGGGCTCAGCGCCCAAGTCGTCCACCTCGTTCATAAAGAGAGCAGACCCAGGATACCACTCGTCAGGATGAGGATGCATATAGGCTGTGATGGTTAAAGGGAGGAGCAGCGCAGGATTAGCTCGCAGGAGTGAGCACGTGATGGCGGTTGCGATATGCTCCGGATGGTGGTTGATGAATTGCCTCTTGGAGAGGCCGGGGATCACGAATTTGGAATCATGGTAGCGGCTGGAGTTTTTTCTGTATGTTTTTGGTGATTTGCACAGTTGAATACCCCCCAAGGCAGACGTATTCTGAGATTGCTTTTTTCCCTCCATTTCCGAATGGGAGCCAAACACCTCGATACGCCTAACTGTTCTGGATCTGTGCAGGCAGCAGAGTGAAGTTAGCCCAGGATCCCAAGCAGGCTGAACTAGTTCGTGATTCCTGGGGGAAATGGGTGCCAATGGGAAATCCTCCGACGGACAAGTCATGCAGGGTAACCTCGTATCGCCCAGGATAAAATTGTCTGGGACAGATGAGCCCACCTGTCAGCTGCACTAGCCCTTAGCTTTTCTGCCCGTTCTGCCCATCTCTCCTCAAAGCAGACTTCAGTACCTGTGCGAAGCTTTACGATCCGTGCGAACTGCAGCCTGCTTAGCCTGCCTGCCCTGCTTACTCCAGATCCCGAGACTTTGTCGCACAGCGCCGATGCAGAATGGGGTTGGGGGGGTTTAAGATTGCCCGCCCGATTTGTCTCGGGTGGCGTCGAGCGGACATGTTCCTGTTGGTCGGGGGCACGACACGATTGGTCTCGTGCCATGTTTCAATGCCAAAGATTGTGCCTCTGCGTCTTGTCAATATTCGCCTCGCTTGTCAGAAACATGACAGGCTTCTAGCCGATCTCTTGGCAGGGCTCCCGAGCGACATCTGGCATTGGCATGTCTGGATGGCATCTGCCGCAGGCCCTGCCGCTCATCAGACGGAAAATCCGACCATCAGCTTGCGTGTGGCCGGGTGCGCAGTGCGATGACGATCTGTGGCAGGACTCCTTCCCGTCTTGGTCCATGCACCCAGGATTGTGGGATGGCTCATCCATGCCGTCGTCCAGACTGCCAGACTGTCACCGTGAATAGTACTCTTGGTCGAGGCCGGCGAACCTGGTGGCCTCATGGCGCTGGTGGTGCAGTTGATCTGCCGACCTGCCAACCTGCAGGCCCGCCTGGCCCCTCTGGCCCCTCTGGCCCCTGCGTCCAAAAGTCCACAGAGGAGAAGATGATGTCATGCTTGATCACGAGATTTCTTGGCAAGGCGGTAGGTAACCCAAGAGCACTTGCGAAGGGGCAGGTCCAAGCAAAAAGGAGACGATTTTTGTCAAACAGTTACCAAAAGCTTGTGAGGATGGGTACCCGTGGCTTTCTGTGTACATACAAAATCATGCTGCCTGTGCCTCTGACTCGCATTCACAGCGCTTGTTGTTGACTCAGCTCTAGTGTACTACATAGTAGGTTTTGCTGCGGCTGTCAATGCTGCAGAGAAGCCCGTCAAGCCCGTTCTGGGCAAGCTTGCCGCCATGGCCGAACACGACCAATACGCGGAAAAGAACAGGCCGCCACTCCACTCCCATGGCATCCTAATAAAGCATGTGTCCCACTCCTCAGGCTGATCATCCGAGGCACCCCGGAGACCCTTCGAACTACCTTGATATAAGCTTATTCGTTTCAAGCCCGCCGCGGTTACAGTACTCCCCCAAATAACTGCCCCTACCGCCCCAACTGCCCTGACGCCATCCTATGCCCTCGCTTCGATCCTGCTCTCGCACGAGATGGCACGAGAGGGAGTCTAGTCTAGTCGGGCCTTCAGGATTGAGTGTGCAGGGGCATGGCCCAATGCTTATTATTCTAACTCTTACGACGCCATTTCCCACCAAGACAAGCGGCGTGCCTGCCCTACCGGGCGGCTTGAAACCCCCTTCTGGGTTAAAACATGTCATGTCCACAGTGTCAAATCTATTTTGTCAAATATGCTTTCCGGGGTGCCGAGCAGAAGAGAACGCCTCCAACTCTCCCACTCTTGCACCCTCCCACTGCCCGTCTCTGCCTCGCCCTTTGTCTGTAGCCATCGATGCCTCCCGTACTGTGAGTCTCTTGCTACTTGCCAAATACGGGCCTCTCAGTGGGGGGGGGACCCAGCCAGAAGATTGGGATCCACAGCTTAGGAGACGGGCGCCCGTGGGTACTTGTGAGGCCTGGCAGGCTGGCCCATAGACCGCTGGCAGGCTGGCCACAGACCGCTGGCAGACAGTCTGACAGTGCACTGGGGCATGGGGCCCGGTAGCTGTGGGCCGATATGCTCTGCTTCGTGTTTCGGGCTGCAGCATCAGAGGGCCCAGCGAGTCAATCAGCGTCTAAATACAGTACTAGATAGTACATCCAAGCAGTGCACGGCACTGTTGCTTGCTGGGGCTCAGCAGCGGTTGGCACGCCTTCACCGTCTCATTCACACAATCCCTCTCGTATGCAGCGCCGCCAACACGGCCAACCAGCTTGCAAGGGGGTGGGGTATAAGCTGTTCTAACATTAGTCCTGTCCCGTCCGCTCGCTCGTCACATTGGGCCTAGCAGGTTGGCTCTAGTGGCGCAGTCTGGGCACTTGGGCAACCAGCGCACGCGACCAGGCACCAAATTTGGCAAGTGCGGAAACCAAGCCGTTGGTGCTGGCCAGACAGGCCAGAGGGAATTGGATTGGGATGCATTTTTCGATCCAGGCACCCGGTCTGCCACTCCAGCCTCAACGGCCGGGTTGGATCCCCCTGAGCCCCCCTGGCAGCCCTGGGGGAACCAACTGCAGGTCAGCACAGGGCTAGCAGGGCTAGCCGGGCTACTGCACCTAGACAGCCGCTGTTACGTGAGTGCTCCGTACTTTGTGGACGGGCCAAGTAGCTGGCCAAGGTTCGAGAAACGAGGTTCGTTTGGGCGACTGGGCTGTGGCCAACCTCGAGCCCGGCCCTCCACCCATCCAAAACACCCTGGCCCACGTCTGGGGGCAGCACGCGACACATTCCCTCAAGTAACAATTTCTTTGACATGCTCGGGGCGGATCTACATTTGGACATGACTTACGGTGGGTACCCCTACCTTTGTCCTGATCCTGCTGCTCCTGTTCTTGTTCATCTGCAAGCGTCCTCCCCATGGCATCGTCCTCCTCGTTCCCTTTGATCTGTGTTACGTTTTCCTGCATGGAGGCCATACTGGTTCTCGGGCGTTATCGATCGTGATGTCTCTTCAGAGGTCGACATCATTCCTTTTTGCTCTTTTCTTCATATCCGTCGCCTCTACCAAGCTGCTGCACCTGGCACTGCACCTCGGCACCATACCCATCTACGCCTTCTTTCTGTACCTCCCCACCTTTTTCATTCCAGATGCCGCCCTCCTGATCATCACCCGGTTGTTGCTGCGAAGGGAGCGAGGCGTTATTTCCTTTATTGGTCTGCTTTTGGGGGTTTTTATATCGTACGTCAGACCAGTGTCACCACACCTTTGGGCCTGCTTCTCCTGCCCACCCCCCGGCGAACAAGGAAGGCTAAAACAACAGACAGGTGTATCACATATGTTGCAGCATCATGCCAGATTGGTTTCTTCACCAGAACGGGCGCAGACATCCAGTGGTCGGCCGCCCGCACGGTCGCAAAGGATAAAGATGGAGTCGCTGTTCTCCTCAGCGAAAGCTCGAGCGTGCTCATAGCAGCAGCTATAATATTTGGCTTGGCATTGTTCTCTCATTCCTGGCTCTATGAAGTGTCTGGGAATATCCTGAGGACTCTGGCAGGCCTCTGGCGTGCGAGTGAGTTTCCGGGAGTGCTACACACAGGCAACAAGATGTTAACTCGTCATCGCAGCGTATAAGCGGGACCCAGGCTCTACCCAGTCGAAAGAACGAGTTGCCGACCTTGAACACTCCCTTGACGATAGTTATTCGGATTCGGACGAGACGATTGTATGGTCGGAAGGCGAGAGCTTCTTCGGCCGGGGGAAAGCAGAGGAGCAGCCCGTGGGGTTCTTTGGCCGTTTGCGCGCCTCGCTGAACAGAAGACTGAAAAGGATCCCTCAGTGGATGGTGCTACCCGCCACGGCGTCTGTCCTGGTAGTCTTACTGCTGACAAGGCCCTCCAAACCGTACAACCACATATCGACGACACTGCCGCTTCCGCTCTTGACCCTCGTCAGCTTCACGTTCGAGCCCTTCAGCCCATGTGGTCCAGGAGAACGCCTAATCGAAAACGAATGGCCATTACCGGAACTTATTAGCAAGGCCCACTGGAAGCCAGCCCATGATAGCTTCAAGGGATGGGCTCCAGGAGGAATGAGCCCCCTGATCGAGGAGTACCGGCATAGGATACCCGACTGGCTGCCAGTGCCAATCCCGCCCGCATTTGCTCGGTGGAACTCTACTGAGCCCGCAGAGGAGACGTTGTCGGTAATCGAGAGGCCAAACGGGACCACGGCCGATGCAAATGGCACGACTATGGCCTGTGGGCCGATTCTCACGCGGCAGGCCGACTACAACCCTGTTGACGACCCCCTCCGGATAACCAATCTTGATCAGGATCCAATTGAGCCCCTGCGAGTTGCACTGAAGGATGGGAACGTGACCATAAAGCACGTCGTTATGATCCAGATGGAGTCGATGCGCGAGGAATTGTTCCCCTTGCAACAAGGGTCGCTGTGGCACAAGATGATTCTGGAGTCCCACCCCGAAGAGGATCGTGACCAGGTCAACGAGAAATTGTCGAAACTTACACCCAACTCCGAAAGGATCACAGGCAAAGCTGGTGGATTCACGAACTCGGCAGGCCAGCCTATCGTCAGAGATGAGGAGCCTCCGAGCTGGGCCACTTCCGTAGCAGAAGGGTTTGGCGGTCTCAACGTCGTTGGCGCGTTTACGGGAAGTTCTGTCTCAACAAAGTCCGTTGTCGGAAGCCATTGTGGTGTTTGGCCCATGGCCGTTGACGGCCTCGAAGAATCCGAGAGCCAAGTGTATCAGCCCTGTCTGCCGCATCTGTTCGACATGTTATCCAGCAAGAAGATCAACAATACCGATCTAGACAAGGGTGACATGCGAAGCAGGCCATGGGACCATGGATACTTCCAGGTAAGTGATTCTGAGCGTGGCGTCGGACTCTTGGACACGTGCATATAGCATGAACTAATTCTTGTTCTCAATAGGCTGTAACGGATGACTACGATCGACAAAACATCATGAACGACGAGATGGGCTTCAGGGATGTTGTGTCCAGGAAGACGTTACAGAAGGACGCCAAGAATACCCCCGGGATGGTGGAGCTGAACTACTTCGGATATGCAGAGACATACTTGAAGCCGCACTTTGATAAATTTATCGACCGAGCTCTTGTCAACGACACGAGGATGTTCTTGAGCCATTTCACCTCGACAACCCACCACCCTTGGAAGACACCCGCTGACTGGGCCACGGTCCGGTATATGGGCAAGAGCCACGGCGGAGTCAGCCACTTCGACTTCAACCAGTACTTGAACGCCATCGCCTACCACGACGCATGGCTTGGACAAATGATGCAGATGATCGAAGACAAGGGCATCGCCAACGAGACCCTGGTGGTATTTGTCGGGGATCACGGCCAGGCCTTTCTCGAGGACACATCGGTGACGGGCACGCTGGACAATGCGCACGTATCCAACTTCCGCGTGCCCATCACGTTTCGGCACCCACACCTACCGCGCGTGCAGTACGAGGCCAACGCCACGTCCATCAGCATCCTCCCCACGATCCTGGACCTGCTCGCGAGCACGGGGTCACTGAACGAGGAGGATAGCAGGGCAGCGGTCGATCTCGCCAACGACTACGAGGGCCAGTCACTCATCAGGCCTTACAAGACACACGAGGGCGGCCGACGGGCGTGGAACTTTGGCGTGGTCAACCTGGGCGGCAGCGTGCTGACCGTCACGTCGGCTGACGCGCCGTGGAGGCTGGTGCTGCCGGTGGAGGCGAAGAACTCGATAGAGTACCAGATGTCGGACCTGCGGGCCGACCCTCTGGAGGTGGACCCGATCAAGGGCTGGGACATGGTGCACCTGATCCTGGATGCCCGCAATAAATACGGGAAAGAGGCCGCGACCTGGGCGGACGAGGCCGAGAAGGTGGCGCGGTGGTGGATGCTGGAACGAAAGAGGCTTTGGAAATACCAGTCCTCCAAATAGAGATTTAGACTATGCGAGCAATTACTTGTATGATTTTTGAATGATATCACCTATGCCCACGAGCATCACAGAGACAATCCATTTAGGTGACACTGATGTTGGCTAATAGATCTGACGGCGGTAGTGTCTAGTTAGAGAGTAGCGCAGCAGGCTAAGGCACTGTGATTAATTCTCCTGGTGGAGTGAGGTGACATTTTGCGGGGTCCAGCTCTACCAGAACCTGGGGTAAACCTAAGGTACTTGGGTCTCCAGTCAAGAGAACTCCATCAACTCGGAGCATACCCGCGGTTGTCAACGGGCCTGTCACCATCCCCACGGGATTATAGCGCGGGAGCCATGTGCCGTGCCCACCAACCAGCCGCAGCCTGCCCGCCCTTTCACACACGACACACATGCCCAGGGTAACGTCATCTCACCTCTGTGCTCGGGCAACCCTATCACCAACCCTGGCACTAACTGACAAGCCCCGATCATCGATCTCGCCAAAAAGCCCGCCGCTCCTTGTGTAGCTAAGATGCCCATGCCCGACGACTCACAGCCCTCCGCCGTCCCCCTCTACGATGGGCGCAAGCGCAGGGTGACGTCGTATCGTGTGCGGAACGAATCCTTCGGCGGTGGTGGTACACTCCCCATCTTTCACGTCTCAACCTGCGAGACTCACACGTTTCCGCTGGCACTGTGATACTTGACAAAGCACCCCCGGCGGGCTGGTTTCCGTTGTATCTGCCAGAGGGGGCTTGGTCTGTCTCTGACAGCTTTAGCGGGGCTTCTCCACAGTGCCAGAGATACTGCTAGATGTAGCACCCTCGACTTTGATCACCTAGTCCTGCTCGTGCCGTTGCCCTCCACCACCTGGGGGCTTTTCGTCATGGCGCCGGCGCCAAGATTGTTGGCTCGACAGGTTATGAGCCTCGCGTGGGCATCAATGGGCATGGGCATGAGATGCTGATTACTGTATGTAGGGTCAGAAAAAGGTATAAGTAAATAGTCGTCTTTCTTCCCACCCGTTGTCTGGAGTGTCGTTCGTCACTGCATGCACATATTCTAGCCCAGTCCAGTGGCTTTGAGCTTGTTCCTGTCCCCAAGACTTATAGTCTTTTCTTGACCACCAAGCGCCCGTCTTGGTCATCTCTGGGCGGTCTTGGTTTGCTTATTCCAGGACCAGTGGCGCAGCCGCCCCCTACCAAAAAAGAGACACCCAAGTACAAGTGGGCTCTTACTCACCCCATGGCGAACGCCTCCCCGTCTGAGAAAGACCACCACCGGAGGGAGTCATCAGGCTCCTATTCCAAGGCTGAGGTCGAGCATCAGAGCCGTGGGCCATCCGTAGACCAGACAGCCAGTGCTACTGATGAGGACCTCCGCCAGCGCCAGGATGCCTCTGCTAGGATGGAGAACCCGCTCGGTGGCTTCAGCCGCGAGCAGGTGACGCGCCTGGCAGAGGATTTCTGCGCCAAGCATGGTTTCACTGACGACGAGGATCTGCGTGTGTTCAAGTTGGGAGCTGCCATTGCTGGCAATGACTTCCAGTGGGACACGATAGACGGCCTGAGGGATGATGAGAAGGTGGCCCTCCGGACCGAGGTTGATCACAAGTGGAGGGCGAACCCGATGAAATTATATGGTGTTATTGTTGTTTGTGTAAGTCTGTATACCTCGCTGTAAGAAGAAACAAGACAGTATTGATGCTAATCCACAAAAGGCACTTTGCGCGGCCGTACAAGGTATGGACGAGACAGTCGTAAACGGAGCCCAGTCCTTCTATAAGCGCCAATTTGGGATTGGGAACCCGGACTCGATGCGTGACTCCTGGCTCTTAGGACTCGTGAACAGCGCCCCGTACCTCTGCTGTGCATTCATCGGTTGCTGGCTCACCGAGCCCATGAACGCGAGATTCGGCCGCCGGGGCACAGTCTGGATAAGTTGTCTCATCTCTGCGCTCGCTTGCTTCTGGCAGGGTTTCACCAGTGAGTGATTGGCATCATATCCGTGCGTAATGTTCTGTGTAGACTGATGTTTATGTGTTTAAGATAACTGGTGGCACATGTTCATTGCCAGATTCTTCCTCGGTTTCGGCATCGGCCCCAAGTCAGCCACAACCCCCATCTTTGCCGCCGAGTGCTCACCGCCTAAGCTGCGTGGTGCCTTGACGATGCAGTGGCAGATGTGGACTGCTTTCGGAATCATGATAGGATATGTTGCTGATCTTGCCTTCTATTTTGTGAGTGAGAAACATCTCTTGGTTGTTTTCCGATACCTACCGGCAAGACGGGATACTTGATACACGCATTTCCACATCGCGCTATATATATATACTGTGGGACAACGGTGTTGACCCCCTCGTGGTGCTCATATCATTCGTTTATGCTGAGGACTGATTGATTTGCAGGTCCCCGACCATGGGATAGAACTTGGTTTGAACTGGAGGCTCATGATGGCCTCAGCAATGATCCCTGCTGTTGTCGTCTGCTGTCTCATCCCGTAGGTTGACCTCCCCTTGCTTGATGTTCTCTGTCTTCTTCAGAAGAGGGGCATATCGTATCGATATCGAGTTCACATTGGAAATGCTGACATGTTGTAGAATGTTCCCGGAGTCTCCCCGGTGGTACCTGACCAAGGACCGCCACGCGGACGCCTACAAGGCCATATGCCAGTTACGACTGAGCAAGATCCAGGCCGCCCGAGACCTGTTTTATATGGACTTTGGCCTGCAAGCGGAGAGGGAGGCGATGTCCATCGGCAAGCAAAACCGGATCAAGGAATTCATCACGATACGGCGTAATCGCAACGCCATGATCGGATCCGAGATCGTCATGTTCATGCAACAATTCTGCGGAGTCAACGTCATTGCATACTACTCTTCGGAGGTCTTTCTTCAGGCGAAACTCCCAGAAACCAGTGCCCTTGCAGCCTCGCTTGGGTTCGGCATCATCAACTGGCTGTTCGCAATCCCAGCTGTCTATAGTGAGTTGGAAATTCCAGTAATGGCATGGAATACTGATGCTGACCATACGCAGCCATTGACACATTTGGGCGGCGCAACCTGCTCTTGACGACATTCCCGCTGATGTCTATCTGCTGTAAGTGACCCTTGGACCCGGTCCCGGCGAAGGCCAAGGCGGAAAGGAGGAGCTTGCTGACGGGTAAGAAACAGTGTTCTTTGTGGGTTTTAGCTTCTATATCCCGGAAGAATCGACTGCTCGGATTGCTGTAAGTGTCGGCCTAATTATTCTGCACTTTTCCACCGCTAGTCCCAGCATCTCCAGGTGCCTGAGCTCCGTCAGGAACTGGGGACTCTCTTTCGTCATGGTTGCTCATCTTGAACATGGGCATAGCTTATCTGTTATGCTGCAGTGCATTGCATTGGGCATATACCTCTTCGGAATGGTATATTCTCCCGGTGAAGGCCCAGTTCCGTTCACGTACTCGGCCGAGGCGTACCCTCTTTATATCCGTCCCATCGGAATGTCGCTTGCCACGGCCACGACCTGGTTCTTCAACTTTATTCTTAGTGTTACATGGCCGTCGCTACTGCAGGCTTTCAAGCCGCAAGGAGCCTTTGGCTGGTATGCTGGGTGGAATATAATTGGGTTCTTCTTGGTCTTATTCTTCCTGCCTGAGACCAAGGAGAAGACCCTTGAAGAGCTGGATGCCGTCTTCAACGTGCCTTTGCGAGTACATGCCAAATATGGACGTGAGTGATTTCAGAAGCAACCCTTCCCCTCGACGCGATGAGCGATCTAGAGAGCCGGTCATTCGCGCGATAGATCGGGCATTTGGAACTCTGACCACCCCTGAGCCTACTTTGTGTCTCCTCGTCGACGAAGTGGCCAATCATTAGCTAATCGATGTCCAGTTGACCAATTCAAATACTTCATCCACCGTTACATTTTCTGGCGTCATGTCGACCCACCGGCCGTTCCTCGCCAGGAGATTGTGAAGCACTCGGACAAGTCAGTTGCACCGAAGGCTGAACATGACCCGATCAAGCGTGTATAAGAGGGTAAAGGTCCGATATCACGGATAACGTTGGAGCTACTGTTTGAGTGGAGCCTTGGTTGCGGCTCGGTTCAGTTGGTAACCTGATCAAGGGATACCCTGGGAAATCATCCTCGGCTCTAGGAGCCCGCGGAACCGAGCGAGCCTCCAACCGCAGAGCGAAGCTGGAGATCAAGTGATACATTGCATTGATTTGTAATTCGGGGCTGGGTACTTTGTGTGCAATTGATAGGGTATAGATCTATCTATGGGAGAGAATAAACCCTGATGCTACTGTGGTATACAATCCACGGGACGATACTTCGCAGCATGGGCTTTTAACACAAATTGCCTGATGTCCACTGTGTATGCAAGTTCCCCAACCAAGCTTGTCCGCTCGCTACCTAAGTACCTAGGTACCTTGGATCTAGGACTGGCGTGGTGTCCCACCGATCTCTGGCAGTTAATTCGGTTCAGGCAGGTAGGAGGCGACGTAAGGACCGACGAGTGTAGGTAGCATTTATTATTATGCGTCGTCGAAGAATGATGTTCATCGCTTTTAGTGAAGAGGACAGGAGCGACCGCGGACGCCGAAGGCTAGGGAGATACGTAGGTACCGCCCTAGTCTTCTGTTGCCATGCTCATGCGCCCAGAATAGGCGGCCCAGCCCAGGTAATGCACTACCAGGTGACTTTGTCGCACCCCGGGCCCCTCGGACGGCCGTCAGTTCTGCTGCATCATCGCATAAAGCTCCGGTGGCCAACGACCGTTGCTGTCCCGTGCAGCACGCTCCTGCTTTTGAACGACCGTTGCAGTTGCAGGTGAAATTCCGATATAATTTTCGAGGCGCTGGTCTTGGGACGAACTCGAATATCACCTCCACCCCCGGCCAGGAAGCTCACCCAAGATGCCGGGCTCGTCGCGGATGCCCATCAGCCTGCGGGATGGCCTCAGCAGCGTCAAGAAATCCCGCCACGGCAACCCCATACAATTCCTCAACATTGAGCTGTAAGTAGACCTGGCAGCCCTGGGTCCTACGGGTCCGTGGCCCCCCCAGCTGTTCCAAGCTTCTGGGCCGGAACAGCTGACGGGCCCCCTCCCTGTAGGCCCCCCCCCGTACGGCCCGGGGCTGTCGCAATCTCCCTGGTGACGCTCAGGTTGCACCGCACCGCACGCCTCAGCTCACTCGGTGCTCGGTCACCCGGTGCTCCGCCTGTCTATATCTCCGCGCCGATTGGAACACCCCGGCTGACCTGGCCATCTATCTGCCTCTAGGCTCAAGAACATAATATTCTTCTACTTCCTTCTGCGATGGACGCGGCGGTCCTTCTGGAAACTGAAGGGGCGCGGGCTGGTTGGCACACTGGTGGAGCTGTACACAGACGCGCGGCGCATCGCCTACGGCTGGTTCCTCCAGGCGCCCGGGGTACGCACAAAGGTCAAGGCGCAGGTGGACGAGGCAAAGGCCAACCTGCAGAAGAAGCTCGTCAAGGCCAACGAGACGCGGTACCTGTCGTTACCCAAGAAGGGCTGGAGCGACGACGACCTGCGCGCCGAGCTCGCGCGGCTGGCGGACCTGGACCACACGCGGTGGGAGGACGGCTTCGTCAGCGGCGCCGTCTACCACGGTGAGGACTCGTTGCTCAAGTTGCAGACCGAGGCGTACGGCAAATTTACTGTCGCGAACCCCATCCACCCGGATGTGTTCCCCGCCGTGAGGAAGATGGAGGCCGAGGTGGTGGCCATGGTGCTGTCACTTTTCAATGCGCCGCCGTCTGCCGCCGGTGTCTCGACGTCCGGGGGTACAGAGAGTATCCTGATGGCGTGTCTGAGTGCCAGGCAGAAGGCATATGTAGAGAGGGGTGTGACAGAGCCAGAGATGTAAGTTGCGCGTGTTCCGCTCAGTTGAAAATGAGTATCCCCGGAACAACAACGATGCTGACTGCCGTGGTCTTAGGATCCTTCCTGATACGGCGCACACGGCCTTCCGCAAGGCGTGCGAGTACTTTGGCATCAAGATGCAGCTGGTAGCATGCCCAGCGCCGAGCTACCAGGTGGACACAAAGAGGGTTTCGCGGCTGATCAACGCCAACACGATCTTGCTGGTGGGCAGCGCGCCCAACTTCCCGCACGGCATCATGGACGACATCGCGGCGCTGTCCAAGATCGCGCTGCGGCGCAAGATCCCGCTGCACGTGGACTGCTGCCTGGGTTCCTTCCTGGTGCCGTTCCTGGACAAGGCCGGCTTCGAGACGCAGCCCTTCGACTTCCGGCTGCGCGGGGTGACGTCCATCAGCTGCGACACGCACAAGTACGGCTTCGCGCCCAAGGGCAACAGCACCACGCTGTACCGCACGGCGGAGCTGCGGGCCTACCAGTACTTTGTGATCCCGGATTGGTCGGGCGGTGTGTACGCGTCGCCCGGGTTCGCGGGCTCGCGGCCGGGGGCGCTGATCGCAGGGTGCTGGACCAGCCTGATGAGCGTGGGCGAGGAGGGCTACCTGGACGCGTGCGTGCGCATCGTCGGCACGACCAAGCGCATCATCGAGCGCATCCGCGACTCGCCCGTGCTGGCGGCCGAGCTCGAGGTGATGGGTAAGCCCCTGGTGTCGGTGGTGGCGTTCACGGCGCGCAACCTCAACATCTACGACATCGCCGACGCCATGTCGCATCGCGGCTGGCACCTCAACTCGCTGCAGGACCCGCCCGCCATGCACGTCGCCGTCACCATGCCCATCACCAAGGTCTGGGAGAAGCTGACAGACGACCTCGAGGCGGTCATTGAGGACGAGCGCGAGAAGGAGCGCGTGCGTATTGCACAGGGCAAGGGCGCGAGGGGCAAGGCCATGGGTGACTCGGCTGCGCTTTATGGTGTCGCCGGAAGTCTGCCCAACAAGGGCGTCGTGGTCCAGCTGGCAAGCGGATTCCTGGACACCCTGTATAAGGCATGAGGCCCCCATGATATTCCATTGAGGTATGTGAGGATGACATGGGCGGCAAGAGCAGGGAAGGCGAGGAGGCTCAGCTGTTGTTGTTATTGTTGTGGGAGACAGACACGGTTTGGAGCTATCAAGCATTTTGGGAGGGCTTCATCTTAAGCAGGGGACATCAGCATGGCACAACATGGACACTGTCGTTCTTAGAAGGGTATCCCTTGGGGTACAGCTATACTCACATACATATATACTGAGGACGGCGAAGTGGTCGAGGCTGGGCTGGAGCATCTTTCGGTTCTGCCCACGCCCACGCCCACCCACACCCATCCACATAGTACTACGCTTTTACGTTTATGACGACAAAGAAAGAAACCATACAAATCACACCGGGTACATCAGCCCAGACTCGAGTCAATTGGTTCAAAAGCCTTGTATTGTCTAGCTCTTCCTGCTCTCTTTTCACAGCTCACCGAGGTTTGTTGGCTTGTGCCTGTTCCTTCTGGCTACCACCTGTAGATGCTGTAGACTACCTACCACTCAAGCCGTGTGCTTCATCCATAGTTCCCCCGCCATTCATTTATAGCTACCATTTCGTGACTGTAGTTGTGATGTGTCGTATGCCGGCCTGCTCTGGGCGAGCCATCATTTGACCACTTGAACGTTGCCATTTTGGCGTACGGCCCTCCTTCCTTTCCAATATGTAGGTGCCTCGTTTCCCACCCTGGCAATATGGCCACGCTTGCCGTCGCGTTCGGCGAATTGCCCTTAGTGGCAATGGCTACCTAGGTACCTAGGTACCTTGGTAGTGGTCTCTTCCACTCGTGTGCGGGCGCAGGCTTGCAGCGTATCATGCAAACAGACACTGCTTCCTTGTGCTTGCTCTTCCTTCCCTTCCAGCAACGAACCGGCCAGAGCACCGTTGTGGACTCTTCCTTCAAGACCAATCGCGTCGTCTCTTGCCACGGTCATTGCTGGATGTATCAAGTCCTCCCCAACCAACCAGCCACCTTCCCCTCCCTGAAGCCCAAAGCTTGGAACCCAAGAGAGTCCTACAAGTCAGCACCGCGGTCTCGGAAATAGCCCATGCCAGGGTCACTCTGCTTCACTGCATCCTCGACGTCGCCCACTTGTCGCCTCTCCGATATCTCGAGCTGGTGCGGGCTCTTCAGCCGTTTATGTAAAATATATCTCAATCCCATCGTCAATCCTCGAGACCTTCCTTCCGAATCCCTCATGACTGCTGATTGCTACTGCAGAGGTTCTGACGAGCTGGACAATCTGTTCAGATGCAGGTACACGTCTGTGCCGTATCTGCTCGATGGGACAAGACCTTTGTCAGCAAACCGGGCTCTCCTTCTCGTCCACGTTGAACCCTTCCACCCGGGCCTAGGGCACAACTGGGCTGACTTACCCTTCCATGCTAATCAGTTTCAGATCACCTCCAAAGTATCGCGCGTACAGCCTCGATATGGGTAGGCCGTACCCGAAACCCGCCATCGGTGCCTTGAAGTCGCTCTTGTCGAAGTCAGGATCCAGGCTCGGCGTCCTGTCGACGGTCGTATACATGTACGTCCACACCAGCGGGATCGCGCTGCGTGGGATGCCGCCGCCCTCATCTGAGATCTTGATGGTGATGTCCTCCTTGCCCTCGGCCACGATCACCTTGGTCACGGGGAACTCCTGCTTATCCTGGCCGTGCGTCTCCACCACGGCGCGCAGCGAGTTCTTGAGGGTCTCGAATAGCATGTGGCTCAGATGCCCGGGCACGTACATGAAGTTCAGGTTGGGGTTGCACACGAGCTGGATCTTGGGTGCCTCGAACAGGCCATAGTGGTCCTCACACACAAACCTCGCGTTTTCGATCGCTTCTTGCGCCAGATCCTGCACATTCGTCTTGGTGCAGATTATCCCGACATAGTTTGGGTCTGTGTAGTGGCTCTGGTCGGTCAGAGCGATGTGCTGACCGATGAGCATCCGTATACCGATGCGCGACATGTAAAACCGGTCCAAGAATGATTGGATTGTGCCGTCGATCTGCATGCGTTGTCGCTTGCGCTTGTACTCGAGGATTCCCTGCGCCATGGTTGTTACGACCCCGTCATGACGCCGTTTAATCTTGTGCAGGGTTTGTGCAAATCTCTGGTTGTACAGCTGCAGGTCCGGAGGCCAATCGCCGCTGTCGTCGACCATGGCGAAGTACCGCCTTGCAGCCTGGTACTTTTTGGCCCAGCTTTCTCTCCCATTGCCATTTGCTTGCGGCATCGAGGTATACTGGCCCTCCTCGATGCTGGGGTTCGGTGTCGCCTCCGGCAGCATCTGGCCTTTTCCGAGAGACTTGCTGGGGCGCATGAGACGTTCGCGCACGTCAGTGGGGAGCTTCGGTCGTGGGAGGTCGGTGATCTCCTGTTCCACCGCCGGGGCATATGTGAGTCACTGTGAACCTGGGTGATGGGCCAAGCAAGGGGTTTGGAGGGAAGGCGTCTGGCCATGCCACATACTTCAAATGACTGTGCATACCAGTCGTGAACCTTCTTTACCGAGGGCATCTCACTGAGGCCGTCGGGGAGTGTCTCGAGCTCCTGGACCCTGTGGGCCAGCCTTATGGGTAGCTCTTCTGAGAGGAACTGAGAGGCGCGGAATAGGGTTCCTGCGGAGAGGGGTATGAGCATTGGCTGTCGGCTTGCCCTCGCGGGGCGCGAGGACGCGACACAGGCCTGCGGCGTTGCAGGAACTCACCGACAGAGGGTCTCTCGCCGAATTGGACCATCTGGCGCAGACTGACGCCGGTAGCAGGGAAGGAGGCATAGTGACGGATGGTGTCCATCAGCTTCTCGGTCTTCCGCCACGACATGTCGACGGATTGAGCGTGGATGCCCACGATTGCCTGAGGGACGGGTGTCTGCCTATGATTGCCTCATCGACGACCGGTACCGTCTCAAGTGAGCGCTCGACAGTCCGCGGTGTGGTGTAAGGGACCTCGAGTTCCCTTCGAGTCTGTGCAATGGGAGTGACTCTTCAGGAAGAAGTGCACCCTTAGCCGAGGCAACGCCGGGATTAATCGATACGGAGCAGTATGGGAATGACGCAACGCTATCCTGCGGACGGATTGGGGTCCCGAGGGCTTAGCTTTTGGGCTTAGAGGGCCTAATAAAGGTCCGCGGACACATGGGAGTCCTCGAAAGACCGCCTGGGGGGTTTGGGGGTGGTCAAATTAGGGAGGAATCGAGATAATTCCTAAGCCTTGTCGTTGCCCAGAAGGGAGGTGTATTGGATTGCGGCACGAAGAGGGCCAGAAAGCTTAAGAACGGCCGGCCTGGCTCGCTCGCAGACCACATACAGAACGGAGCTCACCCGCAGCGCACCATGCACGGCAGCCGAGCAGAGCGAGCACCTGGACGGTTTTGCTGGCAGCTCACGTCACGTCACGTCACCTCTGGCTATTACAGTACATATATGTTCGGATACCAAGGTGATACGCCTGGGAGTGCGCTCAAGAGCCTCTCGCACCTATCATTTCGCCTGGCTGGACAGTCACGACCTCGTGCCCAGCGGTACTGTGTGGGAGAGGCGCCCCGGTGCCTGGGTAGCTTCAGATCACCCCACAATGCTAGGGCAGGCGGGCAACCTCAAAAATGCCTGGGTGCAAGGAGAATGCGACCGGGACAGGGGAAAGAAGCTCCATGTTTCCGACTCGACCTCCAGGGACAAGCGGACCCCACTTGAATGCAGTGCCGCTTGCCGCAACGCTCCCGGAACAGTCCCCTTACTACACTACTACCTAGTACGCAGTGCAGCCAATACCTAGCCCTGCTGCAGTCTGGGTACTCTGGTACTCCGTACACGACCAGCAATCATGTTGCAGCCAAGAGAGGTGATGAGGACAGCCGACACCTCCGAATAACTGGTCACTGACTCAAGTGAGCTTCAACGGCTGCCCCCAAAACTGACTGATGTCAACGAGATAGCTGTTGAGGCCTTTTCTAGACCGGTGCTGCACGGGGGAGTTGCCCCGGTCGGACGCCTAGGCAAGACAGGGAGAGATCAACAAGCCCATCTATGCATCACATGCCAAAAAGCCGCTCAACCGGTCCGCACCGATGCTCTTGGGCTGGGCTACTCTTCACCGGGCATGAAGACCAGTCCTTTTGCGGCTGCCCTCTGATAGGTCATTGACTTGGAAATGCGAGTGCCTGACCATTACTGAGATGATGTCCTCTGTGAGTACGGCATTGGTCTACTGGCAACGCCCACAGAGCATCAGATAACAATATAGTGTCATCAGCTTGGCCCAAAATATACAGCGAGCATGCATTATGGCACTATATTCGGATCCGAGTGGGGTGGTGTGATCTGCATTCACTGCGAAGTCCGAGGACACTCAGAATTCCACAGAACAGGCGCAGGGTTTGTTTCTTCACCTCTCATCAGACCACCATCCTGTGAAAAAACTCATTTTGCATGCGTTCTTGTGTAAGATGGCCTTCTGAGTGATGGTTTCCTGGGGGACGACTGATCTCAGAATGACCGCTTTTGAGATGGCCTTGCATGGAATGAACTCGTATTGACTGGCCGTGAAGTTGTGTAGCCTGTCTGATTGAGATGAAGTTCACATTTTGACTTAGACCTCCAGGTATGGATAGTTGCCGCTAGCTGGCCCCCTCTGCGTGTGAGTCGGTCGGCCAAGTCCGACGCAGCTTCATCTTACCGCCTCCGTGGTGAGATGGAGGAGACAGGCAACACGGCGAAAAAGACCTGTCCAACCCGAGCATCCAATGCGTGTTCAGCGAGAGAAACTTTTCCAACTGTCAGATGTCGGCCGATCGGAAGTCGTCCTTGCTGCGCATAGATGGGGCAAAGCTGCAGGGCTGCGGCTCCGACTGCAGAGAAGTCTAGACTCTTTTACTATGTTACTCGGACCACATCAGTCATGGCGCCTTGGGCCCTCCTCAGGAGATTGGGGATTGACCCGTAATAATGTCTCCTCTCACTCGGGATTCAGGGGCAGACTCGCCAATCTACCTGCCATATTACACATCTTGACAATGCTTCGTGTGTTGACCCTGCACAAGCACCACCACGGATTATGTCCGACCGGGGCTCGTCGCATGGTGCCAGCCAGCGCTTCCTGCTCTTGCTCGTGCATGGTCTGATCTGCCATCTGCAGCTTCCTTCCTCGCGATAGCACCGACGTCACCGCAAGCTCTCTTTGCGCACTGCAGGTACCCAACATTGAACCCCACCCACCACCACCAGCGCTCTCACGCCGCGGCCACAACGACCATGCGCCCAGCGCGGAACCATGAATTTCCACATATCGCCCCTCTCTCCCCTGCGGCCGCAGTTCTCCGGCTCCCTGAGCCCCAGCTCGAGCGCCGCGCGCCGCGATAGCCCCTTCGGGCCCGACGACACTAACCATGACACGGTGGGCTCCGTCGGCCAGCCCAAGATCGAGGTCGACGGCGTCGAGGCCGACGACGAGCTGGCCAGCAGCGCCACGGGCTCGGGCTCGGGCTCGGGCTCAGGTTCCGACTCGGACATCTCGGCCGACGACATCACACAGGACAGCAGGGACGTCCTCGTGCAGCGGCTCAACGACCTCGCCCAGCGCCTAAGCGGCGCCGACGTGCGCACCGAGAACATCGAGGCCCTCCACGCCCAGGTCGACGCCATGGAGAAGCTCCTGTCGCGCCGCGCCCACAGGAGCCCCGCCCGCCTCCATCGCACGCCGTCCTCCTCCTCCGCGCGGCGCAGCGCGTCCCTGCAGCCCGGCGCGTCGTCGCGCCCGAGGTCGCTGGTGCTGCCGGCCGCCGGCGACGGGCGAGATGCGCTGGGGATCATGGCGCCCATGAGTCCCTCGTGGCTGAGGTCGCACTTCCAGAGGCGCCCTTCCACGCACCGTGACAGGCCCGACGAGACCTCGGACCTTCACAAGGCCGCCCCCGTGCCGGTGCTGTCGGCGCAACAGCTACAGCCCGCCGAGGCGACGGCGACGGCGACGGCGACGTTCAGCAGCTCGCCCAAGATCTCGTCCGAGATGGCCGATAGCATCGTCCTGGAGGCCGAGAACCTGTGCGCCGAGATGTCGTCCGTCATTGAGAGCCTGCAGAAGCGGCGCGAAGAGTCAGATGTGAACCTTCCCTTGTGATTCCCTTGAATACACGCCCGTTGCTTCCCTCTGCCGGCCCTAACGCTTGCCCCCCCCTCCCCCAATGCCCTTCGACCTCCGCAATTCTCTTGCCAGGAACATGTGCTAACCCGCGCCTCTTCACCAACAGCATCTACACGCAGTATCTATCGAGCGAGAGGAAGCTGCAAATGAGCGACTGCGGCAGCAGGAGGCGCGCATCCACGAGCTCGAGGAGGCGGTCGAGGAGGACGAGTCGGAGCTCCGGTACCTGAAGATCCAGCTGCGCGCCATCGAGACGCAGTGCGCCGGCTACGTGCCGCCCGGCGCCGACCCGGAGCTGGAGCAGAGCATCCGCTTCTGGAAGCGGGACTGGGAGGAGCTCAGGGACAAGTGGGCCGCAAGGAGGGGCACCCTGCTCCGCGGCCGCGAGGACGAGTCGGGCTCCTTTTCCGGCTTGACGAGCCCGTCCTCGGCGCGGTGATGGGAATTACTTGCGAACAGGGCGGCGGCAGCCAGGGACTGTTGTATCTGTTCTGGGCGTGAAGATTCATCGATACCCATGATTGCTTTTATTCTGCTACACGAGGACATAGAGGGGACGAAAGTGGTGGTCTGAGACGGAGGGCCTCGTACCTAAGTACGTATTACAGATTCTCAAACAGGGGCTGGGCTCTAGGCGATTCTTGTCAGATATAGCCTTACTGGAGCGGTCCAGACACAATGTTAATAATGCGATCACCCAATGGCCACGGCGCGAGGCGTCACGTCCACAAAACAGCACAAATATAGAAGTGCTTTGTGACACGCCCGGCGCGCGAATAGGTCTCGGGCCTGTCGGTTTGTGATGCTGGTCCGATAGACACGTCGACCATATTCAGAAGTAGTGATTCAGAGGTATCATTGAAATGAGATTGGCTCCTTGGCCGTATACAAAACACGTTAACCATGCCAAAGTGAAGTGTAGACCTCCGACCCTCCTGTATCATCGTCAAGTCTTGAAAGTAGCCGGATCTACCTTGTATAGGAACATGCGTTGTACCACTCGCTCCCAGACGCCCATATCCGAATTCCGCGTGCACATTGTCCTGATATGAAAACAAAAGTCGCCTCAAACGCCAGCTCAACTTCGGGCCTGTCGGGTCCCTCTGGAGCCATAATCGTAGGTCCCTAAAACGTCGGCAAGGGTGAATGCGATCCGCTGCGTCAAAAGCCGGACCACATCGGTTCCGCCGGCTCTCATTGGGTTCTGTAAGCCGATCTCCAGACGGATGCGTACGGCTCAGCGTCGGTCTCGCAAGTCGGTTTCTTAACCGATTTGGCGCATTTCGCAAAGCGGACGGACAGGTCGCCTGTGGAGTATTCCTGGCCCTTTTCTGACTTGTCGTATGAGTTGATGTAGCGCTGAGGCACGAGGGCCAAGTTCGAGAGAATCGTTGGGTGCCACTGCACAATGTGTTCCTGCGACAGCTTGTTAATAAATGCTCCCTATCCTGCAGGTATGGGCGGACTCACCAGGGCATGTGTCTCTGCCTTCTGGAAGTTGTAGCTCCTGTACGTCGGGTCGAACCATGTGTCGAGGAAGAACCGCGACCACTCCGAGTTGCGTACCAGCCAGCTGTTCGTGGCCAGGCCGTCCTTGTCCTGCGTCACGACGAAGTGCACATCCTCGGCCTTGAGGTGGCTGAAGGTGTGGATAATGCTGTCGGGCGGCACGACGGGGTAGTCTACTATCATCTTGCTCTCGAGGTTCGCGGCCGCCATGATGTCGTGCTCGATCGTGAGGGCCGGGTTCATGATGAACGTGTCGATGTCGACGTACCAGAAGTAAGTGGCGTCAGGGAACTGGGTGAGAGCGTGGCGCATCGCAACGACCTTGGTCCAGGAGGCAGGCGCCTTTTGAAGCTCGTAGTCACCAACTTTCGGGAAGAACGTTGCATAGCCTGGACACGGCCTGTCAGTCAACGCTACTCTGTATACCAGTTTCTGCCTCTAGCACGAGGCCAGTCCAGTCCACCTCTAGGGCGACCGACACAGTATCTCAACATACCATGCTTTTCCGCGTAGAGCCTCCTGTTTTCTTTCAGCAGCTCTGTGTACCTCTCGCCAAACCTCCCCTCGTCCAGGACTGTCACGATGACCGCGGGTGGCTTTCCAGAAGGAACGTGGTTAGCCGTCCCAGTGCTGCCGCCCTTGGAGCTATGATGAGAGCTGCCGCCACGTGTAAGGAGCCATATGAGGCCGATAAGCACGAGTGTTGCTACAGCGAGGGCTTGCGATCGGTATCGCCGTGGTATCGAGAAGCCGACCCCATAGCGGGAGGAATTGCTGCCGCGCGGAAGGAAGGGTTGGGCATTTGAGGATTTCCTCTTGGGATATGGAAGATGCATTATTTATTATCTGTGGTTTATTCTGAGCATGTGGCGAGTGTCGAGGTAGATTTCGGTGGGAGAATCGCAGTGCGTCAATGAAGGCGACCGCGACGAGGAGAGCCAGCCAGACCCCTGAGGGCTCGGCAGCGACGGCACTGGTGTTGGTGAGCAGCGGTGATGGCGAGCGAGACTATGCAGCCAGGCGTGAGTAATGCGATTCAGGTGTGCGTCAATACGACAGTCGAGAGCGCCCTCGTGTTCGTCGAGGCTCATGCGAGAAGTAAGCCGTGCCGATGGAGCCACAAGCTACGTAGCTCCCGCGCTGTCGTGATCAGCCGGAGTCCCTGCGACTGGCGCCACCTCGGGAGCAGTTGGGCCAAATAGGGCAAGCAAGAGCACTCAAAAAGAGGGTGGTGCAACGCGGATGCTGTTGCAGCTTGTCGCAATGGGTCGATCGGGTTGGGCGGAGTGTGTGCTTGTTTGGAAGAGACAAGTGGTGGGTGTTGGGTCTCACGGGAGGATGAGTAAAGGTCTAGACGGCGCAAGGGCTAAAATTGCCGAGCCCCTCGACACTGTGAGATTGCGACTCGGCCAAAGTATGTACTTTAATGCCAGGTGTCTGGAATCGGCAACCTGCTGACAAGACCTCTTTCCTCAGCCACGAACGGGTCAACTTTCGACAAGGCTGAGGCTTCCATGGCTGTGAAGCTCATCGCGAAGATGCGGTCCTCATTTCTGGGCCCTGGGCTTCGTCTAGGTACATCAAGACAAAGACCCTGGGGTTCGGGGCAGTTCCACACCCACACAACTACCCACCTAGTGGGGGGGCCTGTCATCTAGTGGGGTGCGCTGTGTCTATCAATCGCCCATGATCCTAGCCAGATTCAGCTTTGACCTCAAGCCGTCTCTTATTGTCTACCGTTGTGCAGGCCATCCTCGAGATCAAGCTGGGCTTACTCTTCGCCGTGCCGTTCCTGTCGAGATCAACTGCGTCTGGACGCCTGGGTGCCGATACCTATATGAAAATCCTCTGTTTTGTAAGAGGGCATGTTTGGCATGAACTTCCCGAAATAATACTCGTCGCAGATGACCTCTATTATGAGACTGCTGAAAACATTCCTCAAGACAATCTCTTGTGAAATAGTCTACCTGAATGGACGATCTTCCCTTTTTAGGGATAGCATTCTTGGAGCAGTGCCCTACGGAACGACCTCTCCAATATTGTAGAGATCTTCTTCGGCAAAAATTACACTCGAAAGACAAAGGCTGTACAAGCCCAGATGCAGTTGTCAGAAACTTGATAGATTGCCATTGTATTAGATATCTATCCAGCTAGACTGTGTGACAGCTTCTGATTATTAACTCGTTTCCATCCGCCTACTGGTTACAGCGGAGAAAGCCCCCTGCTTGCTTGACAATTTCATTCAGCCAAGATCAAATCATTATAGCAAGATATGTATCAGCAGTAGCCATCCTACGCCTTCATCAGGGTAACCGAGAGGTCTGAAGGGCAGGAGTGAATTCAGGCACGACCCAAGGGTCGGCCCGAGAGACTGAAGTTGACGTGCCCGTACTGGTCCCATATTGGAATTGAACAAGACGCCCAGAATCCTAGGTAGTAACAGAGCCTTGATCTTTGCACACAGACTAGTTGACACAGCGCGGAAGAGCGGGTCCGAGGCAACTTAAGAGTGTGCATGTTGAAAGTTGGCGAGACTTGCAGGGGACGATTCCTTGAGCTGTGGGACTGAGAGTACTAGTAGGGCTCACTGATCCTTCTTGGACTCTGCCTGCTGCCCTTGACCCTCGTCCTCGCCCTCGTCTTCTTCATCTTTTTCTTCGGGTACATCAATGATGTCGTCGCTGACTTGGCTAAGATACCGCGCGCAAACAGCACTCACACCCTTCCAGACAGCCTGCGCAATGTCAGTATACGGCCAGCGTGGTGCGAAACGGTACGCGGTAAAATTTGGGCGAACGGGTGTGCACATACCCCTATGAATGTGGCGACTCCCACGGCCACCAGTAACCAACTGACATTCTCAAGCCTGTCCCTACCTCTCCCACGCCTGGTACCACCGAGTCTGACGTTGAACCAGTGAAGAGGGCCTAAGCCAAGAAATACCTTGACAAGGCCCACCAGCCCCAGGGACAGTAAGCCCTTCGAGAAGTGCACAAACCAGGTGTCTGGTTCGTCGTCGGGGATGTATTCTAGTATTTCTTCGAAGCCATCAAGGCCTCCCCTGACGACATCCACAACAGCACCGGCAGGGTCGATCCAGATATTGATAATCGGATCGGCGATAAAGCCCAATAGGAAGAGGGCAAAGACCATAATCGTTGCGGTCAGGAACGCACGGAGGATCCCGCTGTTGATCCATTTTGACCATTTTAAGCTGCTTAGCTTGTACTCGTACTTGCAGGTCGGGCATTGCCAAAGGTTTCGATCCGCGGGCGAAGCTCCCCTCCAAGCCCGGAGGCAACCCTCGTGGACATATTTCTGCGATCCCTTGCACTTGCAAGGGCGCATGAGCCGGCCAAGCTCCGGTTCATCCGATACATATCTCACACGTGGCTTTCCTCCGAGATACTGAGTGGACAGGTTCGGGGCCTCGAACGTCGGCTCGACCTCTTCGAAACAGATTCTGCATGTTCGGGGCGGGTAACGTCTGCCTGTCTGTGATGGATTCTCCTCGGTGTTTTGCGCACTGTCACCATGCGCGGGCTCCTCACTAGACGATGAGGCTGGATCCGGCTGTACGGCTTGTGGAGTGGTCTCCCGAGAAGACGATGCTGCCACGTTGCCGAAAGACCAGGTCGGCGTGGGAATCGTGGGGTTTAGCGATTCGGCCATGGCGAGGGTCAGACTTCGACTTGGTGGGAGTGCGGCGGCAGATGGACACTGTGAGTCAACGTAGAAAAGTGTGAAAAAAGTCCTGTTGGGCCGTTTGGGGATTCAGTGAGCAGCCTAAGGTCATCTTCAACCGCATGAGCCGGCTGTCGACCAAAGGGTTTCGCAGTTCATAAAGATCACGCGGGAACCGAAGGGCCTCGAGATGCAAATCAAGACGATGATCCGGTGTCACACGTGTCGTTGTCCGTACAGCACGGAAGAACAAGCTGGGGTGGTACCCTTTGGAAAGTGGTCGAACTTTTATGGTGAAATGGGGATAAAAGGCCCAATTTGTGAGCTTTTCGGGAGCTAGCCTAGACGTGCTTGAAAGAATGCCTCGAGTGAGGTGGGTGGGTGCCACATGTTAGGTAAGCAACCACCCGCCCACGCCGCCCCTGCCTAGCTCGCCTGCCCGCGGCCCAGGGCTGCGCCTGGCTGGGGGAGCTCCCAAGCAGCAGCAGGTTGACGCGTGTGGACTCCTGCCTGGGGTGGTTGCAGCTGCGAGTCCAACATCATCGAGCTTCAGCTATACGGTCGCTCATCTTTCACTCCTCCACCCAAGATCCTCAACGGACCGCATACCAGTTCGCCCACCATATCCAAACCTCTCTCGTATCTAATTAGCAGCAATGGCTGATAGATACTCCTTCTCCCTCACCACCTTCTCGCCCAGGTAAGCTCAGTCGCAACCACAGCTGCCACCGACCATGCGTTTGTACTGACACACACGGCAGCGGCAAGCTGGTGCAGATCGGTCAGTTCTCGCCAATTTCCGAGCCACAGCGGGAAGGCGCCTGGTGTGAAAAGCAACCCACTTACTGATACCCTCGAAATAGAGTATGCGTTGAACGCTGTCAACCAGGGCGTCACAGCGCTCGGCATCAAGGGTCAGTGCTGTCCCCCTCCATCTCTACACACGAGGAAGCTCCGCGACTGACACGGCAGTGCAGCCACCAACGGAATTGTCCTCGCAACCGAGAAGAAGTCCTCATCGCCCCTCGCCGACCCCTCCTCCCTGTCCAAGATCAGCCTCGTCACCCCCAACATCGGCATGGTCTACTCAGGCATGGGCCCTGATTACAGAGTTCTTGTCGACAAGGCGCGGAAGGTCTCGCACACCGACTACAAGCGCATCTACAACGAGTACCCTCCCACCAGGATATTGGTCCAGGATGTCGCGCGGGTCATGCAGGAGGCCACCCAGTCGGGAGGTGTGCGGCCGTACGGTGTGTCCCTGCTGATCGCCGGGTGGGACGAGGGGATCCTGCCCGAGGAAGAGGTGGAGAAGGCGGCCAAGTCGATCGAGGGCGAGGGTGGGGAGAAGAAGATTTCGGGCAAGACCGGCGGCATCCTCAAGGGCGGCCCAATGCTGTACCAGGTCGATCCGTCAGGCAGTTACTTCCCCTGGAAGGCGACAGCTATCGGCAAGAGTGCGACTTCGGCCAAGACATTCCTGGAGAAGCGGTACACGGAGGGTCTGGAATTGGAGGATGCGGTGCACATTGCACTGCTGACGCTCAAAGAGACAATCGAGGGTGAGATGAACGGGGATACTATTGAGATTGGTAGGTCACATCATCGAGAGCTGAGGTCACCAGAAGCTATTTTGCTAATATTTTCATGCAGGAATCGTTGGACCCCCAGCAGACCATCTTCTTGGAGTGGAGGGTGTTGAGGGCGCAAAGGGCCCTCGTTTCCGAAAACTGAGTCCCCAGGAGATTGAGGACTACCTGACGAACCTATGATTTGATACCGCCTGATGCCACGCGGACGTTACGACTGTACCATAGAACAGATGCATAGATGGCAAATGCAACGGAACATGATGCCATGTTATGTTGATCCCTTGTGAACTAAGAGAAACGAGTTTCTTGCTCCGGCTTGCACTCCGACGACTTTTCGACCGTCCTTCAAATCAAGGGGGACTCGGCGCCATGATTCTTCTGATTTGCTAGGGAGGCCGAGTTGTCCATTGCCATTCTCGCCAATGACAAAGACATCACCGTTCGTCGTCAGCGCAATGATATGTGACTCGCCAACGGCAACATCAGCAATGTCATTATCCTGGATGTCAACTGGCGTTGGCTCGTCGCTTATATCTGCTGGGACCGTCTTCCTGCCGGGGTGCCCACCCCAGATGTAGAGATCATTCCCGGTGGTCAGCGCTGCAAGCACATAACCGCCAGCAGCTATCCTGGAGATAGGTCCCGTTGGCAAGTCCTCAAGAGCAGTCACGAGGCCTGGCTGGTCCGCTGGGCTCGCCGGCGACGTCTCCCGGCCGAGACAGGCAGAGTACCGCTCATCGCCTACCGTGTAGACATGACCTGTGCGTGTAACAGCCGAGAATCCGGTCTCATAGGCCACGAGCTGCTGGCACGGCGGCAGCTCCGGCCATGTCTGGCACTGGCCCTGGTTCAGGAATCCGTTGAGTGACTTGTATTGGCGGATCGAGCCAGTCGGATCAAGAACTACCTGATCGAGTGTGTGAGCCTGGGTGGCCTGTCCAAAGCTGGATGATCAGGGTTTTGCGTACGACGGCTCCGGCTGATGACTCGGCAAGAGTGTGTTTTGAGAGGAAGTCCTCGCGACATAATAAACGGTGGGCTGTGGGTAGAAAGCCTGCCGTCCTCACTTTACCATCGACGACCACTACACACGTCAGTATCAACGCTCAGCAGTGGGGTAAGGCGACCCAATCTTGGGATTTCAAAATTCCTGCCAAGTATTTGAGACGCAGCTTGGTGGAAAGGCCGGGGAAACAACTTGGGTCTAAGATGCTCACAACCTACCCGCGGTGTGTGACAGTGATGGTCGAGGTTTGTCTATGGCATCGCCAGCGAGCACACAGGTGAATTCGTGCAGGTCGTCTGGTTCGGCACAACTCTCTGGGTTTTGAAAACGAAGCTGACCCCAGGCGTTGAAGCCTGATGCGTACAACTCCATATGCCGGTCGAATTCGAGTCTGAGCAGTTCGCAGGCGGGCGCGGTGGGTGTATGAGAATATAGTGCGTGATAAGCTGGGCGTTGGCAAGCAGGGGAAATGCCCTGTAAGTCATCCACTAGGTACGGAGAACGGAGTACCTAGGTACCTAGGTACTTAGGATACTGGAGTGCAGCTGCAATTATAATGCAGTAGTATCAATTCAGCTTCTGCCTCCGTTGGAAAACCAAGTCGTCTCATAGCAGGTTGTCCTATTGAGAATTTCCCTATTGGTAATTGTGCTATGGGAGGTTGTGTTATGGGAGGTTGCGCTATGGGAGGCTGTCCTATAGGAGGTTGTCCTTTAGGAGGTTAACCTTTTGGAGGTCGTCCTATGAGAGGTTGTCCTATGGGACTGGGAAGGTGGCCCATGGAGAGGCAGTTCTGTAAGAGGTTAACCCGTAGGTCGTTTGTCCACCACGGGTAACCACAGCTACTTCCCCAGGCTATTTCCCAATTCTTGAAATTCACACTCATTCAATAGTTTACAGGGTCGTCTTGGCTGATTCAAACGAGAACTACGGACAAGCTCCCACACCAGTGCCTTTCTGATAAATGCCGTGACTTGCTAGCCAGGCATCTCTCTGTACCTGCATGTACTGCTGCACAGCTGCACAGCTGCACTGGTGCTCCAGGCCCCGGGTTGCCGTACGGTCGTATCCGTTCAAACCCTGACCATAACGCAATCGCTGGTTCCCCTCCGAGTCTTATCATGGCAATACATTTGCAGAAAATGAAGAACTCTGTTTCTGGCACGCCTGGGCCGGTCAGTCCTTTCCTTCCTGACCCGTCGCGCGGCTGAGTGCAGCGCGGGCCACAGAGAATAGGCCTCATGCATTTGGAACCCACACCACTCGCACTGGTAGGCCTCCCAGCTGCCATATTTCTACCATCCCCGCTCCCCAACCTGGGCGTCAGCCGGCTGTCTTTGTTACTCTGTTCTCTTATGAATCTGACCTATATCAGGCACACTGATACTCTCTTCTGCTCCCGCTCAACTTATTGCTGAGCGCGAGACTCCCAAGCTCGCCGCACACCTGACCCTTGACCGATACGTTCTGCTATACGGCTGTTTGGATCATGGCCCTCTATAGCGACTCATCTCGGTCTTCTGAAGATCTTGGTGAGGCTGTTGACGAGGTCTTGGCTACCCAGGATCCGTTAGACTCATCATGGCTCGAGGAACCAGAGCCAGAGGAGGCTCCCACAGGAAGGCCAAAAGACCCGACGAGTATTGCTTCAAGGGCCTACCAGGTGGAGATGCTGGAAGCCTCCCTGAAGGAGAATGTCATCGTCGCTATGGATACTGGTAGCGGGAAGACCCAGGTGTCAGTTTTCCCAGCAAAGTAGCGTTCGTCCTCCTTGGGCTAATTTGTGTCGTCGACTCAGCGCTGTTTTGAGGATCAGAGCAGAGCTCGAGAGGATGTCCTCTGATAAGGTATCAGCCTCATTGATGTCTATTTAACAAAGCTTCCACGGCCTTGCTAACCCAGACGCCTCTCTAGTTGATTTGGTTTCTGGCGCCGACAGTGTCCCTATGTGATCAACAGTTTCGGGTCATCAAGACCCAAATACCATCGGTGCTGCCGAAGCTTGTGACAGGGTCTGATAAGGTGGACAGCTGGTGTAAATCAACGTGGGAGGCCGTCCTTGTCAATGTGAAATTGGTGGTGACAACTCACCAGGTGTTGCTGGATGCCCTCCTACACGGGTTTGTACAGATATCTTCTCTGGCGCTGATGATTTTTGATGAGGGTAAGACGACTTCCATGGGCGGCGGGAAATTCCCCTACTAACAAGTCATCCAGCACATAATTGTACCAAGAAACACCCCGGCAGCAGAATCATGCGAGAGTTCTACCGCGAAGCAAAAGACCGTGGTGGCCCGGTTCCTCATATTCTCGGCTTAACTGCCAGTCCAGTGGTCAGAGCGAACATAGAAAGCCTAGAGGAACTGGAATATACCCTCGATGCATCATGTCGGAGCCCTACGCGGCACAGGGAAGAGTTATTGGCACACACACGGCGCCCGTCGATGTTCAACATCCAATACGCGCCGCCTATGCCGAAGGTGCCCAAAACAGAGTACACGCAGTCCATGCTCGCAATTCTCCAAGCTTATAAGGCGCTGGATATCAAGAAAGATCCGTACATTGAATGGCTCTCCGCTCAGAATACAGATCGATCAAGGATCAAGCTCAAAGACGCCTTTATCAAGAGGGACACGTATGTTCAGGGGACGATGAAGAAATTCTGTAGGAGAAGCGTCGACATTCGTCGGGATATGGGGAGCTGGGCAGCTGACTGGTACATCTTTGAAGCCATTCGTCGCTTCCTGGAAGGTGTCGAGAGAAGACAAGGCGGCGCCAGCCAGAGCTACAAAGAAGCTGAAGTGGTCTATCTGGCCCGGATCTTCCAGAATGCCGGCATTAGCCCCCCCTTGGAAACACACGAAGCTACAATGCTCCCAGAAAAGATGAGGCAGCTTATTGATGTACTAATCAAGTATGACAGTGCTGTTCGGGGAATTATCTTCGTTAGAGAGCGATCGACGTGAGTCTTCCTGTCTCTCTTACTCTGGACGATTTCGAAGTGCATGACTTGGGTTGGTTGCAGTTGACTAACATGAAGGTAGCACGGTCATTCTCACACAAATACTCAGTCGTCATCCAGAGATCAGCAAACGATATCGAGTGGGGAAGATGGTCGGGACCTCATTTGTTCCCGGTGTGAAGCAGGACTTCCTTGATCTGCCCGAAAAGAACAACAGCCTCGCGCTAGAGTCCTTTCGCGACGGCCGCCTGAACCTTATCGTGGCAAGTTCTGTACTTGAGGAAGGCATAGATGTCCCGCTTTGCAACCTGGTGATTTGCTTGGACAAGCCAGCCAACCTGAAGTCATTCATTCAGCGGCGAGGGCGTGCCCGGATGGAAGACTCCCGCCTTTACCTTTTCGAAGAGACAATAGACATCGACTCGAAGAAACAGTGGGAGCTTCTTGAAGCCCAAATGAAGATGTGGTACGAAGATGATCTGCGCGAGCTACAGATACTGAAAGACCTCGAGGACTCTGAAGCTCCAGACTACCCCGACCTTCGAGTTGAGAGCACTGGAGCTCGACTCACCATAAATGATGCGAAGTCTCACCTCGACCACTTTTGTGCGACTTTGACTTTCAGAAAGTTTGTCGACACCAGTCCCGACTACATCATCGAGAAAGTGGTGGAAGAAGATGCGCAGACTGGCCCGCCGACCTTGATCAAAGCCACAGTACTGCTCCCAGTATCCCTCCCTCCAGAGCTACGCCAGGCTACAAGCATCAGGACATGGAAATCAGAGGCGAATGCTTGTAAAGATGCCGCTTTCCAGGCCTACCAAGCTCTTTATTATGCAAATTTGGTAGATGAGCATCTCCTGCCACTTAGAGAACAAGATTTCGGCATTGAGATCCCGGATCGTCCTGGAATGATTGTAAGTAATGAAGTCTTGCGTGTCGCAGAGTCATGCTTTTGTTCAAATTCTTGGTTTGTGACTTCTTTGATACAACGCTGATCAACTCTCACAGGAAGCCGCTGCCCAATGTAACCCGTGGATTCGAGTTGCTGAGGCCTGGAACGAGAACAGTGGTAGTCCCCAGCGACGTGCCCTAAGACTGCTCGACCAGAGTCATACTGTCAAATGTGAACTTGAGCTGGTCCTTCCAATGTCGATTCCTCAGATGCCGCTGTTGACTGTACATCTGGACCACAAATCCCATTTCATTGTTCAAATTGAAGACGAAGTGACTATGGAAAGCGCCGATGATTCCATGGATGTCACTTCAACTCTGCTCTCAACCGCCTATGCTCATCGACGCTTGGATATCAGGGAAGAAGGATACGCCATACGACTGGCCTTGCGCAAGGGTGTTTTACCTCCAAAATGCTCAAGGACCCCATTTGACGCAAACTCCGCCACTGATGCTATGTCTCACGGCCTCGTGCGAGACATGTTTGGCAACCCTTTTGTTCTCGAATCTCTCCTGTCATCGAAACCTGCAGCCGAGGCCGTGCAGAAAGTCTATAAGGGGTTTGAGACAGACCCTGAAGACGTCCAATACGTTGCAGTCAGCAAGTACCCCAGAGGACCGGGCCTTTTCATCCGACCACTACCTCCTCCTCAACAACCACCAAGCGCGAAACCCTACTCAAGAGTTCTGCCCATGGCCGGCATGACGATCGACGACGTACCCGTGAAGTACGCAGAGTTCGGCCTTCTAATGCCGTCTCTGATACATTATATCGAGATGTTCCTCACAGCTAGTGAGCTGTCAAGGACCATTCTGGCGCCACTCAAGCTCAGCGATATTTCGACGCTCGTCACAGCAATCTGTACATCAAGTGCCCGCACGCCGACCAATCTGGAAAGAATTGAATTTTTGGGTGACTCCATTCTGAAGCTCTGTACAACTGTCAATGTCGCCGCTTCGGAGCCTCGAAAGCCCGAGGGACTTCTTTCACGTCTCAAAGATAGACTGGTTTGCAACGGAAGGCTATGCATGGCGGCACGTAATACGGGGCTGGACCAGTTCATCATTGCAAAACAACTTACTCTCAAGGGCAGTGACGAGCGATGGCGCCCTCCCTACATCTCAGACTTGCTCGAGTGTTCTAAACAGGAAGCGCAAAGCCGAGTCATGTCGACCAAGACTCTTGCTGATGTCGTGGAAGCTGTCATTGGCGTCTCTTACATCGATGGAGGACTGGAGAAGGCTCTGGACTGCATGTCCATTTTCCTTGGAGAAGGTCAGTTTCGAGACTTCCACACCACTAGGAGTGTGCTATTCGAAGCTGCTCAGCCCAAGAACATGGATCTTCCGGCAATCTACGAGCCTTTGGAGGCAGCCATAGGATACGTTTTCCGCGAGAAGGCCCTGCTCGTTGAGGCAATAACTCACCCCAGCTATGTTGCTGCTTTATACACGCGCGAATATTCCTATGACTACACGTTTGACCGCCTTGAATTTATCGGTGACAGTTTGCTTGACTACATCATAGTAAAAGGTGCGTATCAACTTAACCATTTTTAGTCCCAACTTTCCCTTTACAGACCGGCTTCCAGATACCGCACGCTGGTCATTGCATTTAGGAGCTAACAAGCCGCCAAAGAACTCTTCGACGAGAAGCCCGAAGCACTGGACAACTGGCAGATGCACCTCCTCCGGACCGCGCTCGTCAACGCGGACATACTTGCCTTTCTTGTCATGGAGTGGGGCCCAAAGTTGTCAACCAACGATGTCGTACTCGACGACGGGAGCGGGAGCGAGGAGGACAATGGGACAAAGGAGCGCAGCCCAGACCTCGAGCCCGTGGAAACAACTACCCCGTTGTGGTCCTACATGCGCTACCAGTCCATCGAGCTGACCATCGAGCGAGAGGCCACGGCCAGGCGCCACGCTGAGCTGCGCGAGTCTATCCTCGAAGCAATGCATTCCGGTACGCACTACCCATGGGCATTATTCGCACGCCTCCATGCGCCCAAATTCTTCTCGGACCTGTATGAGGCGCTCGTGGGCGCAATCTGGGTGGACTCCGGCAGCTTTGACGCCTGCAAGGCCTTTGTCGAGAGGTCGGGGTTGTTGTCATATCTGGCCCGACTCCGAAACACCGACACCCCGGTGCATGTTCTTCACCCGAAGGAGGAGCTGGGCCGGCTCGCTAATTCCGAGACGGTAAGCTATGTGGTCAGGGAGGCTGAGGAAGACCAGACTGGACCCGGGAGGTTTGGGTGCAAGGTGCTCGTGGGCGACAAGGAGGTTGCGGATGTGGATGGCGCGCTTTTCAAGAATGAAGCTGTCGTCAGGGCTGCCACCGAAGCTGTAGCGATACTTTCAGCGGCATAGCTCAAGACAAAGACATGGCCTCATGATGATATAGCTCTGTCTTCCCCTCCGATTTGTCACTACACGCAGAACTCCACTACCGTCTTTTGTGTCCCTGCTCCGTTTGGAACTAGACTACACTTCTAATTCAATACTGGGGCAAGCTACACTAAGCCCCCGCTCATCAGATACGCCGATGACCAAGTAACAAAGTAATTGTTTTTAATTCTTACAGGACAGCCTTGTAGAGGCGTCGCCTGTAGAACAACCTCCTATAGAACAACCTCCGCCGGAATAACCTCTCATAGAGTGTCCGGCAGATCAGATCTTGCCTCCTAATAGTGCTTGTTGTAATTGGAGGTCTCATATTCCCATAAAAGCGAAGTAATTTGTATAATTTCTCGGATGTTCGTGCTCTGAGCCTCTTTAACTGTTAGTTCGGAGAGATTGCTAAAAACTGAATGGTATAATATGTGTTTCACGACACATACTAACTTGGCAATCACAGACGCCTCGAGGCTCAAATACAGAGGGGAAGTCATGGAATATAACTTCAAAGTTGGATTTGACGTCTATGAGAGCTGCAACGAAAAAGAGGGTCAAAAACTTCCAAAACTTGTATTACGATGCATTATGCAATCGGAGGTAGACGGGAGTCCCCATATAGCACCAGTTGACACCCTTCAAAAATGTCCCTCCCCATCAAGATCTGTAGCATAGCAGAATATCTTGATCATCAACTTTGTGATCCGATCTCAATGGAGAATCACAGGCCACCACCTTCCATTGCTTCCAAAAAGTCGACCCACTCAGCTGTTAGATGGCCTCAGTACGCGCTGTCTGTCTGCACGCCAGCCTGTTCGAGGACAGTAGCGGTCAGTTTACCCCAGACCCCGATTTCACTCAGGCCTTTCGTATCCATCACTTCAACGAAGATGCCTAGACTCAGTCATCTTCCGTGAGATCAACAGCCTCCCTTCCGTTGCTCATCTTCACGATCTTCCTTGGTCGCGGGGCTATTTGGTCCTCGCCAGGCTCCCGTTTGACAGCTCCTCGTGAGGAGTCACGTTTGTTGGCGACTTCCGAGGAGGCACTATTTCCTTCCTGTGGGTTTTTAGCATGCATTCCCGGGTTCTTGACAACAATTGGTATTCTTACCTGTCTGTGCGATAACTGTCTCTGTGCCAGGCGGCGGACCTCATTGAAAGGTAGTGTATCCACACTCACTTTTGCCAGTCGGCGGATCTCTCTAAGGGACAGGCTGTCGATGTCAACGTCGACTGGAGAGGGCTCTCCGGGAATGACCAGCTCTTGCTGAAGAATAGCTTATGGGAATAAGCTACCATGAAATATCACAAAGTTCAGAATGGACTGCACCTACCTCTGGACCGGTACTTGAAGTAGAAGATGGCGAGCGGAACCTTGACAGGGTCCACATACCGGAAGCCGATCTCCCTGATAAGAGCGTCACACGGGACTGCAGCAGAGAGACTGAGAGACATTAGCTTGCTGATTGAAATTATGTGATCCAATGACACGGACGTGGCCCTGTGAGAGAGTGATCTGCCCTTCAGTGCTTTCTCAGAAACCTTGGTTTGTGTATCATCAAGCCAGTTGCTCTGAGATGGACTACTCGCAACGCTGCTGTCAGAACCCTCGACACTTGACCCCTCGCTCTCCAGGAGCTCGCCCCGCCAAACACGGACACGAAGGAGTCCAAGGTGCGTGGCAGTATTTGTGTCTCTGTTCAACCGCACTGTGTCATCGTCATCAACTGCCCAAGTGTCAGTGTATCGCTTCTAAATCAATGTGTTCCAGGGAGATCTACCAGGGGACACGGCTGTGAACCGGAACCTGCGGAGCGTCGTCTCTTGGCCATCGTTCTCATATTTGCCTTTGACCAGTGACGTGAGATGCTCTGAGTGCAACCAGAGGTTCTCAATTCTGTTTTGTCCATCCAAGTCAATAGCGAACATGAATCCCGCCTTCGTGGCGCTGAGATACTCATTGTTTGAGGTGGCACGCAACAGCACAGCGAATTCCGCATTGTCCATCACCTCCACATAGCTTCGGTACTTGCGGATTTCGTCGCCGAAGCCATCATTCGTGGGCTCCTGCTCCTTGTCCTCGTATTCCTGCAAGGGGGAGTCATTGACGACGATCTTGACCTCCAGGCCGAGATCTTCGATAATGGCCATGGTTGGCTTGTTTGCGGTGTGCGAAACGGCTGGAGGGGATTATTTTGGCGTGGCCAGCAAAGGGGTTTGGGAAGAGTGGTTCGGGCTTTGCCTGCTCAAAGCAGATGAAATTGAATCGATGGGATTGGGGGCTCCGTGAAAGAGGCAAGGGGATCCAGTAGCTCTTATTGGAAGTGGTTGGAATGGATGCCTCAGCCTCGAAACCAGATGAAAGTTTTCGAAAGAAGGTGTCCGTGGGCGAAGGCACTCGAGAGGGTCGAAGGGTAAGGAAGGAGAAGTGCGATTGGTTAAAGGCGGAAAGTGAATGGGTAAAACGAACCAAAGACTACTTCACACATGGTCTCCTGCGAAAAGCAAACTGTCTGCCGTTGATTCCTTCTTACTCATAGCACTGAACATACACCAACCTACATAAAAGCCAGTAACTTTAGAAGCCCATTATGATCTCTTGTTCCACAGAAACTAACAAGTCATGGCGTTGGCACAAGCAGAGTGAAATGTAAGCAAACAGGGTATCACTACTGGAAGTATTTGGCCATTGCACAGCCGCACTGCAAAAAGCGTAGTCGCCCTCAATCATCTTGGGTCAAATCGATTGCCTTCTTTCCTCCCTCGATCCTGACGTACTTGAAGCGTTTCTCAGATCTGAAGACTTTAGTATCGTCTTCGTCCTTGACGGACGCATCCCGTTTCCTGGAGTCCTACGAATTTGTCAGCAGTCGTCCCTGCCAACACAGGGCAATGCCCAGGTGCTTACTTTCATCTGTGACAGTCTCTCGAGTGCCAGCCGGCGGATCTCTTCCGGCGAGAGGTTTACCAGATCAGACTCCATGGTAGGGCTCCTTGGGCGTTCGATTATAAGCTCCTGCTGGAGGGATTCTGCGAACCGTTACCACCCAATCCAATGAGAGAATGCACACCGGGGTTGATGTACCTTTCGAGCGATACTTGAAGTAGAAGACGGCAAGCGGAGAGGCCGTCGAATCCCGCCAGTCAACCTCCCAGCGGGAACTGTGTCTGGGTGCTATCCGAACCGGAGCGGACAAACTAGAAACTGGTTAGAGGAGTTAGGACTTCTTTTCTAGGTCGATTTTGTCTTACGCTGTCCCATGGGAAATTGCTTTGCCCTTGAGAGCTTTCTCAGCGAGAGAAATGCCGTCTGTTCCGAGTTTCGTACTACGGCCTGAGCCAGCCTTGCGTGCTGATTTCTGCTTCCAAATCCCGCGAAAGATACAGATTCGAATGAGGCCTAAATCCCGAGCGACGTGCATATCCCTGGTGATACGTTCCTTGTTCACATCATCAACTAGACATGTTAGCTCCAGAGCCTCGAGATGAGACAAGAACCTACCGGTGGACACAGGTGCAAAGCGAAACTTGCGTAAGGTTCCCTTTGCATGATCACTGATGCCTTCCATGGCCGTTGGGGTTGTGTATTGCCATATCGTTTTTGACCTTACTGCATGTCCGCCGTCGAAGGCCACAGAAAAGAGCAGTCTATGGTCTCGCGAGCGACCAGTCCACTCCCGCACAGGATTGTTCCCTGGGATGATACCAACGCGGATGGCGAATTCGGCGTTGTCAACGGACTCCACATAGCGATGACAAGCCTTGGTGGTCTGGCCATAAGGGATGTCCTCAGGCTCTGGGTCTGGGTACTCGGCAGCTGTGGAGCCATTGACTGTGATCTCGGCCTCGAGGCCGAGCTCTTTGATGATGACCATCTTGCGGGGTGTAGGGGGCAATATGATCAGAGAGTTGACAGTGAGGAGTGAGGAGTGGTCGTGTACGACACCCGGTACGAATCTCCGTGGGGCCAACGCGCAACGCGTGAGGAAGGCGCGGTCTCACTGGCCGTAGTTTAATGCAACTGCCTGCGATGCCACAGCGAGCCACAGGGAGGCAGGAAGCGCCCAAGCCCGTGCCTATGCCTGCTCACTTGCTTCCGAACAGAAGGTGTCGGATTGCAAAGGGAATGGGTAATGTCCCAGATGCCAGTGTCTTTCAAAGATTCCTCCAATGTTACTCTGGGACGACTCTGGGACGAAGACAGTCCCTTGACAAGGGGTCCCAAAACACAGGCAAATAAAAGTGCTGTGTAAAAACCCCACAGTGGCCACGAACTTGTACATGAGGCATTGCGGTACTGCGTATTTACCCTGACTGTACACAACCAACCATGATATCAATTGATGATATTATTTACATCCGAACTGTTGTAAGCACTTGGTGGATGCCCGCATACTGAGGTACCTAGGTACTGCTGGTCACCTTGCATGTTGAACCGGGGAATCTGGATGACTTAGGTAAGCGCGTTCTGACCCCTGGCCCCTGGCCCCTAGTCATGCGAAGCGACCAAATCGTCACGGCCGACATGCACAGCAGCCACTTGGTGACCGTAGTCACTGCTGCCAATGCTATTACCTCAGTAGACACCACTTACAGCCCGCTTGCCGTTCCAACGATTTGCAAGCCGCTGCCACCTCGTCCACCAAAGCCATGTCCAGGCCGAGTTCATGAGGCTTCTCTCAACACTCCTTCGCCTTGAAGGAGCTCCAACATGACACCCGACTCGGGCAACATTCGTGTGTTCGTTCGCTTCGATGATGACGGGACCACCCTCTTCTCCGGCGAGGAATTGAAGTGCACCATCGTCTTCAAGAACGTAGCCCAAGCTGCCCCCAGCAGCGCCGGCTCCACCACTTCCAGCTCAAATCAACTGCGGCCTCCTCCCCAGTCCCGTGCCGCCATCCACCATGCCTCCAGTCGCCTGGCCCCGCCCCCGTCGACATCCACCTCCGCGCCCCGTCGAGGCCATCGCCCCAGCTCGTCCATGAGCGCCCCCGCAAAGACCTCGCGCAGTCGTGCAGGCTCCGTCCCGTGGACTCCCCCGTTCCATCCGCCAGAGACACAGTCGAGCAATGGCCATGGTCATGAACAAGGGCACAGTCACAGGAGATCCGTGTCGATCGTCTCCATTGGGTCCGTCAACTCTGTCGACAGCCATGCGACGAGCACCGCCGGCTCAACTACCTCGCGGCCAGGCCGCGGCCATGGCCGGTCCGCGAGTCTCCAGATAGTCTCTCGTGGCTCGTCCATGGCCGGTCCACGATCTGGTTGGTCACAGTCATTGTGAGAGCGTGGGATCGCGTAGTGCTGACCTGCTGTAGCCTCACACCCCCAGCGACCCTTCAACACGCCGACATCACCTCTATATAACGCGTCCTACCCTCCGGATCGAGGCTCTCCCTTTCACCGGCCCTCAGGGGCATCCACCGTGCCACCAAGTATTCCTGGCATCGGCTCCGTAGGCTCTCCTAGAACACCGTCAGCCGTCTTGTCGGAGTTCAGGTTTCCTATGGGCCCCTCGCCCCTGTCCGACATTGCTGTTGGCCCTCCTAAACCTGCACCTGATGCTGCGTGGAAGGGCGCTGCCACACCCCTTGGGGAGCCCGCGAACATACCGATGCGTCCAAGAGACCCGATACCGATTATCAATGAGCAGATTACCCCGGCTGCCGCCCGAGTCCTCTCAACGAGTAGTATAACTGGCACACCTAGAAGCAGTGGGGAGTTCTACTCCATGAGCAATAATTCTACAGAGACTCTGGCCTCCGAATACGTGCTGCATCAGCCTATGAGAACTCATGGGAGGCCACCACACCTACGTCAAAAGTCCACATTCTCCCCTCTGAAGGCAAAACGCCCCGAGGCTCTGATGATGGGTTACGCTCAGGTTCAGGGCTCCTTCACACTAGACGGTTCTCTGGTCGACCTTACGCCGTTTGAGCAGGTCAAAAGAAAGGCAGTGGTAGGAGGTCAGGGTGGCGGTGTTGTTGGCATTGAGACCTCCAAAAAAGAGAATGGGTTCATGCGGAGCTTCGGCTGGGGCAGCTTCACCAATTCGTTGGGAGAGCTGCTGGGTGCTGGCGAGCTCAGCAGCATCAAGGAAATGCGCGGGATTGCCAGCTCCAAATCAGTGCCGCTGTTGTCCACGCCACAGTCTATTTTATTCGTGGATTTACAATTGGCCCCTGGAGAAAGCAAGGCTTTCGAATATTCCTTCAGATTACCCAAAGGCCTACCCCCGACGCACAAAGGAAAGGCCATGAAGACATCATACAGCCTCGTCATAGGGACACAACGCCCTGGTGGCACTAAAGAGCAACAAGTCAAATCGGTCGAGATACCGTTCCGCGTGCTAGGAAGTGTCAACAGCCACGGCGAAATCCTCGGGCACGATCTCATGTCCCCTTATGTTATGCTGCGGGACCAGGCTCGAATACGGACGATTAGCATGGGAGACAGCCTGTATATCGACAGGCGGCTCAGCGTGACAGATGCACGAGACAAGAGCGGCAAAGCGGCAGACCCTGAATCCACGATGAGTGGGTTCCTGTCGTACGTGGACGAGCTGGTGAACAGCTCCCGGCATGGCTCAGGTGCAGGTCTGCTATCGCCGACCGCTGTCACTGGTTCTAGAAGACCGTCGCTCCTCGACGAGGTTAACAGTGCCAAGGATGCTATTGACCTGGCCATAATAAGGAGTAACCTCACGGCGGAAGGTCAGCAAAGCGCCAATCGCTTCGAAATTGCTCGCAACGGGCGTAAAGTTGGCGTTGTAATGCTTGCGAGGCCTGCATACCGGCTGGGCGAAGTCATCACTATGGCTGTCGACTTTTCGGGGGCCGAGGTTCCCTGCTTTGCAGTGCACGCTGCGCTCGAGACGTCTGAAAGGGTGGATCACGGTCTAGCGATGCGTTCCGAGGCAAGCATTCACCGCGCCTCCAGGAAGGTACATGTGTCCACATCCGAGGCCACCTTGTTCTCCCGGCGCATGGTGTTTAACCCGGCCATACCGATTACCGCAACCCCCGAGTTTGTTACCAGCGGCATTAGCCTGGAGTGGAAGATCCGGCTGGAATTCGTTGTACCATCTCAGGATGTGGAACCGCCGCCGGTCGAAGACCAGCCCCAAGAAGACTCTGACGAGGAAGGCGAGCAAGGACAGGAAAGACGACTCATTTCAGCGGAGAAAGCAAGAGCACAACCACAAGGCCCTCACCCGCTTCTAGAGGAGATATCACGAGATGACCGCGGTGGCCTCGTCCTGGTAGCGGCGGAGAACCTCGCCTGCGAGAGCTTCGAGGTCGCCGTGCCGCTGAAGGTCTACGGTGCGGTGTGCAAAGGACTGGAACGGCTAGAGAGAGACGAGGCACTCGAGGAAGGGCTTGTAGTATAGCGGACATACCGCATCTGATGGCGCACATGATAGCACGGGAAAACGGGGGGAAGCGACGCATAGATAAAGGGGGCATGGCAAAATTTGATTAGGCGGTTTTATTGTGGGATAGATTCAATCTACAAAATGACTACAAGTATGATGCCTTTTGGTTCCCTAATAATCCATCACCTAGCTCTGTGACAACTTTCGGTGAGACCTTGTGTCAGTCACCCTTACCGAATTTTGGACCCCTCAAGACCACAAGGCCCATGAGCTCCGTGCAATTGCTACACGATCTTCCCAGGCAGAAGGGAGATCGGGTTCTACATCTGATTGGAGATGCCTCCACTACAGGCTTAGATCGTATGCTCATGATGAATACACCAGCTCGTGTCTGAAACCGCAAAATCTGATATAGAAGAAGAGGTGCTGTTTTCACTGGCGACAGATACGTTTTGGAAATTCTAACAACCGGACAGATCGTCCCTGCTAGCCAGGCTCTGCAGACAGACTGTTTCACTGCAAGTACTCCCTGATATGCTCTCGTGTGCAAATCTAGCATATTTGACGGTAGATATCATCTTCGAACGACGCCTCTTGTGGCACAAATCGGCTATCCTCATGTTCTGCTGGCTGTAATTTGATAGTTGCTTGGGTATTGCACATGTGATAACATTGAATCCATGCGTCCGCCTATTTGGCAGTGGGTTTGCCTAAGCCACTGAGACCTCCTCTATGCCTTTCCCCAGGGTAAATACCAGGTTTCTCCTGCGCATCAAAAATCCACCGATTTATCTTTCCCTTTCTCTCTCAAACATATGAATTCTGCGGATGCTGGACCCACGCCGGGGCTGTAAAGCTGATTGGTTCGACCACACCAATAACTCATCTCACTGGTAGAGATGAAGATATGCCCCCACCCCCCAACCCCCCAAAAAAAAAGAAGAGATAAACCGCCACGGGTTGGTAGTTGAGAACTAGACCGACCATGACCGAGACGCCTTGCCCGAACTTTTCGCCAAACCTATGCATATCGAGACAAAGGAAAATAGTTACATATTGAAAACATTACCAGAATTGGTTGGGTTCCTCAGCCAGAGGTCTTTCTCGTCCCCTCGCCAGCCGTCCTCGGCCGCACGCGCTCAACCCCGAAGGTCCTAGATGGTGTGAGGAGGGTTGGGCTGGTCTCCCCGCTCCTGCCTCCCCAGCTGCCATTGAACTGGGCCTCTGAGAGCCTCAGCCGCAGCCGCTCGTCGAGCATGCTGACCAGCCTCTCGCTGTACTGGTCGAGCAGCCCGCTCAGCGCAGACGCGCTGGCAGCCTGGCTGTCCCTACTGATCCTTTCACCTAGGGCAGCAGTCGTTAGGCGCAGCTCGTTCTCCAGTTCCGCTATGGCCTCAGACGAGATGGGTTCCGCGGATGAGAGCTTGCCGCGGTATGTGCGGAGCTGTCGGCACGTCTGCTCTGTCGCCGTCTGCAGAGATCCGGCACCGTAAGACGACCGCAGGCTGAGCGCGCTGGACTTCTTCCGTGCTGTTGGCTGGTTTTGCGTGGCGCCGAGAGCGGGAAGGGATGGTCTTCGGTTCAGTCGCGACGTTGCCGGGCTGTCTGGGGAAGGTGGACCGCCAGATTTACTGGATGAAGGTCGGCGAGTGGGATACTCGCTTGTCCGAGAGCGGGATGGACTGGTGTGGGGAAATTGCGAGGTGGTGGGTGTCTTGACTGAGGATGATGATATATTTTGCCTCGACTTGCGCTGTCGAAGGGTTCTTGTTGGCGGCGATCGCCGTCCGCCCGAGGACGATGGGCGCGGGAACTCGGCGAGTTCAGCCTTTGATAAAACACGTCGTAGGACTGGCCGGCTGGAACCGCTGACAGGCGAAGGAGACCTACTCATCGCCCGAATTTCAGGGTCTCTCAAGTCCAAAGTCCAGATCATGATTGTACCATCACATCCTACACTGACGACTTTGCGGGTGGCCTCACCGCTGTCCACCAACGTGACGCCATTGATCGATTCCGTATGACCCCATTCACGGTCCATGAAGGCCCCACTCTGAGAATCGTATACTCTGACGGATTTGTCTGTGTTTGAAATTCCAATCAAAGTTGGGGTCTCGTCGCGCTTGGGAGGGCCGAAATTGAGCGAATCGACCACCGCGTTTTCGGTGCCATTTTCATCTGTGCACTTGAACACATTTGTTTGCCTGCCACTCTCTAGGTCGAAGCGACAGATGGATCGGTCCAAACTCGATACAAAGATCGATTTGCAATCAGAGTCCAGGACCATGGAGACCGGAGATGCCTTGAGCGAGATCGACCGAGAGTAGATTGCAGCCAATGAGCTGGCATCACCCTGCTTGGTGACCAACTCATATACCTGGATGTTGCGATCCATAGAGCAAGTGATCACTTTGTCATCTGAAGACAATATCAGATGAGTCACCCGGGCAGGGAACTCCAGTGTTTGCAAGAGGTCGAAAGACCCGTCTGAAAGCCGGTGGAATAATTGGACAGTGCGATCCCTTCCACACGTCGCGACGATAGTCCTCGAGGCATTGCTTTGGAAAGAGACGTGTGTTATTTCGGATGAATGAGCCTTGGTTTCCATGAGTTGCTGTCCTGTTGAGCGGTCGAATACTCGAAAAACACCCGCCCTGTCCCCGGAAGCAAAGACGTGGCCGCTGGCGTCTGCTCGCACCACGCACAGCTGGTTCTGTGGGTCTACATCGTTGCCCAGATGACACTCACCTACGGGAATGTCAAAACTGTGCTGGACGATGCCGTCCAGGTCCCAAAGAAGCACTTTTCCGGATTTGGACCACGTGAAGAATGCAAGGTCCATCTCGTCGGATGCGGTGAGCGGTTGGACACCGAGCACGGGGTCACTTTGCCCAGCTAGTCTGATTGGTGTCGACCCCTGGGCAGACTTGTTAGGCAGTTGGTCTGCCTCCCAAATCTCAATGGACCGCGCCGAGTCTATCGTCACAAGCTGATCTTGAACGACACCCATGACAGCGAACCCACATAGTCCTGATTGTCCCTTTGCAATCTGGGGTTCAGAGGTCGACGCAGCCTCAGTATTAAGCGTGTTGACATCAAGGGTGACAAACTGGCCATCCTTGCCTCCTAGCAGTGCGACCGAGCCACGGATTGTGCAGCAGGTGGCAGGAAATCCTGTCTCAGCTGCACGTGTGAGCTTGATCTGGCCACTGCTGTCGTCCAGAATGCATATGTCGCCAGCATCGGAGCAGATGACTGCGTGAGTCTCATCGAAAGGCACTGCGCATGTGAAGGTCGTCTCCAACAGAGAGCCAAGCAAGACGTTTCTGCCAGCCAAAGTCTTTTGGGCCTCTTGTGGCGTCAGGCTCCTCTTCGGCGGCGAAGGTGGCCGCTGTCCTTCATCAACCACCTTCCACGCCTTGACATGTCGAGTACCAAAGGAGATCAAGGTGTTGCCCAGCCATATCATTCCATTGACCTGGGCAGTGCACCGATTTTGTTGGAACAATCTGGCAGACCCAGTCCTCGGGTCAATTTTCCAGATAAACAGGAATCCATCGTTAGGATCGCCGAGGGAGGCGAGGAATCTCCCATCCGGAGACCATGCGACTGCTCGCACACCGAAAGCGTGTTCGGTGATCGAGACCAAAGGTTGATCAGAAGATGAGCCCTCTTTCAGGGTGAAGATGAGAACTCTCGGAGAGTAGCCAGTCTCGCCAACCGCGAGGAACCTGCCATCTCTACTGAGAGACACGCATGTGGCGGCTTTGATGCGTTCGCGACTGGTCCACGTCTTGGACGCCGGCGAGTCGCCCCGGTCTGACGGTGACGAGTAGTTGGGATCCCGTGGAGCGGCTGCTACCCTGTTCCTTGCGTCGTTCGCCTTAGGGGTGGTGTAAGGACCGGAAGAGCCATGCTGGACAGGGGCGACGCTGAACACAGGCACTGCTGTAGGACGAGCGCGATAGAAACGTTGGGTGTAGTTGCTGCCGTCCAAGTCGGCGACGACAACGGCACCTCCAGCGATATAGCAGAAGCAGCGGTTGACCGAGTCAAAACCGGTGGGCGAGCTGCAGGTGGTACCGATGACCCTCTTCAAGAACAAGCTCGGCTCTTGGGTCTTTCCGCGGCCGGGGAGCCTGGAGTTGGGTGAGGTGACAGGAGTGTTGGAGGGCGCCAGCTTGAGATGGCGATTCGAGGGGGTAGATGCCATTATGACGGGAGGGGTGTGCGGTTGTCCGTCCTTCCTTGTCCTACTTGGGCTCACAGAGACGACATCCTCCGCAGGATCGAGGGACGCACGGAGCTGGGAGGTGACTGGGCGCGGGTTGTTGCCTAGGTGAGAAGCAACAAGGCAGCTGTGCCTGCTTTATTGCTGAGGTTTTTGATGGAGACAGTGCGAGGAATGCCAGCAGCAGGAGCTCAAAGACAACGCAGCAAGAGCAAGAGCAGGTAGGCAAGCCCTGTGAGGCAGGTCAGCGGACAGGGTCCGTTTGCTCGAGGAGCGGTGCCGGATGAGTGCCTGATGAGGTGTACAAGTCTCCAATTTACCGAAACGTCGATTAACTATTTACGTACAATGGGGGAGAAGGAGCGGATGGAGCCTCAACGACAGCTCCCACAAGGTGCCACGAGGCGGCAGAATCAGTCGGCAAGCGCGTTTGAAGGCATCGACGAGGGAAGGTTGCGCCGAGGAGCTGCTGTCAAAAGTCCACGGCGGCAGAGAGGAGCTCTCTGAGGACAGCTTGCTAGCCCGGGCAGAAATGAGGGGGAAGCCACGACCAGAGAAGCAGAAAGCCGGCGGTGATCAGAGCGTTGAGGCAGCAAATTCCCCCCTCTCCATCGTCATGTTGGTCCAAAGGGCAGCAGCAAAAACCGTACCATGGTCGAGGAAAGGCCCGTGTAGTTCTCGGTCAGCTCCAGACGAAGCTGCACCGCTCTGCTGGGGTACCGCTGCCAAGTCAGAACGGCTCCATTTTCGACATGCGCATGATTGGCCAATCCACCAGGGGATCCTCAGCCTAGTGCGTTGTCATGGGGGCCCCATGTTGTCAGGTCTGCACACTAAGGCCCGCCCCGGAGCAGTCTACGGAGATTGAGGAAAGGGGCCGTTCATGGAAGAGAGACATATGGACCTTCTCTCTGCCTGCCACGTGCAAGACATGCGTGCCCATGAAGAGCACACGGCCCATCACATGGATCGTCGCAGTGGCCGATGGCTGACATTCCGCTTTGGGAAGACTCTAATTACATGCTCAGGGATCTCGATGTCAGTGCCGATTTGTATTTGACTCGGCGTGGGCATCACATCACAGATCATCAAACTTATGGTACTCTACCCGAGTCTATTCCACAATGTCACCTTACACGAGATTTGGACCGATAATACCATCCTATTGGAATAGCCCCAAGATCACGCCAGCCTGTGCCCCATTCCCCGGGAGCCGTGTCTGGCAATAAATCGCGATGCAACGCTTGAAGTTAGAGATGGTCACTTTTCTCATGCCCATTCCGTCGTAGCAGCAGGTCCCATTGTAGAATCTACCAATACTATGAGCCCTGCTTGGGAGTCCGCTTCGCCACCACAGCATCTCTTCCCCCAACCACCTACGGAATCATGCGCTGTGGGATCACCACGCGTGGGATGACCTCTTGTGGATAGCCTCCTATAGGGCGACCTACCAGAGGACAGCCTCCAAGCCTCCTGAGGGGAACCTCTAGGCAGGTATGCGGAACAACTTCCCTCAGAAGAAAAGACCAGATCTAGGCAGGCCACAAGAACTCCACAACGTTCTTTTCGACAACCTGTTTTCTTCCCCAGTGCAAGTGCGGTCAGTACTGTAGTGTGGATGTGACTGTGTTTCCTCTCGCTAGTAGCTTCACCTTAGACCAGGCTCTTTGACAGTTTCATCTGAGCCTGCAGTCGTACGGCTGTCTCTGGGTCCATACCCCCGGCGACATCCTCCTTTTCAGACTGTTGTTCCTTGCGCGACGGCTCCTCATAACCCGCCTGCACCCCGGCCTCAAGCCACTTCTTCGGCGGCCGCATGCCCAGCTCCGCGTACCGCTGCCACACGCTCACCCCGCGTTTGAACCACCTCGTCTGGCGGCTCTCTTCCTCCTCGGCGCTGGGCTCCCACTTGGCCTTGAGAATCCTCCGGATGGCCTCGGGCGACACCTCGAATTTCTCGGCAAGTGCAGCTGTTGTATACATGTCTGGGAACTGCCGGTGCAGCACTCGGATGCCATCGAGCGCGTCCGGTGATAGCCTCTTGGGTGGCCTCCAGCCCTCTGGGAACTTCTTCTTGAGCGCCTCTTTCTGTTTCAGCCACATTGGTCTATTGTCATCCCTCTCTTTCTTATCCTTGACCTTGGCAGCCTGGTGTTCGCTTCGTTCCGTCCCCTCCTCCGCCCACTTTTCCGCCCTATTCGGTCGTTTCTTCTCCCGTAGTTTCTTGTTCTTCTTTGGCTGTTCCGTCGACTCCTCTGCACTCGTCTTCGGCTCCTCTGGGCTGTTGTCAACCCTCTCTTCCTTATCCTTGACCTTGGAAGCTTGTTCTTCGCTTCGTTCCGCCCGCATTTCCGCCCTCTTCTGTCGTTTCTTCTCCCGTAGTTTCTTGATTTTCTTCGGCTGTTCCGTTGACTCCTCTGTGCTGGTCTTCAGTTCCTCCGTGCTCGTCTTCAGCTCCTCCGTGCTCGTTCTCGATTGCTGGTCCTTGTCTGGCTTCTCTTCTGAATGCCCCTGACTCTCTGAAGACAGCGATGGAACAGATTGTTGTGAGTATCTGGTCGCTTTACGGAAAGCGTTCTTGGAGCGCTTCGTTATCTTGAACAGCCTATCCTCCTCTCCTGAGGATTCAGATGCCCGGGAAGAGGACGATTGCAGGCTCTCTTCTGGCTGAGGTTTGCGCTGGTCTTCTGGGGGCAGCTTCTGTGCTTCTTGCCCTTCTGCCGCGGTATCCGACGATTCTGCAAGAGTGTGTGCTTGTCGGTAGTTGTGAGTAATGGAGATGTTGCGATTCGGGAGCCGGGAGCGATTCGCCGGCCATGTCGATCTCGCGTACTGCGTCGTCGGAGCGTGGACCTGGGCCAGGCTCCGGGCAAAGATTCGCAGAGCAATCATGCGGCATGAACAAGCCATGTTCATAGACTCCAGGTCGTGCAGACCCAGATAAAGCCCCTACAATGGGCGCTGTCTGTAGTGTTGATGCGGAGTTGTAGAATGACGATTTGGGAAAATTTCACAAGCATCGCGAATCCCTGGTTATGCCGCTGCAGGCTAAGCTACCTAGTATGCAAGCTTAAACCAGGGGTCCATGGTTGCGGGACGGACGCGGCTCGCTAAGGCTTACCAGGTCCCTTGCGTCCCACGCGGCTTACCGTCTAACAGCCCAAGCTGTTACGCGCGCTTGACGTCTGGTCTTCGAGGTCATACACGGACATGTGGTGCTGTTTAATAACCAAGGCTCAATGGCTCGCAACATTCCCCAGTGCTCCATATCACAGCATCTTGGAAAGCTGCACATTTGAGGGTCGCTCACACTTCCTGTTGACCTGTCGAGAGGCGGAATGCACATGAGGACTCGCCCTGGAAAGTGCCAACTCGTCCCCAACTGTCAGGTGTTGGCTCAGTCACAAGCTCCAAGACGACAGACCAATAGTGAGTTACAGCCTTTCTGGACATGGAAGGGGCTACAATCTGTATACACGATATCCGGGATCCTCGGACCCGCAGTGAGTTCCTGGCGGTGGCGACTCATGCCGAAATGGATGGGGTCAACCCCAACTAGCACTGTCGGGGATCAATGACACGCAGAACCCCTACACGCCGGTTTGTCTTGGAGCTTCAAGTGAAACAAACACTCTCTTAGATAGACGGACTGGTTGTTGATGTACCCCTCTTCCATTTTCATTCGTGTATCCGTTCAATCTTCGAAGAAGTTTTGGCTTTGTTTCTCGTTATATCGACCTTTAAAAGGGCCCTCGCAGCGTTGCTTGTGCCGTCATCTGCCTCGGATCTTGCCCCTCACACTGGCCAAGCCGCTCCGACATATAGTGTAACATGCTTTTCACCAGAGAAAAGCGTGATATACGCCATACATGGGGCTATACGTATGAGTGGACTTCAGAGCACCTGACCAAGGAGCAGTTGCGGCCACTGACCTTCAGCTACGATGTGCTTGGTGCGGAATGCCTGGACCGGCTTGACGCCATAAGCCCACCGGGGTCGACGAGGCCGGCCCGGAAGTCGTCTGTAGGAGATGATACAGCCGAGGCACCTGCCTCCCGGGACGGGGACGGCGGCAGCAAGAAGGACGTCTCTCCACGACGGGACCTGTACGCCCTCCTAGCGGAACACCACGCCACAGACCCGAAGCTCAACGAGCTGTGGACGCAGATCCACACCGTCCCCTCCTGGGTCGACTGGGACCAGATCAAAAGAGGCCAGGACGTCTTCTACCGCTACGGCGGGCCCAGCATCGTCAGCCTGACCTTCCAGTCCCTGGTGGGCGGCATGGGCGGGCGGCGCGTGGTCGAGACGCTCGCGAGGACGGGCGGGTTCGGCACCAAGGTGGCCAAGCGCCGCCTGCTCGAGACGTTCCAGCACATACTGCAGGTGACGCGGGACCTGGGCAGCGTCCAGCCCGGCGGCGAGGGCTTCGCGAGCAGTGTCAAGGTGCGCCTGCTGCACGCGAGTGTGAGGCGGCGCATCTTGACCCTGGCGCGGGACAGGCCGGAATACTTTGACCTGGCCGAGTGGGGGGTTCCGATCAACGACCTGGACTGCATCGGCACCGTGCTGACGTTCTCGTCGGCGCTGATCCATCTCGGCCTCCCGCGGCAGGGCATCTATCTGCGCGAGCGAGAAGTAGAGGACTACTCGGCCCTGTGGAGGTGGGTGGCATACCTGCTCGGCACGCCGACCGACCCGTGGCTGGTGGACTCCCGGAGGGCGAGGATCCTGCTCGAGAGTCTGGTCGAGGCGGACATGGACCCTAGCGACATGTCGAGCGTGCTGGCCAACAACATCCTCACGGGGCTGAGCTGTCAGCCGCCGACATACGTGAGCCGCGAGTTCCTCTGCGCCGAGGCGCACTGGCTGAACGGGCGGGAGCTCTCGGACGCCCTCGGGATCCAGCGGCCCAGTCTGTATCACCGGGCGTTGGTTGCGGGGCAGTGTCTTTATTTCATGGTCAGTTGCTATCTGTATCGATCAGTGCCGGAGTGGGACGAGCGCAAGAATGAGGTGAGCCCTTCTCCCTAAGCGACTAGTAGCTTCCGCAATTTCCTCTCTTCCATCCCTCTACGACGGCCTATATATCCACCCTGGGACAAATTCATGGTGTAAAAAGAGGCTGACCCCAGGGCTTATTCTTTTGCTCGTCCGCAGCGAGTCAGGAAGTTTTTCTACAACCTCACAGTGCACAACAAGGAGATCGGCCTTGGCACCGAGACCAACTTCGACTTCAAGTACGTGCCGCAGCTAGGCCGGACTACAGAGCTTGGCCAGCCCGAGGGCCCAAGGCTGCGCGTTGGTGCTCCTGAGCGCCAGGGGTTGACGACCCTGGTGTTGGCTTCGGCGCTGGTCGCGGCCGTGGCTTGGTCAGGGTTCAAGGCCAGCTCGGCTGTCATTGCAGCTGTCCATGTGATGTCGTGATGCTCGGACTTCATTGACGTAATGTGTGGGACTCGTGAGATGGAGTAGCATTCCGTTCTCCGCCATGAGCAGAGTTCTGCTTGGCGGTATTAGCCTTTTCACTGGTGTCAAGCAGCATGGGGTGGGTATTGGAACTGGCGTTTCTTTGTGCATCGCTTTTCATTCTCTAAGCCTCTTATGCCTCAGTTTCTGTGCATACTCAATGGTATCGTACAAAACATTCTATGCCCCCCAATCGTCATCATATCCACACAGTGACTCCCACCTTCTAAACAGAAAGCCTCGGCCAGAAGCGGCCGCCTGCCCAATCGGCTTCTAATGTGCTGCCACCACGCAGCAGCCCGCATAAAACCGTGCACCGAAACAGATGCTCCATGATATGTGATGCAGTAGGCAGTGACCCAAACACGCCGCTAAACGCCATATGACCGTAACACCTCGCAGCAGTAAAGACAGTCAGATCCTCCTCTCGCGCGCCTTCTAAGCGTCGCTCATCAGCTCGACCGGCGGACGCGCGGTGTGTGCCATGATGGGCTTGGTGTCCACGTCCATGGGGCTGATGCTCATGTCGTCCACGGGTCCGTCATCCGTCATGTCGTCGACCATAACACACGGCAGGTTGGCGCTGACCCCGTGGTCCTCTGGGTGGAAGATGAGGGTGGAGCTGCGGCTCCTCGTCCCCCTGCCGGAGGCGGCGCTAAAGCCACCTGGCGAGCGGCCCTCGACGGGGCTGATGGGCGAGTCGGCCGAGATCTTGTGGTGGTGCAACTGGGCCAGCGCGGCGGCCAGGTCGTCGGCGTGGACCTGCTTGTTGGGGGCGCCCTCGACGATCTGCTCCCAGTCGTGGGGAGGGGACGGAGGCGGGGAGATGAAGAACAGCTTGCCGGCGTCGGGGAGAGCGAGGTGGGTGTCCTTGGGGGAGGCGTCGACCGGGGTGTGCTGGCCGAAGTAGACACGGCACCGCTCGCCGAGGATGGCCTCGCCGTCCCAGATGGAGCGGACGGCGATAGCATCAGATATCGTGTAGAAGGAGACGAGGATGCGGCGGAAGGACTTGAGGGGTGCCCAGGTGTGGATCATGGCGGTCTTGGCGATCAGGCCCTTGATGGTCTGGAGGTTGTCTGGCTGGAAGACGGAGAGGTCTTGGAGGTTGGTGATGAGGAGGGTGTTTGTTGCCGGCGTTGGTGGTTGCAGGGCTGGCAGGTTGGAGAGGTCGAGTGTGAGTGACTTCCTGGAGGCACGGCTGGATCCTCGGGACGAGGCGTCCTGCGGCCTCTGTTCTGGTGATGTCGAAGCCATGTTGAGTGGTTTGTGTGTGGGTGTGGGTGTGGGTGTGGGTGTGTGTGTAAGTGTGAAAGTGGCAACTCTGTTAACCTGTCGTGGCTGCTGGTTGTTGTTGTTGTTGTTGTTGTTGTTGTTGTTGTTGTTGTCGTCGTCGTCGTTATTGGTTTTTGTTGTGATGAGTAGATGTGCAAGTGGGAAATGGGCGCGGGAATGTGGTAGTTCTTATGGGTGGCAGGAAAGGAAACGGCTGGTGTCTGGAATCGGTCGTCTGGCGTCTGAAGTCTGGAGTCTGGGTTTGCCGCTCGTGTTGACGATGGAGACCCAGGGAGGGCGGTAGCCTGTAGGGATGGCTAGCTTGGAGTGTGGCTTAGAAAGTCAGTGATTTGCCTCAATGATTGCCGGAATGGGCGCCAAGCGAAAAGACCAAGCCAGCGCGGAAAGTGGGATAGAGCAGAGAGAGCGGGGAATCTAGCAGAAACCGATTGCGGTAGTGGCGGTGGTTCCCTGGCGACTCTGCCCGGATGAAACATTCAGATGGGCAAACGGTCGCAGGAGCAGCCGACCAGCCCGACCAGGGCAGCCAGGGCAGCCAGGGCAGCCAGGGCAGCCAGGGCAGCCAGGTCCGCAGAACAAAGCGGCAATGCAGGTGTGAGGATTCGCGGACGGGGGACGCTGCAGGTGACGGAATGGTCGTCCCCACCACCGATCTGAGTCTGGTTGGTACACAGCAATCCTCCACTCTGGCTGTCTGGTGGCCTCTGAGGCCCTGGGTGCTGTGCTGCGGGTGCTGCGCTGAACTGTTACGTACCCAACCAAACCGAGCCCCAGTGGGCCTGACTTGTACAACGAGTTGCCTCCCAAATCCTTCGTCCAGGAGGGCAAGAGGGCTGGAGGGCTCCTCTCCTCCTCCTTCTGTCTATCCACGCTACTGCTATCAGCCTCCACATGCCCCAGCCCGGCATCCCAGCCCACGGGGCATACGAGACAGTGACCTGCCCAAAGGGAACTACTGTGCATCGGACTGCACGACTACTGGGCTTCTAGACCGAACGGCTGCTTGTGTTGGTGTTGCCCACGCCAAGACCGCGCGGGCAGAAACATTAGAATGGGGAGAGTTGGGCCGATTGGCACGGCTCGTGTCCTTCCTCTCGACACAAGACAAGACTAAAAGTCAAGACAAGACATGCCATTGCACCGCAGAGCACCGCAGACAAAGGTTGAGCGCGATGGCCCGGTCCGGTGTGTTCTGGCTTGGTCGAAACTACACAGCCTCCCTCGCCGCCGCTCGGTGCATTGTAGCACCGTGTGCGTGTGAGAGAGTGAGGGTGTGAGAGAGTGTGTGACCCGTACCGAGTACCGAGAGCATGGCACGGCAGCACGGAAAGGCCTCGCCAAGGCGGCCTCTGCACGAAATACGCAGGAACGTGGATTGCCGTCGACAAAGACTTATTGTCACCAACAACATCTGAACCTAGGTCTGCGGCGGCGCAGTCCACGATTCAGGCCCGTGGGCCCTCAGACCGTCCCCACGACATATGCTTTTGCTCTGCCTCGTCTTGCCTCTTGCCTCTTGCCTTGCCCCAGAGTATAAGCCTCAGGGGATAATTTGCTTTCAGACGGCCTCGAAGCTCAGCCTTCCTTCCCGGCCTGGCCTCCGGCTGGCTGATGACGTTTGAGCCCCAACTCAGCCTGTCACCCAACCATCAGTTTTTTTGCTTCTCCCCGGCTTTACACTACCGTGACGCTACTACACGTGTAGAATCAATGTTCAGGGAGCCCCTCGACTGTCTGAAGAGCTTGGGATGCCACGATCGCCTGCTGGCCAAGCAGCTCCTTGTCACCTTGTCTACTTGTTCATCCGTGACGAACTCAGGCAAGGCTGAGCCAAGCCCAACCTGGGCAATATACTGTGTACTTGGTGAAGTAGTCTGGTGTGGCCAGGTCATCGACAATTAAGCCACAACCTACGCCGACGTGTCCGCTACTCGTCGTCCACCTCGTTAATTTCAAGTGAGATTCGCCAACAATGCGGCACCCTCGGAAAATACCTCTGGCACGGCTGCCAAGTCAGGCAGTGTGGCTCTGTAGAAAAAGATGTTCCGAGAGTGAGGGTACTATCAAACCGAGTAGTAGGCTTGGGTCCAGGCCTCCTAACCTCGTCGAGATTTCTCAAACTCCTTGGCCTATCTTTGATCGAGGGCTTTCCCTTCTCCAACCAACCCAACCCCTCCCCCAACATGTCAGATGCCGGGAACGGTAAGAAAATGTTTATACTTGCACAGCCACCCAACCCTCGCTCCCGTCTGCCCTCGGTCGCTCTTTTACTTGTTCCCGTGCCTTCAAACTGCTCGCTTGTTTGACTCGTCCCAACCAGCTAACCGTCCCTGCTTGCCAAGTGCCGTGACGGCATTGCTGTCATCTGCCCGCATCGAGATGGCCTTGGACTGAGGGGTTTCTGGGGCGCTGCACCACCAAGGCCGTGCCGGTGTGGGTTCACATCGCCTGAAAATGCCCTCAACTCTTGCGGCACTTGGCACTCCTGCGGGGGCTAGAGGCTACTGGGCTCGCATTCACGCGACAGCCGCAACGCCGCGTGCAGCCCATCATCCGCTCTCGCGTGCGACTGCGACCGATAACGTGAGCCGTGCCTCCGTCCGGGGTCACGGATTGTTCGGGCGAGAGTGGCTCAGCATGTCCTCTGACGGTGATGAAGCACGTACATGCGTTACCAAGCCGACATCATCCTCTTGAGATCTCCTTACCCCTCTCCTGATTCCAACAGACTCATCCTTCAGACCTGCCGGTCGACACTGTCCAAGTGAAGTCGACCATCGCCGAGCCTGTGAGCGCAGAGAAGACAGGAAGCTCAGCGATGGCAGTGCCCGATCATGGGGTCCTAAGGTTTCGGACCACCATCATCGAGGCAGACCATCCTCTCGGTCCTGTTTTGTTGACCTCGTGTAGGTAGGTGATGGACTGCTTATTTCAACTCATATGCGAAGGCCGTCACATTGTTGTGTCACAGTCGGTTCGAGCCACATGGATGCAATTCTGGCAACGAATTTCGCCGTAGGGGGCTGTTTGCCTATACTCTGCAGCATAGCGGTTGATCAGGCGAAGACGTTCCAGTCTACTGGGGCAGGCTGGTGTTCAGTAATGATCTCTAAGAAAGCTTGCCGTATTCTTACATGCTGTAGAAGAACCCCGTTCGCGATAATCCACTCGGGCGTGACCCGACACAGGATAGCCTCTACTGAGACAGCTTCCACAGCAAATGCTGTACTGTACGTACAAGGGCAAAGAATGAAGGGTGGAGGTCACTGCCCAAGAGAATGAGCATCCTACCTGCACCTTCGTGTACTCGCATTTCATCACCGGTGGCCAAGGCCTTCCGAGACCGGTTTCCTGCTGCATTGTTATATCGATAACATAATAATCTGGGTTGCTACTTGATCGGCGGCAGCCCTTGTCTCCTGTCTGCCTCACTCGTGATGCGAGAAGTAATCCGCCGGCGCCCATTTTCACAGGCGCAATTAAGCCATGGTTCGAATAGGTTTCATTACGGGGTCTTTGGAAGTAGGACTCGCCACTCCGAGACCAACTATGAGCTCGATCTAGGTAGAAGTTGCAATTGAGCCCCGCGGCTTTTCTCTGCAATGAAAGGCACCCACCCCCGTAGCCGATTTCACCCAGGACAGGGCAAAGACATCCGTGGACAAGTCATACGAAATACAATCATACGGTCGGCCCCAACGGAGATGGCATCACGACTGATACCAAAACCTACATGTCTCCCAGTGATCGGCAAGAGACCACATCGGAATGACCGTGCCCTCCTCCGGGGCCTGACTCGACCTCACGGCCAATCTAAGTAGCCGGACATGGGATGCGTAAGCCGAGAGCGCGGTAGCCGCGGATCGTCACAATGCAGCGCGTAGCCAGCAAGGGGGCCGGGGAACAACAGGAGAAGACTGTTTGGGTATCATTTGATTGTTTTCTGACATCTACCGGCTAGAGCCCGGTGCAATCAGTATTGTGGGGCGCGAGGTGGATATGAGTTGGGCCCCGGGCGCGTAGCAATGGGAGACCCTTGAGTCTGCACTCAAGCGCCCGCGTGTGTCTGCTGCCCCTTGCCGGCTACCGGTTACCTGATCTCGACACCCAGCTTCTCGACGAGCGCCTCGATGACCTCGGAGTGCATCTTGTTGGTCTCGGCATTGGTCAGGGTCCTCTCCAGGCTGCGGTAGTTGATGCGGTAGCACTTGCTCCTCCGCCCCGTCTTGGGGTGCGTGAACTCGTCCACGAGCCTGACGTCCTCGACCACGTCGCCGCCCACGCTGCGGACCACCTCCATGAGGTCGTTCTCGTGGAAGTCGTGCGCGTTGGCCCTGGTGTTGCCCCCTGCCGAGGAGCTCGACCGCAGCCAGAACGAGACGTCCTTGTAGCACTCCGGGTGCCTCGAGAAGGGCACGAAGCGCCGCACCAGGTCCAGGTTGTCCGAGACGCCCGCGAACTGGCCCAGGAAGCGCTGGTCCTTGGACCAGAACAGCCGTATGTCGGGGATGTTGAACAGCAGCATCGCGATGCGCTCCAGGCCGATGCCGAAGGCCCAGCCCAGCTGCTGCGGCTGCCCGGCGTTGATGTACATGCTCTGCTGGGTGACGCCGCAGCCCAGCACCTCGAGCCAGTCGCCGGCGTAGTAGATCTCGAGCTCGAAGCTGGGGGCGGTAAAGGGGAAGTAGGCCTCGACCCAGCGCACCCGCAGCGGCTCGTCCTTGTAGTCCGGGTCTGCCGCGGCCGCCGCCCTCTTGGCGCGCGTGAAAATCTCCACGACCATCAGCTCCAGGCTCCGCTTGAGGTGGGCGGTGATGGCCTCGGCCTCCTCGGGCGAGTGGTAGGCGGTCTGCATGGGGTTGCGCTCGGGGTGGAAGGGCGGGTTGGGGTCCTCGACCTTGATGCTGTGCTTGGGCAGCCTGTCCAGGTCGGCCCACACCGCGGCTGCGACGTCGCCGCCGGGGACCTTGGACCTGTCCCACAGCCGTGCGCCCTCCATCTGGTGGAAGGCAGGGTAGTGGCTCCGGTCCACCTCGTCGCGGCGGTAGACATCGGCGCTGATCAGGTAGCCGCTGCTCTCGTTGGCCTCGAATATGGCGGCCTCGTGTGCGCTCGTGTGGGTTCGCAGGAGAGTCGACTCGTTGATGTAGTAGGTGTCGGAGCGGGCGCGACCTGGGTGATCGGGCGGGAAGCCCAGGGAGTCGAAGTTCTCCTGGACGGAGACGACGGGGTGGAAGTTGTTGTAGTACTTGTACGTCGGCGCGGGGAACACAGACTCGATGATCTTCCGGGTGATGGACACGGGGTGGTCTTTTTGCAGGTGCAGCTTGCGGGACGCCGCGTCGATCACGTTGGCGGGGACATTGTACCAGCTGTCTTTTGTGAAGGTCCGGCCGTCGATCTCAATCGTCGCCGAGGCCGAGGTGCTGTTGGCCTTGGGCGCGGCCGGGGCGGCAGCTTGGGAACGGTCAGTGGGGCTGCGCCGCGAGGGGAGCGCTGAGGCTCTTGCGAGTGCGAGAGGTGTTCACCTGTCGAGTAGGCCGTCCATGGGCGACGAGGCACCTGTGCAAGTTTCGATGCCGTTGGGCGGTGCCGGGAGACTGGGAGGCGGAACGGCGCGGCCAGCCTGGACGGAGCCACTCGGAGTATGAATCGACAGGGAGAAGCCATTTGGTCTGTGAACTTCTATTTCCCTATTCTTTCATGCCATGTCCACTGGAATCCGCCTTCTGAACCGAAAGCTGGGCCGCCGAGGTGGTCGAATGGAGCTTGGAAAACAGATGGTTTATGTATATGGATGGGGTGAGGCCGAGGGCAGCTGCGGCGGGAACGAGTCCCACAGCATGCAGCCATCACTTTTTCTCCCCGACAGAGCTGCTGCCTCCCCTGTCCCTGCACCACAGACGTCACTCCACCACGACCCTGCATCTGATCCGTGAGCTGATCCGTGAGTGGGAGGGCCCAGACGGACGGCCGAGCGGCGGCAACAGTCAAAAACTCGATCCTCCTTTGGGACTCGGCCGGGCGACAGAGCCGTTGACTGGCCGTGCTAAACGATTTTTGTCGTCATCGTTATCGTCGACGGCTGCCCTGGGGCTTTTTCTCCTTGATTTGAGTGCTCATTTCCCCGGGCCACTTGTCTTTACACAGTACATTTGTGCAGTGTTTCCTTTCTAATGTCACAATAACATTGCCCTCGAGAAATGCAGCCGCAACAGGAGGCAGCGGCCTCGGGGTCGGCGCCGGCCAAGCAGACCTTGGCTCCTAAACAAAGCAAGCAGAGCCATGGCCCCTCGATCCGGTATCCCTTTTGGTTCGGAGGGTCTGCAAGTTCAATGGCGGCGTGTGTCACACACCCATTGGATCTAGGTGAGTCTTGACTGAAGACTGTCTGGCCCCTCGGGTCGCACGTGGGACTGACGGCCTTCTGTCAACAGTGAAGGTACTGTTATATCACGCCCACACCATCCACGAGGCTGCCTACATGACTAGGTTTCGGCCTCCGAAACTATGTCTCTCCGTGATCTAACGCGCGACAAAGGTTCGGCTGCAAATGCGCTCCGGCGACATGCCCAAGTCCATGCTGGGCACGTTCAGGTACATCATCCGCAATAATGGCATCCTGGGCCTGTACAACGGCCTGTCTGCCTCACTTCTCCGACAGCTCACCTACTCGACCGTGCGGTTCGGCATATACGAGGAGCTCAAAAACCACATGACTCAGAGGAACGGCGGCAAGCAGCCCTCTTTCCCCGTGTTAGTCGCCTTGTCGTCAGGCGCCGGCTTCGTGGGCGGTATCTCGGGCAACGCCGCCGACATCTGCAATATCCGGATGCAGCACGACACCGCCCTGCCCCCGGAACAGCGACGGAACTACAAGCACGCCCTCGATGGCATGCTGCGCATGGCCAGGGAGGAGGGGCTTATGAGCTGGTTCCGTGGGGTCCTCCCCAACAGCATGCGTGCCGCCGCCATGACGGCCAGCCAGCTGGCGAGCTACGACACCTTCAAGAGGCTGCTGATAGGGTATACGCCCATGTCGGATAACCTCGCCACCCACTTCACCGCCTCCTTCATGGCCGGCGTGGCCGCCGCGACGGTGACCAGCCCCATCGATGTCATCAAGACGAGGATAATGTCCCAGAGCGGCAAGACCGTCGGCATCGGGACGCTGCTGAAAGACATCACTGCCGCCGAGGGGATGGGCTGGATGTTCAAGGGATGGGTCCCCAGTTTTCTTAGGCTTGGGCCGTAAGTTTCCCTACCCTTTTGGTGTGTTCCACCGTCGCGCTAAGCTGATTGTGATCAGGCAAACCATCTGTACTTTTGTGTTCCTAGAGATGCACCGCAAGGCATATAGAAAGGTGCAGCATTTGAATGAGCCGCAGTGAGACCACCATTAGCGCCGGGCAAGAGCCGGCCAGGTCAACAGTACATATGATAGAAGAGTCGCTAGCATGCAGCCACAGCATTTGGCGTAGGGTCACATGGGTTACAAGGCATTACCAGGGCGTTTCTCATAGAAGTGGCTTCTCAGGCTGATGGGATGGATTTTTTTTGATCGTTCTGCAGCCCATCATCAGGAAGCGCAAGCATCTGTACCCTCAGTGCCTTTCTGGCGCCTCTTGGGCCAGTTCGCGAACTTCATTTTTCCCGCCCGCGCATATATCCCTACCGTGACCAAAACTGAGAGCCCAACGCCTTTCAATGCATTATTTTGTAGGAATTTCATCCGCTGGCGTCAAACCTGAGTGGATTCTTGATGGCGTCGGTCGCGACTCGCTGCTTACCGGCGGGCATGTGTTTCTGAAAGGGCACCCCTACCTTTTTCTGGTTTTCCGCATACCGAGGCCCTCAGAAACCGTGATACCTTGGCTTGCACACCAGATCGAGGGCCCGCGGCAACCAGGTAGTCGTGTCTGCGAGCGTTGCCTGACCGCGCGGAGATTGTTCGACTGACACACTTGGCCAGCGCATTATCCTGGGTTGGCATGTCGCCCGCAGACGGACCGGACCGTAGGCGCATCAACAGAAGCTCTCCGTACTACCATTTTCAACCTCAGCAGAGGTCCCCTCCCTGGATGAATATCTAGTAACCATTCTGTCCTGGGTTGCCATAGGGTGTAGTGGTGCCGTAGGAAGTCGCTCCCCCGAAATCGCCAGTACCGTAGGGCGTGGTGAAGCCCTGGTCTTGCCAGGGATCGCCGCCGTTCATGCCATTAGGGCTGCGAGGGCCGCCGTAGTCTCCGGCGTTGTCGCCCTCGCTCATACCGTGGATCAAGCCAGCAAGCTTCTGCTGCATAACCATGATACCCTGCTGGATGATGGCATCCGGCTCTAGGTTACCAGCGCTCTCGACCTCGAAGTAAAACTTCTCGGGGACAGCATCGATTTTGAATGGCTCGCCGGGCTGAGGTGGTTCCTCGAATGCGGCGTACTTGCTCTCCGGCCTGTTCTGCTGTCAAAATCACGCAACGACCATCTTATGGTTGCGAGACCTACCACTCATGCTCAGGGCGTGCGCCCTCGCCCTTGCCTTCAAACCACAGGTCGGTGTGCCCAAGTTTATTGTGCGGATCGTACTCGAATCCAACCGCCGCCGTAGGCGCCCACTTTGCGTGCTCCTTTGCGATTCCCTTCTTTGCGATGCATGTCAACTTCAGCTCCTGGCCCTCTCGCAGCTTCGCGATCAACGGTCCCTGGCCGTCTGGGTCCGTGATGACGGGGTTGCCAACCCACTCGTTGGGGCGCATGGGGTCGACAACAAGGTCGCGGGCATAGATCTTCATGATTTCGCCATCGGTGGTGCACTTCGCATGGAGAGTGATCTTAACACTGCACATTTCGCAGTACTGTTCGCATTCGCAATCACGGGTATATAGAACGTCGTCGGCGTTCTTGGAGTTCAGTGGGAGCAGGCCAAGGCGATGTGCAATGAACTCATCGGCCAGAACGCTGCTGTTCTCCTCAATCTCAACGAGGTCGATGGCCATGATTGGTATCTCGGCAAGGATGACTCGGCGCAAGGCATTTGCGAAGGAGAGGTCGACATTGGCAAGATTGAAGTTGACATGGTGGTTGTCGGCCTACCGAGGTCGTAGAGGATTAGGATACTGCCAGCTACAACCAAGCGCGAGTCCACCGTTTGGTGGGCCGCACATCCTGCTCACCTCTGTAATTTTGACCTCCATCTGCTTTGGCGCCAGGTCGCCATTGCCATCCAGGCTCATGGGGTCGTACTCCATCGTGACCGCCGTTCCCAGCTCTGGGGAAGAGGTTAGGTGCTAGACGTTCCTGTGTGGTAAAAAGTTTGACAGACCCCAAAAGACGTGCTGGTATATGTGATGTTGGAAAAAAAGAACAAACGCTGGTGGTGAGTGGGCAGGCGTGATGAATATTGGTACGTTGAAAGCCGCAGGCTGCACGAGCCAGTCACGCACTGCTTTGAAGCTATGGACAGGGTACTTGAAGCGGCAGGCTGAACGCAGTACTGTGTAATGCTAATCACTTCCTGAAAAGTGACTACTTCTTAGCGGGACTGGCTTTTGGGCTGGCTTATCGGAGGTTATCGGAGCTTCCGAGGTGCAGTGCGGTGCAACCTTGGTTTGTTAGTTAGCAGCTTTGTTTCTCACCTGCTGGGAAAAAATAAAAATTTCCTTGCGTCATAAACCTTTTCCATTTCCTCAAGACCACATTTCTCAAACACTGCTTGAGGCTTTCCTCACAATCAAGCCCGACATGCTGCGACAAGCCCTGATCACTCCTTCCAGAGCTCTGCGCTCATCAGCCAGATCAATCGCCCAGAGGCCTCTGGCCCGCCCCCAGACCATCATAGCTCCTCTGGCAGTACGAAGGGCACAACCCGCGGTGGCAAGATGGTATAGCGACGCTCCTAAGGCCTCGCAAGAAGCCGAGACAAAAGCAGATGAATCCGGAGCCAAGCCATCATCTGAGGGAGAGGCAGCGCCAGCCGAGGACCCCGCCGTGACAGAGCTTAAGAAGAAGCTGGAAACCAAGGAGAAGGAGGCCACAGACTGGAAGGTATGGGGCGCATTACGCAACAGACCTACTTCAATACTTCCCATACTGACACTGCATCCAGGACAAATGCCTGCGCTCCGTCGCAGACTTCCGTAACCTCCAGGACCGGACCCAGCGCGAGATCAAGAACGCCCGCGAGTTCGCCATCCAGAGCTTCGCCAAGGACCTGGTCGAGAGCGTCGACAACTTCGACCGCGCTCTCTCCATGGTGCCAGAGGAGAGGCTGAAGGCCGCCAAGGACAATGACGAGCTTAAGGACGTCGTCCAGCTGCACGAGGGCCTCAAGATGACCGAGAGCATTCTCATGAACACCCTCAAGAAGCACGGCCTGGAGCGCTTCGACCCCGCCGGCGAGAAATTCAACCCTAACGAGCATGAGGCCACCTTCATGAGCCCTCAGGAGGGCAAGGAGGATAACACGGTCTTCTACGTCCAGCAGAAGGGCTTCAAGCTGAACAGCCGTGTGCTCAGAGCCGCCAAGGTCGGCGTCGTCAAGAACAAATAAGCTGGGACATTACTCCAGTTCAGGCACGACACGCGCTGCCTCACCTCTCCTCATTGTACTACCACCACCACTCTCATATGCTACCAAAAGTCTGGCATTGGCGTTCAGGCGGCTAGGGTGTGATAACTGCTCCTCTCATGATCACGGGGGAAAAATCTTCATGGATGTTAGCAAGGTCACGTTCACGAATTAGACGAAGGATCTGCATAGTTCATTCTTGTATATAGAGACTACCACCTCGCGCTAATACGGGAAAAGTCCTCCAGGCCTATGATATTATAAAGGTCCGAGAAAGCAGGGCAGCAGATATGAATACAGGCTGGATGCCGATTTCTACCCGGATGTAACAAACCTCATCGCATTGGAGTAACTCGCATGGTGTTATCCTCTCCTATTTTCTATGAGGGGAAGGGGGTTTCGAGTCCGGGTATTTCCCGAGGTCCCGTGCATGGGAAGCAGTATTCTGACAAGTATGACTCGCCTTGTGGAGAGACAGGAAACGGTAGCACAAGCATCATCCGGAAGTCCATTCTGGCTCTATCAACCATGAAGCCCTGGGGTAGAGTGATGTCGCCATTGCGGTGGACAGCACTTGCCTGTACATTTACGTAAATTTACATGATTAATTTACTCATTTTTATGGTACAATGAACGGGCTTCTGTATGCCAAGTCGCTTGTGTTGATCCAAGTAACCTTCTGGGCTGATGTTGAGGCAATGCCCGCCTTCGCTTTCTTTGCTTCCCAAACGATTTTTTTGACACTTTTCCGACACTTTGATCTGGTACGTACACTGTTTGTTATCGCTTGGATCATCAGGTCCTCCTGTCTCCTATGGCAGGATCACTCGCAGGATCATATGGCTACGCCGAGCCACTTGTTACATGAGCCACACGAATTCGTCAAACGTGCCCACGTTGTTTAGGATCCTATCCCACAAAATACTCACTCGAGTGCCTTACACAATGATGGACGTATGACGTTCATTATATCTGGTTTGGGTCTTGGATCCCAGACTTGGCTCGGAGCTTGACCAGATTCCTCACGAGTAATTCCGGCGGTTCTTCCTGATCTCCTCAGGCTCCCAGATGTCAGGGTACATGGCAAACACCTCATCGGGGGTATCCTTGCCCATGAGCGAGAGCAGCCTCCGCTGCACTTCCCGCTGCTCATCGATCTCGCGCGCCAGGTCGTCGCGGTCACGCACGCGGGCCCTGATCTCGGCCATCTTGGCCTTGGCGACGTAGTTGAGCTCGCGGATCTGCCGCTGCACCTGCTTCATGATACGCCGGTCGCGGGTGCTGCGGTGCTCGCCGTAGCAGTCGGCCAGCTTGCGGTTCTCGTGCTTGAGGCGCGTCGCCTCGTGCCGCAGCCGCTCCGCCTCCGCGTTGGCCTGCTCCTCGGTCTGCACGAGCCGCGCGACCTCGGCGTTCCTGCTGGCGAGGATGTGTTGTGTGGCCTCGAGGCCCCAGTACTTCTCGATCGCGGCGTCCACCTCGGCGGGATCGTAGCGCTCGGGCTCCGAGGCTGTCTTCACGCCCCAGGAGGGCTCCGTGGAGGTGTTGTTCATGCGAACCAGGCGCATGAGCTCTGGGTCCATGCGGTCGAAGATATGGTTGTAGAAGTCGTGCGGTAGGGAAGGGTCCATAGCTATGAGACACATTCAGACCTCGCCCAATATGCAGTAGACATGAATACCCTAGGGCAAACACTCACGAGGCGGTGACCATAGAATGGACGGCTCAGTCTTTGCGTAAGCGCTGCACTCGGGGCTCAGCTTCTTGCCATCTTCCACATCATATAAGCTTTTCATATGGCGGTGCTTCATCTTTCGTGGGAGGGCGGTGTTCGGGGAGCAAGGTCGTTGGCGTCCGTCCTGTTACCTCGTTCTTAGCAAATATGGATCGTTGATGTGTGAATTTGGGCAGACTTCAAGCCTCACTCACAGGGATGGCATCGGTCTTCCGCTCTTTCCACGCTGACCTGTACTTCTCCTCGTGTTCGTCCCACCTCTTCGTGCCCTCAGACCATAGAGCGAAAGTAGCTGGAGAAATCCTACCGTCCGCTGGATCACCCTCGCCATCTTCAGAGACGTCGCTGGCGGCATACTTCCTCCACCCATCTGCCATAAAATCGCTGTCCCGGAAGATGTCGTCCAACCCGCCAGTGTCCAGGCCTTCTGAAAGTTCCAGGTGCGCAAGACTGAAGCCAGTGACCATGGGACGGTCAAAAATGAAGGTTGACTTGCGCTGCGCCTCTTCGTTGTCGTACGTCGCTGGTCCACGGGACTTCCAATCGAAGCGCTCTTTGAATGAGTTCTCAATCTCACCAAGCATACTGCAGGACAATGCCTTAGCATGCTTGAGCAAAATGAAGAACGGAACGGTATGGACGTACGTGACCTTCCCCTCAACTCGCTTGTCTGTTTCCAGGTTGGCGATCCACTTCACCAAAGGATCTTCGACGGCAGGAAGGCCTCTCATGGCGACGTAGGCCTTCATCGTCGTGCCTGACAAGGTCCACACTGGATTGCGGTCCTGCCGCTCGCTGGAGTCTGTGCAAATAGACTGGGTCGACAAATGTCCTACGAATTTCAGTTCCCGTATAGATGATTCGGTCTTTTCGGTGGCCTACCCTGGGTACCGTCCTGCTGGACTGGCCCCTTACTCGAGCAATGCATTAGGGACGTTGACTCAATCAGTCGAGAATGGGGAGGAAACAAAGACCAATGCAAAAATGGACACGTCAGGAAACCTTTGAAAGGTGAAAACGCAAGCTTCCTCGAGGTTCGCTTGTAGGCCGGGGGGGGGGGTGAGGTTGGTTGAATTTGGGTGTGGTGGTGTAGGCAACATCTCCTCGCGGGCTGGAACTGGCTTGTTATGAAAGCACAAACGGTGTTCCGTGACGCGGTATCGACGGTGACGGAAACATGCAACATGCGAAGATGGGATGCTGTGTGGACGAAGGATGGGAGGTCACAAAATAAACAGTCAAAACGCGAACCAACCACTGGCAGTACCACACAGCAGACCACTTTCATGTCCAGGGCCAACTGAAAGCTCCAAGTTAGCATTGGCTTCCTAAGTTCTAGCAAGTCTCTCGAGAATTCCATCTGGACTAGCCTGAGAGAGAAAAAACCACAGCTCTTGGTCAATTCGCGAAATCAAGGATGCTCATCAAGCGATTAAAGATGGTCAAAACGGCAAACACGCCCAGGTAAGAGTGCCGCATTCCAAGGTTCTGACTCCTGCGGTCGGCTTCACGAAGCAGCAGCAAAATAATTTCCTTCACACCTTGATTCAGTGGTAACTCTGATCCCCGCATCACTTTTTGCCCTTGCCCTTTGCAGCCCCCTTGCCCTTTGCGCGGCTCTTCGTAGGCTTCTCGTCACCATCATCTTCCTCGTCATCCACTGGGACCTTCTTTTTGGCAGCTCGCTTGGGCTTAGCCTTGGGCTGCTTGATATACTTGTCTTTCTTGAGGTCGATCTCATCATCATCATCTTCCTCCGCCGGTTCGACGACCTCTGCGCCGTCATCGTCTGCCTCGATAGCGTCTTCGATGTCAGGCATATCCTTTGCAGCCTTCTTCGGTGCTGTCACATTGCTGGCTTTCATGAACGGTACAGCGTGGGACATCGAGTTATATCTGTTCTTATCAGCTTCAATCTTTCCAAGTCTCAGTTAACGGATAGACTCACGTCCTCGTAAAGGCTGCCTTGGTCTGGGGATCAATCTTCACAAGGCTCTCATCTTGAGGTCCGACACCAAGTTCAAGCATGGCATCGAAGTCCTCACGTGTGAGGTAGTAGCTGTCCATCAGGTCGATGACCTCTGCGACAGATTCCTTGCCCTCCATGGCAAGACGCTTCACAATCTGATGCCATAGGACAGGAAGATACTGCTGTCGGATCTCGCTCACATCTCCGGAAGCTCTGAGCCGCATGTGCGACTGAATCTCTCGGACGTAACGGCCGAGTTTGCCCAATTTGCTGTTGTTGCCGAGCCACTTGGTGAACTCCGTATTAATCATTTGGCCAGCAACAAAGCTTGCCGGGCGGACTGTACTGAAGACCGCATGTGTCGGCATGAGGCTCCATTGCTGCTGTGGACCGTGTATCATACGATCGACAAGATCACCATCGCTGATGCTCTCAGCCGCTTGGTCCGCTAACTCAAGGTATTTCAAGTTCGCCTCCCTGCCGTTATAACCCTTGCCGCTCAGCCCAGCTGGCTTCGCCCTGAGGTAATTTTCCTGAATCATGAGGTAGCTGAACTCATGGTCGTTGAAGTACAGCTCAATCTTGTCGTTCAGCGTGGTTTTGCTTGCTGGGTTGAACATATTGCCTCCCAGGAGTTTCTGGCAGATATCCCAGGGCTTCAAAACCACATGCTTCTCCCATGCCTTGGACATCGATTTGCTTTGGTCAAAGTCCATCGATGTTTGATCAAGCTTGATCGTCGAAAGCATGTTGATAATCTGCCTGATATCCTTGTTGCTTCCCTCAATGAGAGCATCGACGACCTGGAGCGGAAGCTTCAGGCCTTCTCGATGGCAAATTGTCATGATACGAGACCGAACCTGCTCCACTGTCGGCCGTCGGAACGGAATGTCGAAAGCTGCGAAATCGAAGGGCTTCATCTTTGGAAGTTTGCGTTCGTTGCATATCAAGATGAGAGGCACCTCTGTCTTTTTGCAGAATTTGGCCAATGCTCCGACGCCACCTCGGTCTCCGGCTGACATACCGTCAACTTCGTCCATGATCAAGACGATGTTCTTCTTGGCATCCTCGACCTTCTTTCCATCCCCAGCGAAGAAGCCCAGTAGAGAGGTGTTGTTCATCACTTCGCTGACTCCGCTCTCGACCATCTTCTTGCTTCGGGTGTCGCTTGCATTGCTCTCGATCACGTCGAAACCCGCCAACTTTGCTGCGAGATGTGCCGAAGTTGTCTTGCCTATGCCGGGAGGACCACTCAGAATGACTGCCCGGTAACCGCCCATGCCGTCGGCTCCGAATTTCTTGAAGTCATACTTGCGATTCTTTGGCCAGGCTTTGAGCCAATTCTGGATCTTTTCGACTTGGCCCTTGTTTCCACAGATGTGATTCAGCTGAGAAGGCGCATATTTGCTGGTCCACAGCTGTGAGTTGGCAGCGATGGCCTGCGCTGGAGCCGCCGCGCCACGTGCTGCGGCGGCCTTGCGAGCTTTCTCTGCCTCGATCTGACGCGCCTTTTCTTCTCTCTCCAGCTCCGCAGCAGCCTCCCTGACCTTCTTCTCATCGGCTTCCTTTTTCTCTTTAGCTTTTGCAGCGTTCTTGGCTGACCCGCCATTCGCCGGTGCTTTCCGTATCAGCTCAAACAGGCCGTTCTCGTCGATTGTCTTGATACCGTGCTCTTGGATTTTCCTCAGCTTCGAGGGTCCTGCATCATCCCCTAGGACAACGAATGTGGTCTTGCTACTCGGTGCACCAGTGACCTTCCCACCATATCGTTTTACTAGCTCCTGTCCCTCCTCTCGGCCGATGGTCTTGAGCTGACCTGTGAAGACGAATGTCATTCCGGCGAGACAATTCTCCTCGCCTTCTGGAATGTCAGCTGTTCCCTCCATCGGCGCGGGTCCGGAGTTGCCGCCACCGGCAGCTGCCTTTCTCCAGTCGAATGTCACACCCTCCTCCTTGGGAGGTGGTGTCGGTGGCCTCACAGTAGGCACGGAATCGATAAATGCCTTGTAAACGGCATCCTCCTGCTCTGGCTCTTTCTTCTTCTTGGGGGCTCGAGGTTTCGATGCAGCGGCTTTCTTCCGTGGAGCCGCTTCAGGCTCTTCGTCGTCGGATTCTGGTGATTTCCGCTTTCTTCCATTTCTGACGGCTTTCTTTGGCGCGGGAGCGAAGTCCTCGTCGTCGTCCTCAGACTCATCGGCCTTGGTGGGCTTGCCTCGGGACGCAACACGCTTGGGCTTGGGCGCAACTTCCTCCTCGCTCTCCTCTTCCATGTACTCATCGTTCTTCCTCTTGCTTCTACTTCTCGCATCGGCAGCAAATATGTCATCCGCATCCTCGTCCGCGTCCTCCATATACGCATCGTCATCGTTCGAATCGTGTTTCTTGTGAGACGTGATGGCCTTGGGCCTGGCGGCAGGTTTGCCCTTGCTGGTCGCTGTGGCTGTGGCAGCGGCCTTTCGCGGACTCTGGCGGACGGGCACGCTAGGTTTCTTCGCGGCGGCTTTCTTGTTGAAGTAATCCTCGGCAGAAATGTCCTCCCCCTTCACTGGCTCTGGCTCCGCAGTTTTCTTCTTCCTCGGTGTAGACCGTGTCGCCGCTGGCTTGCTTGGTTGTGCAACAGGCTCCTCATCCTCATCGCTGTCTTCAACTACCTTGCGTGGTCGGCCACGGCCCTTTTTGACGGGCTCTTCCTTCTTGGGCGCAGGTTTGGCCGGTGCAGCACCGCCCTTGGGGGCGAAGAAGCTTCGTATGTCTGGCATTGTGACGGCAGGGTGTCTGGGAACTGAAATTGATGATCGCAATGATTTCGAGGGGTTCCCAGAAAGCCAGACACCACTGGTAGAATTGGGTTGACAGAGAACTCTGGGAGTCGAGTTCCCGTTGTTGGAAGACGGCAAGAGGGGAGGTCAAAGGAAGAAGCTCGAGACGCGTGCGTGACGCGATGATTGCTCGAATCACTTAAAAAGAGTGGGTCAGCCCAGGCAGGCATGGCCCGAGCTCCACCATCTCCGTGCTGCCTAGTAACTACCCGAATTTGACATCAGGAAAGCAGGCACGGCGGAAGCATCCACGAACCCAATTCCGCGGCACCTCAGGTTGCGAAACCTGAGCATCGACAAAGATGAATCGGCAAGGCCCATCAACACTCATCAATGCCCTCAAAGGGCTGAGGGTGTCCCCAGCGACCCCTCTGCAGCCATTCCACGCCGCGAAGGCACCCTGCCTCGCCGCCGTCGCCGCCAGGACATTCACATCCACAGCCCCTCAATTGGGATCATGGCTGGAGCCATTTATCGACCGGACGAAGAAGAAGATGAAGGGGCGACCGAGAGTAGCTACAGGAGGTTCTGTGAAAGGCACAACGATTATGATTGGAGATTATGGGCTGCGCATGATCGACCACCACAGGAGGATTAGTGCAGCACAGCTCAAGCTCGCCGAGGCCACTATCAAGCAAAGGCTTCGTGGGCAAAGATACCGGCTATACACAAGAGTCAACTGCAACATTGGCGTCTACGTCAGCGGTAATGAGGTCAGTCTGGCCCCATCTTCCACCGCGGCTGTCAAGAAGTTGGCGACTGACAGATGAATAGATTCGTATGGGTAAAGGAAAGGGTTCGTTCGACCATTGGGCGGCGAGAGTTGCGGTCAACCGTGTCATTTTCGAGATCAGAGGAGCACTGCACGAGCAGGTCGCCCGAGACGCCTTCCGACTTGCTGGTAACAAGCTACCTGGCCAGTACGAATTCATCAAGAAGGGGGAACCAGCTGTTGTGGGCATAACAAAACTGGATGGTGTCACTCTTGAGGACCTGAAACGACCGCGGAAGCAGGTCCCAGCTGCGCAAGCACCAAGTGTGACTCCAGCAGTGGCGACGACTCCGTCCTCTGTCCCTCCGACGTCACCAGCACCATGACGGCCAAAGGTCTTTTCAAATATAACATAACTAGATCTAGCTGTGCAATAGTAATACCCCGGGCTGTTGCCACTAGAGCAGAGTCGACGAATTGGGTTGTACTTGTGAGCCTTTGCCGTTGTCGAGCCAGCTTCTCACAGGGAAGACAACAGGAGGCACGCGGTTTTGACAGACCCTGCACCTTGATAGGGTCCTTAGGATCAAGTTGCTGGCGAACGGATTTAAGTTCGTCTGGTGGCTCAGAGTTCAACTGTCTTTGTGCTATGATGACCATATCTTACCAGATCCACGGTCGTTGTTGCCTTGATCTCAGAGCTGTTGTGACGCATCTCAACTGAGTAACCCTTCACCCCGAATTCAGTGTCCAAAGCCTTCTTCACCGCTTTACTCAGCTCCTGTGGGTTCTTGAACAATCCAACTCTAAATCTGGAAACAGGGCAGTTCGAGACAATATCATATTCCTGGTTATACGAGGACGAAATTTCTTGGCGATCAAGTTTACTTCAATATTCGCGTCTCTTCGCGTGGTTGACAATTTGATGTTGTTGTAGTTGAGTCTGAGGATGCGGTTCCGTTCCTGGCTTGGAAGTGTAAATTGTCTGGACCGAAAATCAGAATCTACGGTTTTTATGTGTTTAGAAAATTGTAGTGTTTTTTTGCTGGCACTGAATGAGTTGAAGTCGATAACGCTGTCAAGTGTCACAAAAAAGTGACTTCTACGAGCAACCCACTCCCCTTGATCGTGGGCAAACATGAAAGGTCTCTATTATTGAACTGTCTTTAGGCACTTGCAAAAACCTGTGGTCCAGGCTATTACCTGAGACAGAAGCAGCTTGTCGAGTGCATAAAACGACCCCATCACGTCAAGAGCAAGACATGGCGTCCTGCTACTGGCCTCCCCAAAGTCCACCCTCATGCATTTCCGCTTGTCGTGGATGCTGGGGTCAATCGTTTTACTCAAGTGATGCGCAACCTACAAAACTCCCAACTTCCAGTCCTTCACTTATTATGTATGGGGGCTCTTTTCGACCCTGCCCCCAAAATTGCGGCAACGATGCCAGATGAAATACCGCCCCCCCCCCCCGGGCCCATCTTTTGACGGTTTGTGTTGACCTGATGACTGCCAACCGGACAGCCCTTCAAAATTTGCTTCGTGTATCCTCTCACCAGATCAAAACAGGCAATTACCTATCGAAATGACCCTCAAATTGTCGTCTATACTTGTGGTAACACAACTGGTCGCTGGGATACTGGTATACCGGTATGCTACTAGCCTGACGGCTATGATCCCGCTCCTTAACGCCGCATGCAACATGTTCCAAAAAACTCCTATTGTTGAAAAATAGATCAGATTATTCAATTAATTTTGAAGATTACGCGCAAGTAGATCAAGTCACTGTTGTGAAGTGCCCCCCCCGTTTCCCCCCCCCCCGATCCGAGAGAGGGTCAAACCCTGAGAAGCCATGTAAGTCCAATTAAGCGTCTGCCTGTGCAAGACGCGTCGCGCAACCCGCCAACCGCGACTTGACTTTTGACAGGCTCGACATCCCTCCACCAGCACTTTGGCAGCAGCATTCAGCCGCTCCCTCTTTCCCGCACGTCGCAAACAGCTATCGAGTGGTGTCTGACTTTTTGAGAGAGGGAAGACTTTTCAAAAATTCAACATGGCGTTGATTGTCGACAAGCATCGACCAAGGTCTTTGGACCAACTCTCATACCACACAGAGCTCTCCGAGCGGCTGAGATCACTCGTATGTGCCGCAGATTATGGCTGGGCTTTAGGAGCTCCTACTGACGCAAGTATCACACCAGGCTCAAAGTGGCGACTTCCCTCACCTCCTTGTCTACGGACCATCGGGCGCCGGCAAGAAGACCCGCATCGTGGCGACGCTCAAGGAGCTGTTTGGCCCGGGCGTGGAGAAGATCAAGATCGACGCGCGCGTGTTCCAGACGACCTCCAACCGCAAGCTTGAGTTCAACATAGTCGCCTCCGTCTACCACCTCGAGATCACGCCCAGCGATGTGGGCAACTACGACCGGGTCGTGGTGCAGGACCTGCTCAAGGAGGTCGCGCAGACCCAGCAGGTCGACCAGGCCGCCAAGCAGCGCTTCAAGGTCGTCGTCATCAACGAGGCTGACCACCTGACGCGCGACGCGCAGGCGGCCCTGAGACGGACGATGGAGAAGTACAGCCCCAACCTGCGTCTGATCCTGCTGGCGAATTCGACGGCCAATATCATTGCGCCCATTCGCTCGCGGACGCTGCTGGTGCGGGTTGCGGCACCCACGCACGAGGAGATCTGTTCGGTCCTGGCATCGTCAGCGGAGAAGGAGGGCTGGCCTGTGGTCAAGGGCCTACACCAGCGCATTGCAGAGGAAAGCGGCCGGAATCTGAGGAGGGCCTTGCTCATGTATGAGGCCGTTCACGCGCAAAAGTACGTTGGCCTGGCATCTTGAAATTCGAGGCGAAGCCTGAGTATGCACCTGCTAACGCCGCTCCTACAGCGAGAAAGTTACCGATTCGACGAAATTGCCACCCCCGGATTGGGAGGCTCTCATCCAACAAATTGCCAGAGAGATCATGGAGGAGCACACGCCCGCCCGGGTGCTGGTGGTTCGGGCCAAGCTTTATGATCTGCTCTCGCATTGCATCCCGGCTACGACCATCCTGAAGACTCTCACATTCAAGCTTCTGCCCTTGATCGATGACGCCCTGAAAGCCGACGTCATAAAATGGTCGGCATTCTACGAGCACCGTATCAAGACAGGCACCAAGGTCATTTTCCATCTCGAGGCCTTTGTGGTGAAGTTCATGCGGATATTGGAGATGTATCTGATGAGCATGGATTTCTGAAGCGTGACGTCGAACCTTGAGAATCGACTCTAATAGGAGTAGCCGTCTCACTCGTGGCGTTGCTACAAAAGCACGGCTGCATGGAATCGAGTGGCCGGGCGCCTCGGACTTGTGAGGCTGCACGAGTTTACACGGGCTGTGAGGATACATGATTATGATCGGCGCACCAGTTCCATCAAGCAGGAGGGTGTTCAGGACAAGGCGTTCTTGAGAGGGTTAAAAATGCCTGGAGGAATTGTTCGCTTGAAGCTCGCTCGTATCCGGCGAGCCAGCGGCCTAATTGCGCCAGAGGCCACTGAAGCGAAGAGCTTGTCCTGGTCGCAGTGGTCGAGCGGCCTCGCATTTGTTGGGAGACGTGCAACCCTGCCGCAGTATGCGAGCATTTTTGTGCACCGCGGAGAATATATGCTGCACCGCAAAGTGCTGGCGGGTTGGAGTAGCCCCATAGGTCCGATTGCGCAGCAGAGACGCTGTGGGTCTTTGGTGCAGTCGCATGCTGCATGTAACATTGACTAGGACCTGTGGGACAACAATGCAGGCGCGCTTCGAAGCCCACAGGAATAGACCCTGGACGGATTTGGTGGTTGCCATCAAGCAAATGAAATACAGAAATAAATTTGTTCGCTCTTCAATGTGGCGGGCATGATGCCGAAAACTATGCCCAAAGCGCCAGAGGTACACACTGTGGCGTCAACAAGAAGCGAGCGAGGATTTCGGGATCGATCGTTCAACTATACCGTTGCACCAAGAGACATCACTCGGCTTGGCTGCCCAGCCCTGTGACAGGTTACAGGGGTGTTGTCAGTCTACTGGCTTCCGTTGGTCCATGAGAGTGTGCATCCTTGTGCCGAATTGGCCTCTCCAGCCGCGACGGTCAGCCTTTCTGCGCAGCTCGACCCAGACCCGGCAGTCTGGGCGCAAGACGATCATTCGTCAGAAGCAGTGTCCACGGCCGTCCCTCGACCCCCGTCCTTCCTTACCCAGCCAGCCAGCCAGCCAGCTTGGTTCTGAAGTCATCTGGGCTTGGGCCGTGCGACGGCGGGGGGGGGGGGCCTGGGGGTGGCACCCACGGTGCCTGAGCCTCTGAGGGGCGTCAGGGGGTGATGCCGGCGCGGGTGGCAGGAAGTGCCACGTCTTTGTGCTCGCCTAACCTCGGACACGGCCCTGGATTAGCATTGTGACAGCCGGGCCTTACCGCCATCATTTCCGTCAGTATAAGCAGGCACAGAAAGGACCCAGCTCGCTCTCTGGGGAAGTCGCGAGCTTCAGCGAATTGCCAGACTGGGAAATATATGAGAGCGATTTGTTGAGACTTCGAGACTTATCCCTGGGCCTGGGCCTGGGCCGTGTTGCCTATGGGAGAACCCCCCGTGCATCCACGGCTAATAATCGGAGCCAGTCCAAACAGACAGGCATACCTGGTACACATGGGCCACGCTTAGCGAGTGCAGTGCAACCAGCCTTCCAGGACCTTCCAACTACAAGGCCTATAATTTGGCTGACGATAGCGCACGTAAGTTGCCGGCTCCACCAGCACGCCAGGCCCTGACGGGTTGACGATCTCTTCGGGCTGTACCTTTGTATATCTATGGAGTACCAGCCTCCAGTTATACACGGCAAGGTAAGCTAGACGCCAGAGCCAAATGCGAAGCCCAAGAGCCGGCTTGACAGACCACCGCGAGGATCTGCGCGGCCGTCGATAAATAATTTGAGTAACACCATGCATGGTGTCGGCTGCCTGCTGCAATAGGCAGCATATTAGGGGGGTCCGGCGGTCCAGTTCAAAGCCCCGTGCCCACCCCTCCACGATTCATCTCGGCCAGTCTTACCGCGTCGGCGCTACCCCAGGCCAGAAGGATGGATGCGGGGAAGCTTAGGAGCCCTTGGGAGCTGCTTGGCGCGCCGGCTTTGTTGGTGGCTGTCCCTAGCGGCCATGGGCTGGACCAAGAGCAGCAACGGGGCTGAAGGGGACTATTATCGGAGGGAGGGTTGCATGTGCTCGCGAAGGATCATCGTCCTGATGCCATGGCTATACGTCAAACCTTCTCCTAACCGTTCTCCCGAAAGCTTCTTTGAACGCAATGGTCTGTGGCCGGCTAGACACCTGGGCTTTACCGAGCGTCTGTTCGGCCTGGCTCCACGAGCTGCAGCAGCCGGCTGGCTGCGCTGGGGCGACATCGCATCGTGGATAGTCGAAGCCCTGACTGACTTACTGACTGACTGACTGACCTGACTCTGGTCAGGTGGGTTGGCGAGAGGGACCGAGGGGCAGGACCCTAGGGGTCTGGCCGGAGCGCGATATGGGGGCTGAGCCTGGCCGGAGTCGAACGTTTTTGCACCGAAAGTCTGGCGATGAGCCAGGCTACCCAGGCAGAGTGACGCATCCCAAGGCTTTGCTCGCTGGAATGCCAATCTCGTAGACAACCAGACAATTCGACAGCACATCCCACAGAGTCATAGGTCCCAGTCAACAGGGACGCCGACCTAGGAGGCCGTGGCCAGATAATCGCCAGAGTTGATGGGGATTTCGGACCCTCGGTTCTCGGTCTCAAACGTTGAGGCGCGATATGCAGAGGGAGCCCGGATGGAGGAACCGGAGAGGCAATGATTGTGCTTTGCATTGAGCAGAGCGCATTCGGGTAGCAAGGACAACAACAACAGCAAGGACAACAGCAATAATTACGGCCAGAGTGGTAGATGGCAAGAGACAGACAGACTCTGTATCGAAAGCTCCGTTGCTGCATGCTGGCTGGCCAGACCTCACCCTGGCTAATAACGCGTTGCCTCTCACGGCCTGGGTAGGGTAGGGTCTCATCTGAACGAGGTGGACGGAGTCCGGACAGACGGAAAAGTTGTCGCTCAGAAGCCTCACGCTCACCTCATGGCAGTGGGGTGTCAATCCCGGCCGGGTGGAATCCCTCTGCACTAGCTCCCAGACCCCCGTCCCGGTGGGTATGGGCTCATTCCCGAACAGGTAGTGTTCGGACACAAGGGACGCGGGGCCCTGCGTGCATGCAGTGGCAGCAGCAGGACTGGGTTTGTTGGTGACAAGTGAGAGAGAGTGAGTGAGAGGACTCCGTACCGACTAACGGACCGCGACCAGTGGCCTGGCCTCTCACCAGCAAACTAATACAAAGCTACCCCCCTAGCCTCGTCCTCCGTCTTCAAGCGGTGCTCTGTTTTTGACCCTTCCAATTCCTTTTCCTCATCTCTCGTCGTCTGTGGGCTTGGTATACCCTCCTCTCCTCTCCCTCTCACAATCGTTCTCGACCTGATTCGAGGCTTTACTCCCACCCTCTGTAGTTCTTGTAGGAGGCAGCCCCCTCTTACATGTAAGCATATTCGTGTCGGCGACTTGTCTCAACAGCTACCCCGCCATCCAACACCACCACCGCCACCCACATATACCACGCCCGCCATTGTTCGTCATGGCTGAAGGCGCATCCAAGACCCCCGTGGTCGCAGAGGCCCATGAGGTCGACACCTTCCGTGAGTCTCGTCTATGCGTGGCAAGGCCCGATGAATAGCCCGCTCCCGGGTCTTCAGACAGCTTTAACGCGAGTGGACAGACGCTAACAGACGCTGCCAATAGATCCCCCCCAGAAGATGCTTGACAGTACGTAATTGTTCGGTGATTACGGGCCAATCCCGTGCTAACTGCGATCCTACAGAGCATCCCAGCAAACCTCACCTGTCTGGTAAGTCTGCAACGTGTTGGGCAATCAAACCCCGCCGCTGGAAACACCGCTGACGAGGCGGATCAGGCCTGGAGGACTACCAACAGCTGTACAAGCAGTCTATCACGGAGCCAAAGAAGTTCTGGGGCACCAAGGCCAGGGAGCTCCTCTCGTGGTCCAAAGACTTCCAGACCGTGCACTCGGGCAGCCTCGAGAACGGCGACAACGCCTGGTTCCTCGAGGGCGAGCTGAACGCCTCTTACAACTGCGTTGACCGCCATGCTGCCAAGGACCCTGACCGCGTCGCCATCATCTACGAGGCCGACGAGCCCAGCGAGGGCCGGAATCTCACCTACTCGGAGCTTCTCCGCGAGGTCTGCAAGACGGCCTGGGTGCTGAAGCAGATGGGCGTCAAGAAGGGCGACACAGTGGCCGTCTACATGCCCATGATCCCGGAGGCCCTCATTGCTCTGCTGGCCATCACCCGTATCGGAGCCGTCCATTCAGTCGTGTTCGCCGGTTTCTCCTCAGACTCGCTCCGCGACCGAGTCATAGATGCGCAGTCCAGGGTGGTCATCACCACCGACGAGGGCAAGCGCGGTGGCAAGCTCATTGGCACCAAGAAGATCGTGGACGATGCCCTGAAGCAATGCCCCGACGTCAGCCACGTGCTCGTGTACAAGCGCACCGGGGCCGACGTGCCCTTCACCCAGGGCAGGGATTGGTGGTGGCACGAGGAGGTCGAGAAGTGGCCGGCGTACATTGCCCCTGAGCCTATGAACTCGGAGGACCCACTATTCCTGCTGTATACTTCTGGGTCGACCGGAAAGCCAAAGGGTGTCATGCACACCACCGGTGGCTACCTGCTCGGCGCAGCCATGACAGGAAAGTACGTGTTTGACATACACGATGGGGATCGCTACTTCTGCGGTGGAGACGTCGGCTGGATCACAGGACACACCTATGTTGTTTACGCGCCTCTCCTGCTAGGTGTCTCGACGGTCGTTTTCGAGGGCACACCAGCATACCCCAACTTCTCGAGGTACTGGGAGATCATCGACAAGCACGAAGTGACACAGTTCTACGTGGCACCGACCGCGCTACGACTGCTTAAGCGCGCCGGCGACCACTTCGTGAAGAGCAAGATGAGCAAACTCAGAGTACTAGGTTCTGTGGGTGAGCCTATCGCTGCCGAGGTATGGAAGTGGTACTTTGAGGTTGTTGGCAAGGAGGAGGCACAGATTGTCGATGTAAGCTGCGCTTCGACCGTATTGTCTTATCCGGCTCAACGTCAGATTATTAACCCTTTGAGCAGACATACTGGCAGACCGAGACCGGGTCAAACGTCATCACCCCTCTTGCAGGCGTAACCCCAACGAAGCCTGGCTCGGCGTCTCTCCCCTTCTTCGGTATTGAGCCAGCCATCATCGACCCCGTGTCCGGCGAGGAGATCCACGGTAACGACGTGGAGGGTGTCCTCGCCTTCAAACAAGCATGGCCCAGCATGGCACGCACAGTATACGGCGCACACAAGCGTTACATGGACACATACCTGAATGTTTACAAGGGATACTACGTGAGTACAATTTTCCTGGCACGTGACAGCGCCGTTGCTGACAATAACACAGTTCACTGGCGACGGTGCCGGCCGAGACCACGAGGGGTTCTACTGGATCCGTGGCCGTGTTGACGACGTCGTCAACGTCTCAGGCCATCGGCTGTCAACCGCCGAGATCGAGGCCGCGCTGATCGAGCACCACTCCATCGCCGAGGCCGCGGTCGTGGGTATCAACGACGAGCTGACTGGCCAGGCGGTCAATGCCTTCGTGGCCATCAAGGACGCCAGCGAGGCGTCGGACGCGCTCCGCAAGGAGTTCATCCTCCAGGTGCGCAAGAGCATCGGTCCGTTCGCGGCGCCCAAGGCCGTCTACATCGTGCCGGACCTGCCCAAGACGCGGTCGGGCAAGATCATGCGACGTATCCTGAGGAAGATTCTGGCGGGTGAGGAGGACCAGCTGGGAGATATCTCGACCTTGTCGGACCCGTCGGTCGTGGAGAAGATCATCACGATAGTCCACAGCGACCGGAAGAAGTGAGCATGATAGGGATAGGGAGCGGCGGCAGACCTTAACAGATGGGTCCCTGGGTCTTACTAGGGAATGCCGTAGTGTGTATTGACAGTTGGAGGACAAATTCAATGATGACGCTTTATAATATCAATATGATATTGTCTTGGTTTTGGGGGGTTGGAGGGATCGGGCTTCCTGGAAATGGTCTTACTTTTTTTGGGTTTATACACACAGAGAGATGCTTATCAAAGCCGTTCATCCGGACTTAAGAGATAGAAGTGGCCCGAACAGAGCGAACGTGCACATTCTGACTGTGCGCGTCGCGTAGTTGGTGCGTATTTACGGCCAAGTTGGCTAGGCATCATCATCATCGGCCGCGGAACGAGACTGAGAAGCGTTGACCTACCCGCGGTGGAGGATTGCCGAACACTTCTGGAAGCCACAACAGGATCGGCATGCAAGAGGGGGGGGGAAGACACGAAAGACAAGACAACAAGTGCCGCGCCCTGCAGGACTCGTCATCCCCATCTTGGCAGCAGGCCGGCCAGCCGCCGTAGCGGGCTTGGAAGGGGGATTAATAAGGTTGAGGCGTCTGGTTGCCGTGGGTGCTCTGCCAGGACGGCCGCTTTTGCTCACCGTCACACGCACCAAAAGAAGCCGTCCCTTTTTCTCCCTCCCGATCCTGCCGTCACCACTCGGTGTCCTTGGGAGACTACTTTCCTTGGGCCCCTCCCCTCACGTGGAGCAGGTCGGTAAGCCGGCAAGCTTGTGTGTCTTGTTGGCAGGCTGCCCCGTCGGGGCCAAGAAGTCTCTACGCTCTCCCTTGGTGGCTGTGTAGGATGCTGCTTGCGTGGACTGGCTCTTAACAGGGCGCACAGTGTGAGTCTGAGTGAGAGTGAGAGCGAGGACTGAAGGAAGGGCGGTCTCTGCGCATCACACAAAGTCCGATGGGTCAGTCCGGGTAATTCGGAGGTTGGATTATTTTTTTTTCTCGCACCCCTGAATGTCTGTAAGACAGGCAAGCAAGCACGCGAGCAGTGTTTGGCAGACGGGGAGTAGAAGAAGGCTGGGCGGGTATTGATTGGGTGTGTCGAGGCTTGTAATCTCGGCCGACGAGGGCATAGTACCGAGTAGACACTGCTGATACAGCTGGGCCATCCTGATACAGTACTCCGCACAGAAATGTAGTTTATTACGGTTGTTCGCCCTATATGCCCAGGCGTGTCACCCTGGGGAAAAGTCGACTGCCTAGGCAGCTAGATGGAGAGGTGTCGCATTGGACCTCCTGGGCTGCGGCGCTTTGAAACTCATCCGAAGCTCAGGGTTGATCGGCGCCTAGCTGGGCCCACCCCTGACAGGTGCCTTCCGAAGAACCGCTCAAGCACGTACCAGCCTGAGGCTTCATTCATGACTGGTATTTCTGCACACGATGCTGGGTGCTGGATGCTGGATGCTGGATCTTCCATTCTTGACGTTACGGGTGCAGTCTTGTTTCGCAATGCCATGGCCAGGGCTTTCGGTAGATGCACCTCCAAGTGTTGCATTGCTCGGGTGGCCCCGAATCCTGAGGCTAACAAGTTAAAATGTGCGATGGCACTTTACGAAGTACCTAGGTACCTAACAAGCACCGGCGTGCCTGCTACTACGGAGTAGTCTGCCTACGTCTTCTTCCTCTCCCTACTAGGGCTGCCAGGGAGGTTCGGACTGGCAAACCCCAGAGTTTCGTGTCATCCCGTCTGAAGTATTCTGGACGGCTCGCCTGTAATGTCGGGGGTCTTCCCAGCAGGCCCGGGCCTGAACGAGACATGCGAATCACACATGCCATGTGCCACAGTAGCGAGCCGAATCCACGAGTTCACGGTGCCAGTCGCCCTAATAATAAGCAGCACACACAGTACTGTGTGCACGACGGCTCCCTTTCCTCGTGTTGATGATCTATGATCTACGCGTCTAATCTTGCTGAAGTCAAGGTCACGAACCAGGTTACGACATGCACATCAAAACTACCGCACAAGGTTATCGGACTCACAAGATTGCTCGCATGCTGACCCGCCCAGATTAGAGTGGCCCCCCTTCCTGAACGGCGCAGCGCAGTCTCTTTGTCGACCTTCTCCTCTCCGATGCACTGTGCATTGTTAGCCCATATTGCCAAGATTCCTCGGCCCAACAAACGTGCCCGTCGCTGATGATGCACCGCCTCCCTATTGCTTCGCCTAGCGACGCAGGCCGACTTGGTGCTCTGTACTTGTTGGAGGCCACGATTGGGGCCAGAATTCGGGACAAATGAGAGCCCAGTGGAACTCATGGGACTCATGAGACTCGAGACCCGCGCACGCGAAAAAGGAAAGAGGGCCCCCCCAGCCAGCCAGCCAGCCCGACCCAGCCCACCCTAACCACCTCTCCAACGCCCCGCTTGCCTGCTGTCGCTTGCTACGCAGTAACCAAGCTAACCAACCCGCTGGCCCACTCAATTAATACGATTGCCCAGATCCCCAGCGTTTTGCCTTCTGGCTGGTCCCGACAATATCGGTCCGGCCTAATAAGTCCTAGCCTCCTACTTCTCCTTCCCCATCTCGCTGTACACTTCACTCTTTACCCTCCCCCGACGAGTCGAGTCTGTATGACCACCAGACTAGTTTCTGTCCTTACTTGCTTGCATTTGAACAACCACACACTCTCGTTCCGCCCGTGGTCAAACCAAACACAGCGCAGACTCGATCCCAGTCCTACCTAGGTACTCAGGAGGCGTCCTCAACGTACATCGAGCCTCGTTACATACACTTTCGCCCATGCCTCTGTTGACGAAACCCTACCCGACAATTAAGTCTTAATACTCAAGACTAGGGGCTGATTATGAAGCCCTTCGGCAAGCTCGCACTTGCGATTGCCAGTCTCCTAATTATCCCATCTGCCATAGCCGAATCGAAACGGCGGAACCCGCTCCATACCTTGACCCGCCTCGAATCGCCAGTCATCGTCGCGCCCTCGCACCGAATCCATGCCCACTCTCACTTCCAGGCAACCTTCTCCCTGCCCGACTCACAACAGAATGTGAGGTTGTCGCTCGAGCCCAATCACGACGTCGTCGCAGAAGGCGCCACCGTCACCTACCTGGGCGCAGATGGCAAGGTCCAGAGGACCGAGCCAATCGAGCGTCTAGATCACCGCGTATACAAGGGCCATGCTTTTATTCAGTATGCAGGACAGACTGAGTGGGTCAACGCTGGTTGGGCAAGGATACATGTCCACAGGGACGGCCCCGAGCCCCTTTTCGAAGGGGCATTCCAGCTGTACGGCGATTATCACCACATCCAGACCAACACGAATTACCAGAAGACACGCTTGAGGGAGGATCCCGAGATCGAACCGGCTTCCGACGAGTACTTGATCTTGTGGAGGGACTCGGATCTCAAGTCCGACCTTGAGACCCACGGCCCCGATGAGCTCAAGCGAGCGCTGGCCCAGAAGGAGACGTGCACCTCAGACCACCTGGAATACAACGCCGATGAGAACCACCCCATCTACCGCAGCCTGGACGGTCTCGATGGCTTCAGCGGTGTCGAGGAAAGGTCTTCTTGGTCCTCGATGGCTTCGAACATGCTCTTTGGACGGCAGATGGACGGCACGACGGGTGGCAACGGTGCGGGCGCTAACCTGATCTCAACCATCGGTTCCACTTCGGGGTGCCCAACCGCCAGGAAGGTGGCTCTGATCGGTATTGCCACCGACTGTACATACACGGCCGATTTCGACGGCAATGAGACAGCCATCAGGTCCAACATCATCAACCAGGTCAACACGGCCTCCCAGCTGTACGAGAGCACGTTTGATATCTCCCTGGGGATTCGTAACCTCACCATCAGCCCCCAGGCCTGTCCCGCCACCCAGAATAATGACGCCCCGTGGAACATTGGCTGTTCTGACTCCGTCACGATTACCGACCGCCTCAACCTGTTCTCGCGGTGGCGCGGCCAGCACGAGGACGGCAATGCATACTGGACCCTGATGAGCAAGTGTGGCACCGACTCAGCAGTCGGTCTGGCCTGGCTGGGCCAGCTCTGCATGGTCGGCTCCTCGTCGTCGTCCGGTGGCAGCAACGAGACCGTCGCAGCTGCCAACGTTGTGGTCAGGACGGATGGGGCTACCGAGTGGCAGGTTTTTGCGCACGAGACAGGGCATACCTTTGGTGCCGTGCACGATTGCACGTCCGCGTCGTGTTCGGATGGCACGTCCACTAGGCAGCAGTGCTGCCCGCTCAGCTCTGGCTCGTGTGACGCGAACGGCCGCTTCCTCATGAACCCCTCCACCGGAACAGGTATCACACAGTTCTCAGCATGCAGCATCGGAAACATCTGCTCAGCTCTGGGCCGCCAGAGCGTCCAGAGCGGTTGCTTGACCAACAACAGGGATGTCACGACCATTACGGGGAGCCAGTGCGGCAATGGTATCGTGGAGTCGGGAGAAGAGTGTGACTGCGGCGGAGAAGCATCGTGCGGCACCAACTCTTGCTGTAATCCTACAACCTGCAGGTTCACCCAAGGATCAGTCTGTGACCCGACCAACGAGGAGTGTTGCACCGACCAGTGCCAGTTTGCGAGCGGCGGCACCGTCTGCCGTGAAAGCACCGGCCTATGCGACCCGCAGGAAACTTGCTCGGGCAACTCATCTTCATGCCCAGCCGACGACAACGCACCTGATGGGACAGACTGTGGGAATGGCCTGCAGTGTGCCACGGGCCAGTGTACGTCACGAAACCAGCAGTGCCAAACGCTCATGAGCTCACGGGTCTCGAACAATGAGGATTTCGAGGCCTGCGGATCCTCGAGCTGCCAGATCCAGTGCGAGAGCGGCGGTGTCTGCTACGAGCTTCAACAGAACTTCCTGGACGGCACGTCCTGTGGTGGTGGCGGCAAGTGCAGGAACGGAGTATGCCGCGGCGCGAGCGCCGGCGACGAGATCCTGTCGTGGATCCACGACAATCCACAGATCTTTTATCCTGTTGTATGTGTGGTAGGCGGACTTCTCCTCCTGGCCATCGTCACCTGTATCTTTTCTAGATGTCGCCGGAGCCGCCGGAGAGCCGCGCCGTCGAGGGCGCCGAAACCCCCAGCAGGATGGGGCAACATCCCTCCACCGCCGCCTGTTATGAGCCGGGGGCCCAGGCCGAACCAGTATATGGGCGGCCCCCCGCCAATATATAATGAACGCGGCTATCAGCAATTCCGGAACGCGCGGTACGCATAAGGGATGTCTTGCTTTTGAAATGGAATTGATCGGAGATACCACTCAGCGGAAGAGGCGTCGCTCATCATGATTGGGAGCGACAGAGGGCGTTTGAGCCCGGCATTAGAAGGGGCTGGCAAAGCTTTCTACCACAGATCTCTCTTGCATGGAAACTGGCGTTCAATGGGCATGGATGGGAATCGGGCACGGGCCTGGCTAGGACCCCTATGGAATTATCTCGAGAGAAACAGTATATTTATACTACAGCTATCCTATAGTCCAATGCATCTATATCTGGCTCATTTGCCTTGTATCCGCATGAGATCTTTTTCTGCACAGGTGGCAATAACAATTTCAGGTAGACGAGGTAAGTATGCGGCAAAAGACTACATGGGTGATATTAGTTCCGCCCGCGGACTTAAACAATGTTGATGGCGCATCAGGCATGCTCTCCTGGTTCGCTATGCGGATTTGGACACTCGGTCGTAAGTCATAACAACTCATGGATACTATATGGTACCTAGCAATAGCAGAGTCCCTCAACCAGCCTTCCTATCGCCTACCACTCCGCGAGCCACCCTCTCCCCGGCCACGCTGCTGCTGCTGCTGCTGGGCAGCTGACATGCGGAGGGACTGGCCGCCCTGTCCGTGGTACTTCTGCTGATGCTGCTGGAGGTGTTGGTAGCCGCCGGTTTCCGGGATCGGCTCGTCGTCGTCATCATCGTCATCTTCGTCATCGTCCAGGCCGCACATGATCTTTTTGAACCTGAACCGTGTCGCGGGGACGGTCTGTTTTTGGGGTGTGTTGAGCCGTCATTGTTCGATAGAAGAAGGAAGAAGATGGCGAGACTTACGGCGCCGCTGCTCTGTGCGTACATCATCAGCAGCTCGGGGTTGTCGAGCACCGTCTCGGCCCAGTCGCGCCTCTCGGTCTTTGTGAAGGCCTCCTTGGGCTGCCTGTGCAAGATGTGTGTTGGCCCTCTCACTCGCTCACTCTCACCTCTCGCCACGTGTGGTTACTCGCTGCATGAACAACCTACCTAGATGAAGGAGGAGCGCGGTGGTGGTGGTGGGAGTGGTGTTGAGCATGGTGGTGGTGGTGGTGATGAGGATGATGATGATGATGGTGGGCCGCCATCCTTCCTCCTCCCCCCGGCATGCGCTCGGGGCTGAGGTCGCTCCCGTCGGAGGCGTCGCCGGCGTAGGGGTCCTTGCCGCGGGCCTGCAGGTCGCGCATCTCGTCGGTGAAGGGCTGGTCCATCATGTCGGCCGGGGACTCGGCCCAGGGGCCCCGGTGGAAGGGCGCGCCGCGGGGCGACGAGGTGCGCCCGTGTGCTGTGGTGCTGTTGCGCGATGCGTGCGAGAAGGGGTTTTGCGAGGACGACATGGCCCCTGCGGGTGGGTTCGGCTTTTTGGGTGACTGGACAGGCTTGTTCAAGGGTGGGTGTGTTTGTTCTGGGGCGTGAGGGTGGCCGAGTGCAGCGAGTGGGCGAGTGAGGATGAGGCTGTGGTTGTTATTATTATGAGATGGATGACTTGGGGCTGCAGGCCAGTGGTGGAGTACCTACTTAAGTAAGTACCTATTTCAGCACCGCAGGCACTACCCGGAAGCGGCAACTAACACGCCTCGAATTCCCAGCGGTGACGGGCAAGACGCAGGCCTGCAGCTGCCGTACCACGCAACGACTCGCTGGTCTGCGCTCGTTATCAAACGACGTCTGCATGCTGCTGTCATGGTCGCGTAGCCAGCCACTTATTCTCCACATGTGTTGTCGTCCTGCTGCAGGTCTGGGGTCCTGTCCGACGGGCAACGAGGCGAGAGATATCAAATGCTGCCGATTTATTAGCAGATATCTCGACTTCTAACGAGACTCGGATCTAGGACAATGGCATTGTGCAGCTGAGGCTGCAGGCAGGCAGCCGCTGCAGGGATCGGGAGAGACAAAAGGCCCAGCCAAGATGCTCGATTCTATCAGACAATCAGCCAACCAACCAACAGCTCTCTATATTGTCTATCCAAGCCGCCAAAACTCCCACAAATGACACATCATCATCCTCATGCCGGCTTCCACCGCAGCAGCGTCATGGAGTGCTTGGGGAACACGAAGCTGCCCTGGCCGTCCCACTCGGTCTGCCTGACCACGACCTCGTCCTTGCCCGCCACGTTGACCACGCCGGGATCCGCCCCGTTGACCGAGTGCACCTCGACCTTGCCGCCCACGCCCCTGACCGTCGTCTCAAAGTCCTGCTTGTCGTTGATGTTGACCGCCACCACGTTGACGTACCCCTTGTCGTCCACCACGGCGCTGACGTCCAGCCACGGCGCCCCGTCCTCGAGCACGCCCTGCAGCCACGCCGGCGTCGTCTCGCCCTGGTACGAGCCGCACTTGACGTGCGCAGCCACCGTCCACCCGCGCATGTAGCGGCTGAAGAGCAGCAGCGGCCACCAGATGGTCTGCTTGACGATGCCGTCCTTGCTCGTCATCAGCGGCGAGATCACGTTGACCGACTGCGCGATGTTGGCCATGCCCACGTACTTGCTCTGCCGGATGAAGACGTTGAGCCAGATGGCCACCGCCAGCGCGTCCGACAGGTTGTACTTCTCCTCGGCCCCCTGCTCGCCCGGCGCCCGCTCCGGGTCCCACACGTTCCACTCGTCAAAGCAGATCTTGACGGGGGGCTTGGTCGGCGCCACCTTGTTCTCGATGCGCGCAATGTCGATGAGCGCCGCCGCCGTCTGGATGGCCCGCTCGGCCGACAGCGGCGCCGTCACGTTGTGCAGGTGTTTCGACGACGCCGTGTAGATGTGGATCGAGTGCATGTCCACCACCGACACGCACTCCTTGAGCACGTGGTGGTCCCACGACGAGTGGCCCGTCTCGCCGCAGAGGATCAGGCACAGGCTGGGGTCCAGCAGCCGCAGCGCCTTTGCCCACTGGAACGCCTTCTTGGCGTAGTCCTCCTTGGTCATCTGCTCCACCTGCCACGGGCCCCAGATCTCGTTGCCCAGCGCCCAGTACTTGACATTGTACGGCTCCGGGTGCCCGTTCTGCCGCCGCAGGTTGGCATAGTACGTGTCCCGCGTGCCGTTGCAGTAGTCCACCCACGCCAGCGCCTCGTCCAGCGTGCCCGTGCCCATGTTCAGGCAGATGTACGGCTCCACCCGCTTCTCCTTGCCCTCGCTGAGCACGTCGAGCCACTCCATGAACTCGTCGGTGCCGAACGTGTTGGGCTCCGTGCCCAGCCACGCCAGCTCCGGCCTCTTGGGCCGCTTGTCCCTGGGCCCCACGCCGTCGAGCCAGTGGTATGTGGCCACGAAGTTGCCTCCGGGGTAGCGGATCACGGGGATGTCGAGGTCCTTCAGCGCCTCGATGACATCCTTCCTGAAGCCCTTCTCGTCGGACAGCGGGTTGCCGGGGTCGTAGATTCCTGGCGGGGCTGGTGTTAGCATCTCCCTCCCGGTCTTCCAGACAGCACACGGGACGATGAGACTTGTTTTGATTACCTCCATAGATGCAGCGTCCCATATGCCTGGGTAGGTTCTTGTCAGCTACAGTCCCTTCTCTAACCGCCCATTGAACGCTTCGGCCAGCCAGGGGACCACACATACTCTGTGAACCCGCCATAGATCATGGGATCTATCTTGGAGAGCTTCTTTTCCGCGTCCACCTCGATGAGGGGCTTCTCGCTGTCGGAAACCTTGGTGAAAGTCGTCATTTTGGCTGCAATTGAGTCTCACAATATACTCTGCAGGAGTTGCAAGAGGAAGAGGGAGTTCCAAGGGTTTTTTTTTATTTCTCTAGCTGCTGGGCACTCGCTATCTATCTCTTATTATTCCGCCCGTAGTTGGACCCACGAGAACCTCGAGCTTGGAGAATTGCACTCGGTCGCTACTTTCCCCTCTGCTACCCCAATTCCTTACCCCGAGCGTCACGGTATGCGCTGCAGATATGCCACAAGCGCATGCCGCCAACATGCAATGCGGCATGGGTCATCTCCTCCCGAGCCCGGCCGTGTCCCGGTCGCCGAGCCAAAGCCACTTCTGATTGGTGCGCATCAGCTGTGGGCGGTGACATCGCGCCGCGGGCTGCCAAACAGGGTCAAGCCGGCCGTGCTGCCAGCGTCCGGCAGAGAAGCTGAGAAGCTTCTTTGGACGGGGGAAGAGCTGGTCACGCGGTGAGGGCGTCATCCGTGGGTTGATGAATCGCTCAGGCATGGGCGAGACTGCCCCGGTCCGACTGTGGGCGTCGGCAGAAACAACTCATTATCATCCTCTCCAGACTGTTATTAATACTGTGATACTCGTTGTTGAGGTCCTGCCCCCGCCCGGCGCATGCGCTCTTGATAGGAGGAAAAGAGGTTTCTCCCTCCCGCGGCACCGTATGATGATTTGCAACAACGGTCCCCAACCGCCGGGACCCATCAGGAACCCGCCCGTCGTATCCTCTTCTCAAGGAGCGAAACCTTGCTCGCCCTCCCCCGCATGGGTACATACAGGGGTTGATCTGGGGTTTGGGGTAAAGGCCGAACATTTTTGTTTGTTACGAGTCTTGAGCCCCATTGTTTCTATGACGGACACGGGGGATCAAAAGGTCTTCGGCAGCCGTGGGGACAGGGGCATCACCCACGCACGCATGATGCGCACCGAAGGAATGAGTGAGTGGGTGGAGGAAGGCATCGACTTGCATTCCGAATGGACCACGCCCGACTGCACGGTGACCTGACCTATATATAAGTGACGGGGCCATCCGAGCTAAGGTCGGTGAGTAGACCAGATGTCTCTTATTAGAGCAGCTCTGCAACCTTTGACGCCTTGAAAGGGGTTATTGTGCTTGTGTAATTCCCCCCTGGCCGTGATATCCCTCCGTTCCGGCCTGTCAAGATGGTGCTCGCACCAAAGACATACCAGGTAGGACAACCTCTCCCCACGCGGTCCAGCACGGCACGGACAGCCTTGACTGACATTCTTCTGTTGAATAGTTCCTCGTGAGCGTCTTCGCTTCCGTCGGTTCTATCCTATACGGTTATGATCTCGGTGTCATTGCCGAGGTCATTGCCTGTCAACCTTTCAAAGATGACTTCAACAATCCAACCTCGGTCGAAAAGTAAGAACAAACCCCAGATACAAGTGCATCCGTCCTTGCTGACCCAGCATCCTCAACAGTGGAGTCGTCGTATCGCTTTTCACCGGAGGTGCCTTCTTTGGCGCCTTTTTCGCTGGACCTGCCGGTGACCATCTGGGTCGGCGATGGACCATCTTCCTGGGAGCAATAATTTTCATCATCGGTGGCGTCTTCCAGACTGCTGCCCAGACCCTCCACTGGATGTGGGCAGGCCGGGCTATTGCTGGTCTGGGAGTTGGCTTCTTGGTGATGATCATCCCCGTCTACCAGGGTGAAATAGCCCATCCAAGCATCAGAGGACGGGTGACGGCCCTGCAGCAGTTCATGCTGGGAATCGGCTCGTTCGTCGCCGGATGGCTCAGCTACGGCACATACAGTATCAAGAGCTCGGCAGCTTATAGGAGTAAGTGATATCAGTCTTTCATGTCCTCGTTGGGCCATCGCTAACCTTGCTGCTCGGTCAGTCCCACTGGGTATCCAAATCCTGCCCGCCGTCGTCCTCGCCGCACTTATCCTTTTCTTCCCCGAAAGTCCTCGTTGGCTCATCGACCACGGCCGTGGGGAACTGGGCCTGCATACACTTGCAAAACTGCACTCCAACGGCAACATCGAGGACGCTTGGGTCAAGGCCGAGTTCTCCCAGATCGAGGAGGCAATCAGCTTCGACCGCGAGCACGAGGCCAAGAGCTACATGGAGCTGATCAGGACTCGGTAGGCGGGGACTCACAGAAAACCCACATTGTTCGGTGCAAAGCACCCCTTGGCTAACATCATTGATACCAGATCCTCCTTCCGCAGACTTCTCATCGGATGCTCTCTCCAGGGCGCTTGCCAGATGACTGGTGTGTCAGCCATCCAGTACTTCAGCGTCACCATCTACGCACAGGTCGGCATCAGCGGGCAGGACACGCTCAAGTACCAGGCCATCAACAACATCCTGGCCCTCCTGGCGCAGGCGTCGTGCGTGCTGTTCATCGACCGGGTCGGGCGGCGCAGGCCGCTCATCGGCGGCAACCTCTTCAACTCCGCCATGTTCCTCGTCGCCACGGTGCTGATCGCCAAGTTCCCGGGCGGCGAGGCCGGCTGGGGCTTCATCGTGGTGACGTGGCTGTATAACATCTCCTTCTCGGCGACGTGCGGCCCGCTCAGCTGGATCATCCCCGCCGAGATCTTCGACACCCACACACGGTCCAAGGGCGTCTCCATCACGACCATGGTCTCGTTCGCCTTCAACACCATGATCGCCCAGGTTACCGACCTCGCTATCACCGATGTTGGCTGGCGATACTACCTGCTCTTCGTTATCTGCAACTTCACAAACGCCCTCTGGTTCTGGCTCGTCCTGCCCGAGACCAAGAACCTGCCCCTCGAGGAGATGAACTACCTCTTCACCAACGCACCCTGGATCGTCCCCGGCACCGACAAGAGCGCCTACACGGCCAACCTGAACGCTGATCTGGAGAGGCGCGCTGGTGAGATCCAGGAGAAGACCAACGTCGATGGGCACGACGAGCATGTCGACGTGTGAAGGACCGGTAAGGTTCGCGTGATATGAACTTCCTAGGCATACTGTTCGGAGTACTTGGAACGGCTTTTTAGAAAGCCAGGCATCATTCTTTTCATGTGTGAGAGGATGAGCCATAAGAGTCCGGGGCGTGACTTGAGGAACGACAGAGCACTTATACCCAAGTCGTGATGATTATACAGCTTCTACTGCATTAGAGATATACATACAGCATTCCACTCTTATTCCATCCACTCTTCTCTTTACGCGTCACTCATGTTTTTGACCAACCTGTTGAGGATTAAACCCAATGTAACATTCGAATTGCTTGCCATTGCCACCACCCTCCTACCTGGGCCCTCCCAGTGAATGCCCTTCCATCACGCGATGCACGGCAAGGCATGTGTATTCCTATGTTTCCATCTACGTCGCCAGGAGGTTGCAACAAGAAAGCAGCACACGAGCGCCTCGGCCACCTTCCGACAACTATCGTACGTCTTGGCGCGCTACGCCTGCCTATTCTTCTCGCCTAGGTGCAACCACCATTCCTCACTTGAGCATGGACAGCACACTTGACTCCACGATGCCAAAAATAAGATCCGCTCGGATTTCCTTTGCGCACCTACGCCGTCTGTAGTGGGCCACTTCGGTGTTGCTCACTGAGACAGCACCAATCATTCTGTGGTACCACCTCTTTTCAATGTTCCTATGGGTCAATCTCCTTTGGGGTGACCTCCCATAAGACAACCTCTCAATCTCTCGTAGAACTACCTCCCACAAGACTGCCTCTTGAAAGACAACCTCCAACAAAAACAACCTCAAACAAGAAGGAGGCCTCTATAAAACAAGCTCTCATAGGACCACCTCTTGAAAGATAAACATCTTGTCAAACAGTCTTTTGTAGAGCAACCTCATATAGACCAACTTTTTTTGGCAAGGCTGTCACAGGATGACTTCCCTAAGGAGCAGTAATTATAACACAAGTCGTAACATTGAGAATGTGCAAAATATATCGGCAATGAAACTGGTGTAGAGACGGGAACGGGAATGGGCGAAATATTGAGATCGCTAACGAGACTTCTATTCTGTATTTTCTCTGTATGTTTTGTATGATTCCAGAATATCTCAAGCCCATCACATGGGATTTATTCCTGGCGGGTCCCAACCTGCCCACATCATATCCAGCGGATGCCTTTTTTGTTCTCGGCTTCGAGACACGCAAGATAACTCCTCAACGCCGGTTGCCATGGTGGCTCATCCCGCCTCCACGCGCCAATTCCCGCATAAAACTACACGGAGCCGGTGGGCCAGGCTCCACTTCATCGATGTGTGATACCATGCATATCAGTGCTTGGTGTGTCGACCCCAACCGCCTGATCTTCCTTCCCTTTGTATCCAAGATATCGTGGTCATCATTTTTGGCTGAAACCATATTATTATCATGACATGCTTGTGGCGATTCATTGTAATATCCATGCTCATCATGATACCAGCACCACTCTTGCTGCTTTATGAAGGCTGGCGCTTGGCGTAATGCTCCTTGGTCGTGCCTGCCTGCGCGCCAAAGCGCCACGGAGCAACGGATCGATCGCACTGTGTGACAGGCGACGGATCCTAATTGGGCCTTTCCCTCAATTTATTCGTGAAACGGTGTTTGGCCTGGGCCAGCCAACAGGGTTCATAGTGGTCATCGAAAATTTACCACAGCAAGCTTGTCCAAGTTAGCAAAATGAAGTCAAGTGGCAATCGCAGGGACATACCAATCCATTCACGCCAAATGCCAGTCTTTGGCCGTTCGCGTCCCAGCTTAAGCAGTGTTGGTCCTCTGTTTCCGGTTCACCATTCAAGCCATTTATCTTGGGGCTCAGCCCGCCAGGCGGCAGGCTTCGTTTCCACGCGGCCCGGGGAAAAGCATATTCGCCGGCCTTAAATATCAGAATTCGGTCTCTTGTAGCGCCAGCAAAGAAGGCACCGTCCGGGGTGAAAGATAGACCAACGACAGGGTTGTCGTCAATAGTCCGTTGAAGCTTGGGCCTGCTGTCAGGCGAGCGGGCATCCCAGATCGCAATTGTGCCATCTTCACCACCTGAAGCGAGCAAGAGCTCACTGTCAGACGCCCGGCCTTGGATCGGCTGCCATTGCAGGAACGTGATCTGGCCATCGTGGGCCCCATGGATAGTTCGGCGGGCACCGGCAGGATCCCAAATCTAGGCAGAGTAAGCACAAGTAAGAAAAAGAGATTGTAAAGAGAAGGGGGAGGTAAGACGGCATCCAAACTTACGTCGATGTCACCCTTCAGCGTCGCCGCTGCAAAGTGTCCAGTACCGTCGTACTGAATCTGTGTTAACGGATCGTCTGTCCTTGTCGAGAGCTCCTGAGACTGGACAATTTCGGTTTCCGTGCATCGCATGCTGAGCACCCTATGCCCAACGCTCAGCAAAAACTCATGGTCGTTGACCCAGACGGCATCTGGTTGTTGGGCATCGACGTCCTGGTCCGGTGGGAAAGTATGCTCGTATTCGACAGGACTTGACGTCGGTGAGGGGAAGACAGTGACCATCCAGCCTGTGGGCTCTCCTGAGGGATTTGAGATGGGCGTGATGCTCAGGACCTTGCGGTTGACGGGGTTGCATCGCAGCTTGACGATGGGCGCCTCGAGACCGGTGTATGTGTGCATCTGTCTGCCGTCGAGATTCCAGAGGTCGACGCGGGCTTTCTGGCCGTCGTCCGTAGCGACGGCAATCTCCTTACCATCGGACCCCCAGGCCATGACGGTGACCTTGGAATGGGGTGGGAAGTCATCGGTGACAAGGTTGATGGAGGGCCAGTCGGGATCCACGTGATCAGCCACCTGCTCCGGACCGGTGGCACGCGAAACGGTCCAAACTCGGGCTAGTGCGTCAGTCCCGGCAGCCGCCAGGCGGGATGGGTCCTTGGGGTTCCACTCGCAATGCAGAAGGATTGGGTTCTGGCTAGCGCGTGGATGTGACACGTCGGCGATCGGGGTGGCTGCAAGTGAGGAGGAATCATCATGAGCAAGGCGCAAATAAACTGTTTTGGCCTCGAGGTCGTCGACCTTGTCGGTCTGAGTACCGTGATCCGGGCCCTCTGTTCGGGGAGCTGGGGTTGGGGCCTGTTCGCCTTCCAGGGGGGAGGGATAAGCGTGGTTGTCGGATTGGTGCTGATCGATTTCCATGGGGCTTGTGGCTGCATCCGCCCCATTTTCGAGGCCGTTGGCATTGCCCAATCTCGGTCGCTTTGCGGCATTCCCATTTGCCAGCTGGCTCTGAGAATCGACCTGGCGCTTCAGTGACGACTTGTCGGCCTCATCAGCAGCCGACGGTGGGTGAGGCGCCGGCAGGGGCGGCTCTTCCTCGATCTCGTCCTCGAGCTCATCATAGCTAATGGGGTGCTGTGGTACGAGGGGCCCAAAGACTCCGAACTGGGGTTTGTCGGGCGTTGCCGCAGCGTCGGCTGGTACCTGCACGTAAAATTGTTAGTGTGCTGCCACAGAGACCTGCGGCTCAGCCAAGAAGCAGAAGCAGCAGAAGTAGAGACTGGTGCTGATGGCGAGCAGCGGCACAGCGCCAGCTCGAGAAGACATGCGGGCGGGACGCAGCAAGGTCTCAGAAGCAGGAGCAGGGTCAAGTCTGGATCATACCCGTTGTTGTGCGAAGTCCCGCTCGAGGCCGTGGTAGATCAGGCCCTTGTTGAGGACAGAGACGAGGGCGTAGTTCTTGACATGAGACGCGAACTCAAAATGCCTGTGGGGAGCCTCAACACGCCACTCCTTCTGGAACTTGGCAGCTGTTTCTCGAAAGTCTGTAGCACCGCGAGAACGCCCTGGTTAGTTGGCCACGGGGAGAAAGGGGGCCTGGGGGACGACAGAGGTAGGGAAGAGGGAGGGAGAAGTGAGTGATGGGGCGAGCAAAGGTGTGCACATACTGCCTTCGAGCAGGTATCTGTATCCCGGGTACATCAGGCATGGTTAGCAGACAGGCCAGGTCAGGAATGAGTGAGACGTCACATGGGATGGTGAGTGGGTAAGTGAGCGCGCGGGCGGGCGAACGGAGGGGCTTGGGAGGTGAGCAGGCAGTTGAGGGAGTGTGCATCACGAGCGGAACGGGATTGCACCGTGACTGAGTGATTGCATGGGTGGGCGAGTGCGTGAGTGAGGAGTCGACGATGGGTGGGCAGACGGGCAGACGGGCAGACGGGCTGTTGTGCTTGGCCGGGCTGCGGGCGGCACAGGACGTGGAACTGGGCGTGGAGCGTTGCGCGGAGGAAAACGAACCTCCAAATGAGATAGTTGACTCTGTCCGAGTCGAGTAACTCCTTCATCGCGGGCGGCTGGCGGTGTAGCAATGGCAGAAAGGGAGTGGTGGCAGGGCCGAGGGCTGGATCTGACGGTATGGAGCGATGTCTGGCGGCGGTCGCAGAGGTGTGAGGGCCTACAGAGGGCGGCAAGGTCGAGAGTTGAGGCTTTGTCGAAAGACGCACTGGTCAAGTTGGGTGAAGAAAGAACGAATCTACGTTGACATGGTCGATTTTGGAAGGGACTCCAGTCCCCAACTCCAAAACTCGCTAGCCCCAGTCTGGTCCAGTGGGGTGGAGTGGACAGGACAAGGCCAGACGGGCAGGGCCAGGGCAGGGCCGGGCATGGGCATAGCACAGGGCACGAGGAACAGGAGAGGGAGCTGTCGCCCAGGACTCTGGCTCCCCGGCTCTGGGCTGTGGCTCGCCTGGCTTGATGCATGGATGACGGGCTGGCTGTGGGTGGGCTAAGCCTGCTAAGCTAGCTGGCTGGCAGGCCGGTACCTGGGTACGCGGAGCGAGAGAGGTACGGGGGTACGTAGCCCATTAAGCTAATCTGGATGCTGTCGGTAGGGTATTCGTTCACAAGGATTTGCAGGCAATAACCCACTCTGGCAGATCTTACCAAACACTCGACGGTTGCTGAAGCTCGGGGGAGCGACAGGGGTTCTGCCACACCCTCCCGCACAGCAACCCACCTCCCCCCCAAGCCCGTTGCCTGCTTGCCTGTCCAAGTGTGGGTGCCTCATGTGCTGTGAGGTGCCGTCGAAGACCTGTGCCTGGATGAGAAGCAGGACAGACAGCCTGGGATGGATAAAGAGATGGGGAGGATCTGCTGCCAATTGGGCACTGTGGTCGACAGTCGTGGCAGTCATGGCAGTGGGCAGGAGGAGGTGCTGGTCAAGTAACAGCCGATGCATTGTGATGGCCTCTCCCACAGTAAATTTCCGATCCTGCTGGTCTCTCTCCCACAGTACTCGGTACGGTAGTACTCGGCACGATCTCTGGCCTGCTCAGGCAAGCAAGTGCAGGCAGACAGACCATGGGTCATGGTCCTATCGTTTTGCTGCCCGTAGACTGTGGGAACGCATGCATGCACCCCGATGCACGTCCACACATCTGCACCTCCGTGCTGCTTGCTACATTGCAGTGGTAATGGCAGAGCAGCCTGGCAGCCTGGGGCCATCGTCCATCGTCCATTGTGTGCGTTCCCGATTCCTGACTTGTCACAGCAGGCCGCTGACTCTTATTGGGTAGCAAGGGCTGCGAACTAGGGACTCAGGACCAGGTGCTTTGTCCAAGTGTGGACTAGACCACGCACATGAGGCCGGCATCGTCATCAGGCTCGGAAGCAATCAGAAGCTTAACACACATGTTGCCTCTCTGGCCAGGTCCTGGCCTGGGTGTGACCAGCTGCTGTTATCAGCAGGCACACATCCGGCTGATCGCCATCGACTGCAGCAGGCTTGTACGGAGTATTTGTGTGTGTAATCTACTTCAGCAGTCCGTACGTACACACTTCCACATCGTGTTAAGCTCAGGTCGAGGCTGGTGGGACGGAGGCCGAGTGGATGAGTGGCTGGGCTTGTGCCGGACGGCCCAGGCAGGAGGAACATGCGGGAATGCACGGATTGGACCAAAAGGCTGGGGCACGGGTCTGCCTCCTGCTCCGTGGCGTCCTGGGCTCCCCTTGACAATTGGACTTGGACCTGGGCAGTCGGATGAGAAGGCCTGCCGCCGCCTGAGTTTGTCCCTGGGTAGGGGATCTGGGTACCTGGATACCTGGGTACTTGGGTGGGCAGGCTGGCAAGTAGGGTTCGGGTAGGCCAGGGCCAGCGTAGGTTGAGTGTCGGCCGGCCGGCCACATCCTGCGACTGAGTCTGAGCCTGAGTCGGCTGTTTTAGCCTTGGACAAACGATCGCCCAGCTGCTAGTGTGCTGTGCCCTGGCTGTCTGGCTGTCTGGACGTCTGGCTGAGGACATGACAAGCCCCATGTGCTTGTGTGCCCGTCTCTTTTGCCGCCATCCCATCCGATCCCATTCCGCGGGGACTTGCCCTCCAAGGGCTTGGGTGTGGGGGCAGGGGGTGGGTGTAGTAGGAGGGACCTGGCATTCCGGCCAAGCCTCATACTCAAGTACCTCCAGCAGTCCAGCATCAACTGTGCTCTGCGGGCTAGCTGTCAGGCAATCAATGTGCGGGCAAGCTGGGTCATGAGGGCCAGAACAGACCACCACCCAGTTGTTTCTGGTTTGGTTGCAAGGTTGTAAATGGCCCGTCCCCGTCCTGGCCCCATCCGCTCTGTTGGCGGATCCGACATTGACAATGCAAGCAAGCCCGTTTTCTCTGTGCGGGGGTAGACGCTGTTGGGTGGCAACCCCCCGAAAAGTCAAAAAGGATCTCGGCTTCACACACTCCTCGTCATCAGTCCCGCATCTGACGGCCAGGGCAGCGTAGGGCAGGGGGGCCACAGATCACAGATCCGAATCCAGACCACAAAACCCAACAATCCTGACTTGTCGATGAACAGGTGCACTCAGCATTCAGCACTCAGCACTCAGCACTCCACACCACACCACACCACGGCAGCGTCTGCGAGACGCCGTGTCACCACCCCGGCACCGTCATTCGAGAGACATGCTGTGCGCCAACGGTCATGTACTTGCTCCATCGCCTCGTCCCGGCCAGGGCGACCTGCAGTCGGTCATCGGTCCCACAGGAGGCTATCCCCACGGTCGAATATCCCATCGTCAAGCGTCCTACCATATGGCATCCCATACCATCCGCCCTCGAGTGTATCTCCCAGGCCACGCAGGCCATCGTCCTGCATTTCATCATCCACAAGTATGTAGAGTGCTGTACGGAGTACAGATGTGTGGTGGTGGAGGGTGTTCAGTACCCTCCCTCTCGGCGTCTGCATCTGCCCCGTCACGCCCCGTCAGCCGCCAGAGCCCATGCGGGCCCCGACCCAAGATCAGAAACTGTTTGAGCTTCCCTCCCCCCTCGTGTGGCCCTCGACCTTTCCTGGGGCCGCCCCGAAAGGGGTGTGGGCCCCTCGACCAGGGGCACTGCTCGGCAGCCCATACAGGGATCCAGACGAGTTGCTTCCGCGGTCGTGCCACAGGGCTCCGTCAATTTATCGCCGCTGTCTCTGCAGGCTAGCTTCTTTGGGTATGTGTCAGACCCATCCATCAGCCATCTCAGGCCATCGAGCCTTTTTGGACTCGTGGCAGAAATACCAGAAGGAAACGCCTCCGCGCCAGCCACCCGCCAAATCCCCTTCGGCTTCTGGCTGGGGCTAAAACGCTTCACCGTCATTGCTGGCTAGCAGCCATAGCGTGAACTGCATGACTGAAGCCCTCACACCAGCAAAACTGGAGTCCACGGTACCAGAGTATTCTGGTTCCCGGGTCGACATTGGCGTTCTGCTTAACCGTCGCTTGAAGCCACTTCAGTCATGGTCGGTCCAGAACAACTTGAACATCCCTACTTCACCACAAATCCCGACCCGTCCAGAGCTCCCAACTGTAGCTGCCCCTGAGTCTAGACATCACGTTGTCTAACCTCATTGAATACCGGCGAGGGTGTTGACACAACATCAACCCCAATGCACAGACGGCCAATCAAAGCTGGTCACAGTCAAGCCGTTGAATGCCGCGGGGCTTATGTAAGAAGGTTTCGGTAAGCTTTTCCGTAGCAAACCTTTCTTCATTCGCATCTATCGATAAACCACTTCCCGACGTTGAGGTCGTTCGTCACATGTAAATCCGTGGCATTAGTGGACAGATACTCGCGGGCGTCCTCCACGGGAACACAATGTTCACTGGTGAACTCAAATATCTCTGTTCACGCTATATGGTGTAAAATTGTCCATGAATGTGTAAAAATCGGACTACGCAGGAAAGATGAAGTCCAAGCATCTGAGGGTGATGTTCTGGCGCCCTGGCGAGCTTGAACTCGTATACCATGCACATTATGCACAAGGCAGCATGAGGGCCGTAAAAGCTACAAAACACATCGAACTCGTGCAATGGGCATAAGCCAAGGCGGATTCAGCAAGATATGCCACGGCTGACAAACACGCCGAGTCAATGCTTTCTGAAGAAACTGTTGCTAAGATTCCGAGAGATATTTCAAGCACAAAAATCTCGAGCGAAAGCTAACCATGATAACCTGCCTGGCTGCCTGGCCCGGTGCACCTATTTCCTGCCTTGCCACAGCCAAAAACAATTAACAGACCGCTGAAGTCATGGGTGCTTAGTTTAGGCTGTTACTATACACAAGGCGCGGCCGCTACTGTTGTCCGCCTTGAAAGCCAACCTCCATCCTCCGTTATTCTGAGACCATTGTTCGATTATTTTACAGTAAGTACCGTCGGGTGCGCAACCTTAACAGGCGCCTAGATCCTGCTGTCTGACCTCGGCTCTAAATCGGGTATCTGTGAGTGCTTTTGATGTCGAGTTTGAAACGGTATGGGTCCCCCGGACCCAGCTTGAACTATGCCTCGTTCTTGTCCCCATCATCGTGGTCTGGCGTGTAGGCCGTCTCTCCCAGCATGCCGTCGCTCGGCCTTGATGTCATGGCCGTCTGGTTGTTGGACACTGGCTGCTGTACTACTGTGGGGCCTGTCGTAGGCGGAGGATCTGCAGTGACAGCAGGGGGAGGCGGCGCAGGGGATGCAGACCGCCCGCCCGCGCCCGAGGCTCCTCCAGCAGAAGCGCCGGCGGACGGAGAACCTGCAGCGCCTCCCCGCCCGGCGGTGGCGGCGTGTAGTTTTTGGTCCAACGCCCTGAGTGCCAGTGCCCTCCGTCTCTCGGCCTCGGCCCTCGCGCTTCCCGGTGCCGCGTTGCGGTGATTGTATCCGTGGTATCCCCCGGAGGAGCCACCAGCGGCTGAGACCTCTGCCTGCGAGAATGGGGTGCACAGGCGCAGTGCCACGAGGACGTTGAACACCTGGTCACCCAGGGCGGCGACAAGGGGCTTCGCTGGCGCGGGGAAGAACTCGGCGAAGGCGAAGGTCTCGGAGGCGTCGCCGCGGAGCGAGTACGGTGTCTGCGACGAGTCGAGGTCGGGGAAGACGGTCTTGTAGAAGCGCAGGTAGGTCCAGCTCGTGAGGAGACCGAAGACGGCGAGGAGGAAGGAGGCGACGGTCAGGAGGGGCGTCAGGCTAAGGAGCAGGACCAGGCCGAGGTAGACGAGGGGGAAGCGGGGCACACGAAGGGAGAGAATGCCCCTGAAGAGAGTGACGGTGTGCGCGGGGACGAGCTGGCTGAAGGCGACGAGGAAGCTGATCTGGAGAGGGATGGTGCCGGCGATTGTGGTCAGCCTGGGATGAAAGGAGACACGGTCAGTTGGCGATTTCACACGAGAGTAACTGGGAAGGGGGCTCCGGAACATACGTCCAGCTCTCGTTACGAGTGACGGTGAACATGGTCACCATGACACCAAAACACAAGGTATTGGGTATCAGTGCGGTGACGAGGAGGAATTTGGCAAACTCCTTGGACGACCAGGCCCTTTCGAGGTACCGCCCCCCGTGGTAGAGGGTGACGGCGGCTATGGCCAGGGTAAAGACATTGCTCTCGACGAGGGTGGTTGTCAGGAAGGTCCAGGGGTATATCAGAGACAGCTGTGGGATGAGGTTGAGGTAGGGGATGACGATCTCCGAGTTGGCAGTCCACTGCTTGTAACGGATGGCGGCACTCAGGATGCTCTGCAGACCGAGGGTGATGAGCAGGATGCGCGTGACTGGGGGTATGTTTATTCTGGGAGGCATCGCGGCGGTTCTGGCTGGGGGGGAGGGGCGCGGGCGCGGGTGCAGGTTGAGGATGGGCGCGCCTTGAGGGCTGAAGCAGCTCCGGGTGAAGCTCTCTGGGCCCGACGGTAATCGGTCACGATGCTGGCTGGCTGGCATTCGGCAGCGTGTCAAGGGCCACATGAGGCAGGTGCAAAACGCCCAGGGGTGACCCACGCACGGATCCCTAGCTGATCTGTGCCTTCTGGAATGGACCCTGAGATTCCAGCCTTATCATTATCGCACGCAACCCGGTGCTCCGGAGGCTGCGAAGCCAAGCAAGCACCCACGCACGCATCAGCGTACGCAGTTGTGCACTTAAGTACCTACGGGGCCGGAAGGTCGCTACGGATGCCGAGCTAATAAACGTTATGCACCCTCAACCACGGATGCTTGCTATTGACGGTACTGAGTGCGGAGTATGGAAGTAGAAGACTGGTTGTGCACTCTATGTAAAGGTGGATACTTGGCGACAAGGGTTGCGGGCTGGGGGCAAGGCTCAGGTGCGCCTGTCGCCCGTGTCCCCCATCATGACGCCCTTTACACGAGACCGACCTCCGCAGTACCGATCGATGTTGCACTGAGACCGACAGGCATGCGCCGGCCTAGGATGGGTTGGGCAAGCCACGCCTGCACGCCTGCAGGATGCGTGTAGGTGGCTGATGAGCCGATGTGCCGGTGTGCTGATGCGGTACGTACTCGATCTAGAGGCTTGCCCTTGAAACATGCCTGTCGGGCATTTTCCCCCAGCCAGCCAGCCAGCCCAGGACAAACGTGTGCCAATGAGATGAGGCCAATCAGCAGCTTGCCGCTGCAGATCTACACAGTAACTTCCCGACCCCATCCCCGTCCATGCGAAGATGCTCTCAAGTGTAACGACCGACGCCGTCCACTGGATGGGCCACTAATAAGTCTTGTTCAGCACATCCGAGCAGGTTCTAGTGGCAGAGTACTTAAGTAGAGTACGTTATGGGGTTCCCGGACACCCCTAGTACCCGGACAGCTGCCGGATTGATGAATGAGCTTTCTCGCATTTGTTGATATTGTTAGTGATTATGATGTTTGATTGGTCTGTCCGGTTACTAGGGGTGTCCGGGAACCCCATAACGTACTCTACTCTGCGCATTCCGGTATCTGCCGGTTGACTCGTCCTGTTACTTGCACGCTAGATGGTTCAACAAAGACGTCGCTTCAAAAGTCCGCCGCACTAAACATTTTGTGAATTACATATAGTTTGGTGTCGAATTCGAAAACTATCACATCGCCTGCCGCCAGGACGTGGACCATCCGGGTGCCAGCAATAACAAGCGTACTTTTACGCCAGGAAACCCGCAGACAGTGAGCTGGAGCCCGTTTACCCTCGCACAGATGATGACCCGTCTTCACAGGCTCCATGGACATACAAGGGCTTTGATTCGCACAGCAAGTTGCTTTTCAGGATCATTTCGTGTTGACGCCACTCACTTCTTTGCGTCTTGTAAATCATTCTGGAAATGAAGATCTTTGAAGTCGCCGACTGTCACCTCAGCAAGACTCAATGCTGACGAAGAATGATCTGTTATCGCGGGCATGCTGGCCGCAGCTGCAGTTATGAAGATGCCCCAGCTTGAGACAATATGGAACGGACACTCGAAATCAGCAGCACTTTCAGGTACCAAGCAAACAGGGGCTAAACAAATGCTGCTGTCAAATGGAGCAGCACAGGGGAAATGCCCATAGAAACTCCGATAGTGAACGCCTGGACAGCTGTAGTATATAGGCACGGTGCATGCGAGTTTTACCTCTACAAGGAATTTCTCGTCGTCCAGGATGAGGTCAAGTTGTAGAGTGATACCACCCACTATTTACCACCTTCGCAAACGGTTATTCACCCCATATCACTAGACCGAATTCAGCAAGAACAAGAGGTCCGCGACACGATGACGAGATTGCGAAGCAGCATGCCAATTTGTGGCATGGCCGAGCTGGAAAATTGTGCTGACCCAAACGACAGCGAAATTCAGGAGCTGGTGGCAAGAGCTCGGGTAGTACGCTCGAATGTATGGCGATTCCAGGAGGAAAATGGTACTAGTTGAGGCAACAGGGTCACGCATGTCTCGAGTATAGCCCAAATAGGTTTATTAGGTACGCAGTCATCGCGTAGTGTGCCACCTGAGCAGTGCTCGCTCCCTAAACTCTGATGGGAGCATCGCCACCAATGACAAGCCCGCAAGTTCTAATCTCATCGCCTCCTCCCTCTCAGGTACAGTCGTTTCGAGGGCCTCTTCCAGAATAGACTATTCTGGCTTGTGGTTGCCATCAATCAGAGGAAGCATTGCCACCTGGGAACCATGAAAAGTCTAGTTGATGAATGTGTTGTGTGGCGCAGTTATGAGACTATCCCCCGTTCAAGAATCTCCAATGCGATACTCAGATGGAGGTTGAGTGGGTAGGCTATATGAGCGCGATAAGTGAAGTACCACTTTCTTTCTTTTGCGTCTTTTTGTCGTGTGGCTCGATTGGTGTCGTGTTCCAAGGTTACCGGGTCTCAGGCGGCGGTAGTCAGGCTTTCCGAACTGCTTGGACGTTCACTTTCCGCCAACTGTAGTCTCTAGCCTTCGTCCGTATTAGGCCCCTCGCTGGTGATTCTGTCTCTCGGTCCTGGGACCCGTGGTATCAGCCAGAGGGCAGGGCAACTATATGGGGCTCCTTAATTATGTTTCCGATTGTTTTTTTCTGGATGTGGTGGCCGTGTTACTGTCATCCTGTCTGTAATGGTAACGGAGAGACTAGCGTAAAGTGGCTGGACCGGATCTTTTCCACGCACATTGATTTGAACTTAGGCTCCAGGCTGCCATAGTGGATTCATCGAGTTCTAACGATAGGTAGAGAGATGTCATTGTTATTATATATGCTTTCCCTTTCCGTTCTGTCGTCCCATTTTCACCACCACGGTACTGGATTTACAATTGTGAACAATATGAAACTTTGGCCGTTGCGTGAGCAAGCCGGGACAGGTATAACGCAATTCCCCAACCTCATAAACACAGATACCACTGAAGGAAAGGTGATGTTGACCAACAGCGAGCACCACCGACATAGAGCAGACATAGCAACTTGAATGTTGACAAAAGGACTTGTTGCACGAAGGACTGGTTTCGACTTGTACCACAGAGCCTAGATCGGATCGGATCGGTTACCATGGGGACAAGCCAGACATGATACCTCTACTCCGTCTTTGGCCCACCGTTTTGCATCAAACCCGTGGGTGACGTGTTGTTCTTGTGATCACCCGCAGTGGACCCCGGGCCAGATGCAGGATGGATGTTCTTCTTGTCATCCTCACCATCGTCGTCATACTCCTCATCAATGTCCATCTTCCTGGCCGCCCGTTCTGGCTCATGGTTTTGGGGAGGGGGCGGTGGTGGCCCTTGCATGGGGGGCAGCTGACTCGGCATATTGTGAGCAGGCGGGTGATGTGCGGCTTCCGAGGGGTGATAGCCATGGGGACGCTGCTCATCGACACGTCTGTGCTCCGATGACTCACGGCGGTAGGACTCAGCTCGAGCCGGTGTGGAAGGGCGTGGCTTCTTCGAGGCTGCCTCGTCCTCCCACTCACGAAGACGCTTCGGGCCGACGGATGGAGGCCGGTTGTCATGTTCGTTACGATGGAGAGCGGCCTCCGCAGCAGCGGCTGCAGCAGACTGAGGAGGTGGGGCCCCGGACTCCATGTTGCTGGGCCCAGAGGGGTCTTGCTGAGGGTAAGGCGGCTGGTGCTGCGGATAAGCCGACTTTGGCGAGGGCATGCGGTTCTCGTGCATTGGGCGCAGCTCAGGCCTGGGGCTGTTGTTGCGGTACTGCATCAGAGGCGTTGGTCCCGGAGGCGGTACATTTACACCGTTGGTGGGAGGGGGAGGAGGTCCAGCCGGTGCGGGCGCAGGGGATGGGCCGCTGTAGTTTGGATTAGCAACGCGAGGTGGTGGTTGCGAGGCTGGTGGCAGGGGTTGCTGCTGAGGTGGTGGCGGTGGAGGGTAGTGCAATGGAGGCGGTGTTCGTCCTCTCATCATCGGACCTCCAGGCCCTGCTGGACCGCCTTGCCGCGCGGGATCCTGATATTGTCTCATTTGCTGCTCTTGGCGAGGGCTAGGCTGACGAGGAAAAGATGGCGGGGCTGGTCCCCTAAGAGGCTCACCGCGCTGCTCATAAGGATTTGGCGGTTGCGGAGGCGGGTTCACTTCCGAAAGACGCGCCCAGTTGCCTGCTGGCCCGGGAGGAGGACCTGGCGGGGGTTGGGTTTGATGGGGGCCGGGTCCAGAGTTTGACCACTGAGGACCTGGGGGTCCGATGGCTCCCTGTTGCTGGTATGCCTGAGGGTGGACATCAGTTGGCATGGGAGCTGCACCGGCACCGTTGGTCTGGCCGTTGCGGAGCAGTTGCAGCCGAGCCTTGATGTGCGGGTTGGACGGATCCAACTCCGCAGCTCTCTGATAAGCATCCAGTGCATCATTGATCTGGTTGTTGCAGCTCTCATACTGGGAAGGCTGTCAGCAATGTGTGGATAAAGATTGATGGGATTTATTGCGACTTACCAAGGTGCCTAGGTCATACCAGACCTCAGAGATGAATGGGTTCAATCGGATGGCTCTGCTGTAGGCATCCAAGGCGTCTCTGTACTGGTTGATCTGGTAGTACAAGACACCGATGGAGCACCAGAACGTTGGGTTGCGACCGTCCCTGTAGACGGCTTGCTGGTAGGCCTCATATGCCTTGGGATACTTCTGCTGCGACATGTAGCATCGACCAAGCAAGTACCAGCTCTGAGCATCGCTGTTGTCTTTTACGCACAAAGTTAGCACGTTGCAGTTGTGACCCAGAGGGGCGGCGGCGGCTTACCGGCAGCAACGGACTTCTCCAGAAACTCGATGGCCTTTTCCTGGCTAGAGAAGTTGTTGCTCTGTTGGTGGTGCAGCCAGCCTAACTGTTGCAGGACCTTGGCGTGGTTCGGGTCTCTATCTAGCACACGCTGATATGCGCTTTTGGCACCATCAAAGTCCTTCTGCTGCTCATGGACGTGACCAATCTGGAACCAGATATCTTCCTCGGTCAACGGTGGCGGGGGCGAGCTGACAATATACTTGAAGCACTGGAAGTGTGTCAGCAAAGGCACATGGACAGGTATTGTCGGAGGTCCTACACACCTCAAGACTCTGATTGTACTTTTGCTGCTGCTTATATATTATACCGAGTCTGAAGTATATCTCGTTGGCCTTCTCAAATGTGGGCTCCATCTGCATTACTTGGGAGAAAGCTTCCTCGGCGTGGTCCAGGGATCCGTAGCGGTCGTACAAGATTCCAATTCCGTACCACAGCTTCGGTTCCTGCGAGACTGGAGTCAGAGGGTTGTCGACAGAGCTGGCAGCCTGGTGTTTACCGACCTTTGGGTTGCGCAGGTTAATCAGGGCGTTTTGGTACGCCGCATAAGCCTGCTGCAGATCGTCCATCATAAGGTAGCAGTGTCCTGCGCACATTTTGTCAACTAACTGCACGGTCGCGCCGGAACATTGATATAGCTTCTTCTTTTTCTGGTGGGGCGCGGGGCATAACTGACCAAGGCTTCCCCATGCTTCTCCGTTGGCTGCGTCGAGCTTGAGAATCTGGTTGAGATATTCTATGGCCTTTGGGAAGTCCTCGCGAGTCCTCAAAATGGCGCTGATTGAGTTCATGGCCTGGGTGGAGCCAGGACTTGCGCGGATGGCCTGCTCATAGGCGAACAAGGCGTCCTCGACATTACCCAGTATCTCGGACAAGCTGCCTGTAAGGGGCATCAGCTATCTGCACAATAGCTGGCAAGATAGGGCACGTGTCTGCGGGTGCCGCCGGCGCAACCCACGGGTGAGGTTTGCGCCGGCGCTTCCAGGGACCAGGGTGCGGTAGGTGTCCTTTGGACAGCTGTGATTCACACAAGGCAGACATACCTATTTGCATCCAGACGGCCTCATTCATGGCAAGGATCTGTCGCGACGGTGCCCAGGCGCCCTGAGGCGGAGGCGGAGGTGGAGCGCCGACCGCATGATGCAGAGGCATCGACGGCGACTGGTGGTGTGCCGGGGCAGCCATCAGGGTGGAAGATGATTGGGCTGGCTGGGGGTTGGGGAGAGGCAATGATGCCGATGACAATATTTTTGTGACGAGAGTCTGTGTGCTATTGAGGTGTTGGGGGGGGGGTCAAGGTTATGGGATGGATGAGGCCGAGAGATAATTACGAAATCAAGCAGCGGCTGCAACCAAGTGAGTGTCCACTGCAACGGTCAACAGCTTGCCTCATTGAAAGGGTAGAGGTAAGAGGGCAAGCCGGTGTGGAGGGACACGATTGAACAGACGAGGAGCCGGGTGAGGCAGAGGCTGGTTGGGTACGGCGGGCTGCGCGAGACGGCGAGGAAAGAAGGGAAGAGTGGAAGGTTGAAGCGGCTCCCTGGATCGGTGGGCGGGAGGAGAAAAACCAACGGGGGAGATGGGAGCAGATGAGAACGCAGCTCTGGCAAACTCCCCTTACCCACGGATTGGGGGACGGCCGGGGGGTGTGGGTAGCTGCTAGCCGTGGAAACAAATGAAGGAATCCTGACCAGACAGCTAGACAAGAGCCAGGCCAGGGCTACCCACACGCGAACCGAACACTCCAGCACCGGGTGCGTGGGTACGTACCCTGTGGGCCCTGCGGGCCCTGCCAGCCAGCCAGCCAGCCCGCATCCTCACCTCCAGTGCTCGGGTCAGGGGTTGGCTGCAGCAGCCGGCAGCTGGCAGGGTGACGACGTGCTGCAGCAGAGGGGGCGTGTCGGCCTGGTCTCGGTACAAGGGCCCAGCTTCGGGCCATCTGCGAGAAGTCCACGCTACCTGACATTGGGCCCCATGAGGGTGTGGGGAGGAGCTGGGTATGCTTACGGGGGTACGGGGGGTACGGGAGTACGGGAGTACGAGGGTACAAGACTACACCACATGCCTCACCACCGCCTGCGCACCCTGCACACCCTGCACACCCAGGCCCAGACCCGCTCGCCTGCAGCCCGCAGCCCAAAGCCACCCACCCCTCCTGCCCTCCCACCCCACCTCTGCAAAGAAAAGGCGGGTCGCCCAAGACAAGCCTCTGCCCTCTTCGTTTTTTTTGGGATCGTGGCTGCCCCAGGAAAGGGTGGGTGGTGGCCCTGGGCTGCCTGGGCTGGGACGGGGGACGGGAGTCCCCCTTCTGTTACGTAGGTCCCCCCCCCTCGACTGGCCCAAAGGCCAAGGGAAGGGTGTCACTGCCGCACGACCATGTTCGGGATTCTTGGGACCTGCCACAAAAGGGGAACGGGACGTGCGGCTTCTCCGCACAGGCCTTACAAACCCAGGCAGTAGTGTCGAACTGATTATTAGTCTCATTGCCTGCTTATTATCATGTATTGCTGCTTGCCAGGCATGCATGCGATGCTCTCCTGCTGTGCGTCACCTGATGCGAGCACAGGAGGTATGACAGCATGGGGGAAAAAGAAAAAGAAAAAGAAAAGCAAAGAAGAAAAGAAAAGAAATCAGAAAAGCAAGAAGCGTTGTCGTCGTCGGTGCTGCGTATTGCGCGCCAATGCCCTTGGATAAATACCCTTACCGGCGTTGGGACGATCCCTTTGTCTGTAGCGTGCCCAGCCAAGATGGGTGCGTAAGTCCGCTACTACAACGACACACTAGTGCTACCGCTCTGCCAGCGAATCCTCCATGACGCCCGTCCAGCCATATTCTTCCTTTCCGACCCGGGGACGAAGCCGCATGGCGCCAGATCTACAGCAGGAAGGCCTCGACCCGCACGCCGCCAGCCATGCTGCCATGACCGCCCCAAGACTGATTCAGATGGTATTTTTTGTCTAGGGCGTGCCTCCGTCCTGAACTGGCGATAGCATCACTTTCTTGCTTACCTCGGCCTTTGCATCAACTAGTGCCTCCCACGTTGAGCACCGACAATTTCGTCGGCTTTGTGACGAATAAATCGGTAGTCATGCCTGACACATCACGCCGTCGCTGCCCTCTTTCGCCGCCTGCCAGAGAGTTTATGAATCGTAGCGCGGGAGGAGAGGAGAGACTGCGGGCGAGCGAGCGAGTGCTGATGGGAGCGCTGCTGGTGCCCGTGAAACAGAAGCAGCAGTCGTGATTCTTCAGCTGGACTGCTAGCTCACGCCCCACCCCAAACGCCTCGTTCCCGTAATGCCGCAGTGAGGGCGTCGAGGGCGTGTTGACCAGCACGAGGAAGGGCCGAAGGGGTCAGTGTGGCCTGGCCGGTGTGGAAATGCTTTCTATCCAGTGTGTGATGTCGACTCGTAAGCGGGGTTTGGGCGGTAAGAAAGGGCCAGATGTTTGTTTCATCCCAATTCTGGCTGATGGCTGTTGCATCCGAATGATGGGTTTGATGGGCGATGAGGCAGCGCAGATTCGCACCCGCGCCGTCATGCTCCTGCAGGCTGGGCTGCAGCCCCAGGTAAGCTCCTCAACTGCTCGTGCCCCTCCCCCTGCCCGCGCGCCCGCGCCCGCGCTGCCGGTGCCTGTGCTGTGCAGTGTGCAGCAGCAGCAGCAGCAGCAGCAAGCAGCAGGGCATTGCCAGGTTTCCATCAACCCGGCCGTGAGATTGGGTTAGGGTTTGGCACATCAATGTTCTGATGTGATGGTGGGGATTGGGTGGTGGGCAGGGGGGAGGCATGTTGGATGGGGACAAATCTAAACTGATTTCCGAGGCTGGCAGGCTGGCGTGCACAGAAGGTGTGTGGGGCGTGGGCAGACTGGGCGGCTGGTGATGACAGGGCCCTGACAGGTCCACCACGGTCGACTCGTGCATCATGCAGGGTTGGCTGAAGCTTCATGGGGCCGGATGTACCGAGTACAGGTCGGGACCCCTTCCATCTGAACATTGCGGTACCGCGACACCCCTTCCCACCACGCCCCTCCCAGAAACGGGGGTGCCTCCGCGGCACGCCATGACGCCTTCTGCTTAGCTGCAGATGCTGGGGCCGCAGGGAATGGCAATCGTTCTTTCTGTTCGGCGCCAGGCTCCTGCAGCCCCCCCGTGCGTCAGAACGGATGCTGGGCCCGCCCGAACATAAAACGGGTAATAAGACTCAAGACACAGGACGGTCCGTATGTACGGAGTAGTGTACGTTGTGTTGTATGCCTGCCCACGGTACGTATCCAGCCCACCTATGCTCCCCTCTCCTAGGCAGGCCAGGGCCCCCCACCCAAAGTCAAGCCAAAAAAAAAAGTCCGCCCCAGCGAGTCTATAGCCCGCCCATTCCTGACGCCCTGGCGAACTGCCTGCGACCGCTCACGCCGTATTACCGCAGGCATTGTGGTGATTCAGGATGGATGTTTTGGGGGAGGCTTTTTATTACATTACTCGCGAACCACGCGCTGGCCCACCCCCCTCCCCTCCCCTCCCTCCCCTCCCGAGAACAGCCTAACCCGGTTCGTCTCGGAAATATTCCTCATGGGTTGTCCTGGTCGGAAAACGGCTCTACACCAGCAGTCAGTACTGTGCAAGAACCAAAAAGAATAAAGGACACGATGGATAGAAGAGCGCGGTGTGGCCCTGGCATGCCCCCAGTACCTAACAGTATGTACCTGCCTACCTAGGGAGGCACGTGTGTACCTAGGTAGGCAGGTTGGTAGATACCTAGGCACCTAGGTATGCCGCATCCCTTCCTTCTGCCCCAGGCGGTCGGTTCCGTTGTAGGCGCCGGCCAGCCCACTCCCAGAACCACCTGGGTAATAAGCCTCCAGCCCCAGATCCTCTGTCGCAAGAGCCAGCCGACCGAGCATCTCGCCAGCCCGCCGCGCGCCTTGGCCATCTCATTTGACCATTCCAACACACTCCAAAACGCATCTTGGCCCCTTCAGGCCCTTCAGGGCTTGGCCCAGAGGCGTCCCAGCATGCCGGCCAGCGACCCCCTTGACCCGTGCGAGGCTGACCTCGGCAAGCTTTAATAGCAACAAAACATTATTTGACCGTGCCCCCGTCCCGCCCCAGCCCGACCCGGGGCCGCACATCGAGGTGTGTGGATCAGGCACAGTACGGCCAGGTAGATCTGCACCGCAGCCTGCTAAAATTCAATCAAGTTTTGTCGTCACAGGGCCGCTCGTAAAATGCGCGGCCGCATTTCCCTCTGCTCCACGGTGCCTCCACCAGTCCACACGACCTGAGGATCTGCAGCGCAGCAGCCTGGAGGCGAAGGACGAGGTTGCACTAGTGACGGAGGGAGTGGACATAAGCTCATCGTTTCGTCGGCGGAGCTTATTGGCGACGACCCTGCATCTCCGGACGCAGGACGAACGGTTTTGCGGGTCCCGCAAGAACTTTCGAAACCCGCTGCTGGGTGTCGGCCTCGGCAGTGCGGTAAAGGCGCCTACTAGCTCGCGAGCCCGCCGGCCCAGCGCAGGGTGGCAGGGTGGTTGGTGTGTAAGGATCAGTCGATTGTTTCCAAGGGAAAAAGGACACTTCCGCCTGTTCGCCCGCGCCCACGCCCAGCTGGCAGACTGGCAGGTTATGCCATGGCGTGTGCCAGCTACAGCCAACGTACAGTAGCGGCCTGCGGTTGAGCAGCTTGTCAGACATGCGAAGCACCAGTCAATGATGCGATGGAAACCCAATACGGACAACAACTATATTTGATGCATTGGCAAAGAAATGCTCCCGCTCTTCCAAAACGCGTGCGATGTGCGCTCGAGGCAGGGCATCGCTGTCGGCCCAAGTCATGCCCAGCATTTCGAAGAAAAGAAAAAAAAGGGGCCGATGCAGCAACCAACCGAACAGCGGTCGGGCAGTCCCTTGCGTCAAACCATGCTTGCCCGCTGGGTGCCATTTTGCGGTTTTGGGTTTGGCCTTGCGGAAGTCAAGTCGGTGATGGCTGTGCGCACAGCTGTCGTCGTTTGTGCCTGACTGCGGCAGATGACATGTGTGATTCCGAGAACCATCAGGCGAGGCAGATCAATCGTCGCCTCGATGCCACAGAGTTTAAGCACCTTGTTGCGTCACAATCTGACAGGATAAGAAGGCGTTGCACATGGCGACGCAGCAAGGCACTCAGTGCAGACCGAATTGTCGAGTTCTGCATTGCCGAACCCAGCCTTATAATAGGAACAACTCCGGGGCTATTGATGGCCGGAATCGGGGTAAAAGGGGCCGTGTGCAATCGCAATTCAGTTAAGGTGTCATCGTCTTCAGCGGTTCGTGACAATCCGCAGGGGATTCCCACGTGGATCTTGCGGAACTCCCACCATCGGCTCGTTCCTTATTTCTTTTTTGGCCTTCGGCCCAGCCACAGACAGAGCGAACGGACGGCCGGAGGTGGCCCTGCTCGCACGGGCTAGAGCACCTGGAGACAAAGATGCTTTGCTCCCGTCCTCGTAAAGTAAACCAAGATTCGGGCCCGTCGAGATTTTGTCCGTGTGCAACGATCCATTCTGTTTCAAAGCGCCGACTCGAAATCGTGAAGGGGGGGGGGGCGTGTGGGCTGCACGCGGGCAGTTTCCTGCTGATATCCCACATGCCCCGTGATAGCCAAAGGCAACTAACTGATCCCTGGTGGCGATGACGGGACGAGTGTGAGATGATCTACGGTTTCACTTCGGGCGCAGAGCGGGGACCCGTTCGATCGGCTGCTTCTGTGCGTCTTTCCATCGATTTTGATGATAGGCCCTCCCTAGCCTATCATGCAGGCAGGAGAGAGTATGAGAGAAAAGAGAGAGAAGAAAGACTTGCTTTATGGCATTGCCTGTCACGGTGTAAGAGCTCCTTCTTGAGTCATTCTGCCAAACATCTCTAAACATATGAACCTTCAGGCTCGCATCTGCCGCCCGCTGCGCGGCAAGACAATCGCACACACGGCTACATCCCGGAACCAGATCAAAGGATCGCTGGGCTGGGCTTGGCTCGGCCTCAAGAGTTTAGCCGCACGCCTTCACGACCTCGACGCCGTGCATGGTGTGGTAAGCTGTGGTCGGCCCGGGATTCTGGGTGACAACAGGCAAGGGCAGGTGATTGGCGTGATGATCCATTGGTGGGTTTAATGCACCCCAGGAGTCCAGGACAGTGTTAGATGCCTCGATTCGCAGCGACTCCTGTGGGTGGGTGACATGACTTGATGACAGACCCATGTAAGTAGTCATGACCGATGCGCAACATTCTATATATGGCAAGTAAGTAATCAGATGTGTGCTGAGTGGGAGAACTGGTTCAACAGCCACCAAGCTGCGCCTGGAAGGATCGCCCGGACATTGTGGGCGCCCGGGACATCAAGAGCAGGAAGTAGTAGTAGTATCTGGGTGACTAGCAGAAGCCGCCGGGAAATGCAAGGGTAGGCCACAGGTACAGCAGCCTCTGCGACTTGCTGCATATGCCATGCGGGTGGTAGTCGATGCGGCGGAATCGAGCTCGTCCTCCCCCTCGCTGCCCCGGGGTGCTCATGGGGGGCAGGGCACAAGCAGTATGGATTGCTTTGTCGGCCCCTCGCCAGCCTCTGCATGCACCGTTGTCTACTCTGCCATGGGATGACGCCCCAGAGTCGGCCTTTTCAAGGGTCATGAGTTAGTTAATGGGGAGGGGGAGTATAGGATGGCCGGGAGTCTGGCGTTTGGTACGTTTGAGAGTGGTAGTGGGTGGGTGGGACAAACCTCGGGGAGGAGTCTAGGGCGTTGATGCACCCACCCTGTCGACGGCCGTGATCGCCTCGCCCGTCTCGTCCTAGTGCTGTGCCGCGGCAATCTGCACCCTGTGATTGAGGTGCATCATGCCGCATCGCTTGGCCGTGGCCAGCCGTGAGTATTGCATTGTGCACGAACTGCGGAGGCAACTGACGACGGCTTAGACCGTGGGTGGCTATCATTTCCGCAGCAGCAGCAGCAGCAGCAGCAGCAGCAGCAGCGGCAGTGGCAGGCAGGCCTGATTTTTTGGTTTGCTTTTTCTGGGGCTCGACTTGCCTTTTGCAAAACGGCTGCGGTGTCTCTGCCCTCGCAGTCCCGCGTGAATAGAGTCCCAGAGGCGCTAGCCCCCTTCACGCACGACATGCATGTAACACGTCTCTCGTGCCGCCCACATCAATTTCAGGATTGGTAGGCATGGCTGGGACCTTGTCTTCTGTCATCGTTACGGACCAGGCCCTGTCCCAGCTTCCCGAGGCTCGCGGTGGTATCCCCGTCAGCACCGGATCTGGAGTGAGCAGCAGCCTGTCGATCCAACGCCGCTCATAATCAGATTGTATGTAATAGAGCCAGATTGCAACAACCCCTACAAAAGCCTCCTGCCGAGGTGCGACAGCGTCCTGCCCGATACCTGGCGGACTTTGGAACCTGTTCAAGGCATCGCCTTGAGCATGCTCGACCGCAGCGTGGCCAATTATGCGCGCATGTTTAGTCAGTGTAGTGCTCCATCACATAGAGCACCTAGGTAGTAGCAACTTTTGCCGTGTCACTTGGCCTACTTAAGTAGTTGTGGCCCGCATGTCTGAATACTCACCTTCGGCTGGGCATGCGATGCGAGTACCTGGTGTAAGGTTACCCAGCTTGACAAGCAGGGGAACAGTGCAACAACGGATGCGGAGCTTGCTTATTAGTCGCCAGGCTGAAGGGGCCCGATTTGCGAGAGCCAATCTCCATCGCTACCAGGGAACGGCCAAGCTGGGCAGCAGAAGTCACGAGATGCCGAGCCTCGTGGTCAATGTGTTCTGTGTGTGTACTGTTATGTTCACCACACTGCACAGGACATGGATCGGCAGCGCGTCAACTGGTCACAGTTGCCGTCACCCTCAAACAAGACAGGGGGGCCCAACGCCCGTCGATTCGAACATCTTGGGACCGGCAGCTGTCGAGGTGGCATGGTTCCAGACTGCGACCGAGTCGAGCAGATGCGCTGGTCCATCCGATGTCCAATGAAGGCCGGAGGCCACGGCAATGTCACCAACTATGTGCCCGTCCGATGCCGTTACTCTGATCAGGCTTGTGGAATGTGTGCACCGCACTGAGACACAGATTGCATGTGTAGCGTGGCCCATGTCTGAGGTCGACGCATGCTACCCAGCACAGAACACGGCTGATCCGCGAGGTGTCAAGCTGGGCGACAGAGGCACACGCAAACTCTCCGTCGGCAATCCTGGTGGCCATGACGGCTGCCGTGTTGCGCGCTCCTCACCTGGCCCATCGAAGAAGCTCCTTGCAATCCACAAGGTGGGGGCTGCGGAGGCTTGCGGGTGCTAGGTGCTGGGTGCTGGGTGCTAGGTGCCAGGTGCCTTGCCTGCCTGGCTTCTATGTAGTACTCTATACTCCTCAACCAAGCAGCCCGTTCCAAACCTTATTAGCATGTCGGCTTCCCGAGGAACCACCGGGCCGCACCACTGTGCTTGCAGTTCGCCAGTACCTAGCGGAAACAGGATCCCGGCCGCTACACAACCCTTGGAACTCACTCCCACTTAGTTCTAACTCACATGGCCTAATATACATCCGCACCAAGTCAACTACCTACTCCGTACCTGGGATTCGGCGGGCGGGAGCCCACCCTAGCAGAAGATTGTGTATACTATGTACATGAAACCAAGCCATAAAAGGGCAAAGGAGCCTTGGACTGGCTGCAAGGCTGGATAAGGCTGGATGACTGCTTGTGGCTGCCCCTCCCACGTGTTGACGGCAGATAACTGCACTCCAGCAGTTGAATACGTCCCAAGATTCAGATGATATGTTATGCATCTATTACGGTGACCAGGCAGTAGGGTCTGCCTAAGTCTGTTATAGGCTTCATTAATTCAGGTATTCTGACTGAGGAAAGACTGAGACCGTAATAGCCCGACAGAAACAAGGTCAACATGAAGTTCGGTATGCCGTATGTGAAAGCAAAACCCAGCAGTTGGAATATTCCATGCTAGAATGGAATGAGGTCCATCCCGGGAGTCCGGCAGCCTTTGGGGGCGCTGTAGTTGCTGTAGTCGCTGAAACGGTACCCGGTAGTCCTGGTTTGGGGTGGAGCTGGCCTACCAGCTGGTCACAGCTGTCTCGCGTCTGGCAGACTCACGTGATCTCGGCTCCACAGATCCCACCAACGGCAAACTCCCAGGGCAAACTTTTTGCAGTGCGGCCGGCCTCGACTTGCGAACTTCTTGACCCAACCCATCAACCGCCTACCCATCCTCCACGACAACCTCGCGACAAAGAGCTCAAGTCAGCCAACATGTCGCACCGTAAGTTCGAGGCTCCTCGTCATGGCTCTCTGGCCTACCTGCCCCGCAAGAGGGCCGCCAGGCACCGAGGAAAGGTCAAGTCGTAAGTTCTCGCCAAACACCCCCGATGCACCTACAATTGATGGGCCGACGGGCTCTTTTTATGGCCTGGGTGTGAGGGCGGCTGCTGACCTGGCTTGCCTACCGATAGCTTCCCCAAGGACGACCCCAAGAAGCCCGTCCACCTGACCGCCACCATGGGCTACAAGGCTGGTATGACCACCATTGTCCGCGACCTCGACCGACCTGGCGCGAAGTCCCACAAGAAGGAAGTTGTTGAGGCCGTCACCATTGTTGACACGCCACCTGTACGAACAATGCAGCCCGCTTGGCAATTGAGCCAATGGCTAACATCTTTCACAGATGATCGTTGTTGGTCTGGTTGGCTACATCGAAACCCCCCGTGGCCTGCGTTCGCTCACTACCGTCTGGGCTGAGCACTTGAGCGACGAGATCAAGCGCCGATTCTACAAGAACTGGTACAAGAGCAAGAAGAAGGCCTTCACCAAGTACGCCAAGAAGCACTCCGACAACGCCTCCTCCTTCACCCGCGAGCTCGAGCGCATCAAGAAGTACTGCACCGTCGTCCGTGTCCTGGCCCACACCCAGATCCGCAAGACTCCCCTCAAGCAGAAGAAGGCCCACCTCATGGAGATCCAGATCAACGGTGGCTCCGTCGCCGACAAGGTCGAGTTCGGCCACGGTCTGTTCGAGAAGCCCGTCTCTGTCGACTCCATCTTCGAGCAGGACGAGATGATCGACGTGATCGCTGTCACCAAGGGTCACGGCTTCAACGGTGTCACTTCCCGTTGGGGCACCAAGAAGCTGCCGCGTAAGACACACAAGGGTCTCCGCAAGGTCGCTTGTATCGGTGCCTGGCACCCGTCCCACGTCCAGTGGACTGTTGCCCGTGCTGGTCAGAAGGGTTACCACCACCGTACCTCGGTCAACCACAAGGTCTACCGTATTGGCAAGGGCGATGCCGATAACAACGCCTCTACTGACATCGATGTCACCAAGAAGACCATCACTCCGTAAGCCGACCTCCCTGTCCCCCGTGAGCCTCGTCCATAAATAAGCCAAAACGTGCTGACATGTCGAAACAGTCTGGGTGGCTTCGTCCGCTACGGTGAGGTCAAGAACGACTTTGTCATGGTCAAGGGCTCCATCCCTGGTGTGAAGAAGCGTGTCATGACTCTCCGCAAGTCCATGTTCACCCACACCTCAAGGAAGGCTCTGGAGAAGGTCGAGCTCAAGTGGATCGACACCTCGTCCGAGTTCGGACACGGTGCTTTCCAGACCCCCGCCGAGAAGAAGCAGTACCAGGGTCTCCTCAAGAAGGATGTCGCCTCCGCTTAAGATTCTGCTACTTCTCTCTCACGGCGTGGTGTCACGGCTTTCTCTTTGCTGCATGATGGATGGGTTGGTTAATGGGTACCGGGGCTCAGTCAGAGCCCGTTAGGGGCCAAAGTCCCAGAAGGTTCACGATGAGCCCTCACTGGCGTCAGTGGAAAATAAAATCGTGACGAAATTTACTCCTGACATGAATGATACCACCTCTTTGACAATCGTGCTTGCTGTGCGTCTTGGTCTTGTGCTCAAACCCAAGCCCAAGTCTGAATCTTTATCGTCAGGAGCGATCCTCCACAACCCTTTCTCGCTCAAGTATAATACGACTTCCGCTATCTCAACCAATGCGAATGCCCAAAGTCCCCTAAAGCACCTGCAGGCATATTCCAGGCCAAGTAGAGGATAAGGCGGCATAGTGGCCACAGTTAATAGTTAATTGGGATTTTCTTTAGAGACCGCAAAGAAAGGGTTTGCCGACTGCAGGGTTGGTGCTAGGATGTCCGGCAATCCACCATTCGGGGTGGCTTTCGTTGGAGCTGGAGAAAAGTTGCGTCATACTAAGAGTGCTTCATAGCTCCCCTCCTTGCCAACAAATGGTGACCTCCTCAGCCTGGACCCGACGTGTTCTACCTCAGCTAGCAAATCGCAAGGCTACCAGAAACACCATAGTCACAGGCACCCGAAGCTTTGCTATTTCTGCAACTCCACACCCGAGGGCTATCCTCCTGCGACACAATCTTCGCGACGAGCATACCCACCATCACCCACCGCCGTGCAGCTCCTGCACCGTCGACCCTAACCGGCTTTCTGCATACGCACAACACAGGCGAAGGGGTCTTTCCGGCACCGCTTCTCTGAGGATGGCGACAGACGACGAATACATGGACTTCCTGAACAAGGCCAACGAGGATCCGGGCCAGGGCTCAGCCTCGGCCCAGACACAAGGGGGCCAGGCGAAGAAAGAGCTCAAGGCGGCAGACCATGGGGTGGACATCCCACAGCCACTGGTCAAGGCCACCAAGGATGCCTTCTACATTTCTGATTCAGACGAACCATTCGTGCCTGTGTCGCTGGCGTGGGAGAAGGGCGAGGGCTTGCCAGATGAGGGTACGTGGATCACTTCTCTTTTTTCGTCCCGAGGACCTCTACGCCAGGCCCTGTTGCCAACATGAAGACATCAGGTATACTGACTGGCCCATTGTCTTTGCAGAGGAGATTGCCAAATTGGTCGAGCACTGGGATCCTGCAAAGGCCGAGGTTGAAATCCTGGACCCGGTCGATTGGGACAGAAATGGGCAGTACAAGGAGGTCATCGATGCGGTCAGCGAGGCCGGCAAGGGCAATGACGTTCGAGTATACCGTATCGTCAAGGACAAATCGAGAGTGGAATATTTTGTGGTGACAAGGGCAGGAGAGGGTAAAGGCGCCAGGCTGGTAGGCGTCAAGGCATTGGCGATAGAGAGCTAAGATCGACGGATTCCAAGCATTCAGAGACCTTTTCATAAGCGTACGAGCGAACTCAATTGGACCACCACCTACAAGTTTGCAATTTGTCTTCAAAGTCATGTTCCCTGACTTGCCAAATGGTGCACGTTTCTTGGGCCACTATACCCAGCGCTTCATACAATCATCTTGTGGAGAGCTTGCTTTGTCCGTGACCTCTTCAGCAGGCCTCAAAGCCCCTCCAAAAGATTGCTTGTCCAGGGCCCAGCTGCCCCGCCCCGCCCACAGATCAGGCGCCCTGGTCCCTGAAATTGCCACTGCAGGACACCCAGCGGCCCTGTCGGCTGGCCCAGCATTCAACGGGCCAGCGCGGCACGGAGGGAGTACCAAGCTCACATTTATCCACCGACCCGGGGCTGCGAGTGAGTCAGCGAGAACCCACCGAGCTCACGACGCCGGCTCAGTGAGTGCTTTCATTGAATCGAGGGGGCCCCATATTTTTGGCTCAAAAAGATGAGTGTCCGAGTGAGTTATTCGCAGCAAGTTCCTCCCGCCATGTCAAAGATGGCACAAACTAACCCAACCTTCCAGGACCAGATCGTCCCGTCGCTGGATACGGTGAAGGATGTGCTGGCCAAGCAGCAGGGCCCCAAGAAGCCAAACCTCGTCCCGCTGTACGGCCAGATCTCTTCGGACCTGATCACGCCCTCCTCCGCCTACCTGAAGGTCGTGGCTCACACCAAGTCTCCCTACTCCGTCCTCTTTGAGAGCGCTGCGTCGGAGCAGGTCGGCCGGTACAGCTTCGTCGGTGCAGGCCCGAGGAAGATACTCAAGACCGGCGAGGGCCACGGCGAGTCCTGCGATCCACTCCCTGCGCTGGAGAAGGAGCTCTCGCAGTATGTCGTTGCTGAGGTTCCGGACATGCGCCTGCCCCCTCTGACGGGTGGTGCTATTGGGTATATCGGATACGACTGCGTCAGGCAAGTGGCTTCACACAATTCGGCTGAGACCTATCGCTGACGTGTGCACCCGTAGATATTTTGAGCCCAAGACAGCTCGACCTATGAAGGATGTTCTGCAGATCCCGGAGTCACTCTTTCACTTTTATGATACCATAATAGCATTTGACCGCTTCTTCGGCGTCATCAAGGTCATCACCTATTTGAGGGTCCCCGAGGACCCGGCCGACATCGACAGCGAGTATGCCAAGGCGGTGAATGTCATTGAGGATCTTGTTGGCGTCCTCGAGGCCCCCGAGACCCCATTGCCCGAGCAGAAGCCCATCCAACTCGGCCGTGAATACACGTCCAACATTGGCCAGGATGGGTACGAAAGCCATGTCAAGAATCTGAAGAAGCATATCGTTGTGGGAGACATCATCCAGGCCGTCCCATCCCAACGCTTCGCTCGGCCCACGGATCTGCACCCTTTCAACATCTACAGGCACCTCCGCACTGTCAACCCGTCGCCATACCTTTTCTTCATCGATAATGGAGACTTCCAGATCATTGGTGCATCCCCAGAACTTCTTGTCAAGGAAGAGGCCGGACGGATCATAACCCACCCCATCGCCGGTACTGTCAAGCGAGGCAAGAACCCCGAGGAGGACGAGCGCCTGGCTACCGAGCTGGCAAATTCTCTGAAGGACCGCGCTGAGCACGTCATGCTGGTCGACCTGGCGCGCAACGACGTCACGCGCGTCTGCGATCCAATGGAGACCCGGGTCGACAGGCTAATGGTCGTGGAGAAATTCTCGCACGTCCAGCACCTTGTGTCCCAGGTCTCGGGAGTCCTGCGGCCTGGAAAGACCAGGTTCGACGCCTTCCGCTCCATATTCCCCGCCGGCACGGTCTCTGGCGCGCCCAAGGTCAAGGCCATGGAGTTGATCGCCGAGCTGGAGAAGGAGAAGCGTGGTGTCTACGCAGGTGCCGTCGGGTACTTTGGCTACGGCAGCGTGACCCCTGCTGGGGTGGAGAAGGAGGGAGCCATGGACACGTGCATCGCTCTTCGCACGATGATGACCAAGGATGGCGTGGCATATCTCCAGGCTGGTAAGATCGATCTACTCAGACTCACGCACTGGGTTCCTTGCTAACATGGGCTAGGTGGTGGTATTGTGTTCGACTCGGACCCGTATGATGAGTGGATGGAGACGATAGTAAGTCATCACTATCTCTTTTGCCCTATGTAGATGACAGCTTCGTTGAGCGCCAATTGACAAATACTTACAGAACAAACTCGGTGCGAATATGCAATGCATCACTTCCGCCGAAAATATTTACGTGGCCCGTCAGACGAAAGGAACTCAGTAGAGGACACGGCCCGTTGTTGGAGCATTTCATGATCTCAATTAATCTGTATGAGATTTCTCAAAAAAAGAGAGCCAATAGAATCTCATGCCTACACCACCGCTTGCCATTTCGTCACAACGCGTGCCAGAGTGCTGCCAACGCTCCCACCACGGTGAAAGGCCAATTGACCAATCAAGCAGACTCGGTTACGGTTTCGGCGCCTTGCTCGTGCCACTGGCCAGACAGGTCCCCTGGGGGGTCGACCCTCTGCAGCCCATCGAGCTTTTTGTACTGGAGCGTGTCGAGGTCAATGCCGTTGATGGTGCGCGCCTACAAATTGCATCCCTTTTTTTAGCCATTTCCGCCTACACCTACGCCCGCACAGATATGCCATGCGCCCACACACACTCTGGGGAATGGGGGTTTACACTTCCGACAAACTTACACTGATCCCGTATCCGTTGGGCTTGGGCACGTCCCGGAAGTCAATACCCAGGCTGGCGCCGCATTTGCCACAGAACATCTGGTCCTTCTGTTTGGTGTTGAAGCGATACCTCAGCACCTGTGACTCGCTGTCGCCGTGCCACTTGACATCCTCGCGGTCGGGGTCTTTGGAGTGGAGCAATTCGTCAGCGAACCAACATTTCCATTACCACATGACTTCCAAGGTTGTACCGCAAACCCGTGGTACTCATTGTATAGGCTACAGGCCCTCCTTCCGGCTGGGTACCAGACTCTGCTGGTCTGATGGGACACCCTCAGACTTACAGACAAGCAGGTAGCCGAACCGGCGGCAGGCGGAGCAGTTGCACTGGAGGACCTTGTACTCGGGCAGCGGAGGGGAGAGCGTGAAGCTGAATTTGATGAAACCACAGTGACAACCAGCTTCCTGACGGCGAAGTTAGTCCTGCTACTGGTCCTCGAGTGTTGTATTCTAGAGCATTCCAAAAAATTGATGCTTACATATGTTTGCCTGGGCTTCTCTGAGTGTGCGGCTTCGGTCGACATGATGCTGGTGGTGAGTTTGAGAAGTGCAGATACTCAATTCGGTGGTCATGATGCTATTGTCATGTATCTACCAGGTCTTTATAACCGTCTGAGGGGTAGCAGCACACAGAAAACTCTATTTATAGCTGACAAACACATCATGCACACATATACTTCTGTCTTACTATGGTCCAGCACGTAGGTAATGCACGGGTGGCAAGTCACTATCGATATGTTCTTCACCTACCGGTAGACTGTTTGGTACCTAGGTAGGCGGGGCCGTAGGTTGTGGAGTCAAGCTCCCAAAGGGCGTATCAACAAGTAACAGGCAGCTCCGTCTCACGCGGGTGGTCAGCACTACTGCCTGGGGACTTTTAGTCCACGTCTCATGGCGCGGACGATCTCCGAAAATTTCCAGCCCTTGCAACAGACGCGTACCTGTTATGAGCAGAAGTTGGCATCATGCATCTCATGCGATGGCTTAGCCTGTCCTGCGGACCGGTAGACTATGTGTCCCCAGGCCAAGGCTACGTACGGATCCTGCCATGCCCATGGTACCCTATTATGATTGTGACTTGTCTCCTGCTGTGTGGAAATGTTTGTATGCCGTGTGGCTGTCATACTTCAGCATCCATGGATACTTAGCACCACTCAACACAGGGACACAATGAGCTTTGCGAAGGGGTACCGCCACGTTGCCGCAATATCTATTGCATGATCTGTGGTGTGTTTTTCTTATAGAACAGCGTTTTTTATAAAATTACCGTAGAACTACTTCTCGTAGATAATTCCCCCTAGGACAACTCTCGTTGGTCAACCTCCATAGAAAAGGAACCTCCCTTAAAAGAAATCCTAGTATAACAAGTAGTACCCCGTCGTGATATAGCCTCATATACATAATTCCCTGTAGTAGACCTCCTTTGGGCTACATATATCAGGGAAGTAGGATTTCAAGTACAGGAAGCTATGCGGTGATGCGGTGTGCTGTTTGACTACATGGCAGCGTTACTGGAATAATGCGATGACCCACACCAGTCTCAAGCACTTCTATTGACATTCACCTCGTTACGGATTGGCCCATGTTGTTATGAGTTGCAACTTATACATTATAGATTTATAATCATTATTGGCTGGTCAGCTCATACTATGCCGAAGCCGAATGCACCAAGCTCTATGTACATATACTAGGGTGGATATCAATAAAAATGCAGACCGCTGAGCTCATAATCTCATATCCGTGGACACCATTCCCATAACCCGTTCCCTTAATTTTTTTTGCCTTGTTCGTACATGCCTTCTTCAGAGACATATTATCCTTAAACTGCCTCGGTGGCCTTGTCGCCATCTTTCCGCGGCACAGCCGCCGTGACAGCATCATTACCAGCCCGCTCCTTGTCCTTCTCAGACTCGGCGTCCTCGGAGGCCTCTGCCCGGGGCGGGGCGGGGAAAGACGGGGCGATCTTGCTCTTGGCGCGGATCTTGTGGCCGTAGAGGTAGAAGACCACGGGGATGGGCACCAGGGCGGCGGCGACACAGCCCAGGAGCGTGGAGGCCCACTGGATGCCCATCCCGTTGAACATGTAGGTAGCAAAGAGCGGGAATCCAGCACCGCACAGCGACCGCATGAATGTGTTGCCGGCGATGGCACTGGCGGCGAAGAAGAGGTAGGCGTCGACCAGGTAGTTCATGCTCTGGAGGAAGATGGACATGAGACCGAAGCCGGTCAGGAGGCCCGAGGCCGTGGGGACGATCCAGTGGATGTCGGCCCTGTAGCCGGTCCAGCCGAACCAGAAGATGCCGCCCATGAAGGCGACGCCGCCGGCGATGACGGAGGGAAGACGCCACTCGGGGATGGGGATGCCGTTGTTTGATGTGAGCTTTCGCTGGTACCAGGGCTGCTGGGCCAGGACGACGACACCTGCGATCAGTTCGCCGATGATCATGCCGAAGAAGCACAGTCCGGAGCTGCTCGACTTAAAGCCGTGGACGCCGACGAAGACCAGGGGGTAGGCCGTCAGGAAGAGGTAAAGAATGCCTAGCAGAAGATTGGTTAGCACATGCACTTGATCAAGTCTGACGCGAGATTTGCATCAAATTTGCCTTGCAGTTGTCAAGACTCACCATAGACAAATGACATGTAAATAGAGAGAAGGAGAACTATTGGCTCCTGGAACAACAGCCTCATTGGACGCGAAAAGTTCTTCTCGACCAGCTCCCGGAAGTCAATCTCGATCTCCTCCTGCTTGGCGTGTATAAAGTGGTTCTGGGTCCTGCGGCGCAGCTCAGCAGCCTTTGAGACCAGGATCTGCGGCGGGTAGGTCTCCTCAAGGAACAGGAGGTCCAGGCCAAAGCTGGCAAAGCCCATGAAGCTGGTGATGTACATTGTCCACCTCCAGCCGAGGTAGCTCTCGACGATGAAACCGCCGATGAAGGGGGCGAGCAATGGGCCGGTGAAGACGGCCATGGAGAAGATGGTGATGGCGATACCTCGGGTGGCATTGTTGAACATGTCCGAGAAGACAGCGGCGACGACAGCAAGCGGGCAGGCACCGAAGAAGCCGGCGAAGAAACGGCAGATGAGGACGGTCTGGAGGTCCTTGGCGACGGCAGTGGCGATGGTGAAGATGGAGAAGCCGAACATGGCCAGGACGAGCGGCAGGCGACGGCCCTTGAGCTCGGAGAGGGGCGCCCACAGGGTGGGACCAAAGGCGAAACCGAGGACGTAGAAGGAGACGCCGAGGATGCCCACCTCGGTGGACACGTTGAACTCGGCGGCGATGGCGCGGGTGCCGGCGGAGAAGATACTGGAGGTGAAGGCGGATGTGAGGGTGGTGAAGCCGAGCATTGCTGCGGTGAGGATCCTGCGCGCGTGTGGTTAGCAATTGATTTAGCATCGACTAGAGATAATCACCCACTTCTTGTTCAATGGCCAGTTCTGGGCGTGGAGGGGGTCGTCGGGCCCGTCAAACTCGACGACATAGTCGTCGTTGTCCAGCGGTGCGGGCAAGCTCTTGCCAGCACCCATCGGGGGCATGGGCCGCCTCGAGTCGCGAGTGTGGGTGTTGCTCTTGCCCAGGCCGGCGCCGACAGTATTACTGTGCTGGCTCCTGGCTGTCTGGATGCGGTCGAGCTCTGTGGGATGGCGCTCCAGGTCGCGCTGTGTGGAGACCCTGCTCATGCCACCAGCGGTGATCGGGCGGCCCCGTACGGAGCCATTGGAGGAGGTAGAGACGGAGGAGGCACTCAGGACACGCTCGATCTCGTGAGAGGCACGGCCGTTGTAGTTGGCGGCGTCGACCTCGGCGGCGCTGATGCGGCGGTCGAGGTCATCCTCCCAGCGCTGGTTCTCAGCCATGGTGTAGACGAGTTAAGTGTCCTGTCTTGAGGTCGAGACAGATGCCCCGATATGGGGGGATATACTGGTGGGTGAGATGTGCCTCGGGCGAATATATGATGGTTGAATTGTGTATGAGTTATCGTAGCTATGTCCGGTATATGACGTAACTGGACCGACTGAGTCGAGACGGAAGCTCGAAGCAATGACAAGATGGAAGCAATTGATCAATAGGACAGGTCACCGAGGGGATGGTCCAGCCTGGCCAATGGATATGTATATATATATTTCACAAAAGAGTCAATTGAGGGTGGGACGTATTCTACAAGTCACCCACCCCACCTACCAATAGCCCACCTCGACTGGGACGTCGGTGCAATTTGAATGTCCTCGCCCTAGGCTGCTGGGAGGGAGCTTGGACGGGCAGGGGCCAAAGAAAAAAAAAACACAAGCTTAGTGGAGCATGGTTCGGATGACCACAGTACTGCGCAGAGGCTAGGAGAATCCGAGGACAGGGCCTGAGAGGCAGGGTGTGCTAGGGCGTTGGGCATGGATCCGGGAGACACAACCGGTTGCTAAGCAAAAGCCCAGGTGTCATTGTTTGTATGTGGTAAGCCGGTCTTTTGTCAGTAAACTCCGACGCCACGCCAAGCTACTGGTTGACACGGGATTGACTCGGGCACTCGCAGCACAGCAAGGCTTAGCTCCTCGGGCGGCCTAGACTGGTCGCATCTCGCTGCTTCGCTCTTCTGGCACGCACACCCTCACTCGGCTGCGTCATGCCGCTCCAAACTGCCTGTTGCTTACTGATACTCCAACAACAACAACAAAACCCCCCCCAGCCAGACGGGCTGTCGGGCTGTCGGAGTGACGGACTGACGGACTGAGAGACTGACAGACTGACGAACAAACTAGCGGGATGGCTGAGAAGTCGGTGGAGGCAGTGGGTGCAGCTCTGAGCTGCCCCACGACCCGCGGTCAGGCAGCTTTTCTGCAAGGTTCCAACTTAGAAGGCCCTGTGCCCTGGGTGAGTGAGTGGGTAGACCACCCACTGGCCAAAGTGTACCTAGGTACTGTGTACCTGTGTATGTAGCACAGACTGCAACCGTGGAGTGGCCGTGGCTGTCTGTCTGTCTCTATCCCAAACACATCTGCGTCAAGAGTTGCTCGCTCAGCCCACTCCCAAACTCTAAGTGCCCGTACACAACATTGATCTTCTGGGCACGAGATAAACGAGAGATAGCCTTTACCAGGCCCGGGGTCGGGATCCTAGGACAGGCTCCCAACCCGGCACGGCAAGCCACACAGTCCAGCTTTAAGAGACAATATTTTCCCGTTTTTATAAGACCTTTTACCTTAAATAGTACTATATTATCCCTAATAGGGGAGAAGATTATTCTAAAATTATTAATTATAGCTTTAAAAGCTAATGTTTTCTTATTTTTAAAGGAGCTTTTATTATAAATAATATTATATTGTTTTAAATAGGAAGAATATTATTTTATAATAGTTAAAATTGTTTTAAAAGAGAATGTCTTTCTATTTTAATAGGGGCTTATTTTTAGCTTAATTTCTTAGGTTAGTAAAAAGGGATATTATAATTATTATAATTACTATTTTTATAAAAAGGTATTTAATTTTAATATTATTAATTTTATTTAAGCTTTTTATATTTATAAATAGCTTAATAATAAACTAATTATTTAAATTTATTAAATTACTATTATTCTTATTATCCCTATTATTATTCTCTCTACTAGTTTAGTTTTATTTAATTTTTAGTTAGGGTTTGGTTATAAAGAATGATTTAATATTAGTACTAGCAGCCTGTATACCTACCAACTTTCTCGTTGCCGCTGGTCTCTTCTATATTCCCCGTGGGCCCTCGCTTATGTATAAATGTGAGGCAGTGTGATATACTAAACAGGGGGGAGAGGTACTTTCACTTGAAAGTGTCCAATATGTTACTTCTAAGCAACCGTTGCCATAGACTTCGAATTTGACTTTGAATTTAACCTTAACTTTGAGGTGACGGCCTTTGGTTGGGGGATTAGAGGGGCTTCGCCTGGGAGGGTTGGTTACTAGTGGCTATACGTCCCTTATCGGGGCCGTCCGCTTTATAACTAGTGCCCTTGAGGAGAGAAGGGGGGGAGAGAGAAATGGTGATTTTTGGTGGTTTTTGGTGGGAGAAACGAAGAGAAGAGGAGGAAGTTAAAAATGGGAGATAGTTCTGGGGGCTTGCCGCCTTGCTCGCTATATAAAGTCCTTAAGCAATCTCTTAGTAATAACAAAGATTTTTCAGATGCGTTAAGGCTAGTTAATAAATAAAAAAGTGTTTGAAGGGATGAGAGATGGTGATAGCCTTAAAAAAAAGAGGTATATTAGCCTTCCTGTCTGTTAAGTATGCTCTATATTAGATTTAGGTGGTGTGGTTGCTTAAGGTTTGGGTATAAAGCGGTATGTACTTGAAAACACATCTAGGGGATTTAAAAGATACTGTCGCCACTTTCCCCTTATTGTGGCCATAGGTATTTCTTACTAGCCTATTGGCCTGGAAGCTAGGCTTTAAGGTTAGCTTCTTACCTTATAGAAATATTGCTATTAGCTTAGGCTTCTTATAAGGTAGCTTTTTAGAACTATTTGAATTAAAGTTACTATTTTAGTACCTCCTCTATACTTTTAAAATTATATTAAACTAACTTTTATTAAGACTTATAAGCTCTAGTATACTATTAATAAACCTATAAACTTTAAAATAATTAATTTTAAATATATATAAAGAAATAACTACCTTACTTAATTTATTATAAAAGTTAAATAAATAATAGTTTATATAGTTAAACTTATTAAACTTTTAAATTAAATTAATATTAAATATTTATAATATAATATTAAAGTTAAACTTTTTTATTAATATAAAAGATAGCTATAAAGTATTTATTTTAATAATTAATATATAAAAATCCTTAATACTAATATCTTATAAAATATAAACTTTAAATAGCTTATTAAGTAGCCTTAATAATAGTATTATTTTATTATAATAAACTATTTATAAATTAAAAATAATTTAATAAACTATTTTTATTTACTAACTTTTTATTATTTTTAAAATATTATTATAAAAATATTTAAATAGTTTATAAGTTATAATATATATAAATAGACCTTTATATATATATTTATTTTATTAATAATAATAAAGCTCTACTTTTAAAGATATATTTAATAAATATTAACCTTTAAAAGAGACTTTAATAGAGTATATTTAGTAATTACTTTTATAAAAGGACCTATTAGCTTTTTTACCTTAGCTTAAAAATATTTAAGTATTTTATTTTAATTTTTATATATTATTATTCTATTTTAATAATTTTAAACCTATTAAAATTAACTTTAATTATTTACTTTATTTTATAAAATTTTATATAATTTATTTATAATAAATATAATATTTAATAAAATTTTATACTTTTATAAAATATTAAATTTCTAATAGTAAAAGATTATTTTATAAACTATTTATTTTTATATAACTTAAAGCTTTAATATTTTATAATATTAATATAAATATAAAATAAACCTAATTATATATATAATAAAACTAATTATTTAAATATTTTATAATTAACTTATTATATATATTATAATATTTTAAAGTATTATATTATATAATACCTCTTTTATTAATAGAAAATAAATAACCCTTACTATTATTTATATAATAATTAAAGTTTTAATAGTATATAAATATCTATTATAGGTATATTAAGTTTATAAAATAGAAAATAGTAAAATTTAAGGATCTTACTATTAAAATATATTAGCTTATAATATTTATACTTATATTATTTAAGTAGACTATATTTTATAAAATAATAATAAAAGAATTTACTTAAAGTTAAATTTTAAAACTTTATATTCTAATATTTAAAATAATTAAAATAAATATTATACTAAGAGCTATATAGGTAGAAAATAAAGTTATTAACACTTAATTAAAGTATATTAATATTAAATATAAAACTAAATAGAGCCCCCTATATACTTTAAGGTTTACTATAATTTATAGTTTTTACTAAAAGATTTATATAATATAAATATTAATTTATCTAATAGAATATTTAATAAAAATACTTTACTTCTCTTTTAAAATAAATAATACTCCTTCCTTTAATTATATTTATTAAATAAAATAAGAATATTATAATCTTAACTTAAAAATAAAATATATTAAATAAAAATTTAAAATAAATAAAAACTTTATATTATTAAAAATATATTATTAAAGCTAACCTTATATTTAAATAATATAATATTTTATAAATTAAATTATTTCTTATATATATATTATAAAATATAATATTTAAATAGTAAAATTAAGATATTTAAATTATTAATTAAAAGTATACTACTTTATTTATAAAAATATTATTTTAAATATTAAACTTAAATAATAGTTACTTTTACTCTACTATTTATTTTTAAGCTTCTTTTATTTTATAAACTTATTTAAAATATTAAAAATATAGAAAATATAACTTATATTTAATTCTTAACTTTATATAAATTATTTTTATTAAAACCCTTATAATTATTATTTTATTATAATATTTTAAATCTTTTTTATTTTATTTTAAATAAAAATAATAAAGTATATAATTATTTAATATTTTTTATAATAAATACTTTTATATATTAATATAAAATAAAAGTATACTTTATATAATAAAAAAATTTAAATTTATATTATATTAACCTTTTTATTAACTATTACTTATATTTCTTTTATAAACCTTTATATTCTCCCTTTTACTTTTTTATATAAATACTTTATTTATAATTCTAAATTAATCCTTAAAATTAAAAAAAAAAAGACTTTTATATATTAAATAACTTTTTTAGTTTATTTACTTTTTATTAATATTATTATATATTTATTATTCCCTTTTAATTATACTTAAAAGTAATTAAATATTTTTAAATTATTTTTTTAGCTTTTTTATATTTAATAATATTTTTAAACTTATAATTATTATTATAGTATATATTTATTAGTTAAGCTTTAATAAGGTTATTAAAATAGTTAAATATAAATTATATCTTTTATTTCTATTATAATTAAAGGTATTTAAATTATAAAGCTATTATAATAGGAGAGTTATAATAATAAGGTTTTAATTTATAAATTAACTCTTTTTAATTAATTAATATATATAATAATAGTTATAAAGTTATTCTTTATATAATAAATATATATTATTTTTCCTTTATTTTTATAAATAATATATTAAAGGTTAATATTAAGTATTATAAAATAAGAGTTATAATTAATTAAGGGTAAACTAATAAGGTTATTAAAGATATATTAAAAGGGAGGTTAATATATTTATTATTCTATTTAAGATTAAATACTATATTATTTATATTTTCTTATATATATATAAAAAGTCTTTATAGTATTTAATATTCTTTTAATAATTATAAAACTAATTATTATAAGTATTATATTAATAAAATAGAAATTCTTTTAATA